TTTAGTTCGGGATTAAATTGAATATCCTCTTAAATCCGTGCTGTGCAGTTGTGTTTCAAATGAGATAAACCTGCAGATTCATGTCTGAATAAGTGAAAAAGAGATTTAATACAATTTCCTGAGTGAGATGTAGCCTGTGAGGCAAAGTTATGACACAGGCAGGTTTAAATGGGTGCCAATAAAAGATCTCTGAATATTAATCTCAAAGTAAAAAGACAAGTCAAAGGCAAAGAGGGGTTTAGTCATACTCTTCATGGATAAATTATGTCTCATTCAATCCAAAGAGGTTGAAGTTCACCGCGTTAATCAGATTCGAGAATATTCACTCATCTTGATAACTGCATTAGCACCAAACCTGTAGTTGTAATCGTATCACTTGGTTAATATCAGCATTCGCCTACTGTTAATCCAATTCTGCGTGAAGTGGGTGAGCATCGCTCTAAAGTTGTCGTAATTGAGTTACAGGCTATCGTTTTCAGCAAATCACCAGGATTTCCACGGGCTCTAAATGGATGATTTGCTGGTGTGCAGAGTCCCTGAGGAAATCAGAGCCCGAGCAGACATGAAACTAAAGTGACAAAGGAATTGCTGCAACAAAATAAAACATTCATCACCATGGTTTACAGCAACTTTACAATGAAAAAGGTACAATTAATAAACCTTTCTTACTGGCTCAACAGAACATTTAAAGAAATCACTGATTAAGTTCACTGTCATCTACTTTAATAACAGGTTCTGACTCCATAATAAAATATAACATCAGGTCACAGATGTTAAAGTGATGGACAATAAATGGAATTGTGTTCAATCTTTGCTGTTTTTTTTTTTTCCTTTCCAGATGTTTGATGTATAATCTACTTGTCTGTCTATATCTACCAAAGTTTGAGTGATATGTAGGCATGCAGCGATCAACCAGTTTCATTACTAATCCTGTCCTAAAGGCTTTGTTGCATTACAAAATGTTTAAGGTGTCACTGTAAAAAAAGAAAAAAGGGTGTCAGTTCGTAATGTTTGGTGCACTGGTTATGTTGTAAAATTAATGAATGCAGAATAACTATACTCATAATTATAACTCAGACTAAAATCTCTGATCATTGCATCTCTATTACTTCCACTTTTATGAATTATCTCTTAAAAGATTTAAGTGCTGCAGCCACATGTTCAATCATGTACCAGCCTTCTGAATTATTCTCACAACTCTCCCATTGATCAGCAAGAAGAGATCAGTACAGTTGAATCAGCTACAGTAAAGTACACTGGCATTCAAGAGTGAGAAAGAAAGATCGAGAATATTCCAGCACAAAGCTACAAAGAGGCACCAATCCTCTGTTCTGCTTTACAAACGCCTAAAAAATATTTATCCATCCTCTGCCTTTGCTTGGTGAAAACAATGAATTTTGCATGCCTTCACTCCAAAGACTAAAGTGCCAGGTTTTATGAAGAAGAAGGCTGGCATTGTAGTGCCCCCCAGAATTCACTCCAGACCCCCTGCGAGGAACCTCGTCTGAAGTTTCCAAGAGAAGAGAGGAGATGCCTGCCTGCCTCATGGAGGCCGTGCTACTCCATATTCATGCATGGATTTCAGGGGGAAGACTTATTCATCAAACACGGCAAAAAGTCGAACTCAAAGCGCCTCCTTCTTTGGGAATGAAGGCCTGTTTGATGTTTCCAGGGGTGTACTGTCACAGAAAAAAAAACTCTAAATAACATGCACTCCACTGTGTCCTCTTTTGTGGAGTAGAGAATTAGTCCCCTATGTCCAGAGAAAAACATCCTTACAGCACAAAGAGGATCAGCGCAACACTTTTGTGGGTGATACTGGTCATTGAGACATAGAGCATCACTACAACTGAATTATGTTCATGGACAACAATAACAATAACATAATATATAAAGTTGTTTTAAAGCCTAAAGATCTGTATTTTTGTGGTTACCACCGTGGTGTTTTAGAGGCTAAACAGGAACTTGTTAATGTAGCGTGTTGCTTTGTCAGTAAATTGTACATCACAGGTGACCATGCCCTGCAGCATAGCCTCCAGTTGTTGCTGTTTTTTGTTTTTTTTTTTAAACAAGATGCCACCATAGACTGTATGTAGAATGGGTGCCGTCTGCCTCTTTGCCGGGTGAAGCCACCCCGAGGAACGCACCCTCTGGTGACGGGCTGCAGTATAGGTCATGAATCCCGCCTCCTCCAGTCATCCCAATGAAGCTGTGGACAAACTTTAAAAATTAATTACACAGAATATCAATTTTTTCCCCCCTGCTTGCGATGTTGACATGTAGTTACTGTAAGACTGGTTTGTACTCAAGTCCTCTTTTTTCTGTACAGCTCCATTTTCAAATCAGTATACTGGCGGAAGGCAGGACCAAGTTGTCCATATTATGTATGGTCTATGGATGGCACAAAAATGTACAAAACCACCATGACGCAGTACCTGGGAAGATCTGAATCAAACAAAAGTGAATCACACTGTGTACTGAGAGTAGAAATAAAGTAACAAGCAGGAACATAATTTTCCAAACCAGCTATTAGACCCCATTACATTCCAGCAATAATGTTCATGCACCTTCATATGACTCTGGCAGATACAAGATCAAAGGTTGTTTTTTTTTTTTTTTTTCAAATGTTAAACAATAATGTTTTTCTTCTACTACATCATTGGCCATTAAGATATCTGCAAGGTTGGAGGCTCTTTCAAAATTTGAAACCTATAGTAATCTACCTACATAAGTTTCAAGCAACAGGAGGCAAAATATTGGTCAAACTTGAATGTGCATTACTGGTTTCAAAGAACTGCAGACGGATCCCTGAAGAACACTATCAGTCTTATTAGCATAATATGGGAAAAATGGGCCAACAAATGTCCTATTTTGCTCAAAAATATTTTGTGTTCAACTGTTGTATCGCATCCAAAAGTTGTAGCCCCAGGAAAAATCCTCTAATCTTCCACTTATCCTTAAATAAACTCAACAGTAACAAAAGGAAGCTCAGGTCTGGTCTTTGTGGTCTAAACTGGGCTCAGATGCACAGATGAACTGAGACCATGACAGAGGCATTCAGCTGATTTTCTAAGACTATCATTTGCTTGCAGTCATCTCTCAAATTTTCTCCAAATGAATTCAAAAAAGATCATTTAAATCTATGCAAACATCACTGACACTATTTCCTCAGCAGTGAGGCTCGCTGAGCCTCAAACCCTTTGTGCTGTGTGAGTTACACCGTGTATTTTTGGATAGGTCACTTTGTATCAAAATATTAACAGTTTTAATTCTGAGATAGTGGATTTAATCAAGAGTCTGCCTCTGATAAAAGCCTGCATCTTTTAAGGCCTGGCACCTGCAGCCATGAAAAGAAATGAGACCTGCTCTATATTTGAGAATTAACAGCAGTTCACTGCCATGAAATATAAGAAGAAATTCTTCTATAACTAAATATTCACAGTACTACTACACATTAGTAGTGCATATTTACTCTGCCAGAAGAGGTAAGACAGCAAAAACGCAACATCTTAACATCATTAAAATAAATAAGTTTGAACATCTAAGTAAAATTTTGGATGACTAACTCGATATTTTGGGGAAAAAGATATTACTGTCTTCAGGAGTGATTTTAGGCTTGTATTTGTCTTAAAGCTCCTATTTTGTAAAGCTGGAGCAAATATAACTTGAGCCAAGTACAAGATTGTGGATAGGATCACCACTGAGTTTTGTGCTCATTTAACAAATGTGATTTAAATAGGCCTCAGTGGAATTTACGTCATTGGAGCCCAATTTGTTTCACTTCTGGTGCTCAGCAGAGCTCAGAAGAACTAAAACGGCTCTTTCACACTAGAGCAGCTGGTTGAGATTTGCATTGAAAACAGGATTTTTTTAATGATATGAATAAAGTTAACTCAAACAGCCAACAAATGAAATCAGTAACAGAGTGTTTCTTGTTTTTGTAGCTGCCTTTGCAGCCAAGGAACCTGTCTGTGCACCTCCCCTAAACGGTTCACCACCCAAAGCTACAGAGCTGAACCAGCCACAGCATGGCAGCTAGGTGCACTCCTGTATACAGTCCTTCATGGTTGTATACCTTTTAACGACAGCACTGAAATTGTGTCCAAACCCCTCTGTGTCAGCACAAGTCTTTCCAACAGTAAGTAATCCCACACACATACAGTAAACTTAAGCACTGTTAGATCCACAGTAGTTGTATTTTATCATTCCTGTTCTGTCCCGTCAGACTGCAGGGACTTTCTATATCACTGTACCAGCGGCAAGACCCACCCTGTCAACTCTACAGAGCCACCCTTGGCTGGGTTAATCAAGGACCTCCAGGAGGAACAGGAGGATGCACCATTTAAATCAAAACTAATTTTACTTACCCACGGTGCCTTAAATGGGTCCCAATGCTTCCACTTTGTAACAGCAAAAATAAAACCAAGGTGGTTTTAATATGTTTTAAGGCCACTGTGTTGAAACTTTAAATTCATTCACAGTCCGTTGCTTTGTTTTACTTTGTCTATAACACTGATGCAAGATGCAATAGGATAAGAGTAAATGGATTTTAACTTCAAAGTTCTGTGATGATCATTTTTTAAAGGTGGCACTGAAAGACATTTGATTGAGTGGACACTGAGGGTCAAAATTTACTTCACTATTATGATCCAGATATAAAAACACATCTTCTGAAAATTTAAACTCAACTTCAAAACATTTAAAAAATTAGGCCAGACAGGACAAAAAACAAAACTGAACCAAATTAGGTGGATTTAAAATAAGTTTTCAGAGCATTAGTTATGGATGGAGAGTCGCATCATATTACATTTTGATGCATTACGTCTCAGAAAAACTACAGAAAACTTCTGCTTTTGGAAAACTTCCAGTGAGAGGTACTACATGTGTTATACTTTTTTTTTCTTCATGTATTTAAACCTATTTTAATTAAAGAAATGCAATTGGAGAGAAAATTAAGGCATCATGTAAATGACCCATACATTTTAAAGTACATGGAGGTGTTGCTTTGGGATAACCAAAGTTTTTTGCTAAAGGTTATCAACCTACAAGCTCAGTCTACAGGTCTGTTTTCAATTAAGGTTAAATGCTTCAGCTCACTGGTGGTGATGTTAACAGGAGTGAGGTTAAGAAATTGGATCTATAGAGACAGAATTGAATCAAAAGACATCTAGTTACAGTACAGCCATAAGTTAGAGTAAATGCGACTAGGAGTGTCACACTCTGGTTCGGTGGTGCTTAGACAATAGCAACTTTTAATGGCCAACTTTTTTTCCCCCACCCTCTGCAGTATTGACCTTGCTTTGAAAATGCAGTGCTCTCCTTTAAAGTTAATAAGTGTATATGTTTTTGACACATGCTGTTGTTTTTATGAACATGGCCAAAGGATACACATGGGACACACATGGCAGATCACATGTATCACAAACCAAAGTCATGAAAGCTCTTTTTCAAGAACACTACAGATGGTTTGGAGGTCCTTTTAACACGCAATGATACGAACCAGCATTTGTGTGCATTTCATGGCGGCATGGATTTGTCAGAAAGGACTGCAGAGACTGGGGCTGGCTGCCAACAGATTGTCAAAATGCCCTCAGTACAGAGTCCAGCTGCTGATTGTGCCGTTTAAATCGTTTTTCTCTTAACTTTAAATGCTTTACCTAAAAGGAAAGAGCTACTGCAGTTTTTATTCATTTAAAACTTTAGACTTTAGCCATCACGCGCAGGGAAAACGCTGCCATCCATGTAGTACGATGGTTTAACAAAAGCAGAGCTAAGAGTTTAATAAGCGCCCTCATTTTTCAAAGTGAGGAGATGTCAGAGCTTTTTTCCCTCATACTGAGAAAGGCAAGTTTTCTGAAGGTCCAAGTCAGTTGCAGCTGTGCGTGAGTGCCTGTCAACATCTCAGCCAAGACAAACTGTGTGTGCATGTAACTGCATCCAGCCTTGTCACATGAGATGTTTGAGGCTGTTAACACCGCTACATAACTGTGGGGAAATATAGGACCCAATCAAATCGCAGTATAAGCCTCCAGAACAGAGGCCAGTGTTGCTCTCCTCAACAATTGTTTGTCTTCTTGACTCCTGCCGGTTGTTATCATGTAACATTCTTTATCAGAGCATTTGGAGGTTTTATGGTGATGTGATTTATATGGGCTTGTGGCACGTTAATGATGCCAGGGAGCCTTGCCTGCCATCCATATTCATGAACAACTGTGTTAGGGGAGCTGTCGAGATGGAGGGGAAGAGGAGGAGGAGGAGGAGGAGGAGGGAGGAGTGGTGGAGGGGAGGCACTGCCACACGTCCACCAAAAGTCTCCAGGGTCTGGATGGCAGAGCTGCAGAAGCCCGGAGTTCACATGCCTGTAGGCAAGGGTCCACCTGTTCATCCAGACTACTCACATTCCCAGGGAAGAGATCAATGACCAGGAATGAACAAAGAAAGAAATAACAAGCTGTAATCTGGATAGATATTGTGCAGCAACGACAGCCTCATGTGGGGGCTACTTGCTAAGGAGACATACTTTCACATTTAACCCTTAATAGTAAAAACTGCTCATTCCCACATTGGGGAAGTGGATACAGGAATTTTGTGGAATTTTTTTAAACTTAAATGTAGATAACAATAAAAAAGAAGAGGGGTACAAAGCGTTTGGTGAAATCCTGTACCGACCAGGCATGTATCAATATGAAAAATTTGATATCACGTTTATCATTCATCACGATATTAGCGCACTGCTTTTAACGTTGTTAATAATGGCAAAAAACTGTGAAATCACTTCTCTGTGCACAGCATGACACGCACAAATGAAATAAGCAAGAGGCAGCTAACGCAACGTTGGGAGCGTTACCTTTTTTGGAGCTAAAGTTAGCAGAAACGTCACCAACGTTGTCAATAATAAGCAGTAGGGTAGACCAAACTTGTTGCGGCCATGTTGTTTTTACCTTGATTTGGGCGAACAATGCTAGATGGTGTTCACGGAGGTGGGCACGTAGGTTTGAAGTGTTAGACAACGGCTCTGCAACGTCCTTACTGCATAACCTGCAGATTGGTGTCAGGTTTACCTGCTCCGTCTGTTTTGTGAAGCCGTAAAACGTCCATACTGCCGACGAAACCTTTTTAATAGGAGGATACAGCCAAGGCGTTTCGTCACTCTCAGTCTCCGACTGTTCTTGATCTGGTGTTATGCTGTAGAATGCACCCCTGCCGTTGAATGCACCCCTGATGGGAGCGTGGTTGGAAGTACATAACAAGGCGACATAATCTAAGTTTTCCTTACTGTTGGGTGGATTCAAAAGCGTGTGCCTTTAATGATGTCATTCAGTCTATTCAGATAAGACGAAAACAATAGCCTTCCGATTCGGGCTGTCCCGAAAATATAATGCTCTCTACCTTGACAGCTTACTGTACAGCTTATGTACCCAAGTACATCTCTATATGCGCATTTTTGGGACACATAAAAACAGAACGAAAGTTTGCTGCTCCATTTGACATGTTGGCATGATCCAATACTCATGTTTTTTTAAATATCAGATCATATCTCCTCCACTTTAAGAAGCTAATGAGCGGATGGGATGCATTGTTGGCACGCTCCAACAGTGCATTTTCTCTTTTAATGTTCCAGTTTTTGTTAGGCTGGCATTAATGTACTTAATTTGAGAGTTTTTTGGGATTTGGGACTACTTTTGTGGTGGTTTGTTTGTACATTTTGCTACCGAGGCTTTGACACCGTGGGTAAGACTACAAGCGGGTTAGGTTGGTAAGTACTCGGCTTCGCTGAATGACGCTGCCACTCGTATTTAAATTATAATTGTGGAACGATTATTATCGTACCTCACGATTTTATCATTGCGGCTGTTTAATATTGCATATCGCAATTAAATCGTTTATCGGCACATCCCTAGTACTGACGTAAGGTTCTTGTTATTGTTCCAACATTACAAAGACAGCATGCACACTATATAAACTAATAATTTCAGTGGCTCCTTTGAAGCCCAACAAGGTGAGTTTCAATTAGTCACAGTAATGCCATATAAAATATAGAGGAGGTTTGAGAGGATCATTAAAATTTGGGCACTCTATTGATTAGTAAACATGTTCTGATGTTGGGAATTTTAGTAGCAATGCAACCATCAATCACAGCACATCTCTTAAAAATGAAAAGTCAAACATAAGGATGTAAGCCAACAGTCTACAAATCTTCAAAAATGACCATTTATTTATAAACTATAGTATACAGATGTTCAACACTGACTTGACATTTGCCTCTTGACATACGTAACTCTGAGGTGAGGCTATTTAAAACCTCCATTCATTCTTGTCCATATCAATTGAGAAGGCAGAAGGATTTCACGTCCTATTAGCGATCACGACCCAATCAATGAGCTGTGCCTTAAAACAGCTGACAGCTAATTACGAGGGCAGCTCTGTGCGAGCCATGCCATTCAGGTAACCAGTGGTAATTAAAGAGGAGGAAGAAATATCTGCTGAAGGATGCTCACAGCCTGGGTGAGGCAGAGCACAGTGAATAGCCTGGATACTCCAGGGTGAGGTCTAATTTGCTCCTGAGCCAATCAATAACCATTTCATCTCTGTTGCTATGGAACAACATACACCAAAAACACAATGAACATTACCTCGGGGAAATTGGCACCAGAAATAATCTCACTGCTGCTGTTTTGAACAATTTCTTGTTCCTTCATTTGTAAAAGAAAGAGGCTGAGCTGAGTCAAGGACATTATGTTTTGTTCTTTCCTCAGTGGGGTTTCCATCCACTTTCATTACAAGAAACCAAAGTCAAATCACTTTCTTGCAGCACGATCAAAAACATGTTCTGGCTTATAAAGAGGTTTCTTTCTATAGGGCAGCTAACCAAACAGAATCGTACATCTTTTGACACCTGTCATAAAATCAGGGCTGGTTACAGATCTCAGTGATTTTAATACCTCTGGGAATCTACATGACTATACCATATTCCTCCATATGTGGCTCCAAAGGGAAACGCAATCGTAAAAATATAATTAGCAGGGTCGTTCTGTAGAAAATAAAATGTCAGCCATGAATCTTTTGATATCCAGAGACTTTAGCACATACACACACACATAATTCACCACTTCAAAGTTTGATTTCAGACACTTCTTCAGAAAGATGGCAGAGAAATATAAACTTTTACGATCATACAATTTCACCCTTCTTTGCCAAGATTCTTTGTCTCTGTCATGCGAAGACCCACACAGACTTTCAACAGTCCTGCTCATTAGCGCAGTGGTGAGAGGACCTGCAGGGTGTGACAGGAGAGAGTCTCGCTAACAAGCCAAAGAGGTCCTGCTTTAAAGAGAAACAAATGAAAGCTGGAGTCATGAGCTCGAGCAGCCAAGTGACACTGTTGTTGACATGGACCGACTGATGGCAGCCATGCCTTCTATGCTGTGGATGAGAGTCTTCATACTGAAGTGTCAGCACATGGGGGCAGGGGAACAACAGCTGAATACTGTGTATCTCATTGCACCAGGGCTTGAGACTAACTGTCCTGTCATATTCCTTACATCGAAATAAAATCACAGAAATAGCCATTATCTTATGAAGTTTCCTTTTTAGCAAATAGATATTAAACTCCAGGGAGATAAATATCGGTGGTCACTAAAGCAGCGGCGGTATTCACTTTTTAACAAGTGTTGGAAATTATAAACGATGATCTAACATTGATCTCAGTGTTAAAATAAAAACTGTTTGATTACTAGATGAGGAGACATATGGTCACATTATGATGCATTTTAGGGAATTACTGTGGGGTGAAATAAAAGTTCGTCATGATGTGTTCAAATACTTTGTCAAGAAAAAGAAATAAAAGGTTTTGGCAAGAAACTTTGGAATCCGACAACTGTGTTCTTCTTTAAATAATTTTGTCATGAGAGAAGGCTTTTCATCTTCCACTACTGTTAACCCGGTCTGTCTTTTTTCTGTTATGTATGTCCTAAAACAACAAAAATCGAAGTTAAAAAGCCAAGAGCATTTTCTACAGATTGAAAACTTGAATATAATCATTATCCCCAGCATTGTTTTGATGGAGGAGTACATAAATTGTTTCCATTTTAACATGGTTGACAGCTTTAATGAGGCACAAACCACACACAAGTGAGAATGATGTAGTCCATCAGTAATTCAGAGAGCACATTTACTCTCCACCTTCTTTTGGCGATGAATGAGTAACAGTAAAATAGAGGGGAGATTGTACCAGCCTGCCAACCAACTCAAACAGGCAAACAGCAGGACGTGTGCTTCCTGCCAGACGAGCCGCCATCACAGCAACTGTTGCCACGGCTCAGAGCTGCCAGCCTAGTTTTGATTAGCGGGTGTTTCGGATGTGATTGGCTGCAGTATGAATGGTGAGGCAAAGAAAGGTCTTAAATGTTGTGTAATTAACCTCTTCACTTGCACATATTCCACTTCAGACTTTGCAACTAGTGACAGCCTCCTGTCAGCAACCTCTACCAATCAAGCTCTAATGTGGGAGACAGAGAGAGAGAACACAAAGCCGGCACTCGGGCTGTCACCACTGCGGTGTGTCTGAAACGGTCTGGTGAGACAATGCGCCATATCTCAGTGTTGACAATGAACAGGCCCCTAACTGCTGAAGGAAAAAGCAAGTCCTCACAGCTACAATCATCATCTACATGTGTAAATGAAAACAGCCCGCATAATCAAAAGGTGCGAGTGAGGAGCAGACGAAAGCATGACAGATAAAACCAGGTTCTGCCTGACTGTTGGTTTATGACAGGCTAGTCATATTGCATTAAGACACAACATGTACATGCAAACTGTGGATGCAATTCAAATAGGACCATATGAGCACAAAAGGCATGAGCAGAATATATTCTAAAAGACACACCTTTTACAGCAAGGAGCTGTGCAACTCAAATAAAGTACCACACAGGCAGTGCTGCAGACTCTTCAAATGCAATAACAATCGGGGAAACAAAGTGTGTCATCAAGAGCGTGACAAGGTGTACTATTCATCCTCCTACCTAGTATGTAGATCAGCAGTTGAACCAGAGAGATGTGATTCTTAAGTGGGAGAAACAGGTGCCAGAGGTTGTGGATGCAACAAACTAGAAAAGATTATTTCTATAAATCAGGCAAAAACAAAGAGTATTCAAATCTGCATGAGACTATACAAAAAGAAATGTGTATTCCAGCACAGTATGATATTACAGGACACATCTAAGAGACTCCAACTAAACTAGGTGGGATTCAAGTGCTGCACATGGTTCCCTAACAGCTTCCACGATAGCACCAACAAATAAATAACGCAGTATACAACAGCAACAATGATGAGCCTTGTGCAAACAGAGAAACACATACTAAGAAAACCACCAACATACACTTCATGATTTCTGTATTGCACGAGAAAACTGCAAAAACAGGAAGATACATTAGCATGATGGCGCTATGTAAAAGCCACACAGCCCATAGAAAGTTTATATAAGATATATATATGAGAGGTTTCATAGCAATTGGGTTTGCATCTACACTTTATACCTAAATGGGTATCAGAGTGAAAAATTGTGCCCCTCAAAATAATAAAACATTCACAGATAACAACAACCATCACTCCCAAACAAGCTGGGACCTCCAGCCAGTTGGCCTGTACTTTAGGTGAATCACAGCTGCAGCACATAGCACAAGACACTTACAGTACTGGTGCAGTTCATCGAGACTTCACTCCGAGTCCTTTTCCTCTGGGGCCTCTTCACAGCATTTCATGGTTTTCATCATTAGCTCATTTGTTGATCAGCACTCTGTGATTTGCTGGTATCAGAGTCAGCCACTCTGTTGGGTTCACATCGATGTACTTGATAATCACACGGGGAATTTAGTACTTTAACTTGTTTACCTCGTTGATATTAACCGTTCAGCTAACGCCACGTGATAAACAGCTGGGTAAAATTTTCATGCTCGGTGAATCAGGCGCAAACAAACACGCTCATTACTGCGCCACAGACGTCAGGTCTGATGTCATCGCGTACAATGAAAACTTTTTTTTTTTTTTTCTTTTTGAATGAAAAAATAATCTCATGTCCATTTTTTTTTCCATTTGAACATTTTTATCACAAAAAAATATTCGGTAAAGCTTTTGGGACACTAATTTTCTTAAAATGGATGCCAGCCCCTCCCTCTTGTGACTGCCATTCAGTTCTCAAAATGAATAATTATTATTTGGTTAATTTGGCTTGATAGATGAAAATAAGCTTGATGTTTATTCATTAATATTTTTTGATTAAAAATTAAAGGAACATGGGTTTTATTTCTGCTAGAGAGAAGGTATGAATCTGGTTACTCCTCCCCATAATTGATGCTGTTATTGTTTCCTATTTAAAGATTCAACTACTGTTCACTTAAACTACTCCCTGATAAAATGTAGACAGAGTAACAGAACACCCTTTTGTAGCCTTTTAACCACCAATTTTGTTTACACGTGTTTTGCTGCTTTTAAAGCCTGTGCACAGCCCTGTAATTTTCCGTTGCCAAGTCAGAAAAGAGTAAACAAATCATTGAAGTACTTGGTCTTAAAGTTTTTTAAAAGGATTTCTTACACTTGGAGGTTGTTTGTTTACAAAAATGCCATATTTTTCACAAAGGCAGACAGCTTCTGTAAAAGCACAAGGGTTTCTGAGAAAGCAATCAAAGCTTTAAAATATCAAACTCCCCATTTCAACAAGACAAAAAACAAAAGATGATTCACACTGTTCAAAATACAAGCAAAGAAATTCACTTTTTCTGATTTCCATTGAAGAAAAAAAAAGCATTTTCCTACTGTCAATAGCCAGAACAAAACCAGAAGGACATCACAGTTGTAGTCCGAGCATTTCATGAGTCACAGTATATCCAAGAAGAGATGAATCATTTTTTCTTGTAAAGGGTAATTTTGGATTGAACAAGCTATATGAAGAATAAAGAGTCCAATGTTTTCCTTTCAGAAGATTTTTTTAATGTATAGAAGTAGTTTGTTGATTATGATCCATATTAAACACAGAAACATTTCACTCAAAAAAGTCTTTTACTACCCTGACAACCCTCTTCTTCTTAGGCACATGCCATCTTGTTGTGTAGTTTGTCCACAATCCCTTCACAGAGTACAACGGTTCAGGTTCAAGCAGAGAAAAAGCTCTTTCTTATGTCTTTGGGCTACACGTGTCAGTTCAGTGGAGTGGTGAGTCACCCTGTGGCCTCGGCTCTGCTGTCCACCAGATGGCTGCTGCTGCTGGGAGTCAGCTAAGACGCTGCCTGGTGGCGGCTGAAACTTAACCATAGTGGGGGCTGCTGGTTATGAAGAAACGTCTTCAGACAGACTAATTAAAAAGGTCTTTTTCATCACGCTGGCCCATCTGTTGAGAGAGCACAACCTGATGGAATGGCTTTTAAAGCAATATCTTAGTGAGCACTTTTTCAGGATTAAATTATTTATCTTCTTTTATGGGTATAATGAATTTCTTTAGAGCGAGTGATCTCCTGAGTGCAATTTGTGGATCTTTAAAAGAGCTTTTGAAAAACAAAGCCCTACCTAGGAGAGCTCCAAGTCATTAACCTGACTGTAGGCTACTGCTACATACCTAACAATTCATGTAATCAAGGACTTTACACTGTCTATTTTTCCTGCTCAGTGGAGTAGAACCTCTTGTTTTTTTAAACCATGAATATTCATTGCGCATTAACTCCTCACATCAGTATTCTGAAGGCATTTTAAAACTGTGTCTCTAAACAAAGCCTTTATGTAAATCAGCGGTTATCTACAAGCAATCTGCAACAAGGGACAGCAAGTGCACAGATACAACAAGGTCAGTGCATGTGCTGGAGAAAGTTCTGCTTATCATTCTTTGACAAGGTCAGTGCAGCGTGCACTAACTGAACATGATAAACCAACAACTGCTGCATGGGTTACCAGCATTTTAAACCACTTCACTGTAGTCCTGTCTAAAGCAACGACAGAGAAAATGTCATCTTAGCAAGAAGAGTCAGCACCAAAGAGTGTGTGCAGGTGTGTGCGCATTATAAGCAATCATTACCTCGCCAGCTTGCAGGTTAACACACAACAGGCAGTTTGAACCCATGACCTGCATCCTGCTCCTCATTACTGTCCAAGCTAGATGAGGATTCTTGGAGTTCTGTGATCACAATAAAAGGGAAATGATTCACATTACAGTTTGCACCCTTAATATAAACTCATCAGGAGAGTCTCTCCTGGCCTCCATGTTTGCTAAATTACATGCTGTAAACAGGGTTAAATCTTCAGAGATTTACAAGTTCAAGTTGTCTCCAAAAGGCTAATTAATCCACCTTTACATCGCAGATGCAGCGCTTTGATTTACAGCCAAAGTGGCATGTTGCTGGACTAGCATGGCCACCCAACCAGAATTTACAGTACACACAGGAGGCACGGGGGGCTTCAAGACCACATCTTTTAAAGGTTTCTGTCCTGGCGCTAAACTCCACACACATGCAATCTGGAGGATGGAGATGTCAATGGTTACGACCCCCCTGAAGCACAACCATGCAAGCCCAGAGAGAGAAAGAGAGAGAGAAAAGACTGCGTATGTAAGCTCTGATAATTTAAGGACTTTTTCTCCACACCAGCTTGTTTTAATTACTGAGAATAAGTGGCAGCATTTGGTCAGGTTTATGGGGCTTCTTCAAAGAGTGAGTTTGGTTAAGACAGGCCAATCTGTGGGACTGCAGGGCTGTAAATCCAAAACCACAACCACTAACAAACGCCTGGGGAAGATGCAGGCAGCCTTACAGGGACAGAGGAGGAAGACGGGGGCTCAAAAAAGCCTGTTCTACTTTTATGTTTTGAAGCTTTTATCTGAAACAAGACATTAGGTCATCCCAAATGATGAATCACAATAGCAAAAGGATTTTCTTACAGCAATTTTGACAGGCATTTGTTGGATTTGAACCTCTTTTAAAAGGCGAATATCACAGAGACCTCAATTAGAAAGGGCTCCGACTCCATTAGAGTGTTCTGAAAAGAACAGACACTTGAATGTGACAATGTGGAAAACAGACTTAAAACATGAAAAAATCTCAAAATAATATGAGAATCGAAGTGGATTGATTAAAGCTCTCATAGGGAGGAGTGAGTTCAGTTCCAGTTCTGGGTTGGGGTGAAGAGGGTGAAAAGAGGTGAGGGGGGATTCCTGACTTTTTGGTGAACTCATTTTTATTCTAATACACCATCCAAGTCCCTGCTAATGATCCAAGCCCTGAGGCGATGTATGCTGGGATACAGAGGGCTGTCTGCTGTCTGCTCCGCACAGTCTCAACAGACAGCAGACATCAGAACTGGCCGACTGTTTCCTTTCAGACACACACTTCCTCAGCGCTACCGCAGGTACGTTTTTTTACTGTCTGCAGAACCCTAACATGCTGAAAACTAACAGCATACTAATTCATTAAGAATACAGTGTCCCACATTTATTTTTCATGCAGCTGCAGGTTAATTAAGTTCTGCAGTGTGCAGACTGGATAGAATAAACTAAAAAATTGGATTTGAAACACACTGACCAGCTGCTCTTCCCATTCAGCCAAATTAACCTCTTATGTTTTAGATCAAAACAGAATTAGGAAGGAGGAGGCGAGATGTCATCACACAGCAGGGTTTGAATTCTAGCCGAGCACGTTCACACACCTACAGTACAACACTCCACAGGACCTCATGTTTCACACTGAGCTGAAGGCCTTCCTGTAAACGGAGCAATTAATCACTCTGGACTCGTATCATCCCATTTGATCTCATTTCCTATGTATCACACAACAATTAGCAAGTTTTCTCTTATGAAACAGGTGAATTTAGAATCTATCTATCTATTTATCTATCTATCTATCTATCTATCTCATTTTTTACTCTTTCTTTGAAGCTCTTGTGACAAACTATTTGTGTTGTTTTTGGCGCCTCCTCTGGACAAAGCAAACGGTTTTCAGAGACAACATTCCTGCTTGTCACTTTATTTCTGTTGATTAATATTTGACAAGATCCCGTGTTTCTCTAGATCTTGGTTGACCTCCAACCTTATAGTAACATCATGATAAGACGAAGGTCCTCTCTGGGTTTCAATCAGATTTTTCTTCCTGTAATCCCAGAACATGTAGACCAATGAAAACAGAGAACTCCAAATCATCAGTAAGAAGAAACATTTTATTCACAGGTACTGTAAAAGTAAAACACAAGCTGCCTTATCATACATTTATACACAGGGTTTGAAAATCCTATACAAACAAAGGTATTCGAAAATATGAGTTTTGATATGAAATATGACCTTAAATATAATAATTTCTTGGAAAAAAGGTCTTGGTTTGGTAACAGTTATTTAATTCATGAGCCTAAACAACCCTACATTAGTGAAAAAACTGAAGTATTGTAAAAAATTAGAATGGTAAAAATGGAGTAGAAATCATCCATAAAAATGATTAAAAAATCTCATGCAGCATCTTCAGAGAGGGCCTGAGAGAGTACATCTTTGTAAAAGGAAAGAAAACAAAGTCATGTTCACCCTAGATCTAGAAATCAAACATATGAAAGTACAACAAAGCCGTTTTATTTGTCTTAACAATCATTTCTCAGCGATCATCCTTGCTCTCTCTGTGAGTCAGCGGTTTGATTCAGGACAAACACGTTCTGGCAGCAACAAAGAGCTGATATCAAGATCGATTTTTGAACATAATACAACTTGTTTGCTCTTATGCACCGCAAAAGAAAAAAAATCAATTCTTGAGTCTTCATTTGAGACACGGTATCAGCTCTTATAATCCGACAAATTGAAGAAAGAAAATTGGGCAAAAGAAGCTGAACTGTGCTGCTGCTCTGCGTTGAGGTTACAGCAGCAGTTGCAGTAAATGTTTTGGAATGCATAGAGGCTTTTAAAAAAGAGACCAGAAGACTTGTGCCATATCTATGTGTCTGTTTTACAACGTAAAAGCAGCACTCCAGCCAAGAAATGTGGCTTACTTAGGAGCACTGCTATCACTGTGAGGAAGTTTAGTCTCTGATTACTGTACTGAGGCACCAGAGAGAATGGCTGAATCAAGACTCACTCACTTTCTATCACAGTGGCCCTCTGATTGATATGTTTTGGCTTAATCTCTAAATTTCCAGTGAGACAAACACAATTCGAAAACAGAGCACAACTGCTGCTCTACCTTAGTGCATCCACTGAGACTCATTTTGATCAAGGCAACTGGAGGAGAAAAACATTCACTCAGCCCTGCTAGCATTCACAGGCCAGCTGGCAGGCGGAGAGTGACAACAGCAAATGCAGTCCTTGATGAGATAACAGAGTCCGGTTTGAAAAAATCTAGAAAATTACAGAACCAGAGAGTTAACGTAAGGCGCTAGAGGCTGAATGAAGGTGGTTAAAAATGCTGACTGAGGTTTGAAAGAAGAGAAAAGGCAAAGTTTGGGAGCGCAATAACATTAGCTTATTGCTTTTTTTCTTTTTTTCCTCTTTATTTTTTCCCTTAAAAGGATATTTGTACACACCACATAGTCATATAAATACACTATACAATGCAATATAAAATACTTTTTTCTTGAAAGCAATATGTTCAAGGGTTTGCTTAGGTATGCCGAAGATACCCGCACCGTATGAAAAATAATGACTCAAAACAACACAGTAAAAAAGGCACTTCCAGGTGTTGTTCATTGACTCATGAGTAAGTGATGGCCACTGCTTTGCCATGTAGGCAACAGCATTTGTGCTCACGTTTGATAACTCCGCCATTAACACACGTCCTGGACAACGAGGCACTGTAGCAAGGTGTTGGCGTCTCTTCTGTTTTCATGCAAAAATCCTCTCTCTCTACTCATCTCTGTCACATGTTCCTCTTCTCTCCAGTGACAACTACATTTCATCGTCCTTTGTTTTCTCACTTCCTCTGTTCTCCTCTTCCACTTGCTTATGTCTTCAGACTTCTACTTCCCGTAGTCCCTCCTGAGCACCGGGTGTCGGCGTGGCGATGTCAAAGCAGGTCACCATCATGACGCGGGACTTGCATAGGTTGACACAGAACTCCAGCTCCTCTGTGGCCTGTGCCAAGGCCTCCAGGTACTCCAGAGACTCTTTATCCAAACTCTGGTCCACATCAACTGTTGGAGCAAAAAATTATTTGTTTGGTTACACAACTTTAAATCTCAGATGTTTGAAACTTTACATAAACTGTTAGCTTATACTTACACTCTCCTATCCACTTGCTAGGGTCCATCATCAGTCGGGCTTTGGTGTCCTCCAGCTCCTCCAATAACACTTCATGCTTCACCCTCAGTTCTCTCACTTGCTGTTGCCTTCTCTCCAGCACCTTTAGTTTACTGTTAAAATACTGTAGACCCTGACGAAACAAACAAAAAAAAGGATATTATTAGCAATGGCCACATAAAGGTGCTTTGTTGACTAAAGCAGTCAAAAGAATTTGTTGACAGTAGGAAAAATACGAGGACACTTGCCAAATAAACATGAAAACATTTTCTTAAAAGTGAAATAAGGAAATCTGAGGGGTTCACATGGTATGGCTAATTTACAAATTCAGGAGGGCACCATTAATGATAAACTATATATACAGATAATGTCTTTTTCAGGGAAAACCTTGTCTATTTCAGCAAATCAACGCCAACCCGCAATCTCCAAGTTATATTCCAGCCAAGCAGCTGAAGAAACAGCCCTGTCTTTACAATTTTCATTTAAAATATCCACAATGATTTAAACATTTGTCAGTGAAACGTCAGCTGGGTGAGATTTCTTTGTTAATAGACGCTACACAGACATGTAGAGGGCGAGAAGAGCTGTTTTGTCCATAGAGGGCGCCAAAGTTGACAGAAACTGAAATTTTTGACAGGAGCTTTAAAAAATAAGTCAGTAGAATAGAATAGTAGAAATAGTGTCTAAACTTTGGGTTCTTTTTAGTTTCCCGTGGCTTTAAAATGATTTCCTTCATATCAAATGAACTCAGGTTTATGGTTTCTCAAAAAGTTTCAGTCTGTTCTGTGAAAATAAAACTCAGACATAAATCAAAATTGCTCACCTTGTCGACATCCTGGAATGGTTGCTGCAGACAAGATTGGGGAAAACAGAAACAGAGAGTTACCTTTAAATGAAATATAAGAAGTACAAGCAGAGTGATTGGCACAAAGTGAAAAGTATGTCTAAATACTGGAAACAAGAGGCGCTCACACACATACACATGACTACAATCCTAATCCCCAAATAGTGGAGTAAAGTCACAGAAGGCAGTCTTGTCTGCCAGGCACGGACGGCTGGGAGAGACAAATTAAAGATCATTTTTTCCTAATTGAAAGTAAATCAAACCACCATCGTGCTGATTTAACATCTCTCTTAACAATTCCCTGTCTGGCTGTGTGGATGTGCGGGAACAGTTAATGATCCACAGATGAAGAGTCAGCTATAAAAAGCGATCAGGCAGCCGGTGATGAGTGCTAGTGGTGAGCAGATTTGGGCTGCTGTTGGGTGCTGCTACATTCATCACACATTCCCTGAACAATCTTTTCACACCATCTTGTTTTTCCTTTTTACACTACCACCACCTTCGTCAGCAGTAAAGCAGGTCGTCACTCATATCCAAACTAATTAACCCTCCACAGTAATTGCCTTCTGAACTCTTGACATTCCTGAGGATGGCTGCCAAAACACTGAGCTCTGGGGACCTCGACACAGACGCTCTAACTCTGGGATTTGCCTCCGAGCTGACTGAAGGTCAGACGTCTGAGACTTATTATCCCTGTCCAGTTCTTTAAAAAGAAACTGGGAAGATGTGAGTGAAGACATTCCCACAACTCAAGTCAATGTCACACATGCAAAATATTCCTGAGGCTTAGCGAGTGGGATTCACAAGCCCCTGACCCAGACATTACACTAGCTGTAACAGGTTTAACAAGCTGAACCAGCGTGTTCAACAAGTCAGGGTGACCCTCTGCTCACCTCTGTGGCCTCCTCCTGTCGTCGTCTCTGGAGCCTCTCCACATCGTCAATCTCATACACCTTGATCTCAAAAGGCTCCTTTAGAGGTCCAGACATAGGGGGCAGGTCCACCCATTGCCCTTCTGTGGCTGCTTTCTTCCCCAGGGAGGAGGTGTCTGGCAAGGGAGCTGGGATGAGCCGCCTTCTCTGGAAGCCTAAAGAACCATGTGTATGGACAGACAAACACCTGTTTTACATCGGCAGCATTTGCAGGGATCTGTGGGTAAATATGTATGAGTCTCACTCTGAGATGTTAAGAGATGCAAGGCTTTACACAGGTCGATGGGGATGTGGTGATTGAATATTTATAAGGCTGTCATATGTTGCCTTTTTGTATAAAATGCACATGAATTCAAACGGTTATATACAAGGCTACCAAAAGCTGAGCCAGGTCAATGCCGCTCATGTTCAATTCATCTTATTTGATCATCACAGAGATGGATGCAGTCCTGTTTGAGGCATTCATTATCCTTTTCCTGTATATGTATGAATAATGTATGCTGCTGATTCAGGAGGACAGAAACCCCAATGAAATACCAATTTGTGAATGTAATAAGAACAGATTCATAAAGTCAGGGTGGCTTTGTGGCTAATTTCCTCGGAGAGAGCCCTCATTTCTAAATGCTATTCCAAGATTTGTTGAACATACTGTATCTCCTGAGTATACCGCAGGAACTAGAGTGATGTGCATTCATCATATTTGTGGTATTTCAGCTCAGTCTTCCCTGTCCTCTCTCTAGCTTCTCTTCTCATACTTTTTGTTTCCTGTCTTTCCAAAGTCAAGGGAGGCAGAGCGTACAGTCAAGCTCTAGCCAAACAGGCTTCATGCCCTGGCTCTTCCTTTCCTGTTTTCTTTATAACATCTATCTTACAGCTTTTCACTTCTATCTTCTCCTTATTTAGTATAATGGGAGAGTAGGGCAGGTGGAGCGTACAGCCTAACATAACAGAGGTTAAGTTCCTCACCGTTCGCTCTTTTCTTGGGATACTTGGAGCTCCTCATTCTGCCCGAAGACGACATGCCGCTCTCACTCATGGAGTCGTGGGCCGAGGAGGCGCTTCCGGTGGCTTCACTGTCACGGATCATGCTTTCGTATCCACTGCTGCCTCCACTGTGGTAGAATAGAGCCGTGCGGCCCATAGCAGGAGGCAGCTCCCCACTTAACACGCTGCTGTTGTCGCTTCCATGGCCGCTACTGTAGCGCTGCGGCCTCCTTGGTGCTGTGATTTTACTATACGGAGATGGCAGCATGGTAACAGGGGATTTGTCATCACCCACGTTCACCCCGCTGTCATTCCCACTGTCTGAGTCCCCTGAACCTCTCATATGTTTGCCTGATATGTTGCCTGTTGCTAATTCGCTCACTCGGCTGTTGGCAGCCCTCATAGCCTGCTTTGTGCCCATGATAGTTCCTCTTCCTGGTTTGCTGCTGACAGCAGCGGTTGCGGTTCGAGTGGCTGAAGTCCGTCCTGATGGAGGCAGGTTTGCGTTTGCATTTCTGCTTACAGGAGCAGCGAGGGATTTGGTAGAGGAGCTCAGGCCCTTGGAGTTGTTGGCTGAAAGTGAGCGAGCCTTACTACCGTTGACTGCTCCCAACCCTCTGGGATTAACAGAAGCTTTCACCTGACCAGACCTGCTCAGACTTCCTCCACTTGGGGATGATGGGCAGGTTGCTATAGGAGAGCTGGATGAATTAGGAATACCAAACCTTGGGATGGATTTGTTGGATTTGCTGCTCCCCAGGCTTGTTCCACTGTTCTCCCTGCTAAGTGCAGCTCTTGATCCTGATAAGGATAGACTTTCACACCTTTCCAGAGACATCTGACTTCCATAATGCTGCCCAGATTCTCCTCTAGGACCCCTACTCTTCAGGCTGGAGGTAACTTTGGCTGTGTTGGGGCTTGAGGTTTTGGTAGAGTCTACTCTGTGACGCACCTCAAGCTCATCCTCAGATACAGCTGCCCTTGTTCCCCTTCCTGCCTCCCCATATGCTGACTTTAAGGCACTTTGGGGCAGCAGGGTCTTAGTCTTATGATCCAAACTAGACTTTCTCACTGGAGGAGGGGGAGGAGGTGAGCTGCAACCAGGTCTGGGAAGATTGCTTGCTTTCTGTGAGTTAGCCTTGTTGTTTTTCCCCAGTGAGGAGTATTTAAGGCTAGCGGGCGATGGGATGACATCTTGGGCTCCCTTGTAGTCCGTGGTGGAGTGGATGACGGGAACAGTTCCCAGGGTGGTGGCACCTCGCCTCAGCTGAGGCATTTTGCTGGGTGGATTCTTACTGGCTGACTTCTCACAGCCATCCACCACCCTCTGAGACGAGGTAGACCCCTGCACCTTGGGCGGGCGAGGTACACTGTTGCTGTTGTTGGATGTTTTGTAGGAAGGAATACCACTTGGAGGGTTTCTGAGAAATTTGCTGGTGCTGCTCGAGTCAGAAAGCTGAGGTTGTGGGTGGTTGTCACTACGCTGCCAAGGATCTTCTTGCTTAGTCTCTTGTCTCTGTGGCTCTCTGCTGCTGCTGCTGCTACTGCTGCTACTGTGTGAGATGGATGAGGTAGGTTTAATCTTCCTGGGAAGACTGGAGTGGACCATGGAGGGGCCTTGTGGAAGTTGAGAGGAGCTAAGCGATTGAGCTTTTGATATTTTTGATGTCATTTTGAGGGAGCCTTTGGCTGATTCTGGGGATGGGGGGCACTTTGTCAATGATAGTTTGCTTGAGGCTGCACTGTCACTGTCTAGTTCGGAAAAACCAAACCCACTGTCATTTAAGGAGTTCTTAGCATCTCTAGGAGAGGACACACAATGCAACATATCCAGGGAATCAAAGTAAAATGTGGCGTCTGGTGCCATGTGCTTGGACTGTGGAAGAAAGACGTCCATCGAGTGAACCCCTTCACTCTCCATGGTGCAGACGCTAACCTCACTCAGCCAGGAGCTGATGGATGAACCCCTGCTGTCCATGGACTCCATTGCTCCCTCTTGGAGCGGCGTGACCACCGCAATGTTCACCTCTGATCCTCCTACAGCCGATGTGTAGGCATCAAACTCATCATTGATGCTGCTGATGATGCTAACAGGTCTGGAGCCAGAGGCCAGCGCCTGAAGAGAGCAATCACTGTTGAAGCTGATGATGCTTGATGGACGACCTTCATCTACAATACTGCCAATAGAAAGCTCCTCCACTACAGTGAAAACAAGCTCGTCTTCTCCGTTCAGCTCCACAGGCTGCTGTAAGGTGACCGTGGCTCTGAGGATGTCCCGGTCCAGACATCTTTCCCTTAAAGTGGAGCGGACCTGGCACACTTCCACGGGAGCTCTGAGCAAAGGGGAGCTGTAAGGATCCCGTCTTTTCACAGCTTGGTGACTCATTCCCACAGGAGGCATTCTGGTGCTGGATCTCTCCTCCTTGTCTGTACTTTCTTTCTGCTGTGAAGGAGGTGGGGCTGGTTTGGGCAGAGCTTTCTTGTTAAAGTAGACCTTTTCCCTCACAACAGGCTCTGAATTCAGTCCTACAGCAGTCCCTACTTTGTTAGAGCCGACCCTGCTATCAGTAACCAAGGATTTTTCCCCATCAGCGCTAGTTCTGCAGACATTTTGAATACTGCCTGTTGGTGCCATTTCTGCAGATGAACATGTTGTCTTAGAACTGTCTAATTTTGATTTACTGTTGGGACTACAGGATGGTGGTGTTGCAACAGATTTAGGAGATTGTTTAGGTGAAACACCCTCTTGGTTGTATGTAATGTTTGCTACAGTCTTTGGTGAAACAGAGCCTTGGCTCTCCTTAGATTTGTCCATCTTGGGGCTGGCTTGGCTTTTCTTGCCCTCACCAACAAACGCAGTGGGTTCTTCACTGCCATCAATACACTCCAACCTCTCCTGCAGCTCAGCAAACGTGTTGCATTTAAAGAACTGGTCTCTGTCCAGAGGGCCGTCTTTTGCAGACTTCTTCTTGTTCAGGGAGGGGATGATTGGAACAAAAGCAGGCGGGCCTTCGTTGTCACTGAGCTCCCTGTCCGAAATTGCAGTTCCCCCAGGGCCCACGTAAATGACAGTATCGCAAGATTGTTCACTACTGGAGGAGTAGTCGGGGTCACTGAGCATTAAGGGCAAGTCTGGGTCCAGGGCGACTGTTCGAGGGTGGAACGGCCTGAGGTGGGGCGGCCGGCGGATCCTCCCTTCCTCACAGGAACTCTCCCCACCAGATGAGCTGGATGCATACTGCAAAGCCAAAATGAATAAAGGCAAAGTAAGTCTTTTGGGTTTTAAATGAGCCCCATGCAAAGATGACAGTAATGAGATTCTGTCTTTAAGTAATATTGATGTAGCAGTCTAGTTCTCGTTTCCCTCCTCAAAACCATTAAACTCCTTATAAATCACATTGGATTCATTCCTGAACAACTTCAAAGTGAAACCCACTGCATATATTAACTCTCTATGATATTACCAGTCGATATCAATCTAAAGGTTAAAAGTGCATATCAATAGTCACACAGAAATTAATGTCAATAATACAAACTGCTGTATGTATGCTGCATTATAATCATGTCAAGGACCTTTGCAGAAAAAAATACATGCTGTCATTCAGCCTAATTATCTGGAGCATATATTTCCCTAATCCAAGGAGCATTACACACTTCCTTAGGCAGTGGTATTGATTACATGATTATGTGTTGAGGAGCAGAAGAAAACTAGCTCTGAGTTACTGCTCTAATAATCTTTCATTTGCAGAAGCGACCACACATTCGTTTTGTTAATCGCTCCAAAATTACACAAGGAAGAAAAATGTGAGGACTTGCGCCACAGCATGAGATATGATGAAATCAGAGTTGAACATGCATAATTACTTTAATAGACACAATTACACTGAGTTAAATGTTGGATAACTATTACTCTACGTTTATCATTTCTAAACAATGAACATTAAACAAATTTATTGCAGGGATCATTATTTAGAAGGGGTACAATCTTCACTGCTTAACGCTGATGTTGTTGAAGGGTAATAACACTGCTGTCAGTGTCTTTTTTTAAATATATGACTATTTATCCGTCAGTTTCTTATTGCATATGTTAGACAGATTTATCAGCTCTAATGAGTGTTTCAGTGTACCTTTGATTTCTTCTTCCTCATGCGGTGGATACGTGATGCCAGCTGGATTGTGGTGAGTGAGTCAGCGTAGTTGGCGGGGGAATCAGAGATGTGGGCGATCATGGTGGTTCTGCAGTTGATGTTGCCAAGGGATTCCCTCAACAACATTGTCAGTTTGCTGTCCCTATAGGGTGGCAATGCACTGATATCAACAAACAGAGTGATAAAATATCCAAATGAAAGTAAAAGTAGATGTTTTAGTTCCAGAGGGAGCTGGTTTGGATTCCTTGTGCCAAAAATAATGCTCCCTGAATGGCAAGTTTTTATCTTTTCTAACAAAGAAGTTTTAATATTTTCTTTGCAACACCAGAGAAGTTTATTTGAGGCCAACTAAACGGACCATCCAGCCAGCCTGAAAAAAGTGATACACAAGCAGTGACTTGCCTGAAACAAATAAAGCAACCTCATAAACACAGTGTAAGAGACAGTTAAGCTAACTGTGGTTTTCTTACCTGTAAGGTACATGTTTGGCTCCATTTGCTAACGCCATGATGACATTTCCCAAAGCGTTTAGGGATAAACACAAGCCTCCCCCTCCATCTCTGCTCTTACTCAGGACCTTCTCACAGCTCCCCAGATCAATGAGGTGCAGCCTGCTCCGTCCGCCTGACACTGCGCCAACCACAGAAGAAGAAAAAGAAACCAGGTGAGCACTGCGCAGACACTCCCTCACTCTGAAGTCACTTCCTAATGCAAGGAGCCATGATGACAGGAGTGGCATGACCCAGAAAAGACTAGACAGGGCACTGTCAAAGCGGTCTGATTTATTTACGAGTAAAGTTCCCACAGTGAAGTCATTCAAACTGGTAAACTCCCACAAGATGTGTAATTTGGGCCAACATGGAGGATTCATCAGTTAGGCTCGTAAAATAAAAAATAAATCACCCCCAATCAGACGCAAACATAACAACCCAATTCTGCTGATTGAAAACAAAACAAGAAGGAATTGGCTGCCAGCACAACAACAGGGTTGCGCATTGCTATTTTGAGACTGATGTAATTGAAACAGGAGCAACAAAACATGAAACTCCTGTCATTGTTTGTCACTCACAGTCATTTAAAGAATAATGAATGTATACAGACACATTTTTGACATTTCTATAGGCTGAAATCAGTTTGACCACAAACATTGTAAATATGAGACTTTTTTTTAAAGGACTTCTGCTGCATAAAGTGCAATTTTCCGCCACATAGTTTCCAATAAAAACAACCTTGTGATGGCTCGAATCATGGGAAGGAAGAAATGTTGAAAGAAATAACATTTTAAAAGGGCTCTCATGTCCAACACACATGCTGAAAAATCTGCATAAGCGCAGGTCAAAACCCTAGAATGACCACAATATTAAAGGTAACAGCTTGAACTTGTTGTCACTTGTTGAAACATGCTGCAGATTTATAAGTGGTGTAAACTAAAGATACTAACTTCCACCCTTGCCGCTCTTCTCCATGCGGTACTGATAAATGTGTAGCGTGAACAGCATGTGGGAGTTGCGGCGCTCTTCCTCATCCACGTTGGGTCTACTGGTGCTGCGTGCAGCGATGGCGGCATCCAGGAAGAAGGCAGCTTTCTCAGCAGTCGGGGCCCGTAGCTCACTCTGATTCTGGAGCTGCAGGGGGGCAGAGGAGGAGGAGATAGAAGGCAGGGTTAGGCTGAGCAAAGGAGACCACATCAGGCTTTAGAAAGTGGATAGATGTCGAATGATACCAGCAAAGAGAGGGGAGCTTGCTAATTGGACCCCGGTACACATTTTTAGCCCATTAGATTGGGTCTCGGGGGCAATTAAAACAGCAGATATGCACACACAGGGAGGCGGATTAAGAGAGGTGATAGTGGAGCAGGAGGCGAGGGCCCTTCACTCACCATGGATGTAATCATAGTGGAGGTAGAAAGAGACAGAAAGAGAGGAAGAGGAAAAGAAAGGAGAGGAAGCAGGAGGGCATCACAAAGAGAGCTCACATGTGGCTGCTGAGGAGAGGACCAAGATGATGCTTCACACAGCCTTTGAAGTCAGAGTCCATACAGAACCCCCCCCCCCCAAAAAAAAAAAAAAAAAAAAACAACATCTGACAGCCCCACCTGTGAGTGCCATCAAACCTCCAGTCCTCCACCATCCCCCAATAACAGTCCTATTGTGCTGCAGAGGGGCCAACACTAACACACGAGTAATAGATGCTGATGGATGCTGACAGGAGAGTCAATACGAAGGTAAGAAGAAAGCCATCAATACCACAGATGGGTTTGGGGGAAATATAAAGTAAAGGATTTCTGAGTAAGGAAGGGTAGAGTGGGGAGTCCTGGGAGATAAAAATACACACACACACACACGAGCACACATAAAAAAGTCAAAAATCTGTTGGAGAGGAAGAGGTAGATCATAGACAGAAAGAGATCAATACTCACACAGACTAATACTCTACAACCCGCAGAGAAAATAAAAGGATCAGGAACAAAGAAAAAAGTGAATGAGGTGGGATTCTTCTAACCTGAGTGCCACAGATGGGATCCTCCCTCAGGTGGATCCCCGGGGACTGGCCCTCCTGCAGGCTGCCTGTCGACACTTCAGACAACAAGTCCTTCAGCTCCTCATCCTTCCCAAAGATTTCCACCGCAGACACTCGGACAGAGAAGCGCGTGCCAGTCTTCTCCTTTCGCTCGTTGATGAGCTTGAAGAGCCAGGATATGGCACAGGGCACAATGCCGAGGCTCTGAGTGGAGCTGTCTTTGCCAATCATGGTGTATGTCTTTCCTGGGGTTGTGTGAAAGAGAGAAGGAGAGGGGGGTGGAAGAGGAAATACAGCCTTATGTGAGCCAGCCAGTTACACTTGTAATATATCTAAGCTACACAGACTTTATATACATGTACCCATTATGAGACTGATTTAACTCAATAGACTTCTTTTGTCAAGTCATCTGAATAGGTAAAGCTTCATGGTGTTCTTGCGATTGTTGTGTATTATTCTTATTATGTCTGATGTTAAGAGGTTAATTATCTATCAACTGTGGATGTCAAGCTCTATTTATATGTTGGTTTTCTTTTCTTTAAATAAATTCCAGAAATCTCTAAGTGCATTTTTGCCATACTTTATTGAATCATATAAAAGAAAACGTGGTATAATGTGGACAACATCTGGTAAATCAAGGGAACATTTCATTAATTTTGCCTATATTATACTACCCTGAATTGTGTCATGTTGAATATTATTGTCCTGAATCAAACTGTATTGTATCATATCATATTGCATATTGTCATTTATTGTATAGAACCACATTACAAACGTTCATATCATCATATCCTACTGTATTGAATGATATTGTACCATATATTATTGTATAGGTATCATGTTATCATATTGTATTTTATTATGCCCAATCATTTTTGTTTCAAAGCGTGTTTTGCTGCGTCATTTCTGACAGTATCATACAGGATATCACATCACATGAGAATCTTTCTTTAAGTGCCACGCTGAATTGTAGGCCATTTTGTGTTGTAATTTATTTTTTCATGTCTGTACTGCATCCTTTCCTTCTTATTGTATCTTTTGTTTGCATTGCATGATATGGTAATGTACAGCTGTTTGTTTCCTATCATCTATATTCTATTTTACTTTTTTCTTTATGACATTGTGTCATACAATGGTGATTACATTGTATTGCATTATATCATATCGTGTTGTCTAGGGCTGTAAAGTCCTAGTCGACTGGTCGACTTGTTGGTCGATACGCGCTGAGTCAACCAAAATTCTGATTGGTTGACTCAATTTTTTTCCTTGTAAATGTACAGTCTATGGTTAATTTCATCAGGAGGAACATACCAAGAGCTAATGGAGGTGTTTTCAAAGCACCCCAATATCAAAGGTAACACCCCCCTTGTTTTCACCATTTTGAATATGCCTAACCCACTGAAGACCGGCTGGAGACAGGACGATTGAAGAGCATCCATATTAATCAACGTCCGGTGGTTTGCTTCATTTTTATTTTTATTTTGAGCATTTCAACTTGCCTTTTGTGTTTAATTGCCTTCTTGTGCTGATATCAGTATATTCTAACTCTGCCAAGCCGCAGTCCGCCGCACTACGTTGTCCCCCGCTGCAGAATTAGACGATTTTTGGTCGAAAATTTTAGGGTTTTAGTCGGCATAGCATGTTGTGTTGTAACATGCTGTACTGTATGTATTGTCTTGTATCATATTCTATTGTATCATATAGTTTCTGAATATTTTCCAGGGGTTATGGTTTTGAGCGATTGCTGATGAAGAATTAAGAGTGGCTGGTGTGGGGATTTGAAGGTATTATCCAGTGCATGCTGAATCAAAAAGCACTAATCCAAGGACCCATTCCTGAAGCATGATCCTGTGGAGAAATACAGGTAGTGGAAGCAGCAGCAAAAGAAGAGTAAGCCCGTCAACCTGGGAGTACTGGCCAGGCCAATTACTGGGATTTTAATTACAGACTGAGCCCTGAAGCCTGGATGCAGCATTTTTTTACCCCCACCCCAGACTCACTACCCACTGCTACCCTCTAGTCTCTCATTCCTTGACTCACCCCAGTGCACAACTAAGCCAATTGTTGTACATCAAGTGTAGCTAACAAAGAGCAATGAGAATTTTCTTTGGCTAACAATGGCTCTCCTTTAATCTCTTGCCAGCGGAGGAGCTTACCGAGCTTCACTTGGCCGAAGCAGAAGATGCAGCCGTCTGCACCGTTCACCACAGACTGGATGACCTCGGCTACTGTCCCTGAGCACACCTCAGCCTGTAAAAGCAAACAAAGAAAACCCCCTTTATAGTGAATTTATGACCAGCTGGATCAAAGAAATGTAAAAGAAAAAAACAGGCAAATTGAGAAGAAAGAATCCAAATGGAGATTTTTGAAGGACAACGTTATTTGAAGATATTCTGCACTGGTTTAACCAAATCCCATTAATGTTTTCAGCATTTTTCATCACTCTGGAGTGTGAGTGTTTGTGTGTGCTGCAACGTGTGGCTCATTTTTGCAATCTGTTTCAGCATGGCTCCTTTGGGGCCAGGCTACTGCAGCAGAGGCCCCTTCTCCATACATCACACAGCAAACAAGGCCTCTAACAGCAGAACAGCTTGCTGTTACTGTTAGCCACCAGCAGTGCTGTCCCAGCGGCACAATCTAACATCACTGGCCTCAGCTTTGTAGCAGCAACATTTAGACTACAGCTATCAGCAGCTAGCTTAAGGAAATACTTGGTCAAAGTAGGTGGTATGATAGAAGATCTGAGGATGCTGTCATACACCAGTGATGACAACCTCCTCTGCCCTCATTGCTATTTATTGTTTACCGCACCAAAGGGAAATGTGGAAAATACTCAACCCCATACTTTTAGAAGAGTTGGTAGTGATTGACATATCCAATCATACCATCGAAAGACTTTGTGTTTGTTTTCAGCTCTGGAGAGAGTAAAGCTGGTCTGCTCTAAAGTCACAGTAAACATGTTTCTGACCTTTACTTTTGATCTCTGTGGGTATGCCTGCTGTGGCCTGCAGAGGGCTGAGGTTAGATATAGCTCTTCTATGAAAGGAGAGGTTACATATAACTGGAGTGGATTCAAATCATTCCCCAGGGGAGCTTAAAAGACCCAGCTGTTAGGCCCACACTGGTAAGAATGCTCCCTGACCCAAGACAAGCATTTTTTCTCTAAGCCCCCAGCCACACCCTGCAAACATAAAGATGTCCCTCTGCCCTTGAGAGGCTGAATTCCCACTTGACACCTTAAAAAAAAAGACAGAAACACAAGCCCTGCTGGCTCTTACTTGTGAGGCATCCTGGGTAAAAACAGCATCGAAAGCGAATATCTTTGGGACGGCCACAGTGGCGGATCTCCTGTGTCCTGAACCAGAGTGGGGGCTGGACGCAGGGTCGTAGAGGGTCAGCTGCTTCTTCCTGCTGTCGACTTTCAGAAAGGACTGAGACTCTGAGGAGTCTGCGGCCTCCAGAGATGGACAGATACGCATCATCACTTTCACCTAAACCACAGGAGAGGACGGATGTGAAAAAGACAGAAAAAAAGGCTTGATTAGAAGTGAGAGTGAGTCATTGCACAGACAGATTAAGAGAGATGTGAGTGTGTGTCTTTTCTGAGTCCTCATGGAATATAACATTAAAGAGACTCTTGACATATTTTACGTACAAAGCACTTACAGAAAAAATGAAAAGAAACACATCCTAGGCATTGAGAGTATACGTTAGGATCCATACTGAGCGAATGGCAGAGCTTTGTGCATTTGTATCACGTCCACTTTGTCAGAGTTGATGGACATTGAAGGTTACCATGGAAACCCTCAGTCTCACATCGACTGGCAAACCCAATGGGTCAACACATCGTCTAATGGTGTCAGCCAAAGGCAGCAAGGTGTGTATTGAAAATCTTAGCAGAAAATGGTGGAAATTAATGTGTGAAGCGCCACACTGAGGGATTATCCCTCAGGCGGGGTTTGTTTTTTCTGGACCGGGAGCGGCTCACCAGCATGGGAGTGAAAGAGCATATGGCCCCCCTCTTATTCCACCTACACACCCTTCCACCATCCCCGCTTTCCTTCCCTCCCCTCCTCTCTTCTGCTGCCTGGAAAAAATGGCAGCTCCATACCCACCCTGCTGCAATCTGGTGCCTGACATACATACATGGAGTCTTAACACATTCCAGGGGTCGTGATGGGGTTCATCCTGCCTGCATGATACCTTAAACAAGAAGGTGGTTCATATCTTAAAGTGTTGATTTGGCACACCTCAGACAAGACTGTTCATGCTGAACATTATCGCTGTGGTTACTGGAGCGAGGTCAACTCTTCAGGTTGTGTTTGGTGGCAGCTATTACAAACTAAACCAAAGATATTTCACCCTTTCCTGCCTCAACTTAGAGAAGCAGATTGACTGTATGTGTTTTTTTGTATGGGTGTGATCATGTTTGTGCATGCTTGGCTACATGACACCACCATTTAGACTCACCTTTTAAAACTCTGGCATCTCTTTTTTGCAATCTGATGGTCAGAAACACACCTTTCTGTCTCAAAAGGCTCTGTATGGAAATATATCTGCCACTGAAAGGGCACATGGATTGCTCTTGGGGTATGCATAGTAGTCTCTGACTACTCCCTAAATGTTTAGTGTTACACCTAGCATTATATCAACCGAAGACTTTCTATATCCTAGAGTATATGTGATAGGGAAATCAATCCTGAGCTATTCCAAAGCGCTTTAGAAAAGCACCTGTGATGCCTCCCGGGCACTGAAATAAAACCTTAAAATAAACTCCCTTTCCTTTTTGACTACACCACTCAGCCTGGGACTCTCTTTTGTGTTCATGGCTACACAAAAGGGCCATTCTTCCCCTGACTAGTATATAAATATTGCTACATATCCAGACACCAGCCTTCTGAAACAAGGCCACTGGAAATCCCTTTCTTTCAATGAGTGAATCCATCTTGATTCTACAGGCCAAGTGCAACCCCTGTTTATACTCTGCAGGGGGGCAGTTATCGTGACTGACATGTGCATATGTTGAGTAAATTACATTTGCTGTGACATTTAAACAGGGCTCCCATCGTACGACTGCTGAGGCTCTGTCTACCAGACAAGAGGCTACTAGGCGGGCTAATGTCTCGGTTTTATTTATGTTGGCAGGGATCAGATACTGGAGGCTACAGAGGATTGGCTACAGTATTTTCACACCTCAGAGTCCGTGCTAATGGCCCCCGTTTCTCTGTCCCTTGATCCCCCCACAAAACCCATTAGAGCAGCTTGGCATTCCTTCCTCCACTCCACTGTTTTTGACTGAGAGGACTGTCTTGAGGTCAAAAGCGGAAAGGTGGAAGTGACCCACATATGGTTGATGGAAACGAGACATTTACTAAAGTTTGAGGTTGTATGAATGAGAAACAGATGCAGGAGAGTAAAAACCATTCAGTCTGCTTGTGATTTAATAGAACCTTTGATTCTCTCGGTAAAAAGGAAGACAAGGACAAAGAAACAGAGAATGCTCAATGATTAATGGTTTGGCCCATTCATTGGTGTTATTGGTATTTTGTTATAATAGGCATGATAGAAGTCCAATATCCCCATTATTCCCCTCCTTACTCACTGTGAATCAAAATTGCAACAGTCACTGTGTCTTATATAAAATCTCTTATGGTGTCTAGAATAATGCAGTTTTGTATCGCTTTAGACATATTAGTCATCTAGCAAAGACTAGCATCTACATTTGATTGTAATGTGCATGTAATAATACATTTCTACGTGGCTCTTCTTTCTCTTTCAGTTCTAACATCAATATTTGACATATTTTAGGGGGCTAGATAGAAATACACAAGTCCCTCATGGCAAGACTTTACTAAGGCAAATAACGTCCGCTAAATAAACTGCTGTCACATTATCGGTACACATTTTAGACATTTTAATGTTGAATTTGTGAAAAGAGGCTCTACCTAACGTTTCTGCCTATCTCAAGGACGTTTCTCCTTGTCACTGTTGCTTAGAGCTTGGTCATGGGTAATGTTTAACAATCATTTCTAGATTTGCTCATCATAGGAAGCATCATTGTGAATGATTGGACAGCTTTTGTTGTGATTTGGCGTTGTAAAAATGAGAAGTGACTGGTTAATTGCTTTACAGTAAGTTTATATGACATTACAAGCTTGAAACTATATCATAAATCTTTATTTTCGCTTTGAAGCCCGGCACAGACGTACATAAACTTCAGGTGTGGGCTTGAGGAGACTTGTTGCTGTCACATTTTCTTTTTTTATAAAGGGATTAACAATATGTACAAGTTCTCAGCCCTCCTGATACCTGGCGACAGATCCAAGCGCTTCCTATCCAGGTGGGATCTAATCTTGTTGGGGGACTTCTTCTGCTCTATAAATACAGGACGCCAGCTAAGACGAACAATACCCAATAAACCTCAGAGGAAGAGCGATATGTTTGTACAGCTTTGTTTAATGACCGCCTGACTTTCATCATCACACCCTGTACCTAAAATGGAATTAGACATCCTGCTGTTAACGCGAGCGCAGATTAGCGAATTATAGTTTTCTCTGTCTTTCTGTGTTCAGAGACAGGAATGCTGGGCTCTCACAAACTGAGTGAATTCATGACATTCCTGCAGGCTTATCTGACTACATCTGAGTGGACTGGACCAGACGGCACGCTGCCTGTGGATCAGTTTGTCTCCACCATGTACCCCCCACCTTTCAAATAGGCATCTGTGTGTGTCTCATTTTGTTTGTCGTCCTATAAGGGTGTGTCGAGTGGGGTTATAGGGGCTTACAAAATGTATTTGTTGCACATTATCACTTTAAATGCATTCAATACATTTCTCATGACGTCTGTTCGTTTTAATGACATTTATGCATTTATTAGGCCTCCTGTTGTTACTTGATGTATTCATGCATCTGTGTGTTTTACCATGGTGCCTTTGTGCCTCTGTCCTCTAGATGTTTTGAAGTTTTTTCTACCTTGCTCTGAGACAAATTCTCACTTGTTGGGTTTCGTATATGCAGCTTTGTTCTTACCTTTCCCATCCCTGGATTCTCTTTCACTTTGGACACGGCTCGCAGCAGGCATGGCGGGGCAGGGGGTGGCGAGACCTGTAGGATGCCGCTGAAGTTGGTGGGATAAATGGAGGGCTCCTGTGGGTGAAGTAGTGAAGGCTGGTGCTTCTTTCTTTTGGAGGAGAGATTCAGCTTCTGTGCTGCCCTGAAAAAGAGAAGCAAAAAGTGGAGATTATAGGAAAAGCACTGTTTCATGGAGTTCAAACGTTAGCAAATATTTTTTTCCGCTCAGGTGGGGTTTCTTCCAGGGTGGTGGCACCAACGAAAAGGTTATTGATTTTAAATGTCTACCATGACATTTTTTTAAGGTGAAGTGCTAAGGTTCTTACAAATCACAGGCTGAAACTGGAATATAAAGGTCAACATGCTCCTTTTAGTTCTCTGATGTTATTTAAGTCAGCAGGAGAGCTACACTGCGCCGCTTCCCTCCATGATTTCTGCTTTCCTTTCAAGTCAAACTCCCCGACCAAGACAGATAAAGCCTCAGCGCTTCACTTCAACCAACACAGGCACAGTTCTCTTCTACTTTGATTTTTTTTTTTCCTGTCTGAAACTACAAATCCATAGCATAAGTGATTACCCAGCAGCCACTGCTTGTCAGGAACCAAGCCCAGGCTGTCTTAGTAGGAAGGCAGAGAAAATGCGTGCATTTATCTTGATCAAAAAGCAAACAACTGTCACAGACATGACAGGCGAGTTCTGCTGGAACGTTGCCTTCTGGGATCTCGTCATGTCTATCTTGTGTTACTTAAGCAATGATGACAGAGTGTGTTAACCTCATATGTTGGGATATTTGATCATTTTCACTCAAGAAGCTTGGGTTAGTTTTCTTGGTTTAGCCTAGTAGTTGAATGCGCCCCATGTATGGAGTCTTTTGTTCTCAAAGCAAGCGGCCCGACTTTTGTTCTAACCTGCCATCCTGTACAACAAGTGCCAATCTTCACCCACTTTTCTTCTCTATTCACTGCCCTATCCTCTCAGTAAAGGCATGAAGCATAAACTTAAAAAAACAAGCTCGAGTGACTGCTTTGATAGTGCCTACACAGCTCCCGACTGTAACTCAATCTGGCTTTTTCACAGTCCTCTAATTAAAATCCACTGTCATCCTGGTTTCATGTCTCCAAGAGTCAGTAAAGAGGAGACGTAAACTGGTCACAGGGCCAACTCAGTCAAGCACATGCACTCTCTTTCAGTCTGAACTTCTGCAGTTCAAAAGGCGGTACAGATATCCCGGAGCGGTCTGCAGGGAATCAGGCCAGACTTAGAGTGGTTCCAGAGATGGCATCACATCGCCCTGGATCAGCTCACACTGTATCTCAGCTGGAAACTCAAGGTCAGGGGATGAAAAGTAATACTCAGAGGAAATTCAAATGTACTCGCACAGTTTTCAGTCGAACAGCTGGATTTCTGAGAAACACAGGGAGCACAATGAGGTGATTGTCAACATGTAGAGGAGGAAATTGGAGTGAGATTAAAAGAAATCTGCAGAGTAGGGCATTTTAGGGAGACGCAAAATAAGCAGACAGTGTGAAAAAGAAAGCTTAAAAGGGCAGCTCCATGTGAGTCCTGGTGGTGGGAGCTTCCAAAGCCCAGCCTGAGCTCATTAGCTCAGCTCTGAGCTCCTCCGGACAGAACTGGGTGGGCCACTGCCAAAAACTACAACCCTCCCTCATTCCTCCCCCCTGCGTCCTGGAGTGACAACCAGCCCCCATCTCCTTCCGACACTCCCCTCTCCACTGTACGCCCCCCTGCAGCGACAGCCCAAGAGCACAATCAGGGAACACACTGCCGGCTGATGGAATAATTATTGCATCCAAGGAGGCTACAGGAGAAGACTCTCCCTGGGGAGCTGCCTATGTGTGATAGCATGCGAGACGGATCGTGTGACTGAAGCAAAAATGAGATGGAATAGATGAATGTGAGATGGAGGGAAAGAAAGGGGGAACTACAGCAGAGTACACGTGGCTGTGTGCGACTACATGTGTGTGTATGAGAGCTGTATCCGCAGCATTCATTCAAGATAAATGCACCCTGTCTTTCTGTTTTCGCCCCTCACTTCCTCTCTTTTACCCCATTCTGTCTTTTTTTTCATCCAGCAGAGAAATAAATCAAACATCAGGAGTCAACATGAAGGATAGTTCGAGCACTGGACTGATTTATAATTGTGCTCACAGTCTAAAACTGAGCCTGTAACCTTGAGACTTAATTCAAGCTGCACAATAATGATTGGTGCACATGTGCTCTTCAGTGAAAGGAGAGGAGAAAAAAAAGGGACTGCTTTTTCAACCTCAACCACATGTACGCAGTGAAATTAATTGCTTGTCACTTTCTCCCTGGCTCTTTATCTCTCGCTCTCTTTGCAACTCTATGATCAGTGGAGGGAAAATGGGCGGTAAGGAGAGGCTCAGATTTCTTCGCCCACAACAGCTTGTCCACCTGTTCACTCCCCGTATTCATGCTAATGAAGACGTCTCCCTGCTACAGAAGAACAGTGGAGGAGCAGATCTAACATCAACAGGAGGAAGTTTTAGCAGAATATTCACATACTTTAGATTCTCGGGCTAAACTGTGCCAAAGGAGTGTTTTTGATATGTACTTACAGCTCTTTCCAATCCATTATCTGCTTTATGCTAATAGTCAAAGAACAGACAACTGATAGAGTTCAACTTTGAGGTCCATGTCTGTGTTGTCACTGCTCTCCATTACTCGCACATTCGATACGCCGGCACAGTCGCCAAGAGTCACAGAGCGAGGCGGGGTGACTCGCTAGCAGGGGCACAGGGGTCCTTTTTGCTGCGATCGTAATCATTGAGGTTCCACTTGATTTCACAGAGGTTTGAGAGGAGCAGAGTGGGCGGAGGGAGAACCAAGAGGAGGCGTGGGCGACGTAGTAGTGTAGACTGGGGACAGGTACAGGTAGAGGTATGAAGACAGGATGGGTGCCCTGCAGAAAAAAAGGTTCACAGTGAGGATAGTCCGAGAAGGTGTTTAGGGAGGAGATGAGGTCAGGAGGACAGGGGGCGCCTCCACTTTTCATACGACACTGAGTGACCTCTGACTTTTTCCATGCCTCATCATGAGAAAAAGTTTAGCCTCACTTCAGAGATGAAAAACCCGGCAGAAGCTTCTTCTTTAACTCAGTTTTCCACTCCTTTCCTCACATCCAATTCTTCATCTCTCATTCAGTAAATCCACTGTGCTGTGTCTGCTGGTCCAGATGCCCAGGTCCTTCCCAGAGTCTCTGCACCTTTCAGACAAGAGGAGGGGCAGAAAATCCACTCGCCTGGCCGGGCTGGAAGATTTCCTCGGGTGGTTGAGAATGAGGAGAATTCCTACTCCTGTTCCGCCTCTCTGTCCTTCTCCTGCTATCGGAGAAATGCTGGCAGCTGTCCTGCCGTCTCTCTCTCTCTCTCTCTCTCTCTCTCACACACACACAAGCACTCACACTCCCTTCTCTCTTTCCAGCCTCCTCTCTCCCTCCCTCCCTCTCTCCTCAGCCCAGCCCCTTTTCCCTCTGACTGCCAGACGAGGTGTCAGCGCTCGATTGCTGGCTGCTCGCGGCGCAAATTGCGAGTACTCTCCTTTTCTCTGTGTGTCTACCACACACACACACACACACACACACGCTCTGTCTCATACAAACCCCTGTACACACACACACATGCATGCACCCCACCACACGTCACATGAATACTTAATGCATACAGGAGCCTTCTCTTCTTTTAGGGTCCCACACATCAAACAGATTTGGTTAGTATGCCTACAGTGCATGAATGCATGAGCCTGAGTGTGTGTGTGTGTAAGAGAGAGAAAGAGAGAGAGAGTGTGTGTATACTTTTGCACGTTTGTGTTTTCTTGCCTTTGTTGAAGGATGTAATTAGCCAGATGAATGAACGTGTTATTAATCATAAGGAATGACTCACAGATAAGGAAGGATATACTTTAGCGCAGAGAGATGGATCGCCTCAATGACTGATGCTCGGGCTGAGAGAGATTAAAAAAAGAGTAAAAGCGAGGGATAGAGAGAGAGGGCGGACAATGAACAGATGACGTCTTAGAAAGGCAGATTTATGCCGGCCAGTGCAGAGAGTGAAGTCAGTCAATGGTCAAGGGTAAAAAGGGGAATGAAAGCATGTGAGTGGGCGAACGCCGGGGTTAGAGTACCCTGTATTCCCCCGGCTGCCAATTTACCAGTAAGCCCTCTCAGCCCCCCAACCAGCCAGTCTCTTTTGAAAAGGCTGCTGCTTTTGGCTGCAGAGTGCCTACTACAACATATCAGCAGACAGAGTGGGTGTGAGACTTTCCAGATGAAAGTACATTCAGCACAAACACACAGCGAGCACTTTCTGCCTCTCTGCCTCTGACATACTGCCCCCTCTATGAACTCTACTCGATTAAAATTGGAGCCGAAAAACAGGAAAATAAAACTCATCTCTGCCTATTTGGTGAGTGGAGTACAGTTATGTAGCTCTTTGATAAATCACCTTTCTTGTTGCTACAGCACACCTACATCTGCTTGTGTCTAAATTAACTTCAGTCTGGCTTCTTTTAGAGAGCAAAAGACTTGTCCAACAGGGGTGTGTCTAGACCTTTCAGTCTAGGTGGCCCAACCTGGAAAGGGGGGGCAAAAAGGCACATCCCTATCCCAAAGTCACATGTCTAAAGAATCTATAAAAAGAGACAGATGCATGTAGCTTGAACACTTGATCTCTTTAACCCACAACCGATGCAACCAGACATTAGTCTTGCGCCCTTATTGTGGCTTTGAGGCATGAATGACGTAATAATAAGAAACAGAAACAGTTGGACTGTCCTGATAGCCTTTCAGCTCCATCACTGCCTCCTTATGAACAGACCGCCGGGACAGATAATGACTATAATATACATAAATGAGCCAAGGAAAGACAGATGTAAAATCAAGGGTCGTTTGAAGTAAAAGGTCTCTTAGTGCCTTTTGTTCGAGAAAGGACTGGATTTTGTCCTTAGTGACAGTGAGAGAAGAGGAAAGAGGTCCATGACTGAGAGAGAGAGGAGAAGCTGTGTTTACCCAATGCTTTGAAAGCCTCTCTCTGGCCTGCTGTCAATACCAGCTCCAGCCCCCTTTTCAAGCTTTGTCAAATTAACAAGAGAAATTCCTCCGCCTCAGAGAATCATTAGCTGCCGCGCCCATTAGCTTGTTTGTGCAAATTTGTCTCTGTTCTCCAGGCCAGCTATACAGCTCTTTAGGTAGCCCCTCTCTGCAGCTAATTACCATGTTGGCCGCATTTACCATCCTTGACATTCCCTTTCTGTGATTCTTCTTTTTTCTCTTTCAGCAGACAAGATAAGGCTGCTCTGGCCATTCATGCCTCCATCAGATCAGTGCGGCTGATATCAGGCTGTTTTAACCCTCCTATAGTGAGTCCTGCCGCACACCGCTGCTGATTAGTCGCCCAGCGTAGCTCTACATGAATGGAGATGGGTATTACTGGTCTCCAGCCAGCCTCAACTCCATGCAAAGATAATGACTGCTGCACAATGAGTCACGCAGGGACATTCATAATTCATCCTGGACCAAAGTGAGATTTTCAGAGTGGAAATGGGTGCGTGAAACCCTGTTGTAGTTGTTTGGTGTTGAAGCCCAAAAACACCAGATCAGCAGATAATAATAATAATTGATGGATTGGGCTGGAAGTTTGTTGATCTATCAGGTTAGGTTCTATGTTTTTGAGTCATAAGGAAATCAATCTGAAAGCCCCCCAGAGCTAAAATCAGTACACCCTGTCTTATTGATGGGCCGCCCTTCACACAATCAAACCTTTGCACCCCAAAGGTGTGGGGGTATGACATTAATCTACAGGGCTCCACCTCTTAAAGACCCAGTCCAATGAAAATCTTGTTTCTTGTTGTCTATGTGTTTACATGGCTTTTTTCTGATTCTAGAGGACATATCATGAGAAAAAGAAGTGTGAAACTGCACTTCTGAGTATTTCTGCATTTAATTCACTGTGAATCTCTGGCAGACCCAAACTGCAGGTTCAGATACAGTAAGATTTCCTACATAGCAAATCCAAGCTCTGCCACCGGAGGCCCGCTATGGAGAAGTGTGCAGAGCAGCGCTGTCTCTGCCCACAACTCAGAGGTGAATTGCTGATGAACTACTTGAGCTCTGCAGAAAAAAAAGCCCTTGAAAACAACACAGGTAATGTGATTTTGGCTAAAAACTTTGTAATCACTGTCTAAAGACTGCTGAGAACACTTAAAGTATTAAAAAAGAACTATCGAAGTGGGACTTTAAAGAATCCCAGAACTGGTCCAGATAAAGCAGGAGTAGCAGACCTATGACCAGCCTCCACAGCTCAGCTTCTGCACGGTCTTCTCTTGGACAAACTTAGTCCTGCTTCTCAGCTAGCCCCAAAGATGTGGTCCCAGCTCACCACTAGCCTGACCACGCTGCTGTTCAGCCTCAGTGGTGATTAAGCAACCATGACATCAGCTCTTAAACACACACGCACACACACAAATACAGGGGAGATGATGTCATACTCTGCCAAACAGCCCTGGCAGCGAGAAGGCCCACACACACAAGATTTACAAGCAAGGCCAGGCTGCTGATCATTAGGAACAAGACGAATGCTTCCACACAATAAAACACTTTTTGTACAATTACAGCCGTGTCTAAATAGGTCAACCTCCATCTGCACGAGTGTCACCATCCTGTAGATCTACAGCCATTCATGTATGGATATAAGCATGACCCCAACATTTAAAGCTGAGGGCTCCCGCATGAGGGTCGACTCTTTAAATAACCAAAGAAATATGTGGTTTCAGGTAACCGGAGACACAGCATTAAGCTCATGGGGACAGTCTGTGAGGAACAGGCTGGTGGGTGTAGAACAAAGCAAGCATCATGTGTGGCACCGAGGACTAGTCTGGTAGTGAGGCTGTCTCCTCTCTGAAGCCCCCCTGCAATCAAGAGACCACCGGTATAAACATTAATTTACTTTTTCTGACTTCCTCTCAATTATCTTAAACCACTCAAAACAACTAAAACCTCATAGAGGAACATCCCGTAGAGGAATATGTTGAAAGTAGTTCAACAACTGTTAACAGTAGCGAAAATGTGTGATCTTACCTCAAAGGAGCTGCTAAAAAAATTCAGACTGAGAGATACAGGAGCAGAAATTGCTTCTGTGCAGCTGGGTTTTATTAGAAAAAAATCAGCTTTAGATGAGTATCAGTAAAAAACCAGATCTTCCCAGTCATTTTAGGAAACGTTTCTCCTCTCTCCTTGGGCTGATGCATTAAAATGGAAGAGAGAACCAACAGGCTTATCTGTCAGTCAGTTGAATCTTATCAACCCAAAGCTCTGAAGCTTTAAACTAACTGCCAGCCTGTTTCCTTTTCGACTCCGCTATTTTAATGGTCGACCGGGCAGGGAGCTTGTGCCTCCAGTGTTGGTTAACACAACATGAGTTTGCAGGAAGTGGCCCAAACACCTCCAGGCTAGGATTTATACTCTTCCTTTAAATCCTCAGAAATAGATGAAATAAAACAGATCCCAGCCACACTACACAGCAATGAATATGATGTCCAGCTAGCCGGCATGTTCCAGACACACTGGAACAAGGCCTGTAAGAAAGTCTCTTTGTTCCTGCAAGGTGTTCAACGAGGCTTTTGTTCTGTCTGTCTGTCTGTCTGGCCTTGGACACAAAATACCAAATGGGACATCATTTGTGTTTTGACAGCCCAAGGCTGAGCACACATCTTCACTGCACCAATCCTCAGCCAATTAGCTAAGGCCAAACACAATCACCAGACACCTGTGAACATAATGTACTGTCATAGGAAGGAATATATTCCCCTTAAAAAGCGGATGCTTCCTTATGCAACTTAAGTGTCATACTTTTCTCATGACGCAGGTTGTTAGATTTCTTCTGTTGAAGCCAAAAAGGCACACACAGCTCTCCATAAATAAAATCCTAAATTCTACCCGGGCTTTGTAAACCTCTTTCGTCATGGCCCCCCTCAAAAGTCTTTTCAAACGGTGTGTCGACTGAGGTGGAAAACGAGGGAATTAGGGCATCCTCTGGAGAATAGCTTGAATAACGGGGGATCATTTGAAGCACAGGGGAAGAAAGAAAAGGAGTGCGAGCGGGGAGCAGTGAGGAAACGAAAGTGATAAAAAAAACGGAATATAAAAGGAAGAACCTCCAAATATAGTCTGTAAGAGGAAGAAGGAAGAGAGGCAAAGATAGAGGCAGAAAGGGGGGGGAGCTGCAGGGGTGTAAAGCAGAGTCCTCCCTTCGATCAGTGGGCCTTGGCGCTGTGCCAGCGAGGCGCTGTCCATGAAGAGGTAAATCATTTTCTGCCTGAGAAAGAAACAGGAAAAAATGATCGTTGGGGATGTGCCACTGCCAGCTTGGAATTGCTTTATTCCCAAAGATGGGAATCCCCAGTCGGCCAAGAATAAATGGAACAGTTGGCATCAAAAAGTGAAAAAACTCATCAATATTCAAGAAAGCCTGGTTGGGTGCTACAACGTGTTAAGCAACAGTAGATTTAAGCAGCGACTTGTATCAACACATAGATTGAAGACAGTGCAGTAAAATATCAAAGAAACTATGAAAACAGGTTTATTTCTTGTTTCCTTGGACATCAGATCAAGAAAAAAAAGACCCTAAAGCGTCTCCAAAGGATGGTTAAACTCTTAATGATGGAGGGAATATAATTAGTGGAGAAATACTCCACAACCACATCCGGTGTTTAATAGTCTGCCTATAAAGCACTGTCTCCAAACAACCAGCACCCACGTCCAAGTCATACACCCACCAATTTCCCCCTTCCCCACTCTGAAAGGCAACAAAGCCCTCTTGCTAAATTAGAAGCTTAAATGGGGATTAAGACAAGTGAAGGAAGTAAACTTCAGAATAAAAGCCAGGAGCTATTATTCTATTTCCAGTCTGTGTTATTGTTCTTGCAGCATCCTGGATCACAATTTAATGTAGCTTTGAGAGGTAGCACAGCAGAGGGCACTGGCTCTGCAGGTCCTATTTGTAAGTCAATGAGATAAAGAGGCCACTTTAAGACCCCTAGAGGAAAGGATTGGACATACCTGCTCAGAGAGTCAATTGGTTCTCTAAGGAAAATCTGTGGCAATTGACCTCAGCTAGTTCAGAAGAGGCATTCAGAAGTAAACTGCACCTTTGGTTCTGAGTGAAGAAAATTCTCTGCTATTACGTCAAATTTGTTTGGGCAGAGAAAATAAGTCTTGGTAGAAAATTCCCACTTCAGCTGATGGGTGACAGACGATAATGAAGACATGTTCTTCCCCGCTCTACAAACTGCAGACTCCCCACTCCTGGCATTGCTGACAGAGATTAACAGCCGCTTTCATCTCTTCCAGGGCATTTTCACTCTGCACCTCAGACACTGCTTCAGGTATTCTGCTTACACTCCTCTCCCAGGCTGAGGAGAATCTGGAATAACTTCCCACCCTGAGCGCTGAAACTGAACTCAGATTCACCCACCATCCCACCCACGTCTTTCCCTGAAAACCTCAGGAAGGCTGTCCTGCTCTGAGGAGGTCAAGAGAAATCTTGGCACTCAGTTCTCTGTCTCAGAAATCAGTTCGGCATACAGTTGAGACAGGTATTTGATATACAGGAGACAAATGAGAGCAATCATTAACATGCCATGCCTCTCTGATTAAATACAACGTCTTCTTGGATTAATAATACGCAACATCATATCAGAATGAAGCACAACTTCAGAGAATGATGAGCGTGTTCAAGGCACTTAGAGAAGAGGAAAGCCAGAGTACTTCTGTTCCACTTCTCTGCTTCATTAATCACTCGCTGCCAGAGTAAGACACCTAGCGATTATTTATTTGCACTTCTCCACACAGAGGCTATCACAACAAACAGGCCCGCAGGCTGTGGTGAACATTTGGGAGTGATTAATCAGTGGGCTGTCCAGAGAGACAGAACACAGGGGGAGGAGGTTTCTTACATGTGTTTCTTAATCCTTCATCTATATTCAAATCAATAGAAAACAAAGCAAAAAAAAGTCGGGCCAAATGAGCCATACTGTCAGGGAGATGGCCATGATGTGGGTGGAGTCACTTTAGTATGATTAAGTGTCAAAAAAGTGCTGAAGAAACAAACATGATACGGGTGTGCCAGTCAACTTTTTAAACTCCCAAAAATCTTTTTTTTCTGCTACAGCATATACCGACCACCTCTATTAAACACAGCCAGGTATAGCGGGATAAAAATATTAAATATCGATTGCTTTGACTTTCGGTTTCTTTCAAACTTGAATGAATCTATATTGGGAAAGAGTCGAGGATTTAGTGACTTTTCTTCAGACAGAAGTTGGAGATTATTATTTATCACAGATGTATACAGGAAAGGGAACACTAATCTCACAGCATGGGGAAATGTGTCTCTTTGAACAGCCATGAAGACATTAACAACTACAACCGCATTATTCCAAGTTAAGCAGTTTATCCTGTATCACACACTCATAAAAGTCAACCATAGCTACACTCGCTGGGCCACATAGAGTGTACGGGGATAATGGGATTTTTAGCACACTGCAGCTGGCTCTCACGTGCTGGGTCGTGAACCGATTACAGGCAATAATCCTCCCCCATTCACGAAGATGTGTATGCAGGAAGCAGCAGCAGAAACCCAAAGAAGACATATCCTCCATGCTACTAGTCTGACACAGATGTTTGCTTCAACTCAGAGGTACAGTTGGACAAGAAGAGATCTGGATGCTTTGACCTTGTGCAAAGCTCCTTGTTTAGACCTTTTAAAACAATTTGCACATTTTTACTTCAAATATCTTAAAATGTCAGTTTTGATGACTCCTATTATAATTTCAATGCTCTTTCTAAGTGCACACCATACAAATTCCCATCATACTGTGGTATAGTGATAATGAAGCTCAATCCTGTTTCCGATGCTATGCTAACATTAGCTGTATGATGGTACTTATGCTGCATTCCAGTTGTACTCGGAAGTCAGGACTTCTAAGCTCAGAGTCGGAAATTCATTTGGAACGCCCCCCTAAAGTCAGACTTCCGACTCGGAAAGATTTGACAACAACGTCATAATCCAAGATGGCAGCACAGTGCATCAACAGTAAACAGTAACAGTGAAAGCTCTCGTACTCCATTATTTATTAGCACTTTTGTGAAATTAAGTAAGTGGTATATGTTGTACTACCCAACGTCTAACTGTGAACACTGTGCTATGGTGTTTGGGAGAGTAAAATACTGTGTAATGCGTTGTTTACAGCTGGTATAGCTAACAACCACTAACAACAGTTGACAATGGCTAACAACAACTGACAACAGCTAACAACAGCTGACAATTGTTAACAACAGATTACAACGGCTAACAGTAGCATCTTGGTTTTCTGACTTGTTTACTGGAACGCCATCAACTCCGGTATAACATCATTCCCAGCTCTGACATCCGACTTCTGAAGGAACTGGAACGCAGCATTAGACCTCAGAGTTTTCACAATTTGTCCTTTGAATGTTTTCAATGATGAACTGATTTAAAAAAAAAGTCCTATCCTGTACATTTCTAACTTTGACAAGCTAAAAACTTACAGCGACAGCTTTCGCACCAATCAAAGCCAAGGGTTAATTTTTTACATTTGAAAATGATTAATTGTCAGCCTCATCAGCCAAGTTCTTGAAGAAATGGACAGAGTGTTGAAATGCTCAGGCAATCTAGTTTGAGGGTGATGAGGTAAACACTGAACCACCTGTCCTGACAATGGCCTTATCCTCAGTGGTAATCTGAGTTTCGGCTCAACCACTGACAGACAGGGGTGCCGAAAGGGTTGGTCTGTGAAATATAAAGAACTACTGTTTGGGGAAATCAACTTTCTACCTCTGATTAAGCAGCTATTTGTTTTTCATATCAAATAGGCCACAGTGAGGCTCAGTGGTGCCCGGAGCGCTTCCAGGAGCCATCTTTGTTTCATTGGATTGTTGTAAAACATAAAGGCGTCCTGTGAGAGCAGAGGCCACTGGCTCGATTCTGCATCTGCACACAACAGGTCATAAATCTCCTTAACGCATATTCACTGCCACCAGCTATTACAGTTCAGCGTTGTTTATTCCACAACACATCTACACTCTGTCTCACAGTGAGGAAGTGACTGTGGTTGTAATAATACAGATAATAGACTCCATTTGCATGACACCTTTCACTGTGGGACACTAAAGAGGGTTAGATAGTATCCCTGAAGGAATGATGCTTTGTATCTTTTCAAAAGGATGCTGGTTTGAGAATTGAGCAAAGTGGAGCATAATGCAACTTAACGCTAATGCCGGGATCGCAGAGCCCTTAGGGCAGCTATCAGAGCTGTTGTCCAATTGGGGAATGTCAAACGTGGGCTGGCGAACAGAGCTGCAAATAGATTAATGCTAAAAGGGATGACCTCTCCTGCCTACACTCAACTAGTGTACTCCTTCCAAACACACAGGGAGACAAAGGCAGCCTTATGTTAGGTGTCAGGCCCACAGGACTGAGCTCTGAGCTCCACATCCTCTCATTTCTCTACCTGTGAAAGAAATCTGTCATGAGCGGACTGCAGTGCTTTCCCCTCTCCCCCGCAGGGCTTACTACACACGGACCCAGGGTGAGTGCACAGGCTTGAGTCAGCGCTTCGGCTCTTTGTTTGTCGACCCCCCTCTTTCAGCCCCCTGCGGGCTATATGAGTGGGCCAGACAGACTTCCTGACTCAGGGATTTATTCGGGGGAGCAGGGAGAGAGGGCAGTGGGTTATCCCTCACACATTCAGTGACAAACTCTGTTTTTTTTTTGTTTTTTTGCTCTATCACTGGAGCTCTTTGCCATTCATAATGACAGGCACAAGAGATTCTTCACCGCCTGTCACCCTCGTAGCTGCAGGGGCGCAGCACTATCACACCATGTTATCATATCCCGAGGAGGAGACAGACATCCGGAAAGAGGCGAGGGAATCAGCGACAGCGGGAGCGCTTCTTCAGCTGTACAGGAAATTCTTCACAAAACCGATTATGTGAAGGGCAACTCTCAGAATCCAAATAAGAGTTTCTCATGCAATATTCAACTCGTGCAGCACGCAGTGTGTCAGAGTCATTCAGACTGTCTGGACATGCTCCGTTCTGCAGCAATGCTTAACATTGGAAAGATTACATTTGTGTCCCCACGTCAGAGAACAATGCCGTCTTTTTCACGAGAACAGTCAAAGAACATGACTCAGAGGAAGGCTGTTAGTGGATGAGAAGGTGCATGAGGGCAGTGGGATGTATCTACCTGCTCAAGATCCCTGAGGCTACAAGGCCAGGCTGGATCTCCATCAACACCTCAACCTTGACGGCGCCTGACAGACCTCGGATTGATTCACACCTGGGCTTATCATCAGGCTGCAGCCCCTTCTTGGCCTCAGCTGGAGCTGCCACTGTGTCTGCTGCTGCACTGAGGCAGCCATTAGTCCCATCAGCCTGATTATGGCAGGAAAATGCCAGCTGGTGTTTTATCCAACAGTAAACAAAGACAAAATGCCACAGAGCAGCTCAACCATCCCAGCTACCACCCACTCAATACTTCTGATGAGCTATTTGCCGCCCTGGGCATGTGCTGCTCACATTCAACAGATTGATATGAATCAATTCTCATTTGTCAGGCTCTGGAGGTAGAAGTAGTATTAACATTTCTGCTCCACTGTGGCTGTTTCCTCAACACGGAGCCAGCATTTCTGCAATATGTTTTCTGCCGCGCTATACATTCTGCTCACACTCTGGCTCCGGTGGAGGAATCCATCTCGTCGTGGTTTGACAACAAAACCATTAGCCTCTCACCTCCAGGGAGCAGACAGTCCAACTCTACATGCACAAAACTGCACATTGCACAGAGTGGAGAGAGTGACACAGAGAGAGAAACGAGAGAGAGACAGCAAGACAGTGGGAAAAAAACTCAAACACAAACATTTGGTTGCACGTACAACACAACAAGAGTTCGTACATCCGAGTGAGCTCAGTGTTGTTTGTTTGCAACAGAACTTACTTGACTCCCATGGTAGTGAATCCAATATTCTTCTCCACAGGTACACGCCCGCTGCTTCTTATTCTGTCAGGATGGAGCATCAGCCTGAGCACGCCTTCTGAATGACAACATTTATCCCGGGGAGCTTCTGTCCCACTCTGTATCTTAACCATCTGCCATGTGGGCCAGATCCACAGCGCTCAGTAGATCCCGCTGCTCCACATAATCTGTCCTGCCTATTAGTCAGATCCCGTCTGTCAATCACAGCACGGCCAACCAAACGCCCAGCACAGTCCTGCTTTGTTTGGCCCGCAGAACTTCTGTATTTCCCGCAGCAACGGATGAAAGTATCCCAGCCTTTTTTACAAACAAAGAGGTCAGACTCAAGAGCCGAAATTGAACACTGATTGGGCAATAAACCTCAGCAAGTCATTCAACATGTGTAATTCAGAACAACCACTTGTGATCCTGCAGTGCTTCCAATTTGCAACAAACAAGTCTCATTATTAAACGCATGCCTGTCCCTCCCTTTGGCTAAATTACAGTCCAGTTGAGAGGGGGATAGTGACTTCCTGATTTCCAATCTGCACTTTGAAAGAAAAAATTCGTCACATTTTATTCCCACAGGATAATGACTTGTTTCTATGGTTACTCAGAGCAGCCTCAGGGATGAAGGGCAGAGTTAGTGTTGCAGGGTCTTGTGTGCACAGGAGAACAGAGGCTAAATGGCCCTGCTGCCACAATTACAGGAGGATTCCTCCTGCGCGATGACAGTCATTACGGTGTAAACACTCACCTGGGCAGCAGCTGCAGGGCGGCGATGGACGGCCATAAAACCACTTCCTCCTGAAACTCCTCCAGGGCCACATTCCAGCAAACAGCTGTCTGCCCTGCCCATGCTGTCTAACAAGCTGCCTGCCATGTATGCCACCGTCTAAAGCCTGCAATGCCCCTGAATCATCCTTGAACTAACTCCGGTCTCAGATTGCAGAAGTTTGATCACGTGTTTTACTCTGTTTTCATCTGTTTCACTCTATCTACATCTTCTTTGATCCAAACTTTAAGCCACATTCAGTCATGACAGATGACTATTCACGTATGAGCCCAATGGCTAGTGTGCTATCTCTGCTATCATTAGCCACACTCATCAAACCAATTTGATTTTTTTTTTTTATCTGCAAACTCTGTGATCTTTTTTTTTTGTCATGTTTAATAAACTGCACTCAGTTTGACTGTTTTCTGACTGTTTCTGTTCCTTGAGACTGTGAGGTAGGCAGTGGTTTCATTTCAAATTAAACCACTGGGATATTAGTCGCTTCCAAATGATGACAATAAGGAACCAGCCTCTCTTCAGTAAACAAGAGAGCAATGACAGACCATAGACAGTGTCCCATGCTGCTACGGAGAAATGAGCACACCGAGAAAAGTAAGCATCAAACTGAGCAGTGGACTCCACACGGCAGTGGGCACTGAGAAATCCCACAGTTCTTTTGGGTAATAACCACACCGTCACAATCAGCAGGTGTTAATGGAAGAGAGGGATGGGCAGAGGGATCTATGAGGCGGCAGTCAGACGCGGCGACCAGTGCCCTGCTGTGAGCTTCGCCTGGTTTCATTACACAACTCTGTGTCAATACACTAATCATATGCTCTGTCACAAGGCAATCAGCGCTTAACGTGCGAGTCAGCTGAACACATGGCTCTAAATTCATCACCCCCACCCCCAATTGTTCACTGACACACACGTACACACACATAATGGCGTGCCCACATGCACACACACACCACCAGGTCACAGTTTGACCCTTGACTCTTCCTGTCCTCCGAAGACTGTATAGTCTGTCTAATTACCGATTGGTCATTACTAACCCCGGGGTCATCTCTGTGTCGGGTTATTCTCTACAATTACAGACAGGAAGCAGAGAAATGAACAATTTAGGAGATTGAATGGGAAATGTGTTGAAAAATCAGGATATTGTCACCTCAGTTAGTGGATTCACCAGAGATTTTTAAGAGTTGTGCAACTAAGTAATGAATGAAACCAACAAGTATCACTTGTTATATCACAAAAATAACAAAATAAGAATTTGTAAAACAGATTTAATAATTTGTTCAGGTATTCCCTGTTTTAACACTAGAAAATAAACAGTTTGATGGAAGCTGCTGTTGTTCTGAAGAGAAATTTTCTTTATATCAACAGTTTTGTCTACAATGACTCTGACCTCCTAGCTTTTGTAGATATGAAATAATTTGCGCCAAAATGACTTTTTCAGTCAGTACACGTCTTATATGAAACAAATGAAATGCTTTTTCCCAAACCCCGGTGAACGGTTGACTTATTTTTGCAATGTAAAAAAGAAATGACTTTCTTTTGTTCCTCACGCTCTTCTTTTCTCTCCGCAGCAGAATAGTGCGAGCAGCCCGACTCTGGCTAATTGCATTCTAATTAAAATTTCATCTCTGAGTGGAACGGTGTTAGTGAATGTCAGACAAGTGTCTAAGGAGCCTTTCTCCACTCCGCCGGGGTAGAAACTGCTGTTTGGTTATTCTGCTCCTACATTCTTGGCTCTCAGGATTTTACACATGCATCCGGCTAATTGTATCTATCGAGAACAAAAAGGAATACTAATCAGATGTGAGTTTTCAATCAAGTCTAAAACGTGAAGGACACCCATTTCATTGTTTTAATTTCCTTTTTTTTTAAACTAAGCACTCCCAGTATGATGAGAAAATAAGAAAATCTGTTGATTGTTCCAATTTGTGTTGACTTCTGGGAACTTACATTTCAATTAACAGAGTTATTCTGTACAAAAAGATAAAACAAAGACAACAACATGATGATGATGATGATGATGATGATGGTATTGCAGCTGCATATGGTCAGGAAAAGGGTGTGTGTTTCAAATCAAACACCTCCACCACCCTTTACTGCGACTGCAGAATGTAATGCTTTTTAAATCCGGGCCGACATCATTGTGTTTCCCTGAGCCAAGTAAAACACCACATTCTTGGCAGCAAATTATCATCGGGGAAGAAATTAAAGGTGGGACCTTTTTGCTGGATTTCCACCTACACCCCCTCTGCCCCACCAGGACCTGCTGCAAGGGAAAAAACAAGTCCACCTCCCTTTTTCCCTACGATTAGCAGACGCTGGCCAACTGGAGCGCTTCTCTTTTTGAGCTTGGGTCCAAAGAAAACATGAGAACCAATAAATCAGTGTCAGGAATTAACCCTGTCTAACAGAGGGCCGCACCTTGCAGTAGTAAAGGACTACAGGAAGCTGCATACACAGGACATTGCATATTTAGCAGAGGATGTGGAACGTCCCCCTCACCTCATGGTCCCACTGATATACTCGAACCCTTTGAAAGCTGGCAAACACAGACTCCATTTGGGTTTCTTGTGCTCCACAGATCCCCCATGGGGCTTCCTGTCACACTCTACAAGTCCCTTCAACCTCCTGTGGTGCAGAGCTTCAATGGTCCTATGCATCATTCTTAGCCAGCTTCCCCTTTCGCCAACATTCATTATGGAATAGCTCTCCTCAGAGAGTAGAGGCAGGGGATGTATGCACTGACTGGCCTGCCAGGGAATCTATCAATGACAATTTACCACATTGCACTCGGCATCCACCCGCCTGGAGAGGGTGACGGATTCTCCAGGGCAACAACAACGCCAGAGCCAAGAGGAGCAGGGCAAAATTTGTAGCAGACATACACTCAAACCAAACACTTACACAGCCCTGCAAAGCTGCTAAATCAAAATAGCTGTTTTAAAAGACTCAAAATAACCAAACACAGAATACCTCGGGACAATAGTCAGCTTTAAGCTAAGCCCCTTCGTGAGATGCTCCCTCCTTCACATCGAATTATGCAATTCTATTATCCATTCATGAGCATTGGTGCTTGCAACTTAGGGTTCATTTAGTCCCATGATGGTGCGTATCCCAAGGCGATGCTACAATTCAAGCATTGCAAGAACAACATCTCCATGCAATATGAGCCCCACATGGAAGCTAACACCGTGGAGCAGGGCTTTAGACACACATTTTGAAGACGAGTCCATACATATCTCTTCTACACACACACAGGAGTCTGAGTGGATGCATGCACAAACTCTAAACACTTCATTTAACACCACAACAGCTCGATGTAATCTCTATGTTCTGACAGGACATGGGGAGGGGAGGGGAGGGAGGAGGAGAGGCTTACCTTATAAAAAAGGAGGCTGCTGTAGATGAGGACGCAGAGGTGGAGGTGGATGTGTTAGTGACCATGGGTGCTGGGAGTCCCGATTGGCTGCAGCTCCTCACTCTGCAAGGCGTCAGGGTGCTGCTGGTGCTAGCAGCCGTCATGGTGGCGGTGGCGGCTGCGGCGGTGGTGACTAGGGCCTCTGATGGTTTAACATCCCTGTCTGCTTCCCCCATCAAACCGTGCCCCTGTTGACACAAAGATTCACAGATAAGAACTCAACTGCAAGTTTTCGCTGCTCTGGCCCACCTTCCTTCCACTCCATTACTCCCTCTGTGCCACAGATGGACAGGCAGCTGCTGCAGCCAGAACAGGTTAGCAGGAGTCAGCAGTATCCACAGCAGAGGGATCCCTACAGAACAGCCAGGATGCTGCACCATGCATTCATTCTGGCAACGCTCTGGAGGTTGCTCTGGCTGTAGCCTACAGTAATTAAGTGATAACCCACATTTAATTAGTAATTAAATCACAGGCGATTTACTCCACTCTGCACCCGATTGTATCTCCACCTCTGAGGCTGATTCAGGACTTTACTTACAACAACGATAAGCATGACACGGTTGAGGTCTACATGGACCACATGAGAGAGAGTTTCAAAGGGAGTAAACAAACAACAACAATGTAAGGAATGAGATAGCTTTACAAGGTATCGAAACCGTGCCTGTATGAGCACACCCCGCTCTGGCAGCTCGGTAATTGAACGGGAGTAAACCGAGGTGAGCTGCTTCTGGGTCAGCCCACAGGCGCTTGAAATTAATGCCAATGACACGTGTGAGTGTGCTGCCTGTCGGTCTTTACACTTTTCACATACTGTACGTGCTGCTGCAGGTCACACTATATATATGGAGCAGTTTCTTGTGCAGGTTTAGAGCTTAATCAGGACAAAAAAGAAACAACAAAAACTTTTAAAAGCTTCCTGATTCCTGTGGCTGTTTGAACCACACAGAAGTTAAATAAAGCAGCAGGAAAAGCATGGATTTTTTGTATTTTGGTCAATGGAACCTCTGTGTAATAACACATTTGAATTCAACTTAATATTATGAAGAAAAATAACCACCTGTTGAGGCTAAATTACCTTTGCATCCTCACTGAGGTGCTAACTAACCATAACTGATAACTCTCCAAGAATAATAACCTTTTGAGTTCTGTTTTTTCATTTAAAATGAGCACAGAGTCAAATTAAAGTTTGAAAAATGACTAAAAGGCTTCAACACAGAACTATATTCATAATAAATCTACAAAAAAATAAAGCTGGATGTGCAGTAAGCCTTCCAGTCTTGGGTTCCTGTCTAAGGTTGAAGCTAAATCTGGAGCAGCTTTGTGGACATGGAGCGTAAAGGTTCAGCTGGAGTCTGTAGCGGATCACTGCCTGCTCACAGACTAGCTCAAGGAGAGCAAAGAGCTAATTACAGAAACCAAAAGGCAACTCTGAGAATCCACTTCAGCCAGAGTCGCCATCCTCCTGACAAAAGGTTAATCCTCACCAGAGCTGCTAGTTTATCCCTCAAGACAATGATCAATAGCAGCTGCCAAGAACCGGTTCTGTGGTGATTTCAGCGTTGGGAATTAAATAAATAAAGGCCAAAGTTTTCCTAAAAACATTCATAACACTGACACCTGAACATTGTGTAATCAGGAACGACCTTGAATACAGCACAGCTCTGCAGCCTTAGTGTTATTTGACAGGATATGTATTATAAACACAGCTCAGGCCCCTCAGCATATTTACCGCCTCAGTGTTTGCCCCAGATTCATGTTTGGCAAGTAAAATAACATCCTTTATGATCTTTTTCTGCAAAGTGTACGGCCCTCCATTATGTGCCATTTGTCAATGCACGCTGACAGCTGCACTATTTATACGCTAAGCCTGACATGTGAATGCAACACTTCTGGATGTGAGGACATACTTACATTCTGACATTTACATGAGCGGCTCGGCTACAGCTCTGCAGTGACGTTAGCTTTACGATGTTCAAGTGTTAGCTGTACAATGTGCTGCTATATTAAAGCACGGAGGTGTTATCTTCTCCCAGTCAAGCTTCACTGACCCTTCCTCAAACGGTGCGTGCTTTTCATGAATTCCCACTTTCCTTTTTTCTTCCTATGGAGCTTGTTATCGGAGTTCAGAATCGCAGTCTTGTTTTAGAGTCTGCGTTTAGCTCTCCCGAGGCTTCATCATGGGGGTTAAGTCAAAGATCAGGCTGCCATGTGTAAAGTTATGACTCGGGGAGAACAGCATGGAAAAACTGGCTGCAAACTGAAATGAGCCAAATACAGACCCTCAACCGGAAAGCCTCTCACCATGCTGGTGTCGGTGACAGGTTAGGAACCCTGTGCATACCGCAGAGGAAGACCCATTACACTTTGGCATGAAACACTAGAGCGCTTCACATGCAGCCAAACCGGAAGCTGATGTGTGTCGCTCATCAAATCTGCCATCAATCCAGGCTCCTTAGTTTTGGTTTTCAAACAAATTGGCAGCAGATTTTAGGAGCAAAAAGGAGAGCTTTGTAAAGGAATGGTACAGGCTCACAGTGGAAAAATAATCTCAAGTACACATAGTAGTGCACACACTTGAACTCATCATAGTGCCTATCTAAGGGTATTCCCTCTGGTATTAAAACAGGGGACGTAAGCCCCATCAGCAAAGCCACTCTCTGCAGCCTTGGACCTGGACCGGCCCTGAGTCTGGCTGAAAAGTACAATCTATCCCCTGGTCAGGTAATTAGGCCGTGTCAGAGGAGCCATGTGTGCTCGGCCGTTTGCTCAGAGAGCCAGTAATGAGCTGTCCTTCTCCTCTTTAACCCCCTCTGATCCTTCGCCTTCGTTTGCTACAGGAGAGGAAAGGGGAAAAGGGAACGAAGGGGAAGACTTTGGAAAATAAGAGTGAAAAAAAAAGAGTTCAGGAGTGCGGCTTCCTGTAGAGTCAGAAGTGACCTATCAGCGGTCCATTGAATCTTCAGTCACTGAGACTACCAGGACTTCCCCAGTGACCTTTGATCCCAGCGGTCAACAGGGGATTACAGCTGGAGTGAAATGGGCCTTGTGCTAATCTGGCTGTCTTGCTTGGATTGCCTCTGAAACCAAACTGGAACCAACAGAGGTGAGAACTGACTTCTAAGGAAGACAAGTGACCACAGGAGAACCTCGAACACATTTTCCTCCATCCTGAATGAAAAGAAATGTTTATTATCTTTAAGCAAACCTCGCAAAAAAAAAGCCAAACTCTGAAACTATCCCCCAACTTTGGCCAGACTGGGGATTTTTCCCTCTCTTTCCTTCCTGTATATGTTTTTTTTCTCGTCTTGTTGTGGCTTTCTGTGGCGCACCACCATGCCAGCCCAGCTGCACCGAACAATCAGCAGCCAAGATCATCTGCTGGGTTTCAAATTGGTGGCACAGGAGCAGGCCAATGCAGCGGGCGGCCACCGAGCCAAGAACGGAAACTCTCATGGGTCAAGAGCTCTTGCGTCTTTGTAGATTAGTGCACATGTGGTTTTTGGATTTTATCGGAGCGAGAGGAGAATCCCAGATATGGGTCAATCAATTTCTTGTTTTGAAAAGGAAAAGCAGCACAGAACTGCTCGGGAATTTGGTTTTTCTGGTTTTTACAGCTTGGAACTCCTCATTTAAACCGCCCATAATATGAGGAATTAATTATTTGTGTGCCATGTGTTCAATTCAAGGCAGCTACACTCATTTGAACCATTGTCAGCCAATTACAAAAAACACTGAGCCAGACAGCTTCAGTTCCAAAGACCACAAACATGATTCCAGATGTGAAGCAGAGATTCAAGGTGCTCTGTAATGGGCTATATGTGGGAGCGCCCCAGGCTCGCTGGTTAACACACACACACACACACACACACACAGAGTCCATTCTTGTTTCTTTTTCTGAACAACAGCGCATACTTTCCCCACATGGCGACGAAAAGGGAATCATGAATATACAGCGGAATTCCCAGACCTCCAGTGTGTGGGTTTCTGTCATGCTGAAGGATCTGGTTTTAATGAAAGAAACCAGCTTGAGAAAATAACACACATTTCTGTTGCGACTTTATGTCCTTAGGGACGCTTCGCTCTGTCCAAGGAGGTTCCCAGCCTCCGCTGTGTGGCATTGAACAACTCATCCCAGCTGCACTAGGGCCACTAATTGCTTTTTGACACATAGATGGAGAGCACAAGTCGACCTCTCCCTTTCTGTGCCAGGCCGTTTAATTCGCCCTGGATTGCGTACATGCAGTTAAAAGCTTTTGATGGCCGCCTATAAACCATCTTTAAAGGCACTTGTTGACATTAAAAGGGAGGAGTGAAATTCTGTCTTTGATTGTAATGCAGTAAGAGAGGAATAACAGGGCCAAGACATGAACCAGACTGCAGTTATCAGAGCAGTTAGGAGGAAAAATGAGAGTTTACACATTTAATGGTAAAGTCTTAAAGTGTATAATCGAGATAATGTACGCACACGGTGACGTGAGACATTCTTTTACCCTAAAGCTAATGTTGGGATTAAAACTGCTTTAATGTGCAAATAAATAACATAAAGCTGTAAATATTTTCTCTAAGATTAATCCTATGACTCCAAGGCCAAAACTCAGGACCTTTACAAGCCTCCTGGTCACCAGATAAAGCAGCACAGACTGATGCTTATCCAACATTAGAGAAGAGTTATGGGGACGCTGTGGGGTGGTCATTTAAAATGCCCTTGAGGAGGAGGTCAGCAGATTAGTGTTGCGATGACCTCTGACCTCAGATCAGTCAGGCTCCTTGACTACTGAGGAATGAGAGGTCAGCAGTCCAGCAGATATGGACAAACAAATCCTCTGCAGGGCTTTAAGTCTGGTGTACAACATTTGTAGTTAAAAGACCTTACCTGATGAGCTCTAAGGCAGGAAGGGAGGACATTTGAAGCATGTCTTTAGTGAGGAATAACAAGTTTGTTTGTTTTTTAATTCTTTGCTGTATCTTTTATCACTGTTCCTCTTGATCCAGCTGCCCTTAAGATTTTATGTCTCTCTTATGTTTAGAGCTCATGAAAGTGCTATTTTCCACAAACTGCCACAGAGTGAGGATCAAGCTGAATTAGAGTCAAGCTAAATTCAAAAGTTAGCAAAATGCTAAATTATGTTCATCAAAATACAAGACCAAGTTGTTTCTTGGATTAAAATGGTGCACTGTTTTCACATCATAAAATTCGTACCTACAGGTCTAACACATGAAATGTAAAATGTCCAACACCTTTGTACTTTCAATTTGGCCTTTCTTAGGACTTTTGGAATAAACAAGTACAATACGGTACAGATTTATATTATTAGTTGTGTTCTCCTGGTTGATTTCAAGTTTTTCCCCTGGTTTTAATGTTCAAATCAAATGTATAAAATCTAACATAAAGAAATAAAAGAAATGCATTAGAGACATACTGGTTTAGGCTGAGGGAGGAAGTTGTTGACTCTGGAGATGCTCCACATGCCCTCGAGGTACTGCTGGGCTTGGATGGTGACAGAGCTCAGGGATCCGCTGATCTGCCCTCCTGCCACCGTCACCTGCACACTTGTCTTCTGCCCTGAGGAGGCCGAGGAGCACTGCGACCAGCCCGGCACCCTGTGTCTCTCCCCAAGAGGCAGGACAGAGTGTGCAGCTGGTTGGCCTTTAGCCAGCTGTTTCGCATGGACGTTGGAGGACGACGCGGTGAATCTCGTCGGTTGCGGTAAGAAAGACGCAGTGGGCTGGGTTGGCATGCCTGGGCTGAAGGTGAGGATGGGACTGTCGAGTGTCTGCAAGGCCTCCTGCCTCAGTTGGTGGAGAGGTGTGGAGCAAACCTGACAACAGCTGACACCGACTCCGGCTTCATGGCTCCCTGGTGTTTGGAGCTGCTCAAACAGGAAGGTTGCATATCCAGGGTCCTGCAGAATAAACACAAACAGGAGGGCGGCTCTAAGTCCATGCACAACATGTTGATCTGTCATATCTCATTATCTTTTCCTGCATGTTATTCACATTTTCCAGAGACCGCAATGGTCTGCAAGCAGTGTGGTCCCTGAGAGCCCTCTGGGACCCTCACTCCCTCTTTTAACCACTTCCTCTTTCTCGGGATGGTTGTTTGTTTAGACTGAGATACTTTGCCTGCATGCAACCTAAGACTCTTAATCAGGTTGACCTGGCATTTGCTCATTTCACTCCTGAGACCAAACAAGCCAGACATGAGGAGACAACTCTGGAATAAAGCTAAGAGGGATTACTCAAAATATCACATTTATTTATTTTGTGTGGTTTCAGGAGGAAGAAGGAGAACCAGATTTCAGCTTATTGCTGTTTTTAGAGGTGGTGTCCAGTGGAGTTTTGTCCTTTCACTTCGTCTTTAAGAAGGCTCCCTGGGGTGTCAGTCTATGCTTGGGAGGAGTGACAAAGAAAACAACAGCTGAGGGGACTCTCGCCCCCAAAGCTGTTCAATTTACATATGATAAGTGTCCCTGCATGAAAACATATGATAAGCCACCAAATGCGAAATAAATACCGCCTTCAGGAAGCCAAAGGCATGCAGAGCTCAAGTGAAGGTTGAACATCAGTTTTTCTATTTTTTTAAGGGAGCAAACACACTCACACACACACACTAATACTTGCACACACTTGTACGCACAGACAACACAGTCTCTTAAGAGGTATAAAGGGGCACCAGGCTTCTGCCCGGTGGAGTCGTGGCCTTAGACAGCAGCCCACAGCCCATACATAAATGTTTATGAGGCCTTTGCTCTGTGGATGCTCAGAGGTGATCAGGAGGAGTGAAGCGGCGAGGAAACAACAATCCTCGGCTCTAATGCAGTGCCATTTAATACAGCTCACCCAATAGACCTAGAGACCACAGGGGCCGGCTGAGGGACTCTAAATCTCCCCCCTATGAAGGCTGCTCAATAATAAGACTTTCAGTTGACCTTTCTTGGAGGAAAATGCACAATACGCTCATACAGTTTTACATTTTTTTGGTCTGCAATCTGAAGATAAACTGCACATTATCCTAAATACACCCTGGCTGATAAGCATAGTCTCCAAATTATAACTTCCTTTAAGGGTGAGGTGTTATAGTTTGTTGTATCTATTGGGATTTAAAAAAATAATCTGTAATATCAGATTTCAACAAAAAACACAGCCATGGTTTGAAAAAAATGAGGTTTTTAGTCATCTACAGGATTCTCTGAACACATGGTTCATTTTTGTGGATTTTGTCAAAACAATCGCACATGGACATCTGCCTAATTTTTAGCCAGATTCCCCCTTCTGACAAACATCAGCAAAAGCCTGGTTATCAGATGGTTCAGATCATTATCTTGTCAGATTATCCTGTGGTGTGAGTGTGTGTTGACGGTGTTTTTTTTTTCCCTCCGATCTGCACGGGAGACGATCATAGGCTCCTGACTCGGAATCCTGAATATTTAACATGTTCAGTGTCTACCATCAAAAAATTCTCCCAGAGGACACCTGATCATGCACGCTCTAAAATCACGCTTGAGTGCAAGTGACTCTACGTGATTTTCTCTGACAAGGGTCGGGACTCCAGTTGCTGATGGTGAAGAGTCTTTTGGTACCAAAATGAGGTTGAATACAGGGAAAGTCTAGTGCTTAAAATTGGACCATGTTGTAGTCAGATCCACTAACTCCCATAACCCACCTCTACAGGCACACTCCGATGGAGCAATGCACTGGAGTGTGACTGGACTGGTCTTATGTTAACCGTGCACTTCTGGTTAATGATTTACTATACTGGCTACTTACTTTTCACATGAGTAGACACGGACAGGATGCAAAGACCGCTAAGAAATACACTCAGGATGTAAAAACCCATTCATCTCACTAAGAATGAGACAGGCGGAGGACGATCATGTGCCGAGCAGGATCAAGTAAATGTTTCTGCCTGGATATATCCCGCAGTGAGGGATGGATTTACATATAAGAAGCTTATAACAGAAGTATGATGCTATGATAGAGCTTTTAAAAATGATATCTTATGCTGCTTCATCCTGACACGTGAATGATCTCCACTGTTATGCTCAAGCGGGATATTTATGTGCGAGGCAGGACAGTTCTGCTGAAATAAGATGAAACAGCCTATGACAAATTGGACTGAAACGCGAGACAGAGCTGAAGGAAACACCCCTGGCTGCTATTTTCACAGTCTAGTCTGGCTTCATGTACACGCTTCCTAGACAGGAAATTGAAGCCAAGTCATAACCAGTCAACTCCGCCCTTCCATCAAGCATCACCCTTTACCCTCCGACCAACCCCTTTACCCACCTCGGGGCACTGGCGGATGGAAGAAATCAATTTCCCTCTCTCTCTCCATGCATTGTTAGGTGTTGATTTAGGAGAGCTAATAAAAAGACACACAAAGCTGAGCCCATCTGCTATTCAGTTGGGATTCTGGAGGTTAGGGAGCGGTCCTCTCCTGTAAAGCTGTCTGTGAGCTTTATACCCGCTGGAGTGAATAAAGGGTCAGGGCCACCAGGCTTATGAGGGTGACGGTGGTGATGATGAGGATGATGATGATGTTGGGGATGCAGAGGAGAATGATGAGGGTCTGCTGGGACTGAAGGCCAAAGAATCTATTTTTATGTGGTTTATAGGAGGTGGCATAGAGGATATAAAAAATGACAAACTGTAGAGCTTAATACAAACCATACCAAGCATTGCAGCATTTATACCTAGTGTTTCCAGGTCTGTTGTTTCCCACCATTTCTGGTTTTAAGTTTGCCTTCCTCATTAATACAAAAACGTGTATGTCTCCCATTTTTAACCAGCACACTGATTGGCCATACGGTCAATATGCAGAGGTTACAGTCTGGCTGTAGGGGTCACTAGTTCGTCTCTCTGCCATGGCCCTTTGCTGCATGTCTCCTTTCTCCTCTCCTCCTTTTCCTTTATGTCTTTTTCTCCAGACTCAACACTGTCATCTGTATTTGGGTTCTCTCTTCTGCCTTCCTTTTACCCTGCCTGTTTTGGGGGTTTATCTACAGATTTCTCATCGTTTGTGTGTCTTTTTTGTCTGATTTTGCCCTTTTTTCTGCTTTCCTGTTCAACAACATACAAACAGTTATAGTTTTCTTAGAAGTCATTACATAGCTGCAAGTGCTAACAGTTAACCCATGCTTGTTTTTCACGGTCAAACTAACAGCTCAAAAGCTTGAACACAAGCATGAAGTTGTTCCATATGATGCATGACTACACCCAGCCTCATGGCCATATTGCTTCTTTTACCGCCCATAAGATATATTACTGACAGGTGCAAGTGGGTGTGAAGAGTAGCTCCGCTTCAGAGAAGTATGTAATGCACAGCATCAACACCATTCAAATGTTCAAAGTAATCCCGCTGGCAAAGAGGCGTGGACTTACTCCAGGGCGCTAACTCCTCGCTTATTGTTCTGCACAAGTGGGGGACGGTTTGGGTTTCCAATCCCCGGGTCTATCTAAAGAGAGAGTCTAACTGCATGAGCGAGGACAGGAGCAGAGGGAGAGGGAGGTGGGAGGACATAGGCCGGGGTTGTGGCCCTTGCCTGAAGGCCTGTGGGTGGTTGTGTTGGTTTACTGCCTGTCAGCACTGATCTTTATTAAACTCTGGGGACAAATGCAGTCAGATGCTATGGCCTTATTATGGAAAGGAGGTGCGCTGAGCGCACCAAAGAGGGAAACCCCTGCCTGTGGAATGAGGTCTCTGCAGTCCTTAGAGACCTAAGTTTGTCTCCCCCTTTCTCCCACACTAACTGTGATGAAAACCAGGACAGGGGAGAGAGAGAGTCACCCTACTAACTGACTGTCTCCAAGTTGATGAAGAGTGTCATCACAGACAGGCCATGCCCAGAGGCTGATGGAAATAAGCTCAGCCGTGACCACTTATGGATGAGGGGACAGGGAGAAAGATGTGCATGATTTCTCTCCTGTGCCTCCTAGGTGGCGGGCAAAGTCACACATCGGATTTCTTCTCGAATCACACCTCATTTACCTCGTCCCGTCAGCACACCTTTTCACAAGAATCTGCCATCTGAATGTTTCTGCATTCTGAATCTGATGTGCTCCTGATAGGGAGCAGCAGGCTGGATATGCAGTAACAACCCGCCTCAAATCAGGGGAAGGTCAAAGTGATTTGAAATGCATGAGGCCCCTCGCTAGCCGAGAGACTTTTAGGCACGCTCCATTGAAAGTAAAATACTCTGGGAAACCATATTTTCTATTCCTGTTGAGCCCAACAGATATTTTCCCAGACATAAAAGCTCCCTTTGACCCACTGAAGCAGTGGCAGAAAGAAAAATGAAACAAAATTGTATCCGCATGCATCCATGATGAGAAAAATAAAGTGAAAAGTTGTGACATGCTGGATACAGCCGGCAGCTTTTAAGAGCAGATTTGAACTGTTGCTATCTGCATTCGGGTTCTATTCCTATTAAAGTCAGGCTATTTGTGGCCTCCAAAGTCTATTTACTTCTTTATGCCTGCCATTAGGATAGTGCAATTTGCCGAAAAATAAACCAAGAGCAAGAAGTGCAGCAAGAAGACCATGACTTTTTACAATCCTGTGTTTATTGTATCAGTTCAGTTAAGATAACAACAATTTAAACTCTGGGCGTTGATTAAATTGTTCTGTCATTCTTCCTTTCATTCCAGATCAAGATTTCTCTTTTGTTATTCCACCATTCCTCAAACAAAGTAAGGGAGTGCTTTGTATCTGTCCTCACCAAGTGTTGTTCTCACCAGCACAAGTCCTGTTTACACATTACAATTCCCAAGTACTTCCTATGACTCCATTTCGTGTAAAATCAGGACCACACAGCACAACTTTCCCTTCCTGTGAGGATGCGTCTGAACCATCTCTGTTTACTTGGCCTGAGACAGTGTTGACCCTCACCACACACCGTCTCTGTAAGTCTCAAAGGGATTGGCCCCCAATAAAACGCAGGACCCCAATCCAGACCCCAGGGTGGGGACGAGAGCTTCCAACAGGCCTCCTTTCCCACAAGGTAGCCGGGCTTTGCTCTGACAGCCAAGTGGGAGAAAAACGAGCACAGCTGCTGGCCTTGCTCCGGGTGAGCGCAGGGCATTAAGGCAGATTACATTCCCGGGATAAAAGCAACACATCCAGCGGTGTAATCCCCCTCTGCTCCCTGCTCCTTCTCAACTATCCCCACCACCTCCGCTTCTCCAAGTCAGCCGGCTCCAAACAGAAAGCTGGAGGGCCTCTGATTAGATATCAGGTTGAGGTTTTAGTGCAGCAGCAAGATCTGGGATACAGACCATTAAATTTAACCACTGCCTGCTTGGAGGCAGAGAAGACAATGACTCAGGATGTCACACTTGCATGCTATTTAACTCTGTGGGAACGCCTTTGGTAGGACACAAAAAAGAGCGGCTCACCGGATCACATCAAACAGATGTTTGGCCCTGTCTGCTGAGTTGACAAGATTAAACAAACCTGTGATAACACTTTACCCAAACACAGCAGCAGTTTCTGCAACAACTAAAGTACACTGTCATTACCTCGCTGATATCACTACCTCAGACACAAAGCCTGCATCACAAGGAGAATTAATTCACTCGCCCTCTTTTAAAAACTCCGGCTTCATTTTCCTGTCGCTCTTCGGGGTTTTTACTCTGGCATAATGAGATTCCATCAAATAATGATGAAATGTGTCTGCTGCTCCCAGCATTTCTAATGGGAAATTTGGTTTTTAAATCCTTATCCCATTAGCTTTTGTGAGAGATATGGATGCAAAATCGATTCTGCTTTTGCTTTTCATGGGGTGCAATGTCACTAATCCTCTTTTTGTCTGGTTCGTTTTTGACTTTAATCTCAATAACTTTTGTAGACTCAAAGAAAATCACAGGACAAAGAAAAATGATATCGTAAAGTTGTATGACAATGCTATCTGCAGTGAGTTAAAGACTTGGAGTACTCACTGATTTAGGTTACTTATGTTTCAAGTCAACCCCATCAACACTTGCAGCATTCCTCAGAGACAGATACTCTCTTATTGGAAACAAACTGATGAACAAACTTCCTGTCATGAAGTTCAAATGTTAGCTTACCTTGTTTTGAAGAGTGCATCAGAATTTTTTGCATCAGTATTCCCTTAAATGAACAGCCAAGCGTCCCGGCATGGGGCATCTGTTCTCAGAGAGCTTACAGAAACAGATGTCAGTCTGTCTGCCCTGTGTGATGTAGCTCTTTCCTCCTTCTAACTGTCAGCGAGGGGCTGACAGAAAATGCAAATAGGCTTTACCCCTCGGTGACACTTTCAACACATGATGGCTCCACCTGTCCAGAACCTCACAGGGACACATTTTCTGACGAGGGACTGCAGGGTCATGGCTCAAGTAGATGTGCATTATTTACTAAAATGTTTTTGTTTTTTTTAAATATCTTGATAAGACGTGATTTGACGTGTCCATTTGTGTTGGTTTCATGCTGCATTCAGCTCTCTGCGGCCGACAGCTTCTCACGTCTTTCATAAAAACAGTTGTCACTGTCCATCAAAAATACAGCAGCCACAGATCCCGCTGGCCCTGAGGTTAAACATAGATAGACTCGGTTGTAATCACTCATGGGTCTCGGGCAAACCTCCATGCAACCATTACTGACCTCACATAATGATATGTCAGTGCTCCATATGCGCCACACACTTTTCAGCGTGTGGGTGTTTGTAGCTTCTCTGACTGCAGGCAGAGTGAGACTAAATATGTGTTAATACATTAAAGGTTCACTAAAGCTGGTGCATGGTCTGTGTTTATGTGTGCACGTCTCCCCTTGTGTGGCTGTGCCTTCACACCGCATCCATCCATCACTTCAGCCTTTCGCCACTTGGCCAGTTAATTACCTTTTCCTGTTCAGTCACGCACATAAAGAAAACAAGCTTCTTTCAGACTGTTTGGACAGACTTCATTCACTCTCCCTCTCTCTCCTTCTCTCCCTCTCTCCTTTTTTTCTCCAACATCTCTCTCTGTCTCTGTCTCTCCTGTGAGGACCCAGAGGCAGCCTTCACTGTCTCAGCCCCAGATCCATCAAGCTTTCATCAGCTTTGGACAAGGTCAGACTGCTGGGAGGTCGAGCCCGAACTCAACAGCAGAAGAGTGAAGGACTTTGGCAACTTTCAGAAAACATCTTCACTAGACATCTGACAGTGGTTGGTCATCACTTTAACAGAATCTGTATGACAATTTTTTCTCCGAGACGATAACAAGCTGAACTACATCACTAATAATAAACCGTTGACTAAATCTAGATGAAAGCTATTGAGGGTGAAAAAAAATAAAATTTGACAAGAACTAAAGACATTTTAGTCCAAAGAAAAAGACTCAGCAGTCAAAATTAACACTTTTGGGGTGGGCATTACAGCTTTAACCATTTCTGATTGGTCAAGTTCTCACATTTTGAAGAAAAGCAAAGCAGAGAGAAGTTCAATTCCTGGATGTGCTCTCATACAACAGATAATGTTTACACTACTTTAAGTTACTGCTCTGAGTTTCACAAACATATACAGTATCAGTAGACCCATCATTTAACACAGGCCAGAGTTAATGGGTTAAATTTAAGCCAACATAAGCTGTCGCTATTGCTGGTCAAAGAGTTATTCATAAACATTTATACTAGTGTAGGTCTGAAATAGAAATCATATGTTGTGTCTAAGTTATAGCCCACCCACCAACGGCTGGAGCTAAGTTTAATGGTGACTGCCATCATGCTGTGATGCTTTACTATATGGATGTAAGGAGACACATCTGTAAGCACAGATAGCAAATGGCATCTTGTCAAGTTGTAAGTAGGCCGTGTCTGGATAAACCTCAATAGGAATAATCAATGGTGTGTTTTCTGAGACTGGAAGAATCAAAATCATTTTCTAATGACTAGGACACTAGGAAGTAAAGATTTATTTACTGATTGAAAAATGTCATCAGGGAGCTTTTTGCCAGTTTAAGTAAGTGTGACATTCACTATTTAGCAGATCATTTGTCAAATCTTTCCTTGCCTTTACACCTCAGTGGTGACACAGACAACAGTGGGCCTGAGGAAAAGCATCTACAGTGGAAAAAGTCATCCTTAGCTGCCTCACTACACAAACTAGGAGGATGAAAATATATTTTATTCTGTTCGTATATTTTCTGCCTCCATGCCCACGGCTGCCATGGAGCAAGTCAGGCAGCAGCAGCAGCCGGGCTGCTTGCTGTGCTCTCCTCACTAGGGACACGCTGGATTGTGTTTATGTACACTAGCACCAACTATTGTGCACTTCTAATTAGAATGGCTGATTTCTGGCTCCCAGACGCTCTCGAGGTAGTTTCTCGTTTTCTCCCCCAACCAGACTCGCCCATGGAAACGAACCAGAATGAGAGCATAATGAAAAATTCAACAGGCAAGCTGGATAGGCAGGAGCCAGGTGTTGCAGTAAACTGCAGGTGAAAGCAAGGGCACAAGGGGGGGAGGGAGGGCGGGATGAGGAGGAGGGGGTTGTATAGGCAGGGGGAGGGTTAAAATATTCCGGAACAGTCTCAGAGATTGTGACCGTTTAAAAAAACGGAAATAATGTAAAGTTAATAAGCTGTACTAGTTAAAATCAACAGACATCAAACCTGTAAAGTCAGAATCACAATCTTATCACAGTTTTGTACATTTGAAAAAAATCTTTATTAGTATGCTGAGTGAAAATGTAACAGTAATCTCTATTTCCAACCATCCACTGCAGCTCACTGAGAGATCTATTTTGGTCCAAGGGCCCACTTTAAAACACTCACCACACAGCAGAGCATCCTGATACAATGGTCCCATCTAACAACCCAAACCACTTCTTCACTAGTAATTCAAACTCTTATTCAGTATATATGCAGTGATGGCAGCCACCTGCTTCTACTCTGTCTGAACTGTCACACAAAGAGAGCTGCAAACACAGCAATACTTTCTCCAGGAGGACTTTTCACTTTGACAAGAAAACACTGCACTCTTGGCTCAGTAAGGTTTATTTACAGAGAAAACAAACCGGAGCTACAGCTTATGGCAGCTAATCTCCAACACAGGACTCCCTCAGCTGCATTGAAAGCAAAGCGTGACATGCAAGTGTGCACACCAACGCTTAATAATCAAGAAAATGCAAAGGGAGCTGCTCATGCTCAAACAGAAGTAATTGCATATCTTCATCAACATTCTCCAGATCCCGTTACAAGAAAAAAAAAACTCAGTTTAAACAGCGAGAGCATGATTAGAACTCATCATTTTCAGATCAACATTTAAATACCAAGCAGGAGAAGAACATACAGATCTATAGGAGCATATTGGTCTCATTTCGTATGGTCAGTGCCGATTTCACACCAGTTTTCCTATAGGGCGCTCACTCCTGATCAGGAAAGTAGAGCGCTGTGAAAGTGATGACGAGGTGAAATGTTGAGTATCCTACAACAATTATTCTCTTCACTTCCCCCCTGGTATGAGCGGCGCCGTAATTATGCTGGCAAGCTGCCATATTGTTCAATATTCAAGTTTTCTGATGGAGTTTCTGTCTCCCTCCCACTCTGGCTCCACACATGGAGGAACTCTATAGATTGAGTCTGCGTTCACAATGAGACTCTGTAAGTGGTTTTTGTTAAACACGGCACCTTTATATTTAGCAAATATCTCAATTTTGACTATCAGCCCATGTGCTAAGAAAGATTTGTAAGCAACAGGCTAACTGCTTAGCATCACAAAGCAGCAGAGACTGTAAACGAGCTAAAGGTTAGTCTCCCATTTTGGCTCCTTAAATGTGTTCATAAAGCAGAGCACAATTCATCCAGAGCCAAGGTGAGCGCCCTCAACCCATCCTCTCCCAGTTTGCGGAGCATTATCTCAGGGAGTGACATGCTTTTGTGTGGCACAAAGCTGCTGCGTGTCGGGCAGAACAATGGATCGGCAGAGTTGCGAGAGGCTGAATCAGTCTGGTGCAACAGCCCAGCGTAGGTACGACTGTCAGAGGGGGGAGATGAATTCATCATGAAAGATGTCATTACCATGCCAATGACTTCTCAGAGAGCACAATCATCACTAATAATAGAAATTTGAACATCAGCTCAGAGCTTTCTGTCAGGAAGAGTTGCATAAATAGAAAACTGTTGTCTGGTTATGAGAGGTAGACATTGAAGGAGTGTGAGAGCACTGATTAAAAATATGCACTAAGATAAGAACTCACCATCATTTGCTGTTTTGTTTTGTTTTTTTTTTTCTCATTAATTGAGACGTCTAGACACATTCAATTGAACATCGGCTAGATAAGGAAGGAGGCTGAACTATCTCAGTGGAGAATAATGGACTCTAATCCACTTACTGACTGAAGGATTTCAATTTACAGTCCTGGAAAATGCTTAGTTTATCAAATTTTTTTTCTCTCTGGCACATTTTGGTACAATTGTCTTGTGGGCACAATAGAATCCAGCAAACCGCCTCATGGCCAGCAACAAAACTCAGCCCAAACCATTTCACTTCATATTCAAATTAGTTGTGAAAAAATCATGACTGGATGCCAATTTTTACCCTAAAAGCATTCTTTTTAGGTGAAAATAGAAAACCTTTATTATTCTCTACAGTCTACTGCCACGCAAGCAGCTTCATCCTATATGTTGCAAATGTTGGCTTTGTTAGGCTAAAATACTCTGTAATATGTCAATATGTTCAAGCTAAGGTAGCCTCTGAATTGGGACACACCTTGTGCACCATGCTGTCCCTCAAGCAATTGTATAAGCATGCTGACACTTTACAGTACCAGGGTCACACACACTGTCTCAAATATGGAGTCACCAGTTGTTTTTTGCAGCAGTGTTCTGAAGCCCAGTGGTGGTGGTTGCCATTTCCTAAATGCTAATACAGTAGTCCTATCTAACAGCCCAAACCACTGCTTCACTTGTGATTCAAACTCCTACTCGGTGTATATGCAGTGATGGCAGCCACCTGCTTTTAAAGAAAACCCAGCAAGAGACTGTTAGGTGTAGGCAGATCCTGGCCCACAGCTATGATTTACTTGCCCATCGGTCAAAGTTATTTTTCTAATTATGCATAAATGTGCAAAACTTTAAGCATACCATCTTCAAAACAAATTAGTTGTAAAAAATAAGATGCTATGTAGGTTTTATAAAGAGTAGAATAGGCAGGAGAAACTGAAACTGCTGTAAATATGATTACTCTGCTTCAAAAATGGCTTTTTTTGTTGTAATATAGGCTTCAATGGGAAGTCCGATGCTTTTGAAGCCAACCTCAAGGGGACACTTAAGGAACTGCAGTCTTGAGCACTTCTGCAGTGGCTCCTTCTTTTGCATGGGTATCTCATTACTTTACTTTCATGAAGTCCCAAACTAAAGGACTGGACCCACTTTAAGACACTGACCGGTATCACATATTATAAAGCAGGCAGCTAGCACAGTGAAAAAGACCAAGACTCAAACAGGTTCCAGCAGACCCAGAAGAAAGCAGACTAATCTGTGAATGCTCTAACCTCTCGAGGCACACTTCTTTTTGAATTAAGGGTCAGACAAATCACCTTTGCGTGAGACATAAGATAACTGAAGACTTACACTCCTGATCTCACTGAATCCTAATCACAAAACAGGAAAAAGTTACGAAAATGTCTCTTTTCTCATTTCAGGGACGCCAACATAGGCCGACAAGGACATGGATGCTGTCATTTCAAATTGTGAAATGAAGAGACAACCTTGGAGTCGTTGGCAGCTCTGAGTCGAGCGCTGAGTTCTTGTCTTGATTCGCTCTTGTTCACATTCTACCAGGGGCTCTTTTTTTTTCTTCCTGCCTTCTAGTATGAAATGTCACAACACAGCGGCACTCAGTGCGAGGTTGAGGAATTCATCCTGATGGAGAAACACGCATCCCAGAGAGGAACAGAAGGAAACCGCAGTGCCGTTCTGACTTGCATGTCGGAAGACGTCAAACAAAGTGAAAATAGAAAGCTTGAGTCTGCAATGAGATACAAAGCCGTTGCTCAAAGGCACAATGGTTCCTGTTGTATGAGTCAGTCTGTTCGCAGCAGCCTTGAGTGATTCGCTTTAATTGCACTTAGGAGCATGAGAAATAACACACAGTAAAGAGCGGTTAAACAACACTGAAGGGGAGAAGAGCTGTACAGTCTGCGCACTAATGGAGCTTTTATATATTTATGAGTGGAAAATGGAAAGTAGCCAGAAACAACATTAGGCTTGGTGTAAGTTCTATGCATGGCGATCGCTCTGTTTTGTTAATTTCATGAGGTAGAAACAGGAAGAAAGACCTCAGAGCTATTAGATCATGTCAGAGTGAATCCCATGCTACACACACACACACACACACACACACACACACACACACACAGAGTCATATTTAAAAAGGGTCTTGGGATGCAGAAGCATGCCCACTTCATGCTTGGGGTCTGATTGCAGGACTTAAGGGTCAAAGGGTAACTAATTGTGTGGCTCATGGAGGTCAGCGTCGGTGTGGCCTTCTGCCCGAGCTCTGGAACACCACCTGAAGGTCTGTCAGGAAAGACAAATGAACTCCGACCTCCCTGCTGATGACATCGACCCTAAGTCAGTGGGCACAGAGGCGAATCTTAATCTGGGTCAATGAGACAGGAGCAGACCACCGCTGCTGGTCTGAACTCTACGTGCTGACAGGTCTGCTGCTGATGTTTACCTGTCTGATAACCTGTTCACTAGGGGTGGGTATTGCCAAGGACCTCACGATACGATACGCATCACGATACTTGAGTCACGATACGATATGATATTGCGATATCCAAATGTTTGCGATATATTGCGATATATTGCGATATTCTACATAGTTCACTGAAAAATGTAAAAGGCATTATGCATCTTAAAATCCCAGTTGTATGTACATCAGATGATAGTGATAATTCATGGGACAAACAGTCAAAACAATGTAATTCAAATTATCGATGCCATTTTATTGTAAGTGCAAGTTACAACATATTTGCGTGAACAACACACTGTCTGAAACACATTGAAAAGTGCAGTGTGCATTATTCTTAGTCTCCCTGAGCACAATTATGACACAAACTGCAGTGTGGGTCAGTGTCCACATACTGAAACTGAATTGAAACCTCAGTGGATTATGTTTCTTCTGAATTTAGAGTAAATACTCAAAATAAAATGCAGTGTCTCACACACACTGAAATTGAAAATGCAAAATAAAGTGCAGCTTCTTGCCTTTGACCTTAAATGACAAAATTTAATTCACAGTTGTCTCCCTGGACAAGAACTGTGTCACTGTTTGAACACTTCACTGAATGTATGTAAAAAATAAAATATGCAATGTTGCTGCCAGTGTGGCTCTCGTACATGGCTCTCGTCTGCAACACATGTGTTACCAGCTCCCATTCGGCATTAATGTGGTGCGCCGTTATTGTAATGTAGGACTCGGTGGCTCGTGATGTCCAACCGTCACAGGACAGTGCGACTCTCGGAGCAGAGCTAAGAACAGTTTTTATTGTCTCCTTCACCTCGTCATACATTTTTGGCACAGCTACGTTAGCCATGTACTTACGCTGCGGCATCACATAGCGCGGCTCCAAAGTATGAAGCATCCACCGAAAGCCGACGTTTTCCACAACGTTGTATGGGCGCAAATCTTTACAAAGAAAATGCACCATCGCCTCTGTGATCCCCCGGGCTCGGGTTGAAGTAGATGGGAGGACTTTGGCGATGTCCAGTGTAGTTTGCTTTGGATCGGAAGGTTTCGGTGGCTCCGGCTGAGCTAATATGTCGGGGTGGTGTCTTGCTAAATGAGTTCTCAAGTTTGTTGTGTTACCCGAATGTCTAATGGGAGCGACACAGAGTTTGCAAAGCGCGTACTCTTTGTCCAGCTCATTGTGTGTTTCTCCTTTCCTTTGGAATCCAAAGTATCTCCAAACATCTGCCTTAAAGTTCGAGGGCGTTTCTAGTTTAACGTTACCAGCCATGCTTGATTGTTTTTTTCCCGGCTCCTCTTCCTCACTGCAACCGGCGGGGGAAAAAAGAGAAGAAGAAGTGAGGTAGCGGTACAGCGACACCTAGCGGAGCGGAGGTGCGGAAGTCGTACTGGATTTGTTAACCCGTCTGAAACCTGATTTATTATTTGAACAAAAAATCGATATTAATATTTTGAATATCGATATTGAATCGGAAGTCAAAGTATCGCGATATATCGCCATATCGATATTTTTGCCCACCCCTACTGTTCACTGAAATCAAATCAGCAGAAGAAATCTGAGTCTCCATGCAGAAAAGTGTTTTTTTTTCTTCTTTTGCCTCTTTTGTTGGTTGTAATGGCAGAAACGTCCAAATGCATGGACACTGCAGGGGGAAAAAAAGCAGAAAAGCCACTTTGCGACAATCTTGTCGATCCAACAATAGCATTCTTTCCTTTTTAGAGACCTCATAAAGTGCTAAACTTAGTCCTGACCTCAAGATCTTGGAATTCCTCTCAGTTTTAACTCCCAGAGTCGAGCAGAGCAGGAGATGGTTATCATTTTCCATGAGTCAATAATTAGCTGTTTTGTGCAGTGTGCCTGTCCATGCCTTCTCATTAGCAGTTCTCATGGGAGATACTTCAGCTTCTACCTGCCATCATGGGCTGAGATCATCTGCCTGAACCACACTGACGGTGACTCTGCTGTCTGGAATGTCGCCCAAATCTCGCACCGTAAAGGAATGTTCAGGAGGTCAACTGTGTGTGTTGAAAAGTGGGTGATGAATGGATAAAAATCACATGACAGCGGAAAACTCATTGTGATAGAGGTCCAGGGATCATCCAAAGAAAAGGAGTGTCTCGCTTTCATGATTAGCAAAATGTCTAAAAGGATTTCCCTTCCTAAACAGTGAAGGGCCAGAGAGAAAAGTCCAGATGGGATGCCTCCCTCTCATTCTCTGCCCACTGCTGATCCACTGTTTTGGAGACAAAAATGACCCAGACCTGTGTCAACAGCTGGGAAAAGCATCCCTCGCTCTGCTTTGTGAAAGTGATAAAAATAACGCCATGAAGAATCCTGCTGAGGGTTACGCCCTAAACGGGTCTGTTTTTCCTGGCCAGGGAGGGTCACTGTCAGGCGGACCTGGACCTCCAGCCAACACACATCAAGGCAGCACTTTCCTAGCCTCCATTTTCGCCCCTGTCCTTTCCTGTTTTGACAGGAAACAGGAGATGATAACATAGTCGCACAAACAAGCCCAGATTGCCTACGACCTGCTGCTGTGCTGTCCTCGTGTGGCGGAGGACGTGTGTTTTCTTTAGAGGGCCTCGTGCGCAAACATACGAAAAATAACACACTAGCTGTCTTGTACAAACACAGGCACACACACATCTCTTCATACACCTGTAATCATGCCAAGCTGGAGTAACCTCTGCAGAGCCTGGCACTATCTTCTTTCCGCACTTCCTCACAGGCTCCCAGCAGCGTGCCAGCACAGCGTCACACAAAGGAGCGCAATAAAACAGACCACCAAAGTCACGGACAGAAGACTTAAAGAGGTGGAGATGAAAGCAGCGGTCACCACGGGGAACCAAACGTACACACACATTCACACACACACAGAGGTGAGCGGACAAGCAAAGTCAATATCTGGAGTCGGGGCTGGAGGGTATCTTTTCTTGTCCGAGTCATCTTTATTTTGGAATGTGAGCCTTTTATGTAGCCAGGAAGCACACCACAGTGAGACACAACAAGTGGAGTGACGGGGCCATTAGAGCGGCTTTGTTGACAGTGAGAAGAGCTCAAAGGGAACGGGACACTTTGATTGCCTTCTGTGATCCCCCACTAGCTTTTGTTTATGAGCTAATTAAGCATTGTTCAGCCGCTGCAGGAACCTCCAGCACCTCCATCCCCATAGCACCGTCATGACTTCCAATGGCTACTGTAGAGCTTTTACAGCACGCTTTATAACTTAACAACTCGGGCAGGAACCATTTCCTAGCATGGGAACTAACCTCTGATGAAAACTGGCTTTAGCTTATGCACTTGCGCACATGAAAGAAGTGCATAAAAGAGATGAGAACACACCGATCAGGTCAAATTCAGGTCAAATCTGGTCTCCGACGGATGCTTCTGTGGGAGTTCAAGTGTGCCCAGGTTTCATCCCTCCATTGAACACTGCAGTCAAAACAGCCTCTCCCTCACAAAAGAGATGGAGACATAAATGCCCAGCGTGGGGCGAGGGGAGGCTGAGGGGTCAGTGGACGGACAGAATAGGGAGGAGGGGGTAACGTCTGGAGAGATGGATGTGATAATGACCATGTGAGAGAAATGAATGCATGTCAGTGAAGGAGCACAAGCAGAGGCAGAAAAACAGCTTTTGGATGAACGGACCTGACAGAAGTTCACAAAAACAGAGAACAGAAAAAGTAACACATTACAACCTGTGTTTCAAATCAATCGCTCAACATTATATCACCAAAACAAGTGATCCACATGCAAACAAGACTTATTAACACTGTGGGTATTTGTAATGATCAAAATCTAAAATAGTGCAGAATTAAAAGCAGGCAACAGCCATATGAGAGGTACAATTAACATGATACCTACATTAATGCATCAACAGGAGGACCTCTTTCTGATCCCCTGCAGGGCACGTGTCATGCACTTCTTATGTCACTACTTTGATAACAAATTTAACTGTAACATAAGTGTTTAAGTCCCATGTAAACCCATGTACAGAGGCTACAATCCCAGGGTGGGGATATAAGTGACCCACACCTTTTGCTGCATATCATCCCCCACTCTCTTACCTGTGTCTTCCTCTATCCACTGTCCTACAGAGAGGTCTCTTTTCCACAGAAGATCGAATGCTATCATTATCTTTTTACCTCATGAATACCGTGAGGTAAAAATGAGATACCATGACAGCTCTCATTAAGCATCAGCCCTGATCTCCTCCAAAGGTGCTACCATGGTATGATTTGTTAATGCACATTAATCAGCGTTGCTTTCTGTGAGAAAGACTTCGCTTTGCAACTGTCACACAGCGTCCATGTCGCACCAAAGCTGCCACTACCTGTAAAACACAGTGTGCAAATAAAAGCACACATTGCAGTTTGACCACATAATAGCTTTACAGCCGGCCTCCGTCTGGACTTGCAGTGGACACCGGAGAATGACCCTACTTTTGTACGTTTTGGCTCTGACGCTGCTGCGCAGGAAAGAGGGGGAGGTGAGTTAAACGCAGCTAAGGGTCAGAGAACCTGAACACAAATTTAGCATCTGCTGCCACGCTGAGCAGTAAAGCTATGAAGGAATTCACCGAGGCCAACCACACAGGTGTGCTCTCCAGGAGCTTCCCTCCTCTTCAGTGGGTATCTGAGGGAGGGAAGCAATTCCATGTTGCACAGACACGTTCAAAAGCATTCCAGCGATGTTTGTGTTTGATGCATAAATTTGGAGCAGTAAACAACACCTACTATCACTCGGTTGCTGTAAATGCCTCTGGGAAAAGCCGGTCAAACACTTCACAAGAATGCTCCAAACCTAATTTGAGATTAGAAAAACAACACCATCAACAAGTAAACACATATTTGTCACAGGCTCGTTTTCACTCTAGGTGTGGGAGTCAGACACTTAGCTGGGGGTCTGCAGAGTGAGCAAGTTTCCCACAACAGCAAAGATATTCAGGCTTTTATTGACAACACTGAGCCGATACTGAGAAGCAAACCCAGGGGCTGGAGAGGCAGTTTGAGACTCATAAACAGAGAGGTTTAAGTTTAAGTACCCGACACACACGTAGGAGATAAAACAGCCCAGAGCTCTTCAGCGGAGAGAGTGACATCATAAAATAGAGCAGCAGTAACAAGAGGGGAAGCATAAAGGACGGATCTATTAATGGGACTGGGTTCATGGGCGAGAGGCAAGGGAAGGTTTACTCCACAAGCATCCTTTGGGAGTGATGACAAGCTCAAGATGGCACATTTCTTCAGGTAATAAATCTCTGCTGATCTGAATGTAAATTAATTACCCTCATTTAGCTGTTCTTCTGCACATGGGTGACCTCTAAAGTGAATGTGTGTACTGTAAAGTTCACACAACGCAGCAGTTTTCAAGGTTCCAGGCAAAAGACATCACTTCCATCACCATTGAGAAGCTTTTCAAATCATAAATCTGAGGACAAAACGTCCATCTGCCAATCAGACCCAAATCAGACTCCTGCTGTATCTTGATAGACTTCTTATTGGAGATAATCCATTACGAAAATCCATGCAGCTGAGACTGACCTTTTCCATGTACCACCTATAAAGGACTCTAGCAACAGGGTTTTTCACAGGAAAAAAGCAACTATTCTGCCACTTTGGAGAATGCATTGCCTTGTTATTTCCTTTAAAATGTCAGCAGGCAAACTCCAAAGCCAAGTCATTCAATTATAAAGGAAAATGCATGCACTGAAACACTTCCTAGCTCTGCCCCGCCCTTTGTGCATGATTCTGCAAACATCTAAGGGTTTGAGTATCGAGTTGAGACTACAATGATACAGGCTAAAAAGCAAAGCAAATATCTGACTAAAATAATACTCAAGTGGTGTGCTAGACGTTGATATGAGCACCTATCCTGCAGCAAACCGAAGAAAAAAGCAGCAGGGCTGAAATCCAAGTTAGGGCTCTTATTCTCATCATATTCACCCTAAAGCTTAACTCACTGAGTACCAGAGTAATAGCACTGGCCAGTCACCTTCTCCATCACCTTCTCCATTAACCAGACCACCAGCACACCACCAGCGGGCCCCTGTGCGTGGGCATGAGGATAAAACACGGGCTGTAATAATGCAATCATAAATTGGTAGCAGTTAAGTTCAAAAAGATGGATGACTTCTGCAGCAAAGTGGAAAAGATGGAGGGACTCTGAATGTGCTTCATCTCTTTCTTTTTCCTCTAGTACTTACACGCGCATTCACACATCATCAATACACACACACACACACACACACACACACCCATCCTCGCTCACAGAGCTGGACGCTCAAGCATGAAATGAACATGAGCAGCGTGAACTTTGACTGGCATTTTCACACAGCGCTGAGATTTATAGAGCACTATATACGTAACAGAATGAGCTCCTGACCATAAAGAATAGCCCGACGTCTATCAGGGGGGGAACAGTAAGACGACTTAACACAAGGCACCCACCAATCACAACACAAGCTATCACAATCCATCTACTATTACACAAACACAAATAGAATCACACAGAGATGCGTGCACACCGTCAACAGGACATATATATGTATACATATATATAACATGAAAGCATAACAGTGCACTCACACAGCAGCTGTGTACTTACTACTGTTAGTCAATGATGGCTTCAGAGTGAATGGGCAGATTAGCTTTCAAAAAAATGTAACCCAAACAAACTACATTAATACTGACTGATGCAAAGACGTGTCAGTGAGAAAGATTAGTTAAGCAACAAGTGTTGTACAGCTTTTTGGAAAGTTGATTTTTCCTCTGTACGGCTGCAACCTGAGCCATGTCTCTCTCGCAAAAGAGATGTTGATATTCACTGGGACTTGGGACTTGTTCCAGCTATATCACCATACTTGATTTTCTTTCATGTGGATCATACCTGCAATCTTTAATCAAGAACACTGTTAAAATCTGTTTATTTCACTTTGTATGTTAACGAATCACAGTTCCTTTAAAAGGTGCTTTGCTCTTGGCACTGTGACAATAGTTGTTGAGAGAAGGAGTTGCTCATTCCTTGTTAACATTTATCACAGCTTACCTAAAACTGCTCCCCTAACATTTACATACAATAGTTGACATCTGCCAAAGAGCAAAACAAACAAGGCAATGTCAAGACCAACTTCCACACCATACTCCACTCATCCACTGTTTGCTCTGAGCAAAAGAGCCACACCCTAAACAGCCCAGAGTTTGCTGACTGCATATCCATCTTGGTGAGGATACACAGTGCTGGCATTCTCTTTCAGCGCTTTGCTATAAGCCAGGCGATTTGTCTGCTACCACAAGGCCTGCTGTCAATTGAGGCATTTTATGGAGCCAGCAGGAGATTACCTCCAACCCAGAGCTCCTCAGTGTCTGTGTACAGGGCTGAAAATTTATCTCAACTCCTATGTTTTACCGATACTCTGAATCAGACTCAATAATGGACGGCAGTCTCTCTGGATCGTTCATGTCTTACTTCAGCATGACATATGGAGCCAGGCTGCAGGAGCTACGAGACAGCATAAAACCAACAAACATATACAGATACCTTGGCTCGACCTCAATTAGAAAGTCAAACTGATTCATTTCCACTTTTTACAATTCTTGTTGCGTTTGTGTTTCTTGTTCGTTGACATTTGTGTCTTTGTTTCTCTGTTCTCAAGCTCTGCAGACTCGAGCTGTGCTGTAACACATCACCCTGTCAGCCCAGCCTGCTCAGCCATTGTTTCATTTCAGTCTGGCTCATTATAACACATTATCCCTCAGTAAACAGCAGCAAACCCATTCAGACAAGTGCTATTATGCATGGCAATCATTTTTCAAATACACAAACAATGGGAAACAGCTTAATAATACAGGTGCTGTCACATTCGCAGCATTTCCCGGAGCTTAAATCCAAAGAAAGCTGTAAAACATTATTGATAAAAGAAAAAAAAATACATCAAGGCCTCAGTTTTTAAGCCTGACAGGACAATGTCCATCTTACACATTCATACAAGTATATGATGGGACGTCACCGACATCACCCTGACTACTAGACTAGTCAGCAGAAGTTTAAATTAGTTAAAAAACTTATATTCTTATCATTGTAAAAATATCCAAAAACGCTGACCGTTATAAATAAGCTGTGGTGCACTAACCTGAGCTGCAGCTCCAGTCAATAGTTACTGTCATACTGCTGTATTGCTCTACAACCCAGATGTAAAAAAGCACAGCTGACAGACAGCATCTCATAGCGCAGGGCGGTATTTTGATCGAAAAAATTATTTAAGGCTGTGTCTGGTTACACTGGGATACAACGACTTAATCATAGCAATGTAAAGTTAGTGCCTGTATGTTGATGTCAAAGGGGGACGGCTCAACCAACAACTCAACATGGAGAGACATCGCAGCTGCCTGGAGAAGAAAAAGAGGATGTTCTTCAGTGAAGAGTTAAAGAAGGCAAAGAAACAGCTTGCCAAGCAGAGGGCCCAAGCAGCTAGAAACCAGGGCCAAGAGGCTCAGAAGACCAGAAATCAACTTTCCTCTGAGCTGCAGAAAGAGAAGGAGAGGAGTCAACTTCTCCAAAAAGAAGTGGAGAAGCTGAAAACTTCACAATATGAGCAGAACCTCAGACATGAAGCTGAAGCAGTCGGTACCAAGCTGCTGCTGGAGAAGCTGCAGTGTGAGCTTAAACTAACTCAGGGTGTCCTCAAGAAAGGATCTGAGGACCAGGCTCTGCTCCACGAAAACCTGGAACGATATAAAACTGCCTACCAAAACCTTGAGGTGAAGTATGAGTCTCACACCTCAGCTCTGAAGCAGCAAGTTCAGATCCTGCAGAGTCAGCATGAGACTGAGGTAAAGATTTACGCTGACAAACTATATGAGTGTCAGAACATCATCTGCAGTCTGAAGGCTGAACAGGACGCCATGCGTCATCAGATCACCCAGCAGCTGGATTTCCTGCAGCAGATGGACAAAAGAAAAGACATGGAACTGGACGGGCTGAGAGCTGAGCTCACCCTTTACAGCAGATATAATGCAGCTGTCTCCAGTGAACTTCAGAAGTACCAACAGGAGCACTGGAGAAGGACGGGTCAGGTGGCGACATCAGGACCAAGCTTGGGGCAGGTGGCGACACCAGGACAGAGCTCATGGCAGAACATCTGAGGAGCATCAGCCTTTGCTCCTCAACCCCAACCTCCAGCCCCATCTGCACCACAGCCTGCAGCTGGGCCCAACACAGCACCTGGATGCAGTACCTCTGGGTCTCAAAAGCGATTGATTGATTTAGTTCATCACTTTACAATTAGCTCAACCTCAAAGGAAGGAACTGTTTCAATGTGGTAAAATAGTAAAATAAATGTCCCCTACTTGTTATTTTCAACCTTTATTGTTGCATTTGAGATTAAAAATACAAGTTTAAGCCAAAGAAGTGATGATGGCACTTTAGATTAAGCTAAATTCGCTGTTTCACCATGTTTTAAGATGTTGTATTAGGTCAGCACACTGTCTCTTTGTTTAGTGAGACACAAATTGGAAACAATTAAATAAATGGGGGCATGTCTTAACAAATTGATTATTTAAACAAATACATTACTGTTTTATCACTTTAATGCAGCACAATTTCTTTTTCAAGACTACTTCTCTTTGTAAATGCAACAGGCAACTCAGCACCAACATTAAAAGAGACTTAAGAAAATCTATGATATTCAACCAAGCATGACGTTTCAAGGCTGGTGGCTTATTGCTTTTTCATCAGCTCATTATAAGGTGATGGTGCAGCTGCTCTCCTAAGTCTCACTCTTTGATTGAACATCTTTGCTGAATTGCTGTTGGGGATAATGGGTTAACTTTACATATTTGGTTTTGGTGATTGAGAATCTGCGACCTGTACAACAGCTGAAAGTTCATTCCCACTTCTAAGCAGCTTAAAATATATTGGCTCTTATCACCTTGACAAGCAACAGGGAATATCTGCATGGCTCTCTAAAATGACATGCAGGTGAATCAGACAGGGCCAGATGGCCAAACGAGGATCTCAGGTGTGACCTCAATGCACATGACTCTATATGTAGATGATAGTCAGTTTCTTTTCAATATTCAGTCATGAGCAAACATCAGTAATGAGAGCAGTTTCAGGTGTAGAATTCCTCATCCTCCTCCAACAGATTTCTTCCCTCTCCTCCAGCTGAGAGGCGATCAGCATCAGCCTCTGCAGCTCACTTACCGAGCAGATCCATCAGCCCTCACATCTGCACGCCCAGAACCTATTTCCTGCACTCTGCCTCGTAGCAATTTACCCCGCCAATTGCGATAAGTAACGGAGTGGGTAGCCACAATTGGGGTCAATTCACTTTCAGCTCACTAAATTAAAGATGTAAAATGAAACTGCAGCAGATATTGGGAAGACGTGGCCTTCATTTAAGAGCTGACTAAAGGTTAGAAAGTGAAAGCTTACTCAAAAAGCAGGACCAGATGAGAATATCTGCTGAGAAGTGAATGAAAAACTATTCACACTCCATGACAGAGTTGTTCTATCGCTAAAGCACTTTGGCAGCTTCAAGGTCTAGATAAAAGCTAGGAAAAAAAATAATAAATCAAGTTGCCCCAATTTAATTCCTGCAGTTCTTCAGTTAGAAATTTGAAAATTAAAAAGCTAAAGATCTCCCTTTTTATGTTACATTGTGTTCCCTGTGCTACAAAAGTGTCATTCATAGTGAGTACAACTTGTATTACCAGGAGTGAGTTTCATGCAAATACTGAATTATACCTTTTCGATTGCCTTTACTTCATTAATACAACCAATCTCTGTAAACCATTACTAATTTTAAAAAAGCAGCACATGTTGTTAAATGTTAGAAATGGATCAAGAAGGGAATGAAAAAAACAAGTTATTAAGATTATGATCTAGCCGGACAATGGATGACAGGTTTCAACAATTTTAAATACGTCTTACCAAGAACTCATTTCAGAGGCTGTCAAAAAAGAAGTGAGTTTTAATATCCAGGCTTAAAAGTACGAATAAAAGAAGTGGACACAATGCATGCAAATTGGTTGCACAAAGTGGCAGCTGTCAGCTAAAGAAAGAGAGTAGAGAATGAAGTAGAGAACTTGAAGTAAAGTGGCAGAGAACAGCTGCATGCTGCCCAGGCTCACAGATACAGTGTAGCACAGCAGCACTATGACTGATGTCTGCGGTCTGTGCACCACTTGACACCAGATTATTACTCTGCGGTTTAATACAGCCACATGCCATAAAGCAGAAGTCACACTGCATGCAGGGATGAAGCGCAGGGATGCCTCAGCCTCCTGAGTCTCCTCCATTCTCCTCCCTCGTCTCTCATCTCCTCCCGGCCTCACTGAAGTGCACGCACCGCTGAGCAGGCACACAACCAACGCACACACATACTGTAGACAGCCTCAGGGGGCTCAGGTGCTTAGAGATGGAGAGAATATTATGGTCATGCTCTGTTTTAACTCCACGTTAGCTCAAGTTTCACAACCGGAGGGTTTTCTTTCACAGTCTTTTTTTTTAAATCTTTCTGCCAGTCACTTTGTCCTGTTGTCTGCCCTCCTGCAGCGAAATCGGGCAGCATACACCTGTTTTGGCCCAGGTAGGCCTTTTGAAACCCTAACCTCACATAAAGAGTGGGAGAACTGACAGACAGGTCAGAGGTCAGTCAACAGAGGAGAGGTAACACTCCCTCTGACTCGCCTGGGAAATAAAAGCTGGGTAGGTAGACCTGCAGCCATTCTCTCGCCCTGACTTCTTCCCCATCTTGGCTGTGTCTCTCACACTGACATGTAAACACACTTGTCTATGCACTACCAACAAAGCAGTGTTGCTGCTGGGTACCTGGCAACCAAACACACCACTCTGGCAGTCATATAAATGCATTAGTGGACAAGAAGGCTCCAAGTGAGTTACATGAAATGGAAACAGAGCAAGCTACTTTTTATCAGTATCAAGTTGAGACAGATGGTGATCTAACAATGTGTCTGGTTCAGCTCGACTTTTCTGCCTGTTAAAATAATTCCTTTTTATTACCACTTTTGTCATGTATTTGCTCAGGATGGGTTTCTGCAAATATCAGCATAAAGAGTCTTGTTTTATATGTCTCTGCATATCTTCACAACTAAAAACTGATTGGTTAATTGATTCATGAAAAACAATAATACACATAAGCAGTGAAGACATTAGTGTTTGAGTTTCAAAAAGCAAGGTCAACTGAACTCAGATCAAACAATAACTTTGTGCACAGGAAACATTTGTTGCGCAGCACGGGTTGATTTATTTACTTTCTTCATTGCTTCAGGAAACAAAACCTGATTTCACTTACACTTTACTAACAGAGATCCAATAACCATTCAGCACTCCAAGTGGATCAAGGGTCAAACAAGGAACAAAGCAGAAACAAATCAAACATGAATCCAAATGAGTCTTTTGTGAGAATTACCGCTCCCATAATTTATGAATTCTACATGAAAAAACTGGCAAAAGGCCTCACTGTAACAAATTAATTCCTGCAGCCACATTCATCTCACAAACCATCCATAATAGGCTTGGACACACTGTGCATACATGAGCAGTTCACAGTATTCAAATTTAACTGTTTGTTGGCTCATTCTTTGTCGCTATGGTTTAACTTTATTGCACATTGATCTGCATAGAAAAATGGTTAGCTTGCGGTTAAAAGTTCATTTTCCACATATCCAGACCTAGCTCTAACTGACCTCAACCTCCAGCAGCTCAACTTAATCCCCATCTTCAAGCCCTCACAGCCCTGCAGGTCGTTCTCTGTTAATCATTCCGCGCTCTTACAAGGTCCAAGACTGCTTGTATATTCATAGACCTCACTATTTATGAGCCTGCGTTTAGCGCGGCTGATTTATTTAGAGACCAGAAATCTCTGCAACATGCTAACAAACAAACAAACTGTATCCTCTCTCCATCACTGACTTGAGTCATGAGTCATGAACTGAATTTCTTACAGAGAGGCAGATGAAACTGGTAGCACCACATTCATGTCTGTGGGCTAATTATCAGAAGCAAGAGCCAACAGCTCTTAGCTTAGCTTAGTTTAGCACCAAGACTGGAAAACAAGTGGAAACTACGAGCCTTGTATGTTGTCATGTTAAGCTAACCCAGTGAATGACTTCACCTGACCTGACTATGTCAAAATATGTCAAAGCAACACCTAAACTTTTCACAGAACAAATGTGTTCCTACAGCCAGCTGTGAGCGGTTAGCTTAAACCATGAATCAGCTGGTTGTAGCATGTACAGGGTTTTTTGGCTCCTGTTCCCCCTGAATATCATCCCTATCACTGTCTAAGCCATTACTGAGGGGCTTGAGCTACTCCATCCTGTCCACAGGGGAAGAGTTATAGTCCTTACAACTCACAATGACTCCAGGCCTTTGCTCTTTACAAGCCTATCTAGCCTTTGTTGTCACTGACAAGCTCTTGACATTTTTATAAGTTTGGTTGATAACACCAGCACAGAAAACACTCTCCTCTCGTTTCATCTCATCAACACAAACAACTAAAATATTAAGTACCCCCCTCAGGTCACAGACTCACAAAAGTACAGAACATTTTAGTGTTTAAGAGGAAAGTGTAATCTAATCCAGCTGTATGACCCTATCTGTCTGTGTTGACAGAGTCTGATCAGAGCACAGGGCTAATTAGTGTTTTTGAAGTTGTGGTTTAAGTGATCATCCTGCTTTACATCATACCTCACCTAGACTCTCTGTCCAGCCACAATAAGCACAGTCTACAATTATTGAACCCAGACTGTCTGCCAGCCACCACTGAAGTCATTCCATACTGTGGGTTTTAATTATGCAAATGAAGTAGGTGAATTCCCCTGATTTGGAGGCTAACAGTCTCTGTGCTGTTTCTGCCTGTCCTTTAGGCAAAGGGCATTTTTCAAAGCTTTTTTTAATGCTTACTGAACATAAAATATACTAATTCAGCTCAAACTCAAAGGTGCTTGCTCAAGGACATTATTTCAGTAAAGTTGATTTGGAGCTGAGACCTTCAAAACAATGTCATAATATGTAGAATTATTACAGTACCTATATGCACCCAGATGGAGGGGGAATGCGGTTGCATGTGTAGGGTATCTTGATAGAAGCAGGCAGAAACTTAAGGGCAAGGAGCATGAAAACATCTAACTGTTGTCAGTGTAGGGGCGCACTTGACAAATAACTTGTCATTTAGACTTTTCTTAAGCTGGAAAGATGTTTCTGTGCAAAAATGTTGTGTTATCGGCACCTCCAGGCCGCAGTGTAAATGTCTTGCAGGAAACGGTGTAAACTGGTTCCTTTAGACCCAAACAGGAAAACACAAAAGCTGTCTGGGAGGCCTCAGTAACTTTCCCCTCTGTTTTATGTACAAATAAAGCGCATGCTCACAACCCAAACACCCTTTCCTTGAATTTTTATCCCCCTCTACTACTACTGTATTCAAACAATAAGTCCGCAGGCTGGGTGAGGTGGGGGGAGAGGGATGTCTGGGGACTGAGCTGACTTCCTCTTCACAATAAAAGAAAAAAAAAATCGGGACGGATGGGGAGGGAGGGGAAGTGCGACCTCGGGTAAACAGTCTCCGCTCTCGTTTTTTCCCATGACGACTACAGACACAACAAAAGCTGAACCCTAACAGGTAGCATGATCCCAGACACACCAACAGGACCACCTGAATGACCCCTTTGGCCTTAGTTCCTCTGAGGAGGAAGCAATTTGGAAGCGATCATCCAAAACCACGTCCATCCTATGAGGCCTTACAGGTGGTTAAAGACAATGGCTTTATTATCCCTCAGTTAAAGCAGCCCATACCTTTACCCCTTAACAATAAGGGCAACCTGCCATCAGTGTACGCCACCCCAGAATTAAGGTCCAATTTAGCTATCAACAAGTGTAAAATGGAGGAAAGGGGCTGCTCCCATTTCTGAGCACCTGGTGAGGGCTGGAAAGTGCTGCTGGAGGGTCCAACAGTAAAAAGGAGAGGTCAGTTCCCATGGTGGATAATGGCACTAAAGGGTTTACAGGTTGGACTTACCTGATACCTGAACATAGATCTGATAGGCTAAGTACAAAGATGAGACCACACATGCAGACATCCCAAACAAAAACCCAGGTGCTCCAAAATGCCCCCTTGTTCCTTGTCTACCTGGACTTAAGGAGATGTGGGATTTGGGGTTACCTTGACAAACTGTAATCCAATCCGACTCTGGGACTCTCCACAAAAGAGGACAGACTCAAAGGGGGCAAAACCCACCCAGCCCGCCACAACAACAGCAGCAGTCTCAGGGCCTATATTTAACAGCGGTGGGAATTGTGGGAGCAGCCATACAGGAACACTTTCAATGCACAGCGAAGGTCGACTGGGACTTTGACTTCCTCTCCGCAGTCTCCAACATGAGTAGCTCGCTCATTTCAACTCCCCCGACTCCCCCTAGCCTCAGCCCCCCACGCCCAACAGCAAAATAAAGAGATAAGCATTGTTTAGTCAAACAATGGGGCACTTTCAAAGTCTCAAAGCCAGTCCATTTTCACATCCAAGGCCGGTATTTGAAGTCAAACATGCAATAAACAACTTTATAAGTGGAGGCTGAGAGCTTTCTTGGTACAATAATTGAGTATTCAGTAGCTAACATGACATTGTTCATGGGTACAAGTGTTTAAAGCAGGTGCAGGTAAAGAAGAAATGGCAGATGACCCCTAAATTTCCATTTGTTTCACAAGAAAGGCAGTAAAATAAAAATGCAATTCATCACAGTGTTTCCAACTTTAAAGTGCAAATATATTTTGATTAAAGCTGCTTTCAAACAAACCTTCAATGAGTTCTGGTCAGCCAGGGCAAGCGCTTGCTTCTTCAGCTCTGTGACTTTCTTCTGGCATTGCTGGCAGAAGCCGCCCTTTTCCTCCGTCTCGGAGATGGAAACTGACCCGGCACCCTCAGGGGGAGGTCGGCTACTGCAGCGCGCGTCCTCCGCTGAGTTGAGCCTTTTCCTGGGGGTCACCGGAGACTCTCCAGTGGGACATCCCTCCACCTTCAGCAAGAGGAAAAGTTAAGTTAACCTCAGCTTTAAGCATTAAAGAGACTGTGAAAGTGAAAGTGTTGGTTTGCACATTGAAGACCTGTTTGAACACATAGCACCTGTCCGAGTGCGCACCAAAGCTCTGCAGCTCCAAGCTAGCTACTAAACGATGTAACCCACGAGCTATTCCACTTAAAAACGGAACTGTTCACAGACAGACACTTACAGTGAACACATGGGTGCTCTGGTCCCTTCCATCAGGAGCTGAATCGCTCTCTACCCAGCTCATTCTCCCAGACCAAGGTAACACCTCCAGGAGAGCGTCTTCGTCAAACTTAGAAAGTTTTGCCGCAGAAAAACGCAGAGCAGAGGAGCCATAGGCTGCACTGAAAACCTGACTGAAGGTTGCCAGGCATCTGTCAGATTGTGGAGGTTACTGTATCTATCGCTGCAGGACGAAGGCAACTGGTGAGTGTGAGCCATAAGTTTACAACAGAGGAGTTTTGGTGCAGGAAAGCGCTCAGCCGTGCGCAGGAGGCGGTGTTACTCCTGAATGGGAGGGCTAAAGAAAACTTTTCCTGCGCACAGTGGAGGGACCCTAGGAGGGTTTTAGCTGCTGTTTCGCCACGGAACACTTTAAACTGATAAAATTACCCCTGATCGAGTACTTGGAGAACAGATTCCAATGCAATCTCCAAGCAGTTTATAAAAAATGGCTTTTTAAAAGAAACATTTTTGGACAATTTCTGTTTTCATCATTTGTTCTCTCTCCATTTAAATGAAATGATTGAAATCATAGCAAATATCAAATCAAGCATCAACATTATTGAAATCTTTGTTGATTTTGACGAATTATCCGCAAAAATATGTCCTTGAAAGCTTGGAGACTTCCTTGAAAATTTAAGAATAGTTAAGTGGTTTTTGGTCAGTTTTGAGAGGGTTGGACAGCAAAAAAGTATACCTGGATTCATGAATCTAAATTATTCATGATGGTTACCTTTGAAAACATTTATTAACAGAAGAAAGCTTTGAATTTTAAAGTTTCACAGTATCATGTCCTTATATCACATGACATTCACCCGAAAGTTTTTTGGTCTGTGCTTTAAAAATATGAGCATTCAGAATAAACCCATGAATAGGTTTTAATCTGAGCTGTGAACACTTAGTTTGTCGATACATCCTCATCTGTTGCCTTTCCCTTCAGGCTGAGGTTTGCCTCTGTGTGTTGTTGGTATCTGGCGCCATCCTCTGGTGAAAGCATAGAACAGCAAATCTCAGAGTGGCAGGGTGGATGTGCTTGGGTTAAATATTTAATTGGTAAACTTTAAATATTTCATGTGGATGATGTAAGCGACAGTGGCCACATGAGCTGCTGCTCTGGAGCAGTTTGTCTCTTTTTTTCCCTGCCCTCAGACGACCGAGGCTATTTAGGGAAACACGGAATCTTTTGTCCTCGGATTTGTTCAACTTTGAACAAATTATAAAGGATGTCATGGGAAGAAAAGTATACAGGGTCAGATTAACTTTTTCTGTTAATTATGCATTTATTTATTTTTTTTGCATAATTAACAGAAACCTTAAAGTCGTGTTTTTTCTCTCTGTGGGGAATCAGAAGACTAGATCCTCAGACAGTCCACAAATGCAAACAAACACGTCTAAATCTGCTGAGGTTTTAATAAAATCAGATTGCAACTTCATTATCAAACCTTTTGGGTGTGTTTTGGCCACTTGCTCTGCACCAGAGGTGGTTTCTCATGATTAAAGTTTACGTTCAAGTCACTTTTACGCATCAATCTAGCGTGCTAGAAAAGTGCTCGATAACACAAAATCATAAGGAATGACCTCTGAGGACTAAGTTTGAAGGAAATCAAAGATGTGGATGCTGCTGCCCAAGGTCCTGAATGCCGGACAGGAGCCGTCAAGCGCGCATCATCTTTCTGCTCCATCATCTTCTCCAATTAGTTTAAAACACAAAAGCATAAGGGAAAATCTATCTCATACGTCTGTGTTTCCACCCCCTCCACAGGACACCCTTACCTTTGTTTTCCTCTTCAGTAAGTGACTTGTAAATCCAAATATGATGTCGGAGTCCACGAAGATGGTCCCCAGGTCGATGACGTTGGGGTTGGGCTTCCCGGCTCCGGGAGACCCCGATGAGTTTGGCAGAGCCATGTGGGCTGCGAGTATAGCCAAAAATATACTCCACTCCTCTGGAAACCTAACTGATTTGTATATCCATTTAATTTATTTCTCTCGTGCCCTCCAGAAAGATCCACAAGGTTTTTTAATCCGGACATCCAGTGAGTCACGGTGAGCGCTCGCACGTGTGCGTAAAATCACCTCTTAGATTTCCAGGAGTCCGAGATGACAATAAAGCGATACAATCCATCAGTCATGCAAAAATGAAAAAGATTTACATCCAGTGGGATACGTTGAAGCCACCCTGAGGCTGCTCCTCGTGCCCTGATCTTTGAGCGCGAGCAGGTCTGAGAGCGAAGGAGCACCTTGCGCGTCTGCAGCTCTCTGTTCTCCAGGCTCTCGCTCATTTCCCCCTCTCTCCCTCCCTCTCTCTCTCTCTCTCTCTCTCTCCCTCGATCAGTCACTCACTCCCTCATCATCCTCCCTCTCTCCAGTGATGACCTGTTCTTACGCCCGATTTGCCCACATGAAGATGTAAAACACAATGACAGTCCTGGCTATAACCCCTAACGACTTATTTCCTGTATGTTCCTATAATATTCATCCACGGACTCACTGAGTGGCACCTATAGGGTAATGACCTTATCACAGGTTACATGTCTTTTCTTCTGTAGGTATAATGGAGCTGCAGTGCTTGCTGTATATGCTGATCATGTTCCTTTGGAATTGTATGATTGTATTTTCCACGAGGGAATATCAATGACGCTCATTGCCTTACTGTAGTGATGAGGACCAACTGCGGGGATGGATTTTATTGTCTTCTATTGAAACCAAAATGGATTCGTTTTTTCCTTATTACAATACTCTTCCCACAGGCTGTACTAAAAGCCTTTAAAATCAGTTATAACACTGAATAAAAGCCATGAGCACTGTGATGATTTCAGACACTCACAGCTACTCATGTCTTAAACTCGGTTGGACCTCATGATTGCTGATCGATATTCAATGAATAGCCTTCACCCTCTCTAGGCTGAGGGTAGTTATCTCACAGATGAAATGACTGAGCCCAGCAGGAATACACGGTAGCCTGGATGTAGATGCTTAAAATGTAAATTTGTTGTGGCAATTAAAACTGAAATCTTATCTTTGCCACATCTGCAGGACGTGAGGGGTTTGACTCCAGGGGTGTGTCCAGAGGGGTGGCCAGGGGTGACATGATCACCTTGAAATCTGATTGCCCCCAAATATTCCAAGAAATGATTGTCTGTTTGCGTTGTTAGAGGCAAGACTTATTTTTCAGTTAACTATTTGGCTGTATTGTGTTGCCACAGGTTGCCAGTAGCTTTCTTTGCATTAAAAGCAAAGTTTTGTTAGTTTGCACTTGCAAGATTGGGCTCTCTTTGCTGCCAAAAGCCAATTAATATGTTAATTTTTAATATTTCAATCCAACAGGTTTCTCAAGTTTGCTTGCAAATTTTTAAAGGCTTGGTGTGCAGAATTGGGAATGCTTTACAGGTCCTAGCAGTCAGGTCCAAGATGCTCCCCTGCTAACTCCTCCCATCAATGAAGCAACAGTAGCCTTCATTGACAAGAAACTCTTGTGACACATAAGTCTGATCCTCTATTTGACAAGTTTTCCAATCAAAAATATTGATCGATATTTATTATTTTCAGCAACCACCATCTTCGTCTCTATCTTCCAACAGGTGTATTTCATGCAACCACCCTAAAAATCAAATACGCATTTGTATCTAGTTTGTTCTTTTTGTGTTATGGTACAAACATGTTCCGCTCATATTAAAGCTTACTGATCAGCGTGCAGGCTCAGTTTCCTAATTGACTTCAGTCAGTTGTGCCGTAATGACAACAGGTCATAAAGGCACAGATGTTCTGATCCAAAAGACAATCTGAAGTATAGCAACATGAGAAAAACACAACTGAGCTCTATAAATCAACAGTAGAATGACTGAGTCACTTCTCCCTACAAAATCAGTCAAATTATGACCTGTGCCTCCCCATGGCTCTTCAGTATTACAGACAGTTGTGGAGATAGTTTATAATGTTGAAACTCATCCTAATACAAAATCCCTGTTTTCATTCATGAATTTTAATGTGTTTCAACCTGCAGCTCAGTGGCACTGAAACAGACTGTAATGATGATGTCATCACCCACGAGGGGCAGCTCCACAGACGGTGAGCAGTGGGACAGCAGCAGCAGCAGCATCCACGGTGATATGACTAAGACGGCGCTGTTTTCATGATTCACAGCTCTGGCTGCATTTGACTTGTGACAACTTAAACTTTGCAGATCTTGTAAGAGTTTGTGCCCAGAGAGGTTAAATAAGCAGTGCAGTGATTCATCAGAGTACCTAGATTTAAAAAAGAAAAATACATTTTCCATAACGGATGGAGCTAACTGGTTTTATTAGATTCCCCTGCATGATTAATGTTGATCTTTTAAACTGAGGCTCTCTGTCTTAAAGCAAACAGCAATTCCTCACAAAACACTGTAACATCATTGTGACAAGTATTTTTTTGCTTTTGTTGCTCCTCCAGAAAACGTTTTACAAAGTGTTTTATGAACTTTATGAAAATGTTTAACCTGACAATTACAGAGAAACATCTAAAAGGAAATACGTGTTAGAGTGGATTCTCCCTTTAGTTATTTGACAGCTGTGATTCAGAAAACACTGATTTCAGATGGCTGTCTAAGAAGTTTTAGTTGCATTTGTATTGATGTTTGGAGAATATATGGGAGACCAGGGCTTGTTGTCACACTTTTTACACTCTTATATATTTCTTGATTGTAAACAAAATGTGTTCCACACGAAAGACCAGGTATATATTTCGTATTCATTTCATTTTCATATCTTGTGTCAGTGCAGAATTATAAGCAATCAAATAGAGAGTGTGAACATGTGACATGTTGCCCCACCATCGGGTAAGTTGTCTCACTACATGGGGTAAGATGTCTCAGTTGATTTTGAAGCTAATAAAACGAGGACCAATTTATTATTGTTCTCCTTTTTTTACTTGAAAGTGAACATCAAAGTCAGGCACAGAAAATGTTTATCATTGAGCTTGAAAAAGTCACTGAACAAACATTAACATTAAATATTATGCAACATGCTCTGGAGTTTGGAGAGCTGTCTGACTCTGTATTTTGGCGGGGGTGAATGTTTTGCTGTACAGAGCCAAGGTATGGTAGTTGACATTAAAGTTCTTTATTGTAGTCCACATTGATTTATTAGCTAGGGTCACCTGTCTTACTGTCCTCAGCATCACGTCAGGTACTGCACTGCCACGTTCTGTTTTTGTTTTGCAATTCTTGACCATGTCTCCTCGCTTTCTCCTCTCCTTTAAACTACTTTTTTCTGTAAAATAAAGTCAAAGTTTCAATATGACAACAGCTGATTAGCAGACTCTCTATGTTAATTTTAATCCCTTTTAAACATGTGACAACTAACCCCAAAATGACTGAAACATGTTGCCCCAAACTACCATGTCTGCTTATTCTAGCTCTATATTAAATTTAGCTTAAAACACAACAATGACTGAGGTATGAGAGGATGCTTTAATCTCTCCTCTAACAAGTCCACATGTATCACTGCTATTTTTATCTGGAAGAAGTTTATTTTAAAATAAATAAGGTTAATTTTTTTACTTTGGGTTATGCGAGATGGTTAATTGGCAATCATCTCAGCTCACAATGTGCTCTTCTCTTCTCAGACAGGACGTGACCCCTGACCATGTAAAGAAAGAAAACTAGTATTTCACCATAGACTGTATATACTATGGACAACTTGATTCTGCCTCCCACCAGTATATGGATTTGAAGCCAAAAAGGGCTCAGTATTTCTGCGATTTTTCTTTTTCATTTCCTGAAACCAACATTGCGCTGTAGCGTAGTACGAATTCAGCGGGAGAGTGGCTGAGAGTTGCTGTGCTGACGCTCGGCTCGAACAGTGTATCCCCTTGGTGAGCTACACAATCTTTGTATGTCAATAGGCTGTATCAGGTGTCAATCATAGAAAACATGAACCTCCTTGTAACTTTTAAAAACGCTGCTGCACAGAAAAAAGAGGACTTCAGCATAAATCAGTCTTACAATAACTACAAGTCAACACCGAAAGCAGTGGGGAGAAAACTGTATATTCTGTGTGATAAATTTCTAAAGTTTGTCCACAGCCCCATAAGCTTTGCTGGCGGAGGCGGGATTTATGACCTATACTGCAGTTCGTCAACAGAGGGTGCTGTTCTCAGAGTGGCTTCACCCAGCGAGGAGGCAGACGCGTCCATTCTATATACAGTCTATGTATTCCACTTTGTAGTTGCGCCCTCTGGTGGCAAAGATAATTGCAATGTGACAACTTACCCATGTGACAACAAGCCCCGGTCTCCCCTATGTGATCACATCCATGTTTCCAAAAGCTGAAGGTTACAGGAAAGTTTTTTTTTTTTTTCTTTTTCTTTAAAGTTACAAGTTGTTGTTTTTTTCACCAGGTCAGACATGATTAAAAATCTGATGCAACACTGAAGCTTTGACAGCTGAGTAGAGGGGGGTAAATAATAAATATTCTGGGGATGAATAAATTATTTTTAATCCCACAAACACCTCGCAAAACACTATAATCGCACACTCACAGACACACACACACACACGCGTGTTGGGGTTGGGGGGGGGGGGGGGGACTTGTCAGCAAACCGATAATTACAATCCATAGTAAAGATGATTTACCACGTGCGTCACCCACCCTGCTCTCCCCACAGGAGGAGGTCTGGGTTTGGGTCCTGTCCCCGACCGCTGATGAAATTCCGAGGACGGTCGCGTGGAGGGGAGGGGGGTTGTCCCTGGGGACTGCACGTGCTGCTGCATCTGCTGCCCCTCGCGTGCGTACATTGAAATCGCTCTGGGCATCTCATTAAAGCCTCTCCGGTGTCTTCTCCTCTGCTGCTGCCTGTGAGACCTGTGCAGCTTCACGGACAGGCTTTGTGAGAAACGTTTAGCAAATATTGATAGTTCTTGGCGCATGGAGGAGATCAAAAGGAAAGAGGAGAAGGGGGTTGTCTAGGAGGAGAGGGGGAATAATCGGTGCGCGGTGCTTTCATGAATCATTTATGCTGTATAAAGTAGCCTTTGCCCATTGGGGGAAGGCGGTCGGATTTTCTTGCTAGAGTTGTGTCAGCTTTTGAGTCTTTAAATTAGGTTTTCCCACGAAAGTAGTCCTGAAAACAAGAGCTGTGGGTGCAGATGCGTGTGTTTAGAATTTAATTGAGGCATTTGCAGTCTAAATGAACCAAAAAGTTGAAGAAGTTTGTAAGCAGAAGCAAGTTACTCGAGACTGTCTTCATTTTTGCTTTGATGGTAGATTTGATAGTAGGCAAATGCACTTTCACAGCAAGCTTCAGTACTTTGGACAGCGACCATCTCTGCAAGCTTCACTGTCCATCATCACCCCACACAGGACTCAACAGAGACAAATAAATTTTTTATTGACTTGTTTTAATCAGTACTTCCCAATAGTGGTAACAGTTAAAGCACAAAAAAAAAGATGAGAGTTAGAGCAGCAGCAGAGCTGTTAAAAATCTGTACATGTGCCAGCAGAATGAAATTACTGAAGCCTGCTGATTTTTACAACCCCCCACGTACTCACTGCAATTGCATCCTAGTTGTCATTGTAACACAAGGGGGCACAGTGAGAGCAGGAGACAGGGAGGAACACCAGCAGGGATTCACACACTTGCATTAAAGGCATTAAAAGTCTTCTGGGATGTTTTTAAGATCCATAAAAGAAGGGTTTTCCTCAGCTGACAGCATTTGTCTGACTGGTCAAGTGGTCCTAAACATTTCACAATTTTCTCAAAGAACTGTTGAACTGTTGAGAACCACTTAATCAGAGAGACCACACACTTCCTCCAGGTAAAAAAAATCTGGCCTTCAAAGTTCGATTTCCACTGTCTGTGGGAGAAAAAGGCAAGTTAGCTTCCCGGTTTGTTTAAGTGCAAGAAAACACATCATGGCACCAGATCGTAGCTCCTAAACAAGACTACAACAACACCAACGATGAGTAAAAGTGTTTACCTGAAGGTGGTGGTCTCTGTCCCTTTAGAAAGTGTTTCCTCAATGTCATCCCGGCTCAGACTGAGTGACTGCACAGTTAAGAGCTCTTTATATAGTGTTTTAGGGCTAGGTTCATACAAGTCTTTCATTCAGGGAGGAATGAGGCCCATGCTGGTCTGACCGGACGAGCTGGGTTCCTCCACTGAGCACGACGGGGCAGCCGCCCTCAAGACACAGATAGCAAATACCAGCTAGAGAAGGCCGCAACGTCACATGGTCGTTAAAGCATTTTTGTCAACCAAAAATCTGTCAAATTTACTCTAAATTTACTCTGATTTGGGTGAAAGGTGTTTCATAAGCTTCATGTGTGTGTTTAATGTCGAATTCCTCCTTAAAGCCTTCAGCAGTGGCGGTGAATCCAATTATTATTCAAAGCACATTTTTACAGGGAACACAAAAGGACTCTGCACACTAAGAGAAATGACCTCCACCAGTCGCTTAGACGTGTGCTAATTTATACAGAAAACTGTGTCAAATCAGAAAGTGCTCAGGAATCTTCAGCCAGGAGCGGTTTCATGGGAGTATCAGGGTTTGGTGCAACCAGGTAGCAATCACAGGAGACACAGATTCAAAACAAAACGATTTATTTCTCTTCCTTTTTTTATTTGAGCAGGATAAACCAATCACAGATGAATGACTTTCAACCCACAAAAGGCCCCTTCCCTTATTTTAAACAACACAATAACAGCATCAGAATCAGCACTCAAATTCGTCTGCACCTTGACATCGTTCTGAATCACCAAAGATTCTTTACACGTAAAAACATAACCGTGTAAAAAATTTGACCCAACATTTAAAAAATTATATCCAACAAGAGCAGCAGCACTTTGTACTTGTTGCACAACAAAAATATGGTAGGGAGAAAAGTAAAAGGACATTGAAAAATACTGAAGAACACATCAACTGAAGCAGTTTTCAGTTTTATTCTCGCTCAAACAACAGTCTGGATTTCCCCTTTCCCATCTCAAATGGAGATATGTGACTTTTCAAGCTCGACAATCAGCTCCAGAAACAGGCTGGATGAGTCTGAGTCTGCACCTGTATTAGCTGAATGGAAAAGGGACAGAGGTTTGCTGAAGTGGACAAGTACTTCTGAACTTATCTCAAGTTTCTGTTTAGTTTCTATTATTTTACTGTGAAAATAAGCCTCCGACTATGTCTGTGACTGTACCCTGTGGTCATTTATTGCTGTATTTAAAAAAAGACAACGTTAGTTATATGTAGTAATGTGACAGCAGTTACAGTTCTTTCAAGTTCATGTTTCAGTCCAGTCCTTTTCAAGACAGCTCAGGTGAGGTTCACCTTCAACTCCCTGATTTTGATCAAAATAAAGAATAAAAGCTTTTGGTTAAAACATTCATGAGGATTCACTGTTTCCTCAAACATTCACACATACCACAGCTCCGAATTTAAACATTAATTTAGTGTTAGCCGAGCCACCAACAACCATGTTGTGCTTTTAAGAGGTTTGGAGGGACAAGTGAGTGATGGTGGCCTTAAATAGATCTTTAACTTGTGCGGATATCCAAAGTGACAGCAAGCCTCTGATTTCATCAGGATGGTGGACGGCGTAACGAGAATAGCTCAGCAAGGCAGACAACGATTCCTGTTGTTCAGTCTGCTCAGTATCCTCCTGGAGTGGCAGTGAACTCGATCACTTCACCGTTCTGCCACAAAGACAAAGAAAGAGAGAATCAAAGTGACGCAATGGAGGGTGAGGGGGGTTACAGCGATGATGACAACTCCTGTGAACACACAAGCACAAGCACACACCGGTCAGCCTGGTAAAAAAGCGGGCTGCACAGGTTTAGCTCTCTCAGCCGTTTGAAGGCAGGCGCTACAGGTTATGAGATTTTGTCTGAAGAATATCAATGATCTGAGGCTTTAACTCAAATTTACAAACTCATTCTGTTCATAATTCAACTAATTGATTAATCTCATTGGACTAATCCAGCCTCTTGAATACCAGTTTTTAATTTAATTAAAAACAAATCCCAGACTTCCACCTTTTAAAATCTAAATTTGACCGTTTTACCGTGTATCGTCTTTGAGTTTTTTGAAGTTTTGCACAGAGGTCCCATGGGCACCATCGTATGCAAGAACGTCCTCGGTTTGAACCCCAGCAGGTCCGCCAGAACCCTTTCTGTGAAGAGTTTGATGTTCTCTTATTGTCTGTATGGATTTCCTCTGGGAGCCTCATGAACTGTCAGCCCCGGTTTCCCCGAAGGTGTGAATGTGTTTGTTGTGTATACAAGTGTGCTTTAGCCCTGTGACAGACTATGACCCATCTAATGCATGCTGGGATACACCACTCACAACAACATCGAGCATAATAAGCAGCATTTAAAGAGGAAGGGAAAATAGATGAATGGATGATAGGCACAAAGGGGGATGTACACAGAGATGACAGGGAGTCCAAGTTTCATGCTCAATATACAAATATATAATTCTCAACATTTCATTACCTCATCATCATCATCATCATCAAATTCATCATATTCATTGAATTCACCAATTACTGTCTGAAATTAAACGAGACACAGATGAAGGGAGACAATTATAGTCAGAGAATTACATCAAGATGAAAGAAAAATCAGATATTAATGCAGCGCAGGACAGATAAGTAGTTACCTTGGATTTACGGCTCAGTAGTTGAAGTAAAAATGCCACTACTTCCTTTTTGCCATAAGCTTGGGCCTGTGACGGGCAAAGATTAACACACAGAATGAGTAAACTGGGGTTTCACACTGTGGATTTATGAGGGTCATGGAGTAAATGACCCACCACTTGGATGGCATTCCGTCCATCATAGCCTGTTTTTTTCAGATCCGCTCCAGCCAGACTCCAGATTTCAAGACCCTCCAGGTCGCCGCTGACTGCCATGCTGACTCACAGAAAATTACCGAGTGAAAGAGATGACAAGCGTTCACAAAAGTAGCATGTTTAACACAATCAAAGTGATACTTGACTGAGGATGAGTTGTTGTTCAGAGACTTCTGAAATTGAGCCAGACTGATGATAATGAGGCTCTGTGACGCACAACATGCTTTGATTCTATCTTAATGAAGCCATGCTGGTGGTTCTTTACTGAAGGTGTGTTTCTGTACCTGTAAATTGGACTGTCCTACCAAAACCTGTTGGGTGTTTCAAGCAGATAAATAACAGGGCTCAGCCGGTGTGGCATACACTTGCTGACACTTAAGATGCAGAACAGATTTGATGCTATGCTGCCAGGGGGCATTCCTACAGTTTGTGTAACAGTGGGACGACTGGTTGTACCTGTGTCAGCTATGTAGGATGGGTCACTGCGAGTGGCTGTGATACAGAGATTTGTCACTGTATGTGTGTGCAACTGTTTTAAGGTGTTTCTAGAGCTTCTTACCTGCACAGTTCTGTTCCTGCTTCCTCCAGCTCGTCTCTGGATAAATGTGCTCCTGTCTTTCTCAGCAGCTTTACAACCTCCCTATGCCTGAGTTAGAGAGAGGACATACAACACAGCATTGACACGTTAATCAAGATGCAGGTTATTTTCTTTGAATCCTATGCTGTTTTGTCAGCTTCTGCAGGCTGTAGTTCAGTCGCTACAACATTGCTTATTCTGCAGCTGTGAAACGATAACACCACTATGCTTTTGAGTGGCACATCCCACTTTGAATCACTCCCAGGCAGCTCAGTTAATGAGTCAAATGTAATATGAAGCTAATCAGAGTGCTCTCAGTGAGCAACCACATCACAAAAGCTGTCAGAGCTCTGTTTTGGGGTTTGTGGATTGCCACAGACCCGTGGATGAAGATGTTAACTATCGTTAGCACTTGGTAAACTGGTGGAAAGCTTACAGCATCCTTAGTAACTTCATCGCATTCATTTGATTTCCTACTCAAGACCCTGCTTTACAACCTTAACCCAGGATTAAAAAGATTCATCTTTTGACAGATCTATTTTAAATTCCATCAAACCTTAACTTAATTTCCACTTTGATTTGCAGTGTCATTCTTGCTTAGCATGTAGGAACATGTTTCTCATCCCCCGTAATAATCCGTCACCTGTAGTGACATCTAGAGAGGCAGTAAATGAAGAAAAAACTGCAGGCATACAATGGGCCACCAGTGCACAGCTGGATTGTTTTCAGTAATAACAGACTTAGCTGTTTGTGAAATTAAGTTGTGCAACAGATCAATTTGAGGCTTAATTGTTTGGAGGAATGCAGAGCTGCAGCCAAAGGAACTATTAAAAGGATCTAAAAGACTTCCTGAAGAAAGTCAGAAAGCCAGTATCTCTAATCTGTGAAACTGGGAGCAGGTTGGTAGGACTGGTTTAGGCGACACTCCCCACTTTTGTTCTGCAACCCTTCGTTCCCTTCGCTTTCTGCCACTCCTTATATGGGCATTCAGCTTGAAATGCAATGCTGGAAGGTTGGCTGAGTGACATTCAAAGTGCGACAGATAACCTGACTGCTCAAGACTCTCCTTCTATAGGTTAGTAAGTCCTCATTAAACACAGTCAGGAAGAGAAAATCAGACCAAGGTGTGGTGTACAGGAAGTGTAACGACAGGTGTTTGCGCTCAAGTGCATCCCTCCACCGTCACAAAGGAAACAAGTCTGTACTCGCGGTGCCAACCGTTAAAATAGGACAACAGCCATTTGGCAAGGCTTCCACACATACAACGTCTTCACCCTGAGGCTCAACATAGCACTAAAAGTGAAACATTAAGCGTGGCTAGCTTTTCCCTCATAGACATTTAGAGCAATGTCAATGAAAGACAAAAATTAAAAAACAGCTTTGGTAAAAATAAACACTGACTAAACTGTTGGCTGACAATTAGCCTAATTAGTTTATAATTATTGCCTGGCCTCTAAACTCCATTACAGGCTGTTCCCCTGGTTTCAGCCCCCCTCATGACAGCCACTGCTCCCACCCTGTCATTTAAGCAAAGCCACAGTCTCTTCCTTGCAGCAGCTCATTTAATGAAGTCCCCTCTATAGCAGCCGCCATTAACAACAGATTTTCAGGAATACTCAGCCGCTGCTAATGGCCAAGAGGGGACTTTTAATGTTGTGTCTGCAGCTTCATAACCAACATTTTACTCTAAAAGAGATCAAAACAAACACATTTGATGTTATTGTGGAAATGAAGAGTTTTACCTGAAGCGCACAGCGTTGCACAGAGGTGTGTCGCCATAGCGATCTTTAGCATAGACTGTGGCTCCATGACTCAGTAGATACTGCACCAGTTTGAGGTGACCCTCACAGGCGGCGATATGAAGGGGTGTACGTCCATCATAGTCACCGAGACACAAGTTACTGCCCTGTGGAAATGGAAAACATGACAGTGTCATTATAATTTCATGTTAAATTAAACCTGAAATCAAACAGAAGACATGAAGTCCTTCCTTAGACTAAAGCAGATTATCCTAAACAAGAGAATCGTGACTCATCACTTTCTATTTTTCTTTCCAGGATGCTATGTTGCCAAAAAGTGTCGAGGAAAGCGATTAATCTATATGTTTTTGTCCTGTCACACAGATTTATGTCCTCATTAGGGACACTGGTATGTAGTCAGGTGCCACAGAAGGTGTTGGGACTGACTAATGCGCCGAGGTGTTAATTTATGTTTACAAAAAGATTTAGCACAAGCATTTAAGCCAGCTATATCCAAAGCAACGACTGCATTACATAAGAAGAGTAAAGAGAGGCAAAGATTGCAGGGTAACAAATGTCAGCAGAACACATTCTTGATCCCTAAGCTTCATGTACGTGTCAAATGTTTCTTTGAGTGTAAGAATATCAAGTCTTTACAATCTGTTGGGTAATCCAGCAGCGTCAACTGCACAGAAACACGTACATGTAACCGCTTCAGTGAGTCTACACCTGCCCTACCAGTCTGACCTCATGTTTTGTTTGGTTGTGCGTCCGTGTCTTTCTCTTGCCTCTCTCAACAGGAGGAATGACCCTGAAAAACTGTTGTTTATGGCAAAGCTTGGTTTACCTCGGTGCTTTGACCCCACAGAACAAACATGGTGAAGATAAGATAAGTGGAGTCAAACATTGTACTCCTGACGTAAAAATCTGGCCCCTGGTGTCACAGTCTCAGAGGGCAGATTTGTCCGGTGTTGACAACACAAGAGGTTGACAACTCATACATGACAACATTTCTTCATACAAACAATCCCGTGGCTTATTTGTGTACAAAAGAGGTATCGTGTTTTTCTACCATTTTTGAATACAGGTCAACATTACGTTTAGTATTAGAAATCAGGTGTACAAACCATGTCCTTCAGGGCTTCTATTGCCTCTATGTCTCCAATCTTAGCAGCAGCACATGCCAGCGGAGGGGTCAGTGCATCACGGATAGCTTCCAGCTCCTGCAGACACCACAGACTGTGATCACAAAGCTGCTTCTTGTCTTTAATTTTGCCTTTGTATTCTACTTTTAGGAGGTAGTAATAAAAGCTCAACAGGAAATTGTTGGTTAAGCTCTCACCTCTTTGCAGCTGATGCTCAGACTCTTGGCGATGACCTGGATGAAGCGGCTGTCACTCAGAACTAACTTGGCTCCTGCTAGGTCGGCATTCATTTCACCTCGCAGATTTTGCGCCATCATCTGTACGGTTTCACACACAGACATGTTTCAGACATGCTCATATTAATAATAACTATTATCAAGTTGTTTCCATATTCAGGAATGCCTCCGATTCAGAAACACCATTCCGTGAAATAATTCAAGTATCTCAACATCATTGTAAATGAGGGAAACAGCAATGATTTTTAGGCTTAAATAAGGTTGTTGATGATGATGATGACCCCCCCGTATTTCTAAAATTTCCCTCTATATGCAGACACCTGCCTTTTTCTTGGCATCAAGTTCCAGCTCAGTCTTGGCCAGTACATAGGACAGCTTTGAGAGAGCAGCCTCTGGAGTCATGTCTCCACCAGCTATCAGCCCTGCATCTATCAACACCTGAAAGAAAATATCAAGAATATGTTGCTCAATACCAATGATACGATATCAATGCAGTTGGCAGGATTCACTTCAAGTATTTGATGTCATTGTGAAACACAAAGTTACAACAAAGCCTTTCCCTAAGATGTAAGGACAGGATATGGAAAAACATCAATATAAAATAACAAGAACAGTAATCAGGATGTTATATTTACAGAGTTGAATAAATTCAGAATTAACAACAACTTGCATGTATCAGGGTGTGTAGTAGATGATGCAATGTACCTTGCCAGTGTTGTAGGACGTTGACACAGTCCCCCTCAGACACTGTGTGATGTTGATGATGATGACACCAGAATCTGTGGCCTTCTTCAGCTCCTCTAGCAGGTCAGAACGGTTATCGGGGGCATTTCCGCTCCCATAGGTCTCCAGGACTACGCCCTCCATGGGTGGCTGCAGGAAAGCCCTCACCTGGAAAAAAGAGGGATTCACATTATAAACTCCCCCAAATTTACGGCCATCTGATCTGGCTGCTCAGCTGTGTGGAATCAAATTGAAGAATTAGTATTCCATGTTATTTTTCCTGCAGCCCCTTTCACAAACGCATGAGTCCGTCCACTCTCCTAAAAGCCCATCTGGTGCTTTCTATGCAACCAGTATCTCAGTCACTGGTTGGCTGGCACCAGGAGGCCCTATACCACATCATTAGCCATGGCATATGACTGGAAAGGCAGATGACTGAAATGGCAGGAAGGAGAGCAATTAATCTGAAGGTATTAGGAGGTATAAAGTCACTTGGCACGACCAAGGCAGTTACCGTAAAATGTGGGAGAAGGTGACATTAAAAGTGCAAGGTTCAGTCAGTATTTTTCTGATGCGATAAGCAGAAATGTTTGACGCAGATTAACAGTGGAGCTCTCGGTGGGCACACAAGAGTCTGGTGCCCAATCAAAGCGATGCCTCATAAATGCAGTTAGAGGCTGTAAGAAAGTGTTGATAGCCGAGCCGGGCAGTGGGAGCAGATTGAGACAGTAAAGTCGCTCTCCCAGCAGCCTCTGCAGGGGGAGGTGCAGATAAATGTTACAGTATCTATGCCAAACCCTCCTCTTTACAGGGTGATTGGTCATGGCTCATAACTCCTTTTCATCTTTCTCCAGGCTGAGCTTTGATGGCAGTTTACATGACCAGGAGAGCAACAGAAGACGGGTAATAGCACAATTAAATTAAAGTTAACTATATTTTTACTGCAGTTTGACTAAACAACAGTTTGGAGCAGACAGTTATGTTTGAAATACACATCCACAATTAAGATTTTAATATTCATGGAGGTAAACACTGTTGGCTTTTCAACATGCTAGTTATATTTTTCAGTCTCTCTTTTTTTTTTTTGCTTTTTGAGCTCATAAAGTTTTAGATTGAGAAGATAATCTTCTTTAACAATGAAAGCATCCTAATATAGGTGAAAGATAACATTAAATAAGAGCAGAAACTAATTTATACACATCAGGAGACAATGACAGAAAATTTCTGGGGCTATACTGCTATCATATAAACAACAGTGTTACCTCGAGTGACTTACAGTAGCAGCAGTGATTCCTGGGAAAAGTCTGAGCAAGCCAACGTTCCTGTTCAGCTCAGTCCTGACTTGAAACTTTGCCGTGGTGTTTGCCCTCCATACAGTATCCCAGTTGACTAAAGAACAGCATAAAGTTACATTAATAAAAAGGACATTCACATGAGGCCTGGGCTTATGAGGTCGACTATTCCAGAATGGTGTTAACTCACAGAGAATTCAAGGATTTCATCAACTTAAGTTCACTGTTTCATTCAAGATACAGAGAGGTGGCACTGCATTTAAAACAGACATAACTCTGAAGTGGGAATCACAGCATGAGCAAAAACTACTGTCTGCAACTTGACAGCTGTGATGATGAAGGGCTGCTTAAGTGCCCGTGGCATGTGTAGCTTACACATCTGGGTAAAAACCATTAATGCTGGACAGTGTAAACAAGTTTTGGAGCATCATATAGTGTCATCCAGACAATGCTGTTTCAGGGAAGACAAATCAAATAAAGCAAGAGGACAACAAACTACATTTTGCATCTATTACAACAACATTGTACTTAATGTTACTTAAAGATTTGATGTGTCGTCTTTGCATCTTAATAAAGGGTTTTAATGTTTTACAAACTGTCAAATTCTGTTATCATTGACAATTTTTAATCTTTGTGGAACTGAATCTTTATTTCATTACCAACTTACTTGTTATATCCACTTCTGCAGTGGCAAGAGGGGCCAAATTTGGAGATGAGAATGCATTAAAACTCCCAGCATCCACTTTGGTCACACGATTTCCTCTGTAGAGTTTATTGTAGAAATACAAGCACACCTGAAGGGAGACAGAGACATGTTTGATGCAAAATGAAAACTATAAACACAAGGAGAAAATCCCTCACACGACAGGGTTTACCTGTTCTTTAAAACCAGTGTACGTGCACTGAAAGACGACGCATTTATTATGAAATACCTGTGGCTACAAGCGTCACACAGATAGACAGATTACACCTTTGAGTGCTCTTCTTGTTCTCATAATTGTTGTTGAGCATTGCAAAACTCTGTTGTTAGAAAGCATTTTGATAAGAAGGCTCATTTCAGAGAACTTTGGTTTCTTTTCAACAGTCATGTCATCCTTATTTGGAGAACATGGTGGATTACCTTGATGTATTAAGTTGTACCATCTTGTAGGATTTTTTTATGTCCCACAAGTCTCTCACTTTTTGTCTTTTTCTTTCTCATAGTCACAAAATAAAGTGAATCCAAATCTTATTTCTACACAGCTATCAAACAGCACTTTTCCGGCAATCTCTTAATGTGTTGGAGAGTGTGCGCGTGTGCCTGTGCAATCTCCATTTCTTTACCTCAGGAATGACAAACTGGCCAGCAATCAGCAAAGCCCCCAGCAGGTTGTCTCTGCCGTCATTCCTCATCTCATAGATAGGCACCTAAAGACACAACAGGATTTTGTTGAAACGCTTCTGTTTTATTTTGTTTGTTTGTTTGTTTGTTTGACTCCAAAGGAAAGCAGCTCTTACCTGTGAGCCGGTGAGTATGATTGGTTTGCCCAAGTGTTCGCACATGAAGGACAGGGCAGAGGCTGTGTAAGCCATAGTGTCTGTGCCGTGAAGGATAACAAACCCATCATAGCTTTCGTAGTTTTTCTGCACTCAGAAAAGAGAGGAAAGCACGTCAGTTATTATTTCTTTTCAACCATCATAAACAGTAGATCCCATAAGCTCTAAACTGCTGTTTTTATGTCTTGTGTTTCGAAAAGATAATGTTTTATGTTCTTAAAAATTGATTCAGTCAAGTACCTCAATGTCCTTTCCAATTCTGCCCCAGTCATCTGTGGTCATATTGGAAGAATCCAGTAAAGGGCTGTACTCTAAGACATTGTAGATTATCCTCTTATTATCTTTACTAAGCCTGCAGGAGAGAGGTTAGTCTATGAGTTTTAAGGGTTTTCTGTGTAAATTTGACCCAGAAACACGCAAAAAATAAAAAATCATGTGGGTTCAGTCTTTTTAAGTGCAAACAGTCATTACAACAGCCACATAAAAGACACATGGTTAAACAAATGATGATTATCTTCCCAGTGACAAAAGATCCTTGATTGTGCCTAATTTAAAAAGTTGAAGCCAGTTCTGGTTAAATTTGAGAAGCGGGTTTAAGAAAGGGGTAGGGAAATGCTGGAAAAACAAGCTGACTTTATGAAGCGAGACAGAGTCTATTTAGCCGGGCCTTCTGTCTCAGCAGTAGGGTGCCAGAACCTGTTTCACAAACACACTCACACACAGAGTTTTGGAAATGTCTAAGGGAGGGGCATCGTAGACAAACAGAGCTCCACTTTAAAACTTGCCCTTTTTTATAGTTCAAGGGTTTTTTCAAAGTTTTTCCACTGTGGATTGTAAACAAAGGCTAAGCAGGGGGGCATGCGGTGACTGATTTATATAACTTTGAGGTTATTTGGCGAGTCATTTCTCTGCCCTAAAGCACCACCTGCGACACTCTCAGGCACTCTGAGTAAGGTGGTGTGACGAAACAGCCATGGAGAGATTTTCCTTCTAATCTCCCTTTTAAGAAACAGAGAGGGCCACCCCCCATATTACCATAGGACAGCCTTTTAACATGAAGACTGGAGCTGAATAGAACAGCAGGGGATGAGCATGTATGGCCCAGTACACCAGACCAGGGGTCCTACACACACTCCTCTCATTAGCCTCAAGTCCTCACACAACCCTCCGACATATGTTGTTGATATCCTCAAAGTGCCTGAAAAACACTATTCAAATCACCAGTTTTTCCAATATCTGGAAGTGCACCTTAAAGCTACACATTAGCATACCAGAGCTGAGATGCCTCATAGCTGAAGAATAATGAATGTTCGTGTGCACAAGTGTGAGTATATTGTGTCTGTTTGTGTGTGTGTGTAGAGTCAAGAAGTGGAAGAAGACGGCTGGAGGTGAGAAGGGGGCAAATGGCCTTGTGGCGCTGCCTCTCCACCTCCGGAGTAAAGCTTTTCAATAAATCAATAAACTAATTCCCTCCTTCAACTAAGCCTGCATACTATCAACAGTATGCCCATTAAAACTGCATATAAGTCTACTTCCTATGTTGACATTAAGAGTAAAATTTGAGTACATTACGTCTTCAAAGTAAAAATAATTATCAACTTTGCAGATCACATAGTAAAATCAACCCCAAGGTTACAGATAACAGTCCACTGTGAGTTGTAGATGCCTTATTTTTACCATACACCCACCTCCACAGAGCAACCCAGCAGAGTCTCACTGTCAGTCAATAGAAAAGGGGGGTATGGAAATGAGTGAGTGAGGGTGCAGTTCTGGTAGGGCACCCCCACTATCACTGACAATTAAAAAACCCCACAGAGGCTGCTGATCAGCTGGTGGGCTACACTCTCTCTGCTCCACAGCACATGCTCCAGACGTCAAGACAACATGCTGTAGCATAAACTACCCTCGCTTTTCCTTACAAGCAAATAGCAGCTCTATATCAACTGACATCCAAGAAACATGAGGCTAACAACACCAGGCTACTCCACCGTCACATGTTAAAGCAGCTGGCTACTTGGTGACAGAGGTGGCATTAGAAAGTGCAGAGTTGTTACTTCAGGCAGTAAACAGTTCTGTGCTTTTGTATCCCTCCTGGTATTTTTTGCTTCTATTGTCGACGGCCACGTCAGCATGCATTTCCTGTCAGGCAAGCACACCCTGACTGAGAAAGCAGAGACTTCAATTCACTTTCTAAGCACCGTGCAGGCACACGCAATGCTACTTCACCCATGATACAAATGGTCCGAATGACGTGTCGGCTTCCTGTTCAAGCAACAAAAGCAGTTGAAAGTCATGACATTGATCATTTTTATTCATATTAAATTATTTTTAATAGGAGAGTGTGCAGATTCTGTGCAGTGTTGACTCATTCTGATGTGAAAGTGATTTGACAAGAATATCAACTGTACCGTGCGCAAGTACAGTGAACTAACAACACCACCTCCAAATCACGACACTTTAAAACAACTATAAAATAAAGAGGAAAACTAAACCTAAACTGCTGATAACACTGTTAAATAAGGTTATCTGATTCTGATCAGAAAAAAGTGAATGCTCTGTAAAGATGAATGAATGGTCTTTGAATTGATTAAGTAAACAGCATTGTAGTAGTTTGTTCTTGGGTTTGACAGCAAGATACTACCGATTTTGGCTAAACAAGTATCTGCCTGCCGTTTGGACTTTGATGTTAGCAGAACAAACATTGATCAAATTCCTTAAAATAAACTTATGACCATATATCAGCTGATCAGTGAGGTGAGGTCGGGTGTGCTTACGGCAGGACCAGGCTGTTTTCAGATCCGTAGTATTCATACATGCAGGTCTGCTGGGCGTACAGCTCATCATGAAGGATGGGCAACTTCCGCAGGCTCTTCACAAAGGCATTGGCTTTTGGGGCAAGAACTGTGGGATACACAAACAGAAAAAAGGTGGATAAGAGTGAGCATTCATAGCGTTCTCTTTTATGGTTTGCTGCTAATCAGTACAATTTTATGAATGTGTTAAAGGGGCCTCTCTTCGCTTCAATCCCACACATCAGTCTCATACTGAACCCTAGTGGTAAATGAGAGAAGTGTAATTGCTGCAGGTGCTGAAAGTCCACAACATTTACATTGTTGACACTTTTGAGCTGTTTTACAAGGCACTTTTCCAAACTTTGTAACACTGATGTTGAAACAAAAGGGTGCAAACAGTGGATACAGCTCTACTGCTGCTGTGGAGCACCTGAAGACGTTCATTACCATAAACTTCTATCATATATGAAGACAGACTTTTTGAAAGGCCAAAGAAACTTAGCCCTCTAGCACACAGAGTAAATTTACAGTAAATGGTCCAATATTGACTCAACTAATGTAACAGGAACTGACAATATTTGACCCTACCTTTTCAAAGTCCAGCACAGCAGGTTAGTAAGCTATTTCACCGTGAACCAAAGTGAACCAGCTTGAAATTGATGATAGCATCAACAAAGTCTCTACACTCAATAAGGGTGAGGGACATTAAGTCACACAAACATGTGATTCAACTCCAGACTGTTATTAGAAGCTATATGCCTGTAATAACAGTATATAACAAAGTGTCTTCAGAACAACACCAGCCATGATGTGTGTAAATCATACAAAATAAAGATTTACAATGTTCTTGAATGCAGGATTTATGGCCTTGTTGTGACTGATTCAACCTTTTAGAGAAAAGTGAATCTCATGGTGCTCTGCAGTGCAACATTTGAGCTGCGAAAAAGACAAAGCACCCTGACATAGACCCTAACCATTATGTAACAAATGACGGTTGAGCGTAAAGCTGGTTGGACCTTTGAATATTTTGCTTCAGTGTGTGCTCCAGATGTTTCCCAACACCTCATGTCAATGCATGGTTATTCATTGAACGCGTCTGTTATGTTACTCCAACTGCAGCTCACACTACACTGACTCTCCCAGGGGTTTACAAACTAGGGGTTATCTTTGTTGACTTTACAGTGTAGTTAAAGTTAGTAGACTTACATCTGCCTCCGTCTAAAACTAGAAGTATTGTTATTTATTGCAATCAATAAAATCGTGATGCATCTGGCACTTTATTATTCACATATCACACTAGCTCATGTGTACATACAGTTTGCTCCCTGGTATAGTAGTGGACTTAAGCTGTTTGCAGGACTATTTTAGGCGGCACTAGTTGTCACGTGGGTTTGTATCCCAAGCCTCACGCGTCCAGTAACACGAAAATATGGTAGACCAAACCTGCCAGCACACATGCATGCGTGGCATCCCTCTACGTTTGCCTGGAGAGGAAAACAACATTGAGTTGATCGGGCTTTTAGCTACCGTTATCATGAAGTGTCATCCCTATGGTCCCTCCCGTGTTGATAACGAGCACGCGCGCCTCAGCAGCGGTGGGTGAAGTCAGGGGTTCGACGTCGATGGAGTTACAGCTCGATAACTGTCTCCTGCGGGTTGGATGCAGCTGGATGGACCGCGTAGGACTGACTTCTGTCGATTCACCCAGGTCGAGTAAGGGCTGCGATAACGCCCGGGCTAGAGATGTCAGGTTGTTGAAGCTGGAGTCCGCCATGACGACTTAGGAGTCGACCTGTGCTGCTCCTTTAAAAGCTCTAGTTGAAAACACGATGGTCTTCAAGTGCTAAAGACACCTTGTGGCACACTTCCGCTACCCAGTCTCTATCTTTTCGCTGGAAAAGCAGCTTCCATGTTATTGAAATGATGTCGAGAACTGAAAATGAAACAAAAGTTTCAATGAAAGTCTTAAGGAATGCCCACCTCCTGATATTTCCTCCTCCGGAGACCCCTCTCTATAATTTTGCCCTTGAACAGCTGATGGAAGAGCGTCCATACTTGCGTCATATTGTGGGCGTGGCCTACAATGCAACAAGCTTGATGGATACCTATGCATATAACGACATCAAAACAGGCTGAAAAGCGTTTTCTGCAGAAATAATTATTCAGATTTGCTATCATTTTTTAGAAGCAAAGGTCAGCATTTTATTTCCACAAGTTCATTCAAATTCATAAAAAGGTTAAATCACGAAATACAAGGGGATTGATATCACAACTAAAGGACAAAGAAAGATTTTACTGTGATGTGTACAGAAAAAAAAGTACTTATATTACTCTCCTGCACAGCTGCATATGTATGATGGCTTTGGAAACTCAGAGCACGTTTCCCATTACAGGCTGCACGTGGACTTCACCTCTCTGTCATGTGGCATCAAGTGACCAAAGGGATTGAATCAACTGAATCAGAGCGTGTGTTTTTAGAATCAACTTGTAGTATTCATCATCAACTTGTAGTATTCATCTCTGTCTGCATGACTGAAACACTTGTGATATGTGTTTTTGATGTCAGTTGGCATGTTGAGTAGGGCACTGCCAGACACACATTGTTGATTATATGTGCACAACTTGAAAAGACCTGGCTCTATTAAAAAAAAAATCAATAGTAGAAAAGAGGATATCTGCACATTCACATTCAGATGGTGGAAATTTTTCATTTAATGTGCAAAGCTTTTAGTCCTTTAGGGCTAGGGTGTGCTCATCAAACAATGAACAGGCAGGTTTGAATAAATCTACTTTGATGCATCATACCTGAGCCAAAACTACTCGCCCGTCTGCCTTACTGAGAGGGCTTAATGGTTCATTCCACCCTAAGTAAGTCCAGAAAATATCTTGTACTGTTATAACTTGCATGGTAGCAACCAAATGTATGTTAATATCACTTTGAGAGTGAGTTAAAGATGATTTCAGCAGAGTATCAAGCACTTTATTTTATTTTAACTGAAAAGTGTAAGCAAATCTTTACATCTCCTTGTGCATATGTTTATGTGTAAAAGAGGTGTGTGTTATATTAAATATAGCTTAAACTAAAATTTAATGTCTTACCTTCTGTGATAATGTTAAAGTTATCGAAGTTTTTAATGGGTCTTTGTGTAATAGAGGTGTGTATGTGCAAGGTCAACTCAGGCTGTGATAAAGGAGCCTGTTGCGAAAGCTTGTCATCAGACCTGGACTTCTGAGAGATGCCCCAACTTATACAAGAATTTTCACAACATCTGTTTTTTTTAAAACCCATCTAAAAAACCCCTTTTATTCCTTGGCTTTTGACCCAGCATGAGACGGCATTTATTTTATTGTTTTTTATTGTTTTAGTGCTTTTTTTATTGCTTTTTATTGTATTTTAACACAACTATTTATTGTTATTTTATGTTTTTATGTTATGTACAGCACTTTGTGTCAGCTTTGTTTGTATATAAAGTGCTCTATAAATAAAGTTGAGTCGAGTAAGTTGAGTTGTTATCACAGGAATATTGTCAGGCTACTGACTTTACATTTTTTTCCAACTAAACCCACTGCAATGTCACATGACAAATGTTGGCCCACAAAACTGGTTCGTAAACAAGCAAATTGAAATGCTAACTACAGATAATTGACAGTGACTGTCTTTACAAGAAAGTTATAGCTCAAAGCAAGAGACCTAGTAAGAACAACACTGGCAAAGCGGTGGTTTGTCTTTGTTTTGCTGTTTTACTCTTGGACTGAGTTAAAAAAAAAAAAAAGAAAACTCATGAGGCACATGGGACTGTCAGAGTTTAGGCAGCTATAACATCATCCACAAGAGGGCGCTGTTACCCTTTACATACATTGCAAGTCAATACTAAAGCGTCATTAAAATATAGCACAATGAAAATATCATCCGTGTCAGGTATGTCCAAATACACATACATACCGTAATAATATTGTATGAACTGTTTTTATCGGGATAAAGCTAAGGAAAAACATCTTTATTGTGTAAAGTCTAGAATTAGACATGTACTGCTGTTATCTAAACACTCGCTAAAATTAGGATAAAAGATGAGTAAATGTCACATTGAAACTAGATTTTAGCCCATGTAATATTGAGTATTTCATTGTTTATCCGGTGTGTAGTGGATCTCTGTGACTCAGAGCAGCAGCTGAATGAAGTCGACGGGAGGAAGTGGCGGTTAATGCAGCTCCACACCTTTCCGGTGTAGCAGCGCTGCGACCACCTCGACTTTAAGGAGAAAGGCGAGCGCTGGGTGTAATTATTGAGCCCGGAGGGGGAGAAAGGAGGTAAATTACTCGTATTTCAATTACGGTTTCAATCGAGATATATACAAAATACAAATGTTGTCTCTGTCGCTCGTATTTCGTTCTCATAAAGAGTTATTTTGCGGCAGCTGATTACCGTTATCTAGTTAGCTGACTGTTAGCTTCGAGCTAGCTAATGTTAGCACGCTAGCTCTTCATGAGCGTTAGCCTGCTAATTTGGCATGTCTGACCCTCCTCCCAAATCTCTTTCAGGGGGACAAGAAGTGGACTTTCATGAGTGGATACATGTGTTGCTGAGTCACCGAGGGGCTTTTCTGCTTTAAAGTTTCTTCAATCTCGGCGTAGAGACCCGGCTCGACGGTTCAGGGACTGACTGTTAGCCGCAGAAAGCTGCTTTTCTCCTCCGGTGGCCGTGAAAAGAACAAGGGCGCACCCGATGAGGAGGACCGCCAGACACAAACACCAGGAGGAATTCACTTTTTCCGGGCCTCATCCGCGCACGGTGTGAGCTCTATGCCGCTTTTATTCGCCACGGTTGGGCTTTGTCACGCAGCTTCACGTTGATTCGGGCAACAAAATGAACGTCCTGCAACAGCTGCTGCCAACTTCTTAGTGTATCCGTGCCATGTTTGTATACAGGCCCCGCACACATTGAGGTACTCTGAACATTTATGCCCCTGCATTTCACTGGACGCACAGACTCTCAAGTAAAAAATCTATACGATCTCTTAGTCAGATCTAACATGAGTGAGCATTTTTGACTTTTTCTCCACTTATGCTCCTCACTGAATCATGTTTTCACAAGTAAGCCTATAGGCAGAAGTTATAGGATAGAAAAAGTACTCATCAGCACAGTATCAGACACTTTTCTCTGTAGGAGCAACATATTTATGCACAGTAGTTCAAAATGGGGAAAGTGCTCTCAAAAATATTCGGCAACAAGGAGATGAGAATATTGATGCTTGGACTTGATGCTGCTGGAAAGACAACAATCCTTTATAAACTGAAACTGGGACAGTCTGTCACCACAATCCCCACAGTTGGCTTCAATGTGGAGACTGTTACCTACAAAAATGTCAAGTTCAATGTCTGGGATGTTGGAGGTCAAGATAAGATCCGTCCTCTGTGGCGGCACTACTACACAGGCACCCAAGGGTTGATTTTTGTGGTGGATTGCGCCGACAGGGATCGCATCGACGAGGCCAGGCAGGAACTTCACCGCATCATCAACGATCGGGAGATGAGGGATGCCATCATCTTGATATTCGCCAACAAGCAAGACCTTCCGGATGCCATGAAGCCACACGAAATCCAAGAGAAGCTGGGATTGACCCGCATCAGAGATAGGAATTGGTATGTTCAGCCCTCCTGTGCAACCTCAGGTGATGGACTGTATGAGGGCTTGACATGGCTAACCTCAAATTACAAATCTTAATGATTGAGTGCAGACTGTTTTAGGTCAAAACTATAACAACATTGCAAGTAACAAATAACTTCGCAATTAAGTCCTTATGAGTATGGTTAAGAAAAGTTGATTTATCTCCCATTTATTTTTTAATACTACCTTTACCCCATGACTAATTTATCTTAAACTGGGTTTGCTGGCTTAAACTTTGCTTGTGCTCCGTAGCAAGCCTTTATCATCTTCATTATTCTGGACCCTGCTTGATTAATATTGAATTAATTGGTCCTTATGTTAAAGCCACAGAGATCACCATCTTTGCCTATTCTTTTCCCTGTTTTATATAATTTTTCTAATGCAGCTGAAACTTTTATCCTCGTTCTTGGATTAAAGCTTGTTTCAAGGCTCTTCAGACTCTTGCATCCAACCTGGACCTTTTTTCTTTTCTTCTAAGATGTTTAATTTCATGTAGCGAAGGTGAAGGACTTGGAGATTTGTTTTAACACAGTTCTGTGATGAAAAGTATTTCTTCTAAATGGTATCAACCATTTTCATTGTCACCAGTCTTGACATCAGAATCAGATCATCTGACATGTTATGTTAACCCCTTTGAATCCCCGGATGTGGGCCCTATATTTTACTGATCGACCTATTGTGTCGTGTCTTGATACATCGGTGTGCTGAATATTCAACAAATAGGCCTCCAATAAGTCAGAAAAACATGCTTGTGGGGATGCATTTTGAACATCAAGGGTAAAACGCGGTCAAATTGACTCAATCTTTCCAAAGGAATGTCATTCAGCTCTGAGCTCTCTCAATCTGATACCACAGTTGATTAGTCTCATTCTTGGGACATTATATGATAGCCTATATCTGTAGCATGAGTACGAAAGTACAGTAACCCTACATCAGAGTCCATCTGTCGTGCAGTCAGAGGGAGCTGTTCACCAGAGAAATGTTGGAGACACCCTAAGGTGCAGCTCTTACTCCTCTTTTGACTGGGGGGAACCATGTACAGAACAATGTCATTGTAATGTCTTATTAAAAAAGTGATTTTAAATCTGTTATGTCTGTTTATTTTTTATCCTCAAGGATTGAAGGCTGTTTGTGTGACTTTGGCCTGTATTTGATGGGAACATTACGACACAGATTCATCCATAAGTAGCAGAGTTTGATTTTAACAAGCTCATTTGGAAAGATTTAAGAATGCTGAAGGTTCAAAAATAGACATTTTTAGTGTCAAAGCCCTCTTTGCTTTTAGTTCTATTGGGCAGATTCTCCATAAAGGGTTTTATGTCCACACTCACAATTACTCTGGCCTCAATGGCCTTGCTAGTAAAAGGGAAAATGAACAAAACAGGAAGTCCAACTGCTGGCCTTTTTGGAACAACAACAGAGCCGCATGATGGTTTGCATGAGAGTTTGAGGGGCAGCAGAGATATACAGCTGAACTGTGAATTCTTTCTGAATGTTGTGTGTTGGGTGTGAGCCATCGTTGAGTTGATGCTGAGCTGTCAGCGGTGACTTCCTGAGTTTAGAAAGCAAGTTTGCAGTTTTTATTCAGGGAGGATGATGCCTTTTCAAGATGAGTAATGTGGGGCTGGTGTTGAGAAATAGGAAGGAAATATTTATATACAATGGGATAGAGCTCTTGACTGTCGGTATGCTGTGATTTCTGGAATTAGATCAAAGTTTTTACTCAGAATACATCGAACACCAGATAGGCGGGGTTTGGCATTTTTGCAAATAAGGATCCTTTTAGCCTCATGTCATGTTCCTGCTGTCTTAATAGGAGCTTCATGACTGAAAATAAACAATTTAGCTGTGTATTTAACTGTGTAAACTTTGTTATCTCACTTCAATCTGTGCAGACTTTTGAAGATGCTACCATTGATTACCGTATTCCACCTTTAATGTCCTTTTTATGAGTCTGCACACAAGAAACACGATTAAACTAAAATGGATTTCATTAAGTTCAAGTTTTTGATCGTTTCAGGCTGGCATCACTGAAACACAGCCAGGAATGTTTACGATTCCCTGAAAGCTGATTAACAAGAGTGTTTTCACTCATGACAAAAACAGGGTTGATGGTGACAAATGGTCTCACTACTGTGTTTGGGGCTACAAAAGATTAGATAGAATTATTCTGCAGATTTTTTAGGATTTTCCTGCCCTGCTCACTGAAGGGCACTGTGTCTCTGCCAATGTTTTACTCATGCACACAAAAACTTGCACTGTAGAAGCAGCACAAAAAGACCAGCGTTTGCGTTTTTCGGCACTGACAAGAACAGGATGCACATTCTTGTCTCTGGAGCACAAGTCAAGTTTCTGCAGCTTTCACTGATGTTCGACCACATTCCTGGGTATACATTTGTCTGAATTTCTATGTTTGACTGTATAACGATGGCGGTGTTTGCTGTGTGGAAAATCTGGTGTTACAGCAAGTTGCTTCAGAGGCCTCAGGATGTTAGCTTTAGCACCACAGAGGTTTCCGTCAGACAGGTCAGGTGACATGGACAGATATGACACTGCTGCAGCAGAAAATGTTTCACAAAACCCACAAACCTCCCCCAGTCGTGATTTAAACACTCAGTTTAAAAAAATCATGGTTCATGATTAGAATAATGTGCAAGAAGTCAAGCAAGTCTCTGAGACATCCTAGCTTCTGACAGTCTTTGTGCACTTTCTTTCTGTTAGGGCCTCTATTAGACACTGATGGCAGTTTAATTGGCTGTAATGGTCGCTTTGGTTCCCACCACTTCATTACAACCATATGATCCTCACAGCTTTATGGGTACCACCAGGGGCCCCTGGGGGCAAGGACAGAGACTGTAACCAAGGTTTTATGACCTTTCCTCTGGTCAAGAGGAGACCTCCTGGCCTTTCTGTCAACTCCCTCTGTGCTCTACTGGAATTCCTTACATTTCCTGGGAGGAAAGGTTTAGAGCTGGTGTCAGGTCACAGAAAGGAAGCTCATTAAAGGTGCTTCTTGTAGGTTTTTCTTCTTGCTTGACTCCAACACAGCAGCGTTGACATATCACAAACAACATCAGCCGGATGTTGAATGCTTGAATCAAAACTTCACAGTGTAGCTCTCCTCAGAATAAGACAGTAAAATTATCAAACTTCTTTCTCAGATTGAAACAAGTATATGCATGACAGATTTGGTAAAGGTGACCTGTTTGTTAAGGCAGTTCCCATGACAACAGCCTGATGGGATCTCTGCCGGTGGTGGCCCTGGTGGTAAAAAAGTTCCCTGTCAGTTCCTCTTCTCTACATGGAAAGAGGAAGAGTGGGAAGAAAAAGACCAAAGTTCTGCAATATTGGAGCCCACACCTTTTTAACGGCTCGCCCTTCATAACTCAGCCTGACAAAGATTTAAAACAGTTCAGGCGTAACGGCGATTAACTGTACTACAGCTGCACTCCTGACAAGCCTACAGACCCAGGCCTTGTGGTTTCCAGGGGTGTGGTTAGGCTTCTTTTCTTGTCTTCGCTTCCTGTTAACTCCAGCTGCAGAGTGACATGTGCGCAGGTAGCATTCACTTCAAACCACAGGCTGTGAACTGAACATAGTCATAGCTGGCTTAACACAGCCCTGCAATCCAGCAGCCACACCCAGCTGGATAATCACTGAAGGATTTGTGATGCCTGCAGACACAGATACCCTTGTGCACACCGTTATTAAAGCGGTTTAGTTATCTGCTGAATGGTAGGAGGGAACTCCTACACTGAGCCACAGCTCACACAGCTTGGTTCAAGTGCTGCTCATCTTCAAGGGCATCAAAACAGACAATTAGAGCCTGAAACGTTTCTGTTTGAGTCAACTTCACCTTCAGTAAAGTTCTGAAAATGAAGTGAAAATAGACCCGGAAGTGGCAGCAAGTTTTTTCAGGCTTCCTGCTGAGGCTCTTGTGTGGCATAATAAAAGATGGAGACAATAACATTACACAAATTAATCTGATGTTCACTTCACATTTGGTGCTAACTGTTCCACTGTAAAGAGGGGGTCAACAGTCTTCTTTACTTTTAACTTCTGGTTACAACAGGTTTTGGGCAACAGGGAAGAAAAACTGGGATAATAGTGGCTGTCTTAAAAGAAGATTTAAAGGAGGACTCTAAGTTTGCCCTTTTGGTTTCACCTCCACTTACCAGTTGAGATTTAGGAACCGCTAGTGTGGCCCTGCTGGAGGACCTCAAGCAGCAGCCAGGACTATATTAGTAAAATGTGCAAACTGGCCTCAAACTAACTGTCCTAACTAAACAAGTTGCTTGAATGGAATTGAACCGACTGTAATTGCTGCCAGGACTTTGGTTACAACAATGACAGCAGGTGTTACCGTGAAGGTTTTACAGTTAAACAATTCATAACAGTGTTTTTTTTTTTTTGTTTTTTTTTAAGGGGCCTATGTCGTGCTGTGGTGCAGGCCAGCTAAATAAGGCTGTAAATGTGAGGCTGTGGAGTCCAAGGTGCACTCTGGGCATCGCTCCAAAATGCATTCCATTCATATCTGCGACTGAAGGTTACTTGCTGTGGTGAAATTACGAATGCAGAGAACCAGAAAATGATTATGAAGTGCTGGAAGTCTAAATGACACAAGCAATTTAGTATTTAATGGGTGGTGTGCATACAAGCATTAAATACATCATTTAATCTACAAACATGGTTTTGTTTGTTTTTTCATGCTTGTTTTCCACTTTAAAAACCTCAAAATATGAGTAATTATTTTCTGTAAGCCTTGAAGGCCTCCCACTTATGCTCTGTTACATGAAAACCTGAAATTTGTCCATTGGCTTTCTCCTGAGAATTGCAGGATGTTCAACACAGCTGTGTGAGATCGCGGAGCCGTCTGTGCCTGGACTCCTGCTCTGTTTTCCCAGCTGTAGCACACTTAGTGTAAGAAGGATCATAGCTGAGTGTTAACCATCTTGCCTTCAGATGTAAGCAGTGCCAAAGTCTATGGGAGGTAGAGGCGGGGGCAGTATAGATGCTGCGGCAGTCTGATGGCTGCAGGGGACAGAGATGTGAGTGCATTTGTTTTAAAAGCAAAATTTAATCAATGAATGTTTGAGAGATTGTCCAAAACTTACAGAGTAGCAATCCCTGCAGCAGTAATGTGGCTTTACATCACCTCTTAATACACACAGGGAACAAGTGTACAGTAATACAGACAGGAGACTCCACACAGTGCCTGACAGGATGATGAAGATCCATGCAAAACAACCTCAAAGGCCTCTGTCACACTCCATGAACAACTACATCTGTATCTCTGACAAGATCTGCTGTAATTACAGAGCAGGCAGTGTTTCGAGTGACGGTGCGTCTGGATTAGACAACAGTTTTGCTCAGATCTTTGGCAAGTCAGGCGCTGCTGCTTACGCACACACAAACACACACGCACTCACACACAGAGTCCAGATTCAGACTACTGAGCGGTAATGACTCAGGGAAATGCTACACATTCACTCACACACATACACTAGAAACTCTCCTCCCCTCTGCAATTCTCCCCTCAGTGCTGGGCTGCTACACCATCTAATGATGACAGATACATCAGCGCACTAGAATGCTCAGGGGCAGGAGACACACCAAAGTCTTACAAAAACAGGAGGTAATTCAAGCACAGGATCGATAAACAATTATGTTCACAGGCACAACATTGGATTTAATCCTCCTCTAGATACACTTTCTAAGGAGTATAAACTGTATTTTTAACAGCTTGATTATGGTGAATCAGCATGGTGCAGCTACAGTATTAACTGGAAGAGAAGAAGAGAGGGGGCAAGTGTGCACTATTTTCTCACAGTGCTGGATTTGTGTCCCCTCTCAACTGCAGCACAGCTGTCTTAACAGCACCCCCGCCCTCCCCTTGTTCCCCTGCAGGAGGGGTGAGAGAGGGTGGAGGCAGCATTGTGTTTCTATAAGCTATTTGTCCTGTCAGGCTTTGTTGCACCAGCACTGTGCCGAAAAATGAAGAGTTTCTGTATCTTCTTTGAAAAATATTATGCCCTCATAAGATCTGCCTTGTTGTAGCTTTAAAGCATAAAAAGTTTTGTAATCTCCCTCATTAAAAAAAAGAGAGAGGGGCGCTTGCTGTGCGTGGATGGTCTGTTGGTGGTGGGGTGCATTTGCAGGATCAGAGAAGTCACACTCTCACGCAGCCTTTTTCTTCTTCTATTTTTAATCAGCCCAGTTTGATGTCTATTCTTGAGCCACTCCCTGATAGTGAGTGAGAAAATGAGTCCTTCCTTTTCTGGAACAGTGTCTCTTGGCTCCAGGCAGCGTTCACGATGGTGACACAAAGGATCTTCTGTGTCACTTGGCTGTGATGCAGCAGAGTGGAGCGGTCCCACCACATTGGCTGTGGGGAGTCAGACTCTCCTCCACCCATCTGGTTCTGGAAAGTGGGGGGCTCCCCCAAGTGCTCCCTCATGCTTTCTTGTTTGGAAACAAGCAGCGAGGAAGCGTGCGGGTTGGAGGGTCCATGCAAGTTTAAAAGCAGATTGTCAAATCTTGATTCTCATCTCACATGAAAGACAAAAGAAATGTCATCTTTGCAGAAAGGAGTGCACTCTTTTATCTCATCAGGTATTCATGAGGGCTGTGTTGCTCCTCGAGCAGGTTTGCCATACAGGTAAAAGGTATTTCCTCTAATAGCACCATCTGTTGGCAGAAAACGCCCTCATTCTGTCTCATAAATGCAGCATGTGCGCCACATGTTCTGTAATGAATGTTTACAGTCACTGGAAGCCACTGTAATGTATACATGATAACAGATTAGAGACAGCGCTGCTTCACTGTGGGCTGCCCTCATTTACTGAGCCTCCCTGTAGTCCCCTGTAGTGCTAGCCTAATTAGCCTACTACAAGAAGACTACAGCATTACTTTAATTATTTCAGGTTATTATTTAAGGAGGAGAGAACACCAAAGAGACCGGGAAATAGATCATAGTGATTTGAGTAAGAGACATATGGGTGGGAAAGAGTGGAAGAGCTACCCTTCTAATCTCCTTGTACCCCCTCTGGGTCTTGGCTCTACCGCACTGTGGGGCACGGATTTGATTCCAGCTGTGAGTCTAATTAATTAGTTGAACATATCCTGGTCAGAACCAGAGGAGACCTTCATAAGAGGATGATTCTGACTGCAGCGGTCCAGCTGCCCTGAGTCAGAGCGAGAGGGCAGAGGAAGGCCTGAGGGAGTGATCGTCTTAAATGATCTGCTGTAGTTTCATAAATGTAGAGTAAAGGCAATTCATCTCCCTTTATTCCTCTTGTGATTGGTTGTACAGTCAAGGAGTCAGGGGTCAGGCTGTTAAACTATGATTCAGTTCACCCACAGCTCTATCTTATTCTCTTTCTCAAACATTTCACAATCACAGTTGGGAAATAGGTTATGATGGATGTGTTGGCTTGGACAGGGAGAGTTGTCTTTGAACAAGAGTGTGTGTTTTCACTAGGAATCAATGCTGATTTTATCGACAAGTAAAGCTAAATCAGACCGTGAAGAGACAAGTGCTTGTGACCATTAAATTCAGGAAAATTCACAGGTGTGAGGCACAGTGCTGTCTCAGGTGTTCCTGGTGCAAAGAATCAGCAGATTTCAGGGACGCATATTACCTCTGCACTCCTATATCCCAAGAGAGAAACAGAATCGGCATGAGGAGCATCTTATTCATGTATAATCTAATTTAGTGCATTGTTTTCTTCAATAAAGTGATTAGATTATGTATGTTGATCTTAGGTCAGCAACCCTGTCAGCTCCAACATCAACATTTTCATTTGGTCTGATTGTATGAGGCCACCCCTCTCATTACACTACAGTTTCACTGTGTAAACAGAGAGCAGCATGAAAGGCAGTGAGGGGCCCCTGCGTGCCTGTGGGAATAAGGGGCGTACTTCATGATTCATGCTTGAAAAAAAAGAGCGTAATCTTTCAGCTTATCTGGGGCTTGAGGTGGAATTCCTGGAGGGCAAACGCTTTTAGGAGATTTGACGTTGACTGAGCTGGATTCAGATTTAAAGTTGGTTAAGCCACTCATAAATAAACATCTGGATGTGGAATTCTAGATATGATTTATCCTCAAGCTTTCACCGTGTTGTGAGTGCTTGTAACATAATTACAACAACATCCACAATTAATGGATATGTTATTCCAAAAATAACAAACTTGACCCTTAGATTACTAATCTGAGGGCTAACATAAACAGTCATTCTGTCACATTCTGGGAGGATTTTAGGCAACTACTGCCACCTAGTGCTGCTAATGGGGAATGATTTTACTGAAAATCTTATTCGCATTTTAAAAGATGGTTTGAGGCAATAAACATGCAAATCTTAACAAAACTGTGCATAATATTGTGTTTATATAACCATGTACAATTAAGTCAGCCACACAAGTAAAGGAGGGTGTGCTGCTCAAGATATGCGCAAAAATGGTCCCTAATGTTCATGTTCTTGCAGATCACTTAACTGTGACCTCTGGATTTTTACTGTGTTGGACAGAGAAACCCAAAAGTTACCAGACTTTTGAAAGAATGATTCTTCTCCTCCTACATACAAGAGTAATGTTTTAGTCTCAGTTTTTCACCTGCATGCCTCAAACATGTGATTATTGGCAATTCAATCAATTCATTAAAAATCAAAGATAAACACAGCCTGTCATGTCTATGTTTTCATGTCTGCTGTCTACCTTTACAACAAATTGACAATGAATTGATTGACTTTTACCAAACAAAGATTACAGTATATAAAAATAACTCTTGGAGTAGGTGCTTTGTGAATATATTTTTTATTTCAATCATGTGCAGAAAGTTGAATACAAAAAAGATAATCCCTGTTTAGCAACACAGACATTAAATGTTCTACTTCTCGTGTCTCTTATGTTGAAACACTTGAGCTTGCACGTACAGTATATCACCATACAGACTCAAACATTTCTTCGGATATGCAGGATGTGGATGTCTGGACAACTGAACTCTGGGTCTTGCTTGTCTGTTGGGATCTCCTCACAAGAGAAGTGTTGTTCAAGCAGCTGAAGGAAACATATATATATTTTACCAAGCTGTTATTTCTTATTTTTCACCCAAAAAAAAAAAAGGATTATAAGGACAAGTCCTCACCCCAAAAAATTGCTTTTCCACTTTTGGGTTGACACCCTCTGTGCGTTGCTCATAGCAGCAGATAATGCAGGTCTCCGGTCCAGAGAGCAGCTTCAAGCTCTCCACCAGAGGAATAATAGACTGTGAGGAACCAAAGACAAGTTATTAAAAGTAGCAAGATACGTTCAGGGTTTGTTCTATTTTGTCATGATGGCAATACAGTGCAGATATCTTTGAAAAATTACCTGCTCATAATAGATGCAGTCTGCCATGAGGATATAATGTGGGGGAGGCAGGAACTCAGACACATCTTCACCCCTTTAAGGAACACATAAATTAGGTGGCATTCTGTGACATTTAACTAATATCTTTATTTACAACATATGTGTGCACAAGAGTAGAAAAATAATGAATAGAGTGGATAAAAACAGAATAAAGAATTACTTTCACAGGTAACAGTTTACCTTGACAACAATTGCAACTGGCAAATTCAGCATTAAGTGGATAACACAGTCAAAAGTACCCATGAGGAAGCACAAAAACATTTATTCTCACCACTTTCATCTTTTATGACTCAAAAATGTCTAATATGTACAGAAAAAAAATGTTTTAAATACAAACCATTTCAGTACCTTGGCAGTAATTGATCCAGTCTTTGTAAGTGCGTGGTTTTCCTGAATGTTGAGCCTCAAAAGGGTCTGCAACTCTTCCAGATCTGTCACAGTAACCTGAGCGCTGTGGGATTCATCACAGCACAATGAAAATTTCATTATCAAGTTAGCTCTGTTGTTAGCACCAATAAGAGGTGGGTATCATTTTGATGGTTTGCAAAACCATATAGGAATGAAAAAAATCACAGACTTTAGGAAGTTAGTCAAAGTTGAAAGTTGTAATATATATATATACACTAAGTGGAGAAACATCTTACAGCCAATTATGGTTAATTTGCAACAGAAGTAAAGACAATAAGAGATTCAACCCTTGGTGAGAAATAAGGAGAGAAAACAGTCAAATGATTCCACAATAATGTGTAAAAAATTAGTATTAGTAAAACTACAGTGCACCATTACATGAAATACTTAGACATCCCTAAGAACTCTCTGTACAAAAGCGTCAAGGTCCGACTGGATAGTTACGATCTGAAAACCTTCAGGTGACCGTGGCACACTGCATTAAAAACAGACATGGTTCTGCAGTGGAAATCACCGCATACATAGACTCCAAAAATAAATCACCTCGTAAATCCATATTTGAGAACACAGTTTGTTAATGTTCGACTGTCAATTGTTCCATGTCATACAAAATCTAAAAATATGTTCATGTAGGGAATTCAATGATCAGTATCTAAGCAGGTATCTCACCCCAGAGCTGCTGCCATCAGACCGACGGCCCCAGTCCCAGCACCGAGCTCGAGCACCCTCTTGTCAGTCCACGCGCTTACTCCTGAGCACGGGTCGTAAAATTGTTTTGTCTCTAAATATTTTGCAAGAACGATTGCAGCATCCCAAACTACACATCCGACATCTCCCAGGTAGCATTGCTTCACCTTCAAGGTACGACCATCGTTTTTATCGATCTCCCTCACGAAGTATTTACTATCGTCTGTATCAGCCGCCATGTTGGTCGCACAGGAACTCGAAAAGTACATCCGGTTTCTTTCACAGTAAAAGAAATCAGACTTTGGCTGCATTTCAGCTCGGGATCAAATGCAACCCTAGACCCTTTAAAAAAAAAAATCAAATCTTCTTAACATGGCTTGTCCATTTCAGCTTCTGTTTGAGATTTTCACTTGATATCACAGCTTAATTTACCCTGCTCCTGTGGTCAGCACACACCCATGGGGTAAGTTGACCACAGGAGACCATTTCTTTGGCATGCTATATTATCAAGACAGCTATGTTTACACTCATTCTGTTGGTTTTCAGGGATGTACAACATCTTGAAATATATACAGATACACTAGTTAGAGACAAAACTATGATTGCCTTGATGTAGTAATCTGAAATATGAAAAATGGCTCATCTTACCCCACTCTCCCCTACTTTACAATACTATTCACTGCAAAGTGCTAGATAGATAGATAGATAGATAGATAGATAGATAGATAGATAGATAGATAGATAGATAGATAGATACTTTATTCATCCCAGAGGGAAATTCCACATGAATTCAAAGTAGTTCTGCTAGTTTGAGCAAAGAGAGTTTATTTACATGAAAATGCAAATAACATCTTAAATCTTCTTTTTCTGTTTATACGTGAGGCAGACTTGATCACGACCGTTATATCCGTAATGAACAAGCTTGATGTAAACATAAAACAGCTATGCGCATGATTTGAAGCTCGTGCACGCGCATGCGCAGATATCTGGTTTGTTTTGGCGGTTTTTTGTGTCCGTATAACGGACTTTACGGTGGCCCACTTCATTCAGGACTGACCAGCCAACAGACACTGATTTTACCATATCCCCATTTCTCTTACAGATGTACACTTGAGTTTGGTTTACGGACGTCTATTGAAGAGTCTTTAGCTTGTTTTAAAATGTTAAACAGCAGCACAGAGGAGGTGACACCAGGTGGTGACACCCCAGATTGTGGACAGATCTACGGGGTGTCCTCGACGGACAGAAGCGGATTGAATGAAAGCACTTCATCTGGTTCTTCACACCACAGTTTAGTTGGAGGAAGTACAAGTTCCAGCGATAAACCCTCAGGTGATGCTATAGACAGCTAGAGTTGTTTAAGCTAACATTAGCATCTTTGAACTATCAAGCAGAGTTTAAACCTCAAAATATAAGCTCCAGTATAAAACAAAGACGTTTTCTTTGAAAAACTTTCAGGACTTTGAATTTGATTTCATAGCAGAAGGACTAGTGTGATGACATCCCTGTGTTTTCAGAGGACAGTGCAGTCACGTCTCCTTTAAATTTACAGGTCAGCTTCCTCAGAGCTTCAGGTTTGGCTGGACAAATCCATCCATCCTTGCATCTACTTCAGACAGCTGCAGTCATGGAGGAACACCAAATCTCAGAAGGACCTTGGGCTCATACCCTGCCCCGACACCAGTTACTGATCAAACTGGTACTTAATGCCTTTTTATTCCTCTAAGAAGTTATAAATGTGGTTTGAAGTTGCATTTTAAATTTTGAGTCTTCTGTTTTCACAGCAACAACTTCATCCTCCACGACCTCAACCTCTGGGGCCTCAGTGATTGTGGCCGTGGTTGAAGGGCGTGGACTGGCTAGGGGAGAAATAGGGATGGCGAGCCTCAACTTAAAATGTCCGGAGCTTGTGCTTTCCCAGTTTGCAGACACTGGAACATATACCAAGGTATCCCATACATTGTCTAAAGCTTTTGATAATTGATTATGTGTAGTTGTGACTCTTAATAACAGTTATATGTTCAATAATAGAGGGTTCTCTTATCTTGGTCACATTTTCTTTCCCTGAAGGTTATAACCAAGATTCATATCTTGGCGCCACTGGAAATACTTATGCCAGACACAGCCAGTGAGAAAGGGAAAGGAACAAAGCTGTTCAACCTCATCACAGAAAACTTTTCGGTACAAAAAAAAAAAAAGTGAATTCAAACCAGCACTCACTTTTAAGGCTGAAAGTGACAGTATATGGTCATTATGTGTCCTGCCAACTGTTTTCATGTTATATCAGCATTTGACTGCATTTTTCAAGGGAGTTGCTTTCACTGCTGTCCAAAGGAAGTATTTTAATGAAAGGAAAGGACTGGAGTACATTCAGCAGCTTTGTGCTCCAGAGTTTGGCACTGTTCTCATGGAAGTGCAAGCTAAGTATGCCACTGAGGACATAAATGAATAGGCAAAGCTGTACTGTATGTTACAAATTTTATGCAACCACATGTCATGCCTTGTTTAGGTATTATTGCCTGGCAGCAGCAGCTGCTTTGCTGAAATATTTAGAGTTCATTCAGAACTCTGTCTACGCTGCCAAGTCCCTCAAAGTGAGCTTTAAAGGGAGTGAACAGACAGCAATGATCGACTCAGCATCTGCCACCAACTTGGAATTGGTTGTCAATAACAGAGACCACAGGTAAAAGATGCAAGACTGTTACATCCATCATGTCATGTGTATGCTTGAATTAACCCATTGGTAATTCTTATGTTTGTATTGGCTTATTAATGCATAGGAGTGAACACAGTCTATTCGGGGTTCTTAACCACACCAAAACGCCAGGTGGTGCCAGAAGGTTGCGCTCGAATATTCTTGAGCCTCTTGTTGATGTCGACACCATCAATATACGCTTAGACACTATACAAGAGCTACTGCAAGATGAGGAGCTCTTCTTTGGTCTCAAGAATTGTAAGAATCAAGCAACAAGCATGATATTAACATGTTAAAAATGAAGTTGTGACACAGTATTAAATTATTCAATCTTTTGTACTCCTCAGCCATTGGTCCTTTCCTTGACATTGACCAGCTGCTCTCTGTTCTTGTCCAAGTCCCAAAGAAGGAAACTGTATGTACAATGCTTTTTGTTCTACAAGACAATGTTATTGCTGTCTTAAAAAATCCAACTATGAAATCTCAATTTGTGTGTGTAGTCAGAACTCTTCTCAATCTTAGTACCAAAAACTTTCCAGTGTGAAATACTGTACCCTTTAACATTAAGGTGCTATATTTTTTACAGGTTCAAGTTGCCGAGGCAAAAATTACGCATGTCATTCAGCTGAAGCACACACTGGATCTGGTGCCAAGGCTTAGAGTCTGTATCTGTTTGAGTACATGAAATCAGATGAATTTGTCCTGCAGTTATTAACAGATCATAAAGTATTTAGCCATTTTTACAGCATTCAAGAAATGAATCCTTTGTACTCTGTGTGGACAGATGGTGTTGAAGAACTGCAAAACAGCTTTGCTGAAAGCGTACAGTACCTCACTTGAAGACAACAGGTAAAAACTACGCCTCTGTGTGATGTAAATTCACAATCATGTAGTGTTTACTGACTTCATCTGCTATATTTGTGCTAATCTCAGGTTTGACATGATTTTGGAGCAGATCAAAACAGTGATTAATGATGATACTACCTACCTGAAAGGGAGCCTGAACATGCGCACTCAGAAGTGTTATGCTGTCCGCCCGAACATCAATGAGTTTCTTGACATAGCGCGCCGAGCATACACTGAGATAGTGGACGACATTGCAGGTGTATCTCCTGAGATTTCTTTTTGTGTCTTTGGTTTTTAATGTTTGCACACAGTAACTCCATGATATTGTGTTGCACAGCGTTAGTGAACCAGATGGCAGAGAAATACGGCTGGCCAATGCGCACCAGCTTCAGCACAGCTCGAGGTTTCTTCATCCAGATGAAGCTTGAAGGAGTGATGCTGCCAGAGGGGAAACTCCCTGCAGAGTTTATCAAGGTTTAGCCCTTATAAATAGTGAGAGATGCAGACTGTTTAAGAATAATGTGACGGACAACCTTACAAAAAGTTTCTGTGTAAAAATAAGCTTTTTTTATATGTTTCAGTAAAGTTTGAATATTGAATGAATTGAAAAGGTTGGTTTCATTTTCTGCCACCTTTAAGGTCACCAAGCACAAGAGCAACTATAGCTTCACTACTGCTGACCTGATGAAGATGAACGACCGGTGTGACGAGGCCCTGAGGGAGATTTTTCACATGTCATATGTGTGAGGAGCACCATCTTTTCATTAAACAACATGGGCATCCCTGGATTAAAGGCTACACAAATAGTATCTCATCTCACCGTAACAGCCAATTAGTCAGCTAATTTCTTAAAAGGGGGCACTGCAAGTCAGCATTTCTCTCTCTCAGCAAGTTTGCATGTTCTAAATGGCTGAATCAGCTCTGTTTATTTTATACTTATTTTTATCCACTAGAGGGTGCTGTTTACTTGTTACTCTTTTCCTCCAGTGCTCTGCCCCTTCACCATCTATCTTGTCTCCATACAGGGTGATATGTCAACTGCTGAGCATCATCCACCAGCACATCCACTGCCTCTACAAGCTCTCTGATGCTGTATCCATGCTGGACATGTTGCTATCATTGGCTAATGCATGCACTACCCCAGACTACGGTGAGCATGATCTGCTGTTAGACACACATTACTCATAATCTAGTCTGATGTTGTCAAAGGGAGTGTTATATACTCATAAGGCAGCACCCAGCTAGTCATCAGACGTGATGACAGCCAGAAAGTGTTACACTGAGGCCTCACTTTCTTGTCTGCATGGGTCGTAGGCAGCACCAGCCACATGGGTGGTGAGCGCTGCCCCCCAGCTGTCTGAAAGTGTAGCTCCATATACATGTGCTGAGTGTCTGCCCCCTTCTATCCCCGCCAGCTTGTACTCAGATTACCCTTGTTACATAAGTGTGCACTAGTGCGCTGTATTTACTGAGACAAATCTCCCCAGCAGAGGAGTTAGCTCGCTGTAACCACTGTGCTCACACACCTCTCTCAAAAATCTGTTTTATTACGCTGTTATGACACACCTTTTTACCAATCAACCAGCTATTAAATATGCAGGAACTGATTAATTGAGATGAAATAATATACTTTGCTTTTGATGTGAAATATGAAAAACATTGCAAACACACAAGATAGGGGAAAAGAAGCAAATTACAAAGACATAAAGGCATTACTTTGTGTTGTCCTCTCCCCCTCCTGCTGGGTCTGCCAGTGCGTCCAGAGTTCACAGACACGTTAGCCGTCAAGCAGGGACGTCACCCCATTCTGGAGAAAATAGCTGGGCAGCAGCCTGTGGCAAACGACAGCTACATTTCCGAGGGGAGCAACTTTGTCATCATCACTGGACCCAACATGAGCGGCAAATCCACCTACCTCAAACAGGTGGCACTGTGTCAGATCATGGCCCAGATAGGTCAGAGACAATCCGTTCAGCCTCATATGTTGCTATGATTTTATTAGACTTGATTTCTGACCCTTGCATTGTAACTCCAGGCTCTTTTGTCCCAGCTGAGTACGCCTCGTTCCGTGTTGCTGATCAGATCTTCACGAGAATTGGTGTGGACGATGATTTTGAAACTAATAGCTCCACTTTCATGCTGGAGATGAAGGAGGTATGAGCTTTTGTACTCTTACATTAGAGCAGTGGTTCTCAATCCAGTCCTCGAGCCCCCCCTGTCGTGCATGTTTTGGATGTTTCCCTGCTCCAACACACCTGATTCAAATGATCAGCTCGTTATCAAGCTCTGTAATGGCTTAATAACGAGCTAATCATTTGAATCAGGTGTGCTGGAGCAGGGAAACATCCAAAACATGCAGGACAGGGGGGGGCTCGAGGACTGGATTGAGAACCTCTGCATTAGAGCCACACATGTTCCTTGACTATGTTTATGAGACGGATAATAGTCATGTAGTTACCAGTGACTCCTTTTTCCTTATTTCCTAAAGATTGCCTACATAACTCACAATGTCAGTGACTCGTCCCTGATCATCATAGATGAGTTGGGGCGTGGTACCAGTGCTGAGGAAGGCATTGGCATCTGTCACTCGGTCTGTGAGTTCCTCCTTAGCCGCAAGGTAGAGTGTACACCTTTACAGCCCTGCACTTGACTCCTGTTCCTCACATTGAAAACCAGATGAATTGCATTCTTTTTCTTGATAATTTAACTTACTGTTGTCTGCTGTTGTACTTCACTTAGGAAGGTTGTAAACCAAACAGGAATAACATGTATTTAGTATTGTTTTAATAGTTAAGGTGTGTGCTGTTTTCCTAACATTTGCAGGCGTTCACCTTGTTTGCCACACATTTTCTTGAGCTGTGTCAGTTAGAGGCTCTTTATCCCAATGTGGAGAACCAGCACATGGAGGTTCAGCACACACGTTGCAGAGACACTGGTGCTGAAAGTGTGGTGTATACATTCCTGCTGAAGCGAGGATGCTCTGAAGAGAGACACTACGGTAGAGAGTGAATGAAATCTAGTCAGACATAGCTGGAATTGAGCATATAGATGGTTTTAAAGCTTGCTGTCTCTCCCTCTCTCTCTTTAAAGGACTGAGAGCAGCAGAAATGACTGCGCTTCCCCCAGACATTATTCAAGAAGCTAAAACAATTGCCTCTAAGGTCAACCAGCAGCTTTTGGTATGGTTTATAATGATCATTCTTATAGAAAACAGTTGTAGCACTCAGTATAAGAGAGTCATGCATTGCAATGGCTTCTTTTGCCAGATAATTAATCCTAGCATAAATCAGAGTAAGATTCACATCAGTTTTTTTTTGTGCTTTAGGCCAAACATCAGAGTGATCCAGAGACACTGAGGCAGAGAGCTGAGTACCACCTGGCCACTCGCCTCGTACAGACTGCCAGAAACTCCAGACTGGACCCAGACAGCCTGCGAATGTATCTGAAGGGCTTGAAGAAGCAGTATGAGGCAGAGCTGCAGGCAGCAGGGCAGCCAATGTCTACTGACACAGTGAAGGAATGACTGACTCAGCCTTACTCTGGGGAGGGGCAGTGATAGTACCTAAAGATCACTACGCTTCTTCAACATTGTTCTATCGTTTTTACTGATAGGTAATAAGTTCAAGTCAAATGTTCATGCATTTTTTCTTTAAATACTCAAACAAGATTAAAATACTTGAGTAAACTAACTAAACAATGAAAATAGGATGTGAAAATAAATTGTTTTTGTCAAAGGAAATTGCAAGAAAAACAAGGGTTTGCAACAACTGTTCAGTTAAAACTACTTTGTGTTCATAAAACTGTTTTGAGTTTGTTATGGGTTAAAATGTGTCTATAAAAAGGCAAATGGAGCCTAAATTGAAGACAAAAAGTGAAAAGAAAAAATGTAAAATTAATAACATTGTTATTAAACCATTTTGGTGTTGTGTTTTTTGTGTTAATTTTGGATATGTCATGCACACGATAATAAAAAAAAGAATAAAAGGTGTACAGTTTTTAAATTCCAGAGATTTACAATAAGTCCTCATAGAAATATTACAGTACTTTTTGTACTCATGTGTCTCGTGAACTTGGGGGAAGTGCAATGACCACTCCCCTCTTTTCGTTTCTGGTGGGCGTTCGTTTTCTACACAGAGGCTGTCTTCGGAAGGCGGGGCTAAAAGCATGCGTCGACTCATTCAGCAACGGGCTGCAAAGGCATGACCCGGTTATCAAAACGAGCCTCCCCCTAACAGCTTGACTATGACCCGCCCCCGCGAACCAGAAACAGGAGATAGTCTGACGGATAGCGCAGGAGAAAGCCAGGTTGGAGCTGCCCCGGGAAGTCGGGAGTCTGCCAGAGTCAACGCAGAGCAACGCCATTTCCCCATTCACTAAGGGAGCTTAAAACTGAAACTACAGGTATGATATTTTTGGTTATATTCGGTTATTTTCCTGACAAAATAACGCCCCTTATCCCGGTCTAAGCGCGGCTAAGCTCTTTACCCGGGCCTGGGAACGGCCCTTAGGACTTAAGCGGCAGACTGAAGCAGCAGACCGGGTCAGAGATTTCAGGAGAGAAGGAGGCTGGGTCACCAACAAGACGAGGCCTGTGGGGCAGACGTTCACGCCTCCTTGTTAAGGGAATGCTTGCGAAAGACACATACTTTAGTGTTTCCAACATTTCGGACCATGTACAAGCGATGAGGATTTCTCTGGGCTAATAATTTGATTGACCGGTATTTCGATTTAACGTCCAACCGTGTTATCCGACCACTTTCTGCCGAGTGGATCAGTGATTGTCGTAGTTTAACACTTCTAACCTAACGCAGCTTGTAACTACCACGACCACTGACACATTTAGAGGCAGAAAGTCGCCTGTAAAGAGACTCGTTAACACCGGCTAACATTAGTGAGTGGCCCACGTTGGTTAGCTCGCTCTGGTGTTAGCTAGCTCATTCATAGCCTTTTCCTGCATGCTCTTTACTATGTTAGCAACTACTTGTAGCCACGTCCAGGCCACTCTTGAGCCTCCTCCACCACTACTCTTTCTTGCCAGTCATGTTGGTTGTAGTTAGCTGACCGCTGGTTTATGTGTCTCCTCACACTTTTCCTTCGACTTTCATTGGGTTATCAAGTGATTTTTGAGCTGGATGGGCCAGTCCAACTAGGGCAGTTAACGCTGGATCAGTTTTACATTTTCAGTGAATGTAGTCTATACACATAGTTTGTACACTGCCATTTCATGTTTTGGATCAATAGTGCACATAAGGCCCACGATCAGACGTGACCAAGCATGCTGGGACATTTGGTATTAAAGTGTAGTGATCAGCCCATTTTGAATCAGGCCATTGCAAAGACAGTCAGAGGTGTTGTTTTTGATCACGGATACCTTTAGTTGATCGTCACTGTAGTTGGCAACATCACACGTCAGCAATAAGGTGGTGACTGGAGACATGACGATGCATATCTGTCACTTGTGTGTCCTGATGGCTTCAGGGTGTATCTTTTCAGGTGGTAACCTAACTTCAGTGTGAAGCTAACTGAGAACTTGTTGGTGTTTTTGACAATCCTGCAGAGGTATTTTCTTTTATTGTGTGAAACATGCTTCCTTATTTCAGACTTCAGAGGAAGAGCAGGGGGTTTCAAAGGAACCACATTTTTTTTGTAAATGTATTTCAAGTACTCTACATTGTACTTTGGCACTTTCTTTTTAGTTTATGACCAAGATACTGATTGTGGTGAATTGCTACTTTGTTATCCTAACAACCTGACCACTTAGGCAGAATTATGATCTAATTGTCCTACATATGACTCTCATTTAGATATAACCTACGATCAGTGAAACTGTGCCTTGAATCTATTTGATACACATTTGTTGTAACAGACTGCACTGGAAGTGTTTTTTATGCTACAATGACACTCATTAAACTTTAACAGTTGGTCAAGTATCACAAAATATCTAAGAGCAAGGAGAGGTGAGCATTTGCATTTTTACTGGAACTGACACCATCATAACACTTGCTGCATTCAATTTTCATACCGTAGATTACATATGTGGTCTGTGGGAAACCAACTACAGAAACTGCTCATTTGAATACCTCCAGTTTTGGGCTTTCCTGAAACCATAGACTGGCTGTTAGCTCTTGAACATGTTGACTGTTGAGTGCAGCATGGCCTGGTTTTCAAGGACTGTCAGCACTGCTCTTTTGGCCTGATAGATATCAGGAGTTCCCTCTCTCTCCTGTCCTGCCAAATCAAAAGGCCCGGCCAGCCAAGTGGCCAGATTCCGGGGAGCCAACAGCCCGAGAGGGCTTTGTCCTCCTGGCTCATTTTGATGCTGGGACAAGGCTCAGGCTGCACAATAAGGAAGCACATGCACCTTCCACTCTGAGTGAGGCCTGGAAGAGAAAGACAGCAAGCAGGCCTCAAACTTTCGCACTGCCTGCTCCACCCATACCTAAGAGGCCAAGAAGCAGTGTTGCTTTGAGAGTTATTTCACAGCTTCATTTTTTTTCTGACATGGGAGTTCCCTGAAACATGAAACGAATACATAAAAAAGAATTTCCTGATTTGGTAGCTGGCCGCTGAGCACTGAACTGAAAACCTTTTTCACCCATGCTGCAAAGGTAGTACATACTGTACTTGAGCCTCTACAGTCTTTGCTCTGATGTTATAAAACTTAGAAAGTACTCTTGTGAGTAAAGGAAAACATGCTGCTGGTATAGGGTTTCTGTATTGATATGTCACCATCTATTATCTCCAAATGAGGTCACAGATTAGATAACTATTCAGCAGACAGAAGAGACTGACAAACTCTTCTATTCAGTGAAAGTTGGTGGTTTTGATTCATGGTTTGTGTCTTGACTTTGTGCCCAGTTTTCTCTTAAACCTACAGTTTTTTTCAGCTGAATATTTTTTCATGAGTTTGCCTTCAGCTGTAGCTCATTGAGTACGGAGGAATGCATGCTCTTTGACACAGATGCCATACAAGCAGCTCAGAGGAAATGAAGTGGAGAGGTATGATAGGTTAGGTATAAAGCCAACATTAAAACAAATCACAACATCATTTCTTGACAACCATGGCTCCTCTTAAATATGTCTAAAAATATTAAAAATGGTTTGAAAAGATGATCTCACGGGAGCTCAGGGAGAAACTTGGTGCTGAAAAAGCAAAACGAGAAGTAAAAGGTACTCATTATTATAACCGTCTTGTTACACTCTTGTGTGTTTTTGCAGATGTACAGAAACAAGGTCAACATAACACTATAGCGCTAAGCCTTCCACTCCTCAGGAAGGCCTGCAGTGGAAAGTTATTCTTAAATGTATTATCATGGGTAATCTGCTTAATCCAAATTACTAAAGAGGTCTGCTCTACGACGCTGACTCCCACGCTATATTACTGCCACAGATCTCAAGGATAGGATGTGATTGGGCTGCATAGTGTCTGGTGGTTTGCTGTCAGTGCCACCCTACATGCAGGTTTTATTTTGGTTCTTTAGGTATTGCTGTTAGAAACACACCTCAAAATTTCAGTTTTTTTTCACCTTTTTCTTGGCAAAGTTGAAGTCAACACGCTTGGACAGAGAAAATATAACAATTTATAAAGTATTTAATTCAAAAGTAAAAAAAAAAAAAGGAAACCAGAGGAAGATTATGAATTCTTGCGCAGTGTTGGATCATTGGATTAATCAGATTACTTGGCTGAGGCGCTGCATTAATTAATATGCATGTGTGTAAAATGTATGAGTAACTGTTGCTATGACAAATAAATCTATTGCATCTCTTGCCATCATGCAGACATTTTTCAGTCTTTTGATGCCAAGAAATGACAGTTATTCTTGTAGCTGCTTTGGATTAGGTGGTTTTAAAACGAGCACTAAATTATAACTGATTTATTTGAATTGATCTGTCAGTTCAATCTTTCTGTGGAGCCTGGACATAACTAAACAAAGCTCCTTAAAAAAAATTGATGGCAGATGTGAAACTCAAGTCATCCCAGGACCTCTTGACTCTGTCAACTTTGCCTGCTCTTGAAGAAGACCCTCTTCTCTGTGGGCCTGAGGCAGACAGGGGCCAAACTGCAGCTGCAGCAGCCCCCAGCTCTGGGTGACACTTGCTTGTGGGTGTATTTTTGCCTCTTGCAAATCCATCATAATATGAGTCTAGAATACCACCGAGTTGTCCTTGTGGGGGCTGAAGGAGGGGAGTGACAAAACGAGACAGTGAGTGAGCCATCTTCAATTTAGCTGAGTTGTTCTTGACCTATTTTGTCACCTTTTAAGCTGCCATGAGAGAAGCTGGTGGCTTATACTCTCCTTTTAATAACTTACTCTATCTGTCCAGTCACAGGAAATGCTTCAAGTGGATTTTTTTATAACTGAAACAGAAACCAAGTAGTGAAGAGGAGTGGCAGCAGATACAGTGAATGTTTGAGCTGGAAAGGAAACCAATTTCTCTAAGTTGACTGTGCACCAATATAAAGTTTGAAATGTTCTCAGGTGACTCCTTCTTCAACCAGTGACTGATAAGAGTCTTTATTGTATCAGGATTACTCATTGTATTGATCTATTATATGTGTTATAGGCCCAACTAGGCCCTAGTTATACGTAAAGTCGTATCGCTGGTGTAGTCTAATCTAATTGGATCATGCCATGAAGAGAGACGATGACATGAGTAGGAGTCCCTCTCTTGCACCTTCTCTGCAATGCAAATGTGCTTACACCTCCTTTATACTGCCTCTGCAGCTTCCATAATGTTGTACATGTACAGTGTGTGTAAATTATCAGCAGTGTGCCTCAAAGATGTTGGTGTCAACTCGGAGTACAGACTTATAGCACAGTTATCCCTTATTTATATGTGTGTCTTTCTTTCCTCATCTTTTTTAGAATGGCGGTGGATATCTACGACTCTCAGTACCTGCTCATCCTGGCCCCTTCCCTGGTCATCGCCCTCATGTTCCTCTTCTTCTGGCTCTTCATGAAGGAAACCTCGTACGACGAGGTGCTAGCCAGGCAGAAACGGGACCTCAAGCTACCACCATCCAAGCCAGACACCCGTAAGAGGAATGAGAAGAAGAAGAGCAAGAAGAAGGAGAGTGCCAGCGGAGGAGGCGGTGGAGGAGGTGGAGGCGGAGGAGAGTCAGAGGAGGACGTTCGGGATTTTGATGGGGTCGATGGTGCCAACAGCTCCTCTCTAGAGGTGGAGGAAGAACCTGCACCAGTGGTCACACCAGAGCCAGATCCACCAACACCCACTCCATATGTGCCTGTTTCAGCGACTCCAGAAGCTCCTGTCAGTCTGAGGGAGAGGAAGAAGAAGGAGAAAAAGGCGGCCAAAGCTGCAGCGGCTGCTGCTGCTGCAGCTGCAGCTGCTGCAGCTTCCTCCTCGGATGAGCCAGAAGTGAACGGCTCAAAGCCGATCAGCAAGAAGACAGAGCAACCTCTGGCTACAAGCAAACAGTCCATTCCTCCCTCCCCTCCGATTGAGGCCCAGGTCCAGGTCACTCAGGCTCCCGTTCAAGCTCAGACGCCTCCCCAAAGCTCTGGGAGGAAGAAGAAGGAGAAGAAACAAAAAGCAGAGCCTGGTGAGTAGCGGGTAACAAAGTTACAAATGGAAAAAGTTAAGTGAAGTGAGTGTAAGCTAAGTCAAAGAGGGAGGTGGTCAAAGAATGTGAAATAGGAGGTTAGCCACAGACACCACAACCTCATTAAGTGTAAGGATAATTGAATTTCCTCAATTGTTAGTCTTAAAACAGCCTGCTGGAGATTGACAGCATTATTCCCTTATCTGTTCTTTTCCAGTTGATGACCAGCAGCCCGAGGTTAAAGCAGAACAGGCTCCAGCTTCAGCCAAGAAGGAGGCCCCTGTTGTTGCTGAAACCAAAGTTCTGGATGGTGCAGCTCCAAGTGCTCCCAGTGGCAGGAAGAGGAACTCTGCCAAAAAACAGAAGACCGAGCCTGGTAATGATTGTACAGTGGTCTCAATTTCTTTTAAGAGACCATGATCTGTTTTTAAACTATCGCCTTAACATTTCACCTTGCATTGCGTTTTTTTTTTTTCTCCAAATCCAGTTGATGATGCCAATGTTAAGGCCGACTCAGCGGCTCCTGCCAACCACCAGGCAGCCCATAATGATGATGCACCATCCAAAGGCAGTGGCAAGAAACAGAAGAATGAGACGGACAAAGGTAAGAGGAAAAAAGAAATCGTACTCTCAGTCTTTGGCTCTTTTTACTCCTGCATCTGTAAGCTGAATAGAATCTTCTGTTTTGTGTGTTTTCAGAGAACACAGAGGTGAAGCTAAAGGAGCTGCTGACTGGTCTGTCCAGCCTGGCACTGTCAGAAGCTGAAGCTGTCAGTGTGATTGCCCTGCTCCGTGAGAAGAGCCCAACTGCCTTGGACACCTGGCAGAAGGTGAGACATGAATAAGAGATCAGTTTAAGCTTGATGTTCTAACAAACAGGTGACATTTTGCCCTAATTTGCATATAACGGGAGAGTTATGTCTGTAGTCGGACTTGTTTTTCAGGCTTTATTTAATTATACATGTTCCACCACCAGACTGCTGCAAGGTCTGATCCTGCCACACAGGAACGAGAGAGACTCCTCACAACTCTGCAAGAGGAGGCCTCCATTGCCAAGGACAAAGTGAAACAGCTCAGCCAGGTCTAGATTCCCAAGTTGCACTTTATGAACACTTGCTAGATCGCCATTCACGTCGCAGGAAAACTTGTGTTGATTTCAGTAGGGAGCTCACTCTTGCCCTCTCGCTCCTGCGATTTTAGGAGCTTCAGGTGGAGAAGCAGAAGACTGGCCGTGTGGAGGCCATGATGAGAGAGCAACGTACAGCCATGGAGAAAGAACTTGGGGGGATGCAGGCCAAAGCTCAGGGAAGTTACCAAGAGCTCCAGACCATGCAGATAAAGGTGACACCTCTGATTCCTGGCTTGAGTGTAGAAATAAATTAACTTATTTTGAGATGTTGTTTCTTTTCCTATCATGGCAAACAGCCATCATCAGTTCAATGATGTGAAGGCATTCTCCTCACAGACGCCAAATCCTGCTTTCTGACGCTCTTTTCTTTTACGTGTAGTTCCAGCAGGTGAGGGAGCAGCTGGACAGCCAGATCACTCGACTGCAGCAGGAAAACGGCATCCTGAGGGATGCAGTCAGCTCCGCCACCAACCAAATGGAGAGCAAGTGAGTTACCCTACTAGTTATCCAAGTTTTGTTAGAATTGTATATCAGGTCCTGATATTTCCACAGTTGTTTACTTAAGAGGGAACTCTGTGCGATAGGAGTTACAACCTGCACCCTTAGTACCCAGAGGAGTGGGACTTCATTATGACAGATTGAATTGATTCCAGGATTGTCTAAACAATATTAAATTAGGAAAAAAGTATTTATGATTAGATTTTTCCACTCCACTTACCTGTGATTATGAAATGACTCACTGTGCAGGCAAAATCTTTCTGCCTGCACAGACACACAACAGTAAACGTCTTGTACTGGCTATTTGTAGATGCTATCACTAACATTCTGCAAAAATGCCTCATCAACCCTCTTCACATCGCTCCTTTGTGCTTGTGTCTGCGTGTGTGTTTGTCTTGATAGGAATTCAGCCGAGCTGAATAAGCTGCGTTCCGAGTACGCCGCTCTGATGAAAGAACTGGCGGAAAACAACGGCAAGCTGCAGCAGGAGGAGCACCAGAGGAAGTCGCTGGAGGTCAGCTACAAGCAGAACGTGTCCCAGCTGGAGGTATGCTCATCCAGATGCACAATGTGTTTATTTAGCCTGCGCTTAGTTTCCCCAACCGAGACCCAGATGGAAAAGAACAGATCTGCTCAACACCTTGGAATTCCACACAGCTTCGAAAAGCGAGTGGGTGTGGTGACTTTATCAGGGAAATGGGAGGGGGTATCGCTGAAGTCCCGGGTTAGGGTGTGGGAAAAAAGAACCTGCATTGGGAGGAGTGTGTTGGCTTTAGAAGCTGGAATGCTGGAGGTTTTGTGCTGCGTATAAACAACACTTTCCTGCGAGACACTCGGATCAGCCTTTCCTGTCTTTTCACTGAACACCTTCAAAGATGAACTCTAAAGTTGCTTGCTCAACACAGACGAGTCTGAGCTCGAAAATCATGCCCAAAAGTTAGGGCTTTTGTGATAGAAGACTTGTTCCCAAAATCAGATTTTCTGACAAGATACCAGTATTAGAAAGTATTGTTTTCTAGATCCACGTCTGTTGGAAACCTAAAGGACCAAGTCTCGTTGAACTCCTGCACTCTCTATACACGTCAACCTCCATCATTGACCGCTGAGTAATGATATTGACAGCAAGAAGACAGATGGATGTATGACATTTGTTATCTTACCCCGTGTTTTAGAGCTGTACACTCGAGCACTTCAAAGCGTAGGATCTTGACGCCCACTCAAGCCACCCCTGATAACATTTTGTAGGCACTTGTTTTCTCGTATAATGTGTGGGTGAAGAAAAAAAAACGCATCCACCAAATTGGCTACATCTCTCCACTCTCAGGCTCAGCTGCAGGAAGCAAAGAGACGGTGGGAAGACCTGCAGAATTTCTGCCACGGCGTCAACGCTGAGAGAGAGAAACTTCAGACCTCTAAGCAAGGTGATGAAACATGATACGACTAAGACAAACGAAGCCCCAGACTCGTCTCATTTCAGATTCAAATGAACGGTCTTTTCAAGTGGCTAAATGTGTTTGTGTTGATGTGTTGGTGCAGAGCTCCACAACCAGCTGTTGACAGCAGAGACAGAGATGAACAACAAGAACAAGGAGCTCCAGACCCTGCACAGCAGCCTGACTGAGGCCATGGTAGCCAAAGAGAGGCTGGAGGAGAGAGTGCTGGAGCTCATGGAGATGTCGCAGCACAGCATGCCGGATGACTCACTGCAGGCACGGGTTCAGGTGAGACACAATAACATCACTCATAAAAAAAACTAAGAAATTAACTTCAATTAGCATGATTGGCTCCATCGTGACTGGTGTGGATTGATAATTGCGTTTTGTCTGTGAAGTAAAACAACACGATCTAATACATGCTTTTGTTGACAGGAACTTATGAATGAAAACAAAAGTCTTCAGGTCCAGAGTGAGAGCTTGCAGGCCCAGATCTCTTCACAGGTATATTTTAAACCATTTACACGCTTGTCTTGAAAACGATCTAATAATGTGATCGTATTTAGGCTAATAACCTTTCTTTCCTGCTCATTTAGGCCACACATGTCTCCCACATTGAGGAGCTACAGAAACTGTAAGAACTGCTTTCACTTTTGTTTTTACCTTTTAACACACACTGACTGCATTCATAGGGATATTGTTATTCTTTGTATGCTTGCCTAACTTGTCCTCTCCCCCACTTTCGGTTCAGATTGGCCGAAAAGGAACTGCAGAGGAAGAGTCTGGAGGATTCTCTAAATGCCGAGAGAAGCAGCGGGGCCAGTAGAGAAACCAACATGCAGGTATAGTCACATGAGAGCTTCATCTACAGCTTCTTATGCTAACATTGCTGCAGGTTCATTAGTCTGCTGGAATTTGCAGAGGCCTTTCACTGCGTTGGGAGGGCGAAAACAGATCCACAGTTTCAGAGTTTTTTCTCCATCTCTTTATTCTTCTGCAGGCCTTGCACAACGAGAACATGTCACTGAAGGCAGAGGTTCAGAGTCTGCAGGCACAGATTTCTGATCAGGTAACCTACATACCTCTCTGCTGCTCTTCCACGTTAAGACAGAAAACCCATGCTCCCCTTTATCGGACACACCCTCTCTTACTGTTTGCATTCATCTCTCCCTGTACAGGCTGCCTCTCAGATGGTGTTGGACCAGTTCCAGAAGAGGTGTGTTTGTGTGAAAACTGGGACATATTTTAAATACATAAGCTGGTTCAGCTTGTTTCTCTGTCGATGGAAATAAGTCATAATGATTAACCGACGGCTCTTTTGAAACCTTTCTCCCTGCTCAGTGTCCTGGAAAAAGAGGAGAACATGAAAACAGTGGAGGGTCTTTTGGAGAAGGGGCTGATCGAGGTGGCCAACAAGGAGGAAGAGCTCAAGGTGTCTGTTGATTTATTTATTTTTTGTTTAGAAAGAAACAGGAAACAAAAGTCATTAGTCTGACACCAGCATGCTTAATGACTCTGCACTTCAGTGCTTGCCTTGTAATCACGAGTCCTAATGGGCAAAAATAACTGAGGTAATGTCTCATCCTCATGCAGACTGTAAGAGAAGAGAACGAGACTCTGAAACAAGAAATGGAGACCATGAAAAGAGTGACAGCAGAACAGGTGAAATGCCTAAAAATGTTACGAATGACTTGTAGCTGCTTTTTTCATAAATCATAGATGACTTTTTTTTTAATCATCTGTCCCTTTCATTGCAGGTATCATCAGAGTCAGTAGTAGAGGAACTCCAGAACAAGTAAGACCAATGAAGTAGTTAGGGATCATCACGATCTCTTTGTACAGATGAGTTAAAAAAACAACACAAACTCTGATGTAGTCACAGTGGTGCCAACCATTCATTTCCAAAGAGGTGTTTAAGCAAATGAGTACTGTCCCTCAATATGCATATCTCATATCCTTATACGCTGAGAGTAGGTGACTTGTATATTACCCACACTCTTGCAGTTGTTATGTAAGGGATCATTTATAAGGAGTGTGTTATTGCAGGACCTGGGAATCCGGGCATGTAGAGCAGGACTCTAATTCAAAGCTCTGGCTTCATATCAGAATTTTTCTTCCTTATGTTTCTGGTTTGAACAGTGTCATCTAGCCACTGCTGCTGCTGAGAGTAGTTCAAGCCCAAACACTGTCCACTGACACGTGATCCCATAAACCTTTTGCTGCCATTTAACAAAAACTGGGCTGTAATTAATTCAATCATTAACAGATAACTGCAACAAAAAAAAAAAGTGTGACTCTAAATCTTAGTCACAGTACAGACGAGGAAAATCAAGACCCATGTTGTGATATCACCAGCTGCTGAACCATCGCCTTCCTCTCCCAGAGGCATTTACTACAGGGTTGATAGAGGTTGACCAGGAGGTCTGAGAGTGGGGTCATGGCAGTGTTACTGCGGCTTTGTTCACCCTTCACTCTTTCCATTGAAAATATCCTAATTTAGTTTCACTTACACTAGTTAATCAGCGGTGGCAGCTTTGCCAGCCAGCTCCTATGAAAAGCAGCTCATGTCATAATTACTTATTACATAACCAAAGGCCACTACTTAGTCTAGTGTGAGCATATTCAAGCTAATCCCCAAACACAGCCCTGATAGTGAGACTTTTAACACCTGATCCCCTCTTGTGTGTCGTTGAGCTAACTCTTGTAGCAGATATCATTATAGAAATGAATGTCGGGGGGATTCCACGTAAAGACTCTTGTTTCACTTCTCTTTCTAGGATTCAAGAGAGGGATGTGAAGCTAAAATCAATGGAGGAGAGTCTCCAGGCAGCGCAAGACAGTGGTTCGGCCAAAGAGAAGACAGCAGAGGTGTGGCTTTTATGTATCAATGAAACACATTTTCACGGCATCCCCTCTGCTGCACATGTTGTATTGGCTCGGTTTGAGCTCGTGTCTGAAGCAGTTTGTGTCTCACAGGCTCTGGAGCAGCAGTTGGCCGCCCTGCAGGCAGAGATAGAGCAGCTGAGACAGAGGGAGATGCCAGAGGAGCAGAGCGGCTCTGATACCCAGCTCCAAGAACTCCAGGCTCAGTAAGTCAACCCTCACACTACAGGCACACACATGTTCAAACACACATACTTAGAATTTACCCTGCAAAACATCAAGCTGATAATGAGCAAATCTGACCCACAGACTGGCTGCCAAGGATCAGGAGATCCAGAAGCTTCGGGCTGAGATGGAGGCAAGAACTGTGGAGATGAGTGAGAAGATCGAGCAGGTCCATCAACAGGTACATTCATATTTGATCCTGCTTTTATTTTTATTATATCCTTTTGAGTATTTGCTTTAACCTGACTTTTTAAAACCTTTTCTCGCACAGCAGTCCCATACAGCAGTACCAAGCCAGGAGCTGCTTTCAGAGTGAGTAATGTTGCATCCAAACACAACAGTACATTCACATGTGTATAATTAAAAAGACTCTTTACTGCATCGTAACTCTGAGTAACTCATGAGTTCTGGTCTTGTCTGCCAGGTTGTCAGAGAAGAACAAGCAAGTCTCAGATCTGCAGGCTGAGCTGGCTGAGTTGAGGGACTCTGTGGAGCTTCATAGGAAGAAGAACAATGTAGGTTTTCGGCGATGAGTTGAGTTGTAAAACCCCTGCAACCCCGCTCCCCACCTTCCTTATTGTGTGGACCCCAAAACTCTCCCCTCACACTGGTGCTGAACACCGCATACATCCATACCTCCTGTTGTCCTCTGCCACTGAGTCTCACTTGTCTTGCTTTTTGTTCTTTTTTTTTTTTTTTTAACACAGAATAGACAACTTTCTCTAAGATTCGCTGTCAACATGATTTCACTCATCAGTTCAGATTTCTATTTTGATTTGGATTGCTAAAGCTCATCGTTGCATAACAGGGCTTCCAGCCTACTCTTGTTGTGCTTGCCGGTGGCCATGAGTGTTTCAGCTAGCTTGTCTGTGCTTGTGGATGAATCAGGGCATTAGAAACTAGCCTACCTTGTTTTTTCAAGAGAGGAACATGCGATTTGAAAAGTGGATTTCTTTTCATTTTAAACCAATCTTTTCTATCTCTTTAGATAGGGTTACCTCAATGCTGCACAGAACACAACTGCTATACATAAACTGTGTACTCTGCATGCTGCTTTTACCCACACAAGGTGCGAGACACGGACTCTCGAGGGTATTCCTTCATACTTATTTTTAGCTGTTGGAGCATGGATGAAAAGCGTAGTAATCTTAAAATGAGCAATGCGTTCAGTATGTTCTGTTACTCTCACCAGTCTTTATTTGAGGGTCCCTGGATGCTTTTTTCCCTTGAGGCTAAACTGAAAGTAGTATCTCTCTGGAACTGACCAAAACAGGAGCTCCGGGAGAAAAACTGGAGTGCAATGGAAGCTCTGTCAGCCACCGAGTCCATGCTTCAAGGGAAACTCAGCAAAGCTGTCAAGGTTCGACACCCCCCACCTGCTTCACTCTAGTTCCAATCTGATGCATCTCCTCCATCCTTCCCCCCAAGAAATGCTTTTTTTTTTTTTTGCCATGATTGACCCCGTGAAATGTCTTTTTTTTTTTTCACCACCATTCATAACAAAGCTGCATACTCATTTACCTCCCTCTCGCTCCCCTTTCCTCTGATGTTTGGCCTTCAGTTCTCAATTGGCTGTGTGTTGAGCTGTTGAACTTTGCTTCTACACCAGGAAAAGTTTGAGTTCATCATCTTGAATATTGGTTTCTTCAGCAGATCTATTTGTGCTTTAAGCCCTGAATTATACAAAAAAAAGACTTCTCCCTGTCCAGAGCTTCAGCTGATGCTTGGTAATGAGTGTGCAGTGTCCTAGAAATAATTTCACTAGGTTTCATTAGACTGAGATTCACAATAATCATTCTTGCAGCTTCTCGTCTTTACTTTTATGTGGCTTATTTCTAGCATGTTTTTCTCCTCATCCTGATTTGGACATCCATACTGTCAATACAGCTAGGGATGTAACACTACACTAAATCATGACATGTTACATTTCAGGGTCTTTTCGTCATATATTAAAGGTGTCAGTTACCCAGTTTATGTTTCAGCTTTAGAGAAGAAAGTGCTTCATAAGAATGTTGTTTGTGATGCTGTAGATTACTTTATTTCATGTTAAGACATGCTTTTATTTTGAAAGGATGCAACAGGCACCTCCACTAGATAGTGAAGTTACAGGAGAAAATGAAGACAGCTAAATTAGCAGCCAACAAAAACAAAAGCTGTATTTGTGCAAATATAGAGGAGAAGTGGTGAAAAAAAAAGATTAAAATATCAATAACTGATGTTTAAAGAAAGAAGCTGCAGTGGTCATCACGTATAATTTTGCGAGCTGCTCAGGTGTTATTGACACTGGCCGTGTTTCCTTGTCCCCAAAATCTTTAGCTGCTGTCATTTAGAATTTGGTATCAACATGCCCCCAGGGTGATCAGATCTCAAGTTGATAGCTCTGAATATTAGCATTCATGCTTTGCATCAACATGCGTCACCAAATGTGACTCCAGTCCAGTGACTACTTGTGATCCGATCTGACTTTGTGGCTCCGGATAAAAATTAGCATGAGGCCCCATGTAGCTAACTGTAAGATCAGTCAAAGATGATAATAAACACTACACCACTATCCAAACTTAGATTCTGTGAAGCGTGGTGTTCTTAGGGTTACGGTTTTGAGGTTCATCGCGTTAACTGAAATGACCTCACAGCTAACTCAAGTCTTTTGTTACAGTGGAAAAAAGATCGATGTCATTAACACATAGATCTGCATTGCGTCTCATAACCACACTGCACTATGAAACTCTGAGAACTGCTACTTCAGCTCTCTGTGTGTTATTCACAGCATGTGGAGGCCTTGATGGTGCAGTTTATCAGGGTGTCAGTCTCTTTTTATTCACATGAAAGGCATTACTAAAGACTATGATAAAGCTATTCATTGATAAGATGTTTTACTTATGAAAGACTGCAGAGAAATATTGACTCTGTATGGTTTGGCAGTCTTTAACTTCTCTTCATAAGTGCCATGGATACAGACAGGGGGGGCGGTCCTTGATGAGGCCCAGGATACATGACCTCACACATTCTGACCACAACTGTATGTGGACTAAGAGAGCAGATCAGATTCTGTCCTGGGGGTGCATTGAGGTGTGTTCACACCTGTGGTTAAGGCTGACCACTTGTGGTCTAATTACCCAGGAGGCATGTCAGTGCTAAAGTTAAATAGGGACAGAACACATCAAGCACCCTCTGATGTGTAACGATTTTCAACTCTCTTGCGAATACCTTTACGTCCTTGAGTATAGCTAATTATTCAGCGGACAAATGTGTGTTTAATCGCTGAAAACTCAGTCCAGAACATGTGATTATCAAAAGTAGTTAAACATGCTACAGTTTTCCTTGTGTTTCTTTCTAGAAGCAGAGCCACAGGTTCCTTGGTATTAACATAGTGAGCTACCAGATAGCTGGTCTATTAACAGTTCCTGTGACGTCTGTGTATTTTCGTCGCCCTCCACTACATTAGAGAAGGGTACATGCTGAACTGTCAGCACAGCAGCTGCTCCTCTGCCATCTGAGTACAGTAGAAAGCTCCTTCTCAGAGCCGAGCCAGGGAGTTCCTTGGCAGCTGTTGTGTACTGTCAGTGCACGCTGGTCGCATTTACTTGTCTCTGAGCCGCCTTCTGACACAGTGTGTTAATGTGAATAGTGGTTCGAGCGCCAGCTGGCTAGTGCTTGGCGTACATTCTCCCTCCAGGCCACAGAGTGACAGTGCATGATGCTAGCCTATTGTGGGAGGACTGATAGCTACCTTTTTATTTATTGAGGAGTTTCAAGGTATTTTCCTGAAATCAGACTTGATGTATTTATGGTTGCAGGAGGAGTGAAGCATGTGATATGCTCTGAATGGCAGATTGCTGACACTTTGTGTAGGTGTGGCCCGTTGAGAGATGTTTTCTCGGGGTAATTGGAAGTAGAAGCCAGACTGTTTATCACATTGCTCTTTTCTCAAGTGATGATTTGGATGCTGAATCATTCCTGCGACATTGATTGGAGCAACTCAATTGATGATTTCAAATTTGCTTTGACGTCCTTTTCATTGAGAGAACTGAACTTTTTTAACAATCCGCGCTTAATCAGCACCCCTTTGTTTTTTTTCCTCTTTCCTCTTCACCCCACCCATCGCCTTGCAGGAGAACCAGACAGAACTGGCAGCAATTCAGGCTGAGTGTCGAGATGTTCTGCACAGACTTCTGCCCCATGTGCCTCTGCCCAGTGAGCAGGTATGGTTAATCATGACATTTGTACCTCATGCAAGTTGTGATAAACACACTTTTTACTCTGTTGTACTGGTGTTTCTCTGCTTATTCTTGTCTCCTTGTGTCCTCTGTCAAATAGAACCATCAGGAGTGGCTCCAGAGATTTGAAGCAGCAGCAGCAGCTGAAAGCTCAGCCACACAATCCACCCCTGCATCAGGGGATTCCAAGGTAAATAAAATGGATTCAAAGTTGAACACCTTCCTCTTAATTTGAAGGTATTTTTGGTTAAATGTACCCTCCCTTGGGTTTTCCAGGGACTGGCTGAGAAGCTGAAAGAGGCCGAGGAAACCCAAAAGATTCTACAGAAAGACTGTGAGACATACAAGAAGGTTTTAGCAGAGACGGTGAGACGAGTCTCGTTTTGAACTTTGGATTTAAATTTTGAATTGTGGTGTTATTTAGTAGACTGAGCTGTAATTCCTGCTGCGTCCTCAGGAGGGCATCCTGCAGCGCCTTCAGAGCAGTGTGGAGCAGGAGGAGTCTCGCTGGAGGGTGAAACTGGAGCTATCGCAAGGAGAGCTCAGAGAGGTGAGTTTTCAGGTTTTGTTCGGAGTGAACACCTCAGGTAAAAATCAGATCACTCAGGCGATGAATTATTGCACCATTTCAAAGCTTTACTCTCTTGTGCTCACTATAGATGAGCCAAAAAGTCACAACTTTGGAGCAAGAAATTGAGAGACTAAGTGATGGAGCAGAATTGGAAAATGTAAGTTATCTTCAAGCACACGCCTCACGCTAAATACCAAACTACAAAAACTTGGTTTATAAGTTTATGAAACCTCTGTTGGTGTCTTTAGCTGAGAAGAGAAAAGCAGCACTTGGAGTCAGAGTTGGAGAGGGCAGAGCGTGAGAGTGCCACATATGTGACGGAGGTCAGAGAGGTGAGCATAAAATATAGCAGCTTACGCCAGTCTGGTCACATCCTGTCATGCCACAGCATCCATCCTGGTATGAGAGAGCTTTCTTGAATGTCAGTGTCATGTTCATGGTGTGTTTTCATGTTTTTTTTGTTTTTTTTAACATCCTGTACTTTAATTCTGGGCATATCGAGTGAACACCACACATGATTGATATTGTAAAATAGATTTTAAAATGTCTCACATAGTGAGCTCTGGATATAACTTAGCCACAGAACTTACAAGACTAACACAATCAAGCACCTTTGGGGATTTATAGTCATGCACAACAGGCTCTTGTGCTTTGTTATTTCTGTATCTCTACATGGCTCTGCTTTTTCCTGAGCAGTATTCCCCTCTGCCCTTATAACCTGATCAATTCATGCACAGTTTGTGTGCACGTAGTGCTCTCTCCTGGACAAACTCCCCTCAGCCTCTGATTAAACAAATAATCTTAATTTCAGCTCAAAGATCTGTTGACTGAATTGCAGACCAGGCTTGATGGCTCATATACAGAGGCTATCAGACAGAATGAGGAGCTGAATTTGGTAAGCGCTTCTCACTCTCTAGCTAGATCTCCTGAGAGAAAAAAAAAAAAAGAAGGAAAAAGAAAAGCTCTTCCTTATTGCGCTTAGCAGCAGTGGCTCCTCCTCCCTGGACGGGGACTTCTTCTGCGACTGTGGGTCATCAGTCCATAACCTCTACATACTCACCTAAACCTTACCTAAGGGATGATTTTCTCTTATATCTGAGTGAATTTGTCAAGTAGAAAAGTAAAAGAGGTTGCGAATGATGACTCACCTTCACACTTAGTGGTACTTACAGGACTAACACCTTCTCCTTTCTTTCTCTCTACTGGTGCTTCTTGTTAATTTTGGTCAGGCATCTAACAGAAAGCTTACACCTCGTAGTCCCAAAAAAGCTCCTTTTTTCCTTATCTTCACCTTCAACTTCACACTGTTGTTCCCCACATGAACCTTCTGTCTGTCTGAGTCACTTCTTCTATGAATTTCACTGGAAATTTTAATCTTTGTCAACTGTTTGCTGAGCAGTACGCATCAGCTGCATTCAGGCCAACAAAAGCACTGTACAAAAAAAGCCTCCTGGGTAAATTACAAGGTCATGAAACACAACGTGTTGCCAAACTCTTGTTGCACAATCATAATTTGGCCCATTAGGTTTACGCTTGCCCATATGATCTAGTCGACAACACTCCCAGGTGAAGGAAGTGACTAATCTTGGAAAGTTACTTGCTGCACTATTTCCTGGGCTGTAAAATCTTGATTTGAAGTGTCATAAAGTGCTCTGCTGTGATACGGCCTCTGATAAGGCTTTAAATTTTAACCTTTCATCACCCTGAACTTTTAGATGTGTGATTCATCTTCCCACAAGTAGCTGTAACATCCTACCCACACCAACGCAGCCCCAAACACTGGGTTTTTTTATGCAGTGCTATTTTGGTTCAAACAAGGCCAAAGTAGGACAGTCACAGTACTGTTCGATTTTGGTGCAAATGTGGAGCCGTTGTTATGTTTGCTTGAGCTAAATGCTTTAAGTTAAGCAAAATCATAAATGGTTTTAAATAGCTGTAAGTCATGTGCTGAAAGTTTGTTTTGATTCCAGCTGAAAACCCAGCTCACTGAGACTCTGCTAAAGCTGGAGACGGAAGAGAACGAGAGGCAAAAGGTGGCTGGTGACCTCTATAAGGTAAAAATGCTCATATTCTTTATTTCACCACTGATTTAAGTCCATCTCCAGACCAGGCTGTTAAAAGTGGATCTCTTTGCGCTTTAATCCAGGCCCAACAGTCTCTCGACCTGATCCAGGGGGAGCTCTCAAACGTGACTGACAATGCTGATGACCTGATAGAGAACAGCAGTCTGACGTCACAGAGAGTAAGAGTTTGAGTGAATGTTTGCTCGTGAATTTTTTGGATTTATGGTTGGTTTAATTGCATCTTCTACTCCGGCAGGAAGAGATTGACAGAAAGGAGAAAATGACTGCAGGGCTGAACCAAACAGTCACAGAACTGCAGCAGCTGCTACAAGCCGTCAGCCGGCAACTCACCAAGGGACAGGAAGGGGTAAGACCTGTTACAACCCAATGAAACTGAATAACATCAAAGTCCCTGTCTATGTACATGCAACAGTATCTGACTTTGAAACTTGCTGCTTTTCCTCCAGGAGGGGGAAAAAGACCTGCCCAAGGTATAGTAAGAGGACGACAGACCCCCTCCCCCCACGCAGCCACCCTGACTGCACTTCAGAGACCACATTTGACCTTCAGTCTCATCACTACCACCATCACACCATACTGTCAGGCCCAGCCTTCCCCCTTCCTCCGACTCCTGTCACCCCACCTGTACTGTAGGCCACCTCCAAGTGACTCTGGGAAACCACTCCCAGTCCCCACAGCCGGCCATAAAGGGAGCAGGCCATGGTTACTGTTCACTCCAAACACTCCACACACTGTACCAGAACACACTACTCTGCTCCCACCACATTCCTCTTCTTCAGCAGCATCACCAGTTAATTTTTGTCCTTAACTTAAAAATGACTTTCAGCATCATTTAAACTGTGTGGCAACCATTCCTCTGTTTAAAAACACCTGTATTTTCAATGAACTCCTTTTTGAATACTGCAGTAGTTTGTTGTTTATTTGTAATGAGAGGGCAGTGATACAAATTTCCAACTTGATGAGAACAAGCTTTGGGTTTTTTCAGTCTTTTTTTTTTCTTAACTTCAAGACATGTATTGTTTAAATGTAACAGTTAGGACCTGCTGAAATACACAATGTTGTTGATCTGTTTGCCTCCTGACCAGAAAAACTATCACAAACTGTGCATTCATGAAGTCATAGCTCCATGCATACCTTGGCTGAGTATTGGGCGAGAGAAAGGGGGGATCAGAAGGGGTCTCAGCATATCAGGAGGGTCACCGCGTGACTATAACCGCAGAGATGCATGGACAAACTGTAGTCAAGTGTGTACTGCAGCTCCAGAGAGAGAAGGAAGTCTGTGACCCTGGCTGGGGAGCGAGAAGGCCAGGTCAACAGTGTTAGGTTTTTAATCCTACTGCAACTACTCTAGGAATAAGCGTCCCATATCATCTGTAATCAACACTTGCTATATTGTTGCTAAGTTCATTAACACTGAAGATTTTGTTCTTTTTGTAACAGGTGATGTTAATAAAAGGGATGCTTGATAAATCTGTCCAGCGTCCTGTGCTGCTTGTTTTTATTCTCTTGCACTTCCTTCTTCCTACCACTATGAGGCAGCACATGCCTTTGTGGAGTTGCAAATAGAATTCTAAATTTGCACTGGGAAATGAAGCTTTGGCTGGAAGGTACATTCTGTTTAGGCTACATGTTCATCTGACTTCCTCTTCATCATGTTAGTCCTGCTGTGGTGTTATTTAAGTGTCTGAGAGGTGAGGACTCTACAATCAAGAGTCTGGAACATCCAGGGTGTGAACAGCTTCCTGTGATGCAAGCATGCGGCTGTATAATCCCTTTTGAACAGGAGACATGTCTCATATCCTGAGTGTGGTTTCACAATATGTTTCCTCTCAACCAGAAGACTTTAAGAGAAGTCCGGATGCCATTGCTGATGCAATATAAACCTTAACCTTTGCTGTCCTTGCAGTAAGGTTTAAATAAAAATGAATCGTATCATGAATTGAGCGGCTGAGTGTCAAAGTGTGTCGCAAGATGTTGATCATTTTTGTGTGTCTTACTGTTTTCTTCATCACTTACAGCTTTCTGTGTCACTTAACGGATAATTATAGGTTCTTTGTAATTCTCTTTCCAGCATCTTTTGCATGTTAAAAGAGCCTATAAACAACACGACTGTTGTGCTGGTGTGGTGAGAGTGGGGGTCAGGTCAGGGGCGCGAGCAACATGGGATCAGCACATTCCTCACATTCTCCCACACTGTCATGCTGCAGTCAGCTGATTGGAGATCTGGCTTTTACCTTCATGGAAACTTCACGGCCAAACAAGCACCACTGTATCTTCAACACACGTCATGGATCGGATAGTACGGGGAACACATTTCCCTTCTCACTGCTGGGGGCAGCTGTTGTACTTTACATTCACAGGTTCCTGTAATGTACCCAACTCCTGTTACACGGGCATGAGTTTAGATGTCTTCATTCCTGGAGCAACATGCTGCCTACAATATGTTTTATCACATAATTTCTTTTAACTGACAAATCTGTAAGGAGTGATATTCTGCTGTTCTCTGATGCTTTTATCCCTTAGTGTTGCCTGACATGTCATCCTTTGTGGGATGAACAACAAAAGACTTGCATTTGTGGAAGAAACCAGCAATAAATCAGCCTGAGGTTACACTGTCAGACACTTTCTTCTAGTCTCATGACATGTACCATAACTCTGACGTGTAAAGCCTGCAAGGAAATTAATGGGAGCTTTGTCTCTCAGATGTCATCATTGCTCAGTGTTTAGTCTCAGTTGCGCAATTGAGCTTGTTTCAGAAGGCCTCTGCTCTGCTCTGCATGCTTCTTGCCTGGTAACATTTGACTCCTCCTCCTAAACATAGATTTGCACTCACACTACGCCAGCGCAACTTCAGCAAAGCAGCCCACTCCCTGCATCTGCTCTCCATCAGTGTGGTATGTGCCAGAGAGCCTTTGATCCCCACCGCCCCCCAAATCTACTGTGTGTGTACGCGGGAGGGTGAGTCACAGAGACACAGAAAAGACTGTAGTGCTCTTTTACACAGACAATGCCCAGTGGATGAAAGCAAGCGGAAAGAGACAGTGACACAAAAGAGCAGTAAACATTCATTATACCCACAGCTTTAAGGCCGCCCCCCAGGCCTGTGGTTAATGGCCTGATGCAGCCTGATCCTTGTGCACAACTGCTGAAGAAGCTAAAGTTTACTGCACTGAACTATTAATGGACAAGTATGTGTAGCTATGAACAGAAACAACAAATGCCATAGTTAATCTGACCTGTATTGCTTACAAATTAAAAAACACAGCCATGTGGTATCTCATTGTACTGCGAAGTTGATTTTTTTAGCATTGTTGTTGCAAAAGGGTGGAAAGGTAAGAGTCTTCATGGGCCCCTCTGACCCCCACTGCCTCTTATTTTTGTGTCAAGTGTTATTGCACTTTGAAACTGAACACTAGTTCAAACAGGAGGCAATAATTGCAAAGGCAATAGGGCCACTGAAGGGGGCCTGGAGCAGCGAGGGCACCTCCAGCTGTAGAAGTTCTTGTGAAAACAAGACAGAGGCAGTAAAATGTTGATGAGACTGCCAGACAAAAGTAGAGAAGTGGCACATTCATCAGAAAGATGTGAGAACAACTGAACATGTGGGATAGTGAAAGGAGTGACACTGGAGACTGAGAAGTTCTCGACATCTTTGTATGAGGTGTGGACATTTGATTACAGTGTTTGAGGCACTCTGAGGAGAAGCTATTCAGCAAATGACTCGGCCTTACCAGTATTATGAGATGGAATTGCATTCTGGCACGTGAAGTCTCATGACCAATGAGATGTCACAGATACTTAGCGGCCTGGTGTAGGTCTGCAGCCAATCAAAGGAAGACAAAATATGGAGCAAGACATCAAAATGAAACCGAAATTAGCAACATGAGAATAGGATTTCAAGGAATGCAGATAAGTAGTGATGTAGTTAGGTTGTCACTACTCACGTGCAGTACATAACTGCAATTAGATAATAATCAAACAAAGTTCTGGGCTAACAAATAGCCGAGGGGTTAAATACTAAACAAATAAATCTGATTTCACAAGTCTTTTATTCACTGCATCTTATCTCAGTCAGTATATGTTCTAAAATGATTTTCTCCCTCTTTTACTATTACATTGACTAAACCCAATAAAACTTTATCCAAAGCAGTCATTGTTAATAGAATTATATGACCCTGTTTGAAAAGAAATTGTCATTATGGTGCCAATATTCTTTCTATTCGCTTATTTGTGTAAACCCCTAATCACTTTAATTGTTACTCTTTTCCTGAACAAAGTGACCGAAAAGACTAAAAATATCACAGATACAGACATTTTTTTTTGTAAGGACAGAAATGGTGGGATGATTCGAGACCAAGACACGGTCACTAAAAGACAAAAGAGTATCTAGTGAATTAATAAGAAAGCGCAAAAGAAAGAATGTAAAAGGCTGAAATAGAAAGAACGAGTTTTAAATCCTTTCTTTTCTCTTTATTGTGTTGGTCAGATATGGGACACCGGAAACTTTGCAAACATATCAGGAAAAGTGTGTTCCCTTTAAGAATTCCCAGATTGTACTCTTTGTTTACATAACACAGGGCGCGAGCAATGGACCATGTGAGGTGAGACAGTGGGAAGTTGTACTTTAATTACGATTATATTTATTATTTAAGAATCTAATAAAAGCGAAATAAAGCGTCTAAAAGTAAGTTATAGCTTTTGAGAAGTATATGCAGCAAAATTAACGCGTAAACGTTAGTTTGAGCACAGCGTTAGCATCGAGCCCCCCCTACACAAAGTAAATAAAAAGAGAATGGTACGTCCCGGCCCTGCTGCTCGCTGTTTTTGTATGTGCCTCAGAGCGGATTCAACCGCCAAGTAAGTTGCATTTTGCCATGTCACGGTAAAGAAGTTTGGGAGCAGTTTACTCAAAGCAAATTTAGATCTTGTGGACTCGGAGATATATGTCGAAAAAAAAAGTGACATGAAATGAGAGCCTTTTGCGTATCCTGAGAGCAGTTTCTGGTTATTTTCGAGCCGTTGTTGTTACTGTACAGCTAACCTTACACAGTGAAGCCAGAAGCCTCATGTTTTCGTCAAGCCAAGAGGAGTACTGCGCCCCTTCCAAGGACCCAGTGAAATACGGGGAACTGGTGGTGCTTGGGTGAGTAAAGCCTTCCCGATGTGTTATTTGAGTCAATATTATGTTACAGGCTTCTCTACGGGAATTGGAAGCTCGTATTTGTCTTTGAGGAAGTTTCACAAGAGGGATCCCACGTAGCGAACTTAGCGACGCGAGTGTGCGTCGTGTTAGGTATCAAAACCAGCAAAGATTTGGCCCCTTTAGTACTCATTTCTAACACAGGAGCATTGACCTCTCCTCAGCCAAATCTCCACATAGTGCTAGAAAAAAAATCGTGTAGCCCAGTTGAGATTCACGAGCTCACGTTACTCTACTAATCAGGCACGTGCGCAGTCAGAAATGTGTACATTTTAGTGTTCTTTCAGGTGGTGGCGTTTCATTCCTCCTTAACCAGGAGAGAGATCACTACTATAACTCGCTGGGTTTGTTCTAGTCGATGCTCACAAGATTAATAACCTACAGGACAACTTGGTGAACTCGGTTAAAGTGAATCCAGCACTCAGGAACTCTGACCCGAGCGCTCCTTCTACCTAAGGGTTGGATTCATGGGGTTTTAGGAATTCGGAAGTGGTGATGGTCCCCTCCCCCAGTCCAGGGTGTTCTTCCTATTTTCATTACTATCTCAAACCAAACAACTTAACCTCAGCAGTCACGCGCACAGCACCCTGGGGCCATGGTTTGTTTTGTTTTGTAGATGCTAATACTATTGTTGCACATATATTGTTTATCCTTGCACGCTATGCAGATTTCAAACTCTGATGTTCACAGGGCAGGTAGTGGATCCGAATAGGAGTCAGACTATTCACAGCAACGTGTTAATTGTGGTGCATGGATCAAACCGATTTATATCGCGATATACCAGTATTACAACATAATGGTTTCGAGGAAAAAGGAGAACACTGTTGGTTAATCTGACAAATGAAATTCTGGAAGATTCAAGGCACTACCTTTGATTGGTAAAACAAACCAAAACTGCTGAAAAAAGTTCAGCTGATCCATGAATAGTATTTCAAATTACATCCTGATGAATACAGGGAAAAGAGGAGTGATACCAAGACCGCAGAGCACAATCTTTGTGAATGTTTCTATAGCATTACAGTCTTTACATTGTTTTAAAGAACTGAAAGCCTTAAATAGTAGTTCGGAAACTCACTGAAAGTTTTGGGCCATTTTTCGTTTGGAAAGAGTTGACTAAAAAGTTATTCCAAAAAAACTTTTTTCAAGGGCAGTTAAATTCTGACACAAAATAGATTTATAAAAAATTATTTCTGACTTGGGAGAGAGAAGGAAAATGATTCAGAAAAAACGTTCAGAAAATGGTTATGACTGGGAGTTAAACCAGCAACCAACATGGCTAGGACTTTAGAGTCTGTAGATGAGGCGCATAAAATTTTGCCGCTGGGCCAAATTGAAAGCTTCTTTTAAGCTTTTTTTTGTCCTTCTTGACAGAGTTAACAGAGTGGGAGAGTGGAGAGTAACATGCTGGGAAGAACCAACCTACTGGAAGCAAACCCAGACCGACTACTTGAGGCACAACTGCCATATATTAGGTGCTTGCTTAGACTTGTAGACCAGCAACAACTTGTCTGAACATTTTCTATAAAAACAAACTCATATATACTGTTTATTTTGATAACTGGATATTAAAATAGCAAATCTTGGTTTAAAGAAAAAGTGGCCAGTCTGATAATTATTGTCTTGATAAATAGTGTAAAAATGATTAAAAATGCTTTCTACACTTGAAAGCTGCTGAGAAAAAACATCTTCAAATTGCACCTTTTTAGCATACTACTAACTTCCAGAAATCAGGGGATAAACGAATTGGTATTTGAAATAATGTGTAACACAAAAATCCTTAAATGCCAACAATTGGAAAAACTGAAGAAGTAACTGTGTAAACTGTACAAAAATTGCAATTATGGTGAACAGTTTATTTTTTCAATCATCTTATAATTTCATAGAATCCTGGTGTCTCGATCACTCCAAAGCTATTGTTTTGCTATTAGATGGCTTTAAACCAGCAAATATTTTAGTTTCTTTGATACCGTAAAAAACAAAACAGGCTCTGGAGAAATAATCACTTCTTTTCAAATAAGACTTTAAGCTGAAATCGTATTGTAAGAAGTGTTGCAAAATCCCTAAGAAAACCCTCCTTAATCTGTTAATGTAAGAAAACAAGGCTCTTTTGGTTGCACTAGTATACATGTCTTATCCTGCCAGTGATACACCTAGTCTGTCTTTGTCTTTGTTTAAGACATACTATTCCAGGAGTGCTACTGTGTCTTTACAGATGAAGCTGCAGACAGTCATTATTCCAAACAGCCATGTTTGTATTTATAAAGAGCAGCAGCTTCACTGATGATGAAAAACACCTGCTGTGTAATCAGTTATTGAAGTTTGGCCAGCACTGCAGCGCATATGGAAGTAATTCAAGCTTGAAATGAACATTTCTAGGTGTTTGTGCTGAGAGAATTACATATATGGAGTGTGGTTTTGTCCCCTGCCCTCCACCCATCCACTCACAGCAATAGTGCTTATTATAAGGGACAAAAAGTGCTGACTGCTTATTACCCCGGGCTGAACATGTGGCGTGTTTGAAGCTGACACTTTTGTTCTCTCCTCTGACATAAAGACACATATTTGAATCAGATGTGACGGGTGTATAATCACTACCATGACATCACATCCCATTGATAAAACCGATGGTAGACAAGATAGCTGACAGCACGGAACAAAGCTTGTTTGAGCAGCAGTTCCCTCAGTGGTTTGTTGTCATGACCGTGGTGGCTCTTATTACTTGCATGGCTGCCCCCCATCTCTGCTCTCTGCCTGGGCGTGTTGGCTCGGTGCTGGTCAGTGAGGGAGGGAAAGGGGAGGAAGAGGGAGGGGGTGGCTGCGTTGGGATCCTGGAAATGAAAGGATGGATTGATCAGGACTCAGGCTATGCCTTTCCTCAGCTTCCTCTGTCCATTGTGGCGCAGAGACTAGGCCTATTGATTGAACTTTGAACATTTTCGCTTAAGATCTACTCCATCAAGGAAGTGCACAAATCAACTAAGGGGACATCTTTGGTACGAACTGACACCGATTCTTCAGAGACAAGATGAAGAGTTGTCTTTTTGCCTTCCTCAACTCCACAATGAGGTCATAGTGTAGGCAGAGCTGGTGTGGTAAGTGAGGTTATATTAGTCAGATGTATACTCAGAGTTATGTCAGCGTGGATCACAGTCAGCTGACTTCCATGTAGCTCTAAGTCTCTCTCTTCTAGTCTTCACTCAGGGTGGAAATGGCCAGGTGACTCACAATATAGGACATTATGATACATGATACTTGGCACACAATGGAGGTAATATCCCAATACAGCGATACTGAGATAATGGACAAGCAGGCATTGTAAGATAATCATCATAGCAATAAATTATTTGGTTTTTATGTGGACAAGTATGACTGTGCCTGTAGCTGAGTTCTTTTTGAACTCCAGAGTGTAAAGTCAGAGCTGCTGTGGTGTCAGTCTTATACAAGGTGAAATTAGTCAGATGGATACCCACAGCAAAGGCATTTTGAATCATGTAGCGTAGTAACGTGGTGAATGTAGCCTGTATTTTCCCTTTGCAGCATCACCTAACCTCCGTACCATCCTCCGTGACCTCGTAAGGCCACCCTGCCTCCGTGTCACACTAATATGGGTAATAACAACCAAGCATATCTCCTTCTCTTCCTGAAAACACTAGCCTTTCATGTTAGCAGGAGAGGTAGGAGGTGCTGTTGGCTGCTTAGTGCAGCCCTGGAGGATAGGTGATACGCTGCAGTCTTATAATCCCTACTCCAAAGTATTGGAAGGTAAATCCGCTATCTGTCTGGCACAGGTCAAAAGGGAAAGTGATCACAATTAGTTGGAGCACAGCTTTATAGAGCCTGTCCTAGCTAATGTGACGCTAGTGTTTCCTGACTGACAGAATATTGTCCCTCAGTGTAATGATGGATAATAGACAGCATGTATGGCGTGTTTTGAAGAGCAGGGTTCATATTCTGCAGCTTTAATGCATGGTGGCACAACACCGAGCTCCATATCATCCTATTATTTCGATCCTGAAAGAGAAAACCAAAGCGTATATAGGCCTAGCTGCTCTTTATTCAGGTGGGGAGTTTCTGGGCCAGATAAAATTGGAATGAGGAGATAGCACACATTTAAATTAGCTGCAAAAATCTGAGTTAAGTAATTTGAGATCATTGCATTTTTCTGTCCTGAGTTGATCGACTGAAAGGTCCAGGTTCTTTGTGGTTTTCCTCCTGCTGTCAGTGTATTAGCTGTAGTTTTGTCCACACGATCATCCACAGCCTCTCTGCCTCTCTGTGGGTGGCTTGTCCTACAGACCAGCTTTATGCACTGAGCTGACTGGGACCATGTGTTTCCATGTCTGGCCCACCGTGTGGAGACATGAGACAGGTGGAGTGGCTTGGGTGGGAGGTAGGGAGGACCAGATAGAGGCTCCTGTTGCTACTGTTGAGTTTATTTTGCACTCAAGAGTAGGACTACTCGATTGTGTCGTGGTTTGTGGTTGCTCGTGATGTGCTGTGTTATGCAAACCGGAGGTTTTTGATAGAGAGATTTCCGTTGTGCTAGGTGTCTGCTCAGCATACTGCAGTTACATGGAAGTGGGTGACAGAAGGTCTGCGTGTTGGATGGAGGTAGATCATGGAGTGTCCCAGCTGTAGGAACCAGCTGGTGGATGGGGAGGGGACTGGTCTACCGGAAGGGGCTTCCTCATTCACAAGGAGCTGCCTAGACTAGGTCCCCACAACATGCTGGAGGATCAGACAGAGGGTTCTTTTATGGTGTTTTTTTAAATGTTTCATCTTTGTGTATTAGTGTACCAAAACCAGGCATGTAAGAAGAAGATGTTTGAGTTATTTGAACCATCTCTCCACCCCAACTATGTCCCCAAAGTGACTGTAAACCTGACGTGCATCTTAAAACCTGCTCCTGCAAAAGAACAGCTGCAGTTAACACAGAGTTGGCTCACTGAGATCACAAGTAACCAAGTGCATTATATAATAAGAGACATTATCCAAGGTAACATTGCTAATAGTGTGCATTAGATTGCCTGTGATGTAATGCATGGGCCAAACTCCTTCAAGTAGACACGAATGTTTCTAATTCCCCTCCTTTGCTTGATATGTGGTTTGAATAAATTTCCTGTCAATCTCATCGGTCTCATCTTTCTGTGGGTTACAAAACCAGTTTCCCGGTTGATGAAAAATTAACTTGTGTTCTTTCTCTGACAGGTACAATGGCTCTCTGCCAAATGGAGATCGAGGCAGAAGGAAAAGCAGATTTGCGCTGTACAGGAGGACCAAAGCCAACGGTGTGAAGCCGAGCACTGTGCACATCCTCAACACGCCCCAGGCCAGCAAGGTAACATTTAATGAATAGCTCGAGTTTTGTCAATATGTTCAAGCAGTTGTATTTCATTATGTGATTGAAGTCAGCAAATTAAAAGGAGTTAAAAAAGAAAAGCTTTCCAGAACAGCTGAGTGGTCAGTGATTCTGTAAGCTCATAGAGAGGGAAGTAAACTCCTTAACATTGTTTTTGGCAGGCCTAAATGCTGACATTCCCAGTACAATAACTGCAGCGCTCAGCCGGGCCTCATAGCTTTTCTTTGCACAGGAGTGCCTCGCAGAAACTGCCCCGTCAAGTATAACATGTCCGCCTTCCTGCATTCCTGCCTTAGCAAAAAGTGCTAAACAAGCTGAAGGACGTGCTTACCTCTGCACCTCGCAAAGGCCAATATTTCAGACTTTTGTCGAGAGTTTAGCTCAATTGTCCGGAAGGCCCTCTGGTTCAGGTTACTCTCACCCATTTGGAACTTGACTCCTGATGTCTGCGAAGAGGTTTCTCTGCAGAAGAGGCCCTCCCTCCGCTGAGATTGTGCATCATTCGAGGTTTCATTTGAGTTCAGTTCTGTGCTACTTTTGACCGTGAAACATGGCAAAAGTGTTTCCGATGATTCACACAGCCGGTTGTTTCTAGGGCAGCTCTTTTTTTCAGTCTAAACAATTAGTCACTGACAGATTCAAAGATGGGAACTTGGGTTGTCCTCTTCCCCTTTCCCCTCTCTTCCTCTCTGCCATCCTGTTACCAGGCCTGGGATTAAGGGGGTAAACTGAGGAGGAAGTTGTTTCAGTTGCCTGACCCTGCACGTCCCAGCAGTACACAAGGTCAAAAATAGCCATTCCTTAGAGACGAGCAGTGTTGAGAGCCTTATTATTGAGTAGGCAGTAAATTGAACCGAGCCATTTTTCCTTTTTTTTTTCCTCATGTTTTCTTTCCTACTGCACTCCCTCACAGTGTAGCAGTGTTGTACGGATGAACTGAGACTGCTCTGTGGCTCAGACACTGAGGGGAAGCTCACGTGTCTGTGCACACTCTGGTGTTCATGACAGATAACGTGGAGCTCCCATGATGCCGCTGCTTGCTTCCCTTCTATTCAAATCATGCCCCTGCTCTCTCGTGTCCCTGCTTGATCTCAATCATTGCGTTTGTTCATGGGTGATTGTTTGCAGCAGCCTTCCTTAAGGACGGGGTCAGATGGTTTTGTTTTAAATTTCACTCCTTCAGCCGAGGACAGGGGTGTGTGACATTTTGGAGGTGTGTGTGTCTTTGTACCTTTAAATATACATGTTTATGTTTTGGAGCATGTATGAAGTTCCTCAGCTGTGGAACAGGTGGAGCACCATTTGTTTATAGTGGCTGCATGTGATGATGACATTTGTCCCCGTCTGTCTCTGAGGTTACAGGAGAGTGTGGCAGCAGTGATGACCCACTTTCTCTCCCCCTCTTGCACGTGACAAAAGCAGAGGAGGAGGAGGAGGATGGGAGGGGGGCATGTTTGGGAAATGGAATTCTCAGATTAGAGCCGGATGATAGTGGCATGTTGTAAAGTGTTGATGGGAGCCTGGTCTAACTGGCTTTAACCCACCATCCGTCACCGCACTGACCGAGGCTGTTCAGCTGGTGGGCGAGCTTGTGTTAACTGAGGCCAGCGGGCAATTTATGGTCACTGTCATTGGAGTGTACACGCTGCTCCTCTACTACAAACTCCTGCCAGAGGTCTGTCACAGAATAAGTGCACCAACAGTCTTACACTGATGTCTGTATGATGAATGACTTTGTTTATGAAAGCTCCATAGATAGATGTATTAAACCTGAGTTGTAACCTCAGCAGCAATGCAGAAGTTTGATCCATCAAAGGCAGATTTGCTCACGCAGTGTGTACTAGGGGTGGGAGTCACCAGGGGCCCCAAGATACAATATCATCGTGTTACTAGGGCCATGATACGATATTATTGCGATTTTTAAATCTTTGCAATACAGTAAGATTTGTGATACAATATATTGCGATTTATACACATCTTTTCAACTGTTTGGCTAATTTAGCATTTGGCTTTCCTTTATGTTTGTCTTATTTACACTGTATTTTATTTTCATGAAGCACATCTTACAAACCTTTTATATATATATATATATTTGTTGTACTAACTTTTTCCTGCACTATGACGACACCTCTGCCAACCTCACTGGACACATTTTATTTTTCCATTATCATAGATTTGACTTCATCTGTTAATTTGAAAAAAAAAACAATACTTGGTAAATGAGACGATACAATACACCACCAGACAAAATATCGTGATACTATGCTGTAGCGATATTTTCTCCCACCCCTAATGTGTACCCTCCGGTGGCTAAAGTATTTATTAGTTTTGTTTGGTAATGAAGCGAAATGTACGGCATGTTTGTGATGAGTTGTTTGATTCTTCCAGGCTGTGAACTGTAAAGGCCAACACAGCATCTCCTACACACTATCCAGGAACCAGACGGTAGTGGTGGAGTACTGCCATGACAAAGACACAGACATGTTTCAGGTAATAAACATTTCAATCTGAACATTTTCTGTTTGCTATGTTAGCATGAGGTGATAAATCCTTTGTGTTTCATCAGGGATAGAAATTTAAATTCACTTTTATTATCAGTCCTTTTAATAATTTGTGCCTCTTATGTACAACTTGTTAGCAGGGTTGGAAAGTATGGAAAGTATGGAAGTAATTTGATCAATATCCAGGTCTTAAAAAGTATGGTAAATGAAAAATAAAGTCCAGAGATATATTTAGGTTTCTAGACTGTTGCCAAAATAAAAAAATACTGTTTCCTAAAATAGAAAAGCAGGTATTTCCAAAAATAATTCTAAAAAGTAGGGTATGGAAAAGTATGGAAATTCCAACTGTGTAGGAACCCTGTGTTGGTTTTGATTTTAGTTGAGGAAGTTGAAACAAGCAGTGTTAGATAACCTCAAATATGACGTAGTGCTTTACACCAGGGACTCTGTGTGATTATTAACTACTCTGTTAGTTACAATGATCCGGGTGTAAAGCAATCAAATTCAGGGAAGTCACAACAACAGATAAACATGTGACCCTGTAATTGTGTCTGTTTGTGAAAAGTAAACACTGAGCAGGATCACAAACAAAGCAGAGAAGAGGAAACTGTCCAAAAAAGGGGGACTTAAGGGTCAATTTTAGATGGAAAAAAAGAGGAAATGAAAAGAGGAAAAGATTATTTTTACCTTTTGTTTGTTCAGCTTGAGAGGTTTTTAGACTTTTTTAGGGGTTGAAAAAAACAAGTTAAAAACATTGAGATATTTTGCTGCTTAATGAAATTTTAACATTTATCGTGACTTTTTGCACAAACGTACTTAACGTACGTAATGTCCACGCTCTGCTGGGAATTCAAAGTATCACTGTTGTCACTGCATTACAAAAAGCTGTGTTATCATGGTATTGATTCATTACTGTGTTGTTGTGCAGATTGGGCGTTCCACCGAGAGCCCCATAGACTTTGTGGTGACTGACACAATAGCGGGAGGCCAGGATGGAGAGGAGACTCCCATCACACAGAGCACCATCTCCCGTTTCGCCTGCAGAGTCGTCTGTGAGCGAAACCCGCCCTTCACTGCTCGCATCTACGCAGCTGGTTTTGATTCTTCCAAAAACATCTTCCTCGGGGTAATTACTATTTAAAGTAGCATGGTGGATAAACAGGACTTTTATATCCATTATTAATCACAGACAGGATATCCTTTCAATCTGTAGGTTTGGACCAGTGAACAAAAGCAATTTCTCCACCACTGTTGTTCAAAAAGTCAGTTTGCATCACCATCCTTGTTTCTGTCCTGCCCGTAGGAAAAAGCTGCAAAATGGAAGAACCCAGATGGTCACATGGATGGACTGACAACCAATGGCGTGCTGGTAATGCATCCTAAGGGTGGCTTCACGGAGGAGTCAAAGCCTGGTGTTTGGAGAGAGATCTCTGTTTGTGGGGATGTTTACACACTGAGAGAGACCCGCTCAGCACAGACCCCGGGCAAACTGGTCAGTGGCTTCATACATACAGCAGACTGATGCAGCTGATGCTTTCTTAACCAGATATTCCCCAGATGAAAAAAAAAACTAACATAGTCATATAAAGTGTATCAGCAAAGAAGCTAAATGTGCATCTGTTTCATATGCAGGTGGAGAATGAGAGCAACATACTGCAGGATGGCTCCCTGGTGGATCTGTGTGGAGCCACTTTGCTGTGGCGTACTGCTGAGGGCCTCTTCCAGGCTCCCACCCAAAAGCATCTGGAGGCTCTCAGGCAGGAGATCAATGCTGCTCGGCCTCAGTGTCCTGTGGGTCTCAACACACTTGCCTTCCCCAGCATGCAACGCAGCCGCGCCCTCTCCTCTCTGGAGGACAAGCAGCCCTGGGTCTACCTTGCCTGTGGTCACGTGCACGGCTACCACAACTGGGGCCACCGTTCAGAGCACGAGCCAAACACCCAGCGAGAGTGTCCCATGTGCCGGGTGGTCGGGCCCTACGTACCGCTGTGGCTAGGCTGTGAGCCGGCCTTCTACGTAGACACAGGGGCACCAACGCACGCCTTTGTGCCATGTGGACACGTGTGCTCAGAGAAATCAGTCAAGTACTGGGCGGAGATCCCTCTGCCCCACGGCACCCACGCCTTCCACGCTGCCTGCCCCTTCTGTGCCACCCAGCTCAGTCTGACTCAGGGCTTCTCCAAGCTGATCTTCCAAGGCCCTGTGGACTGAGGTGAAGGGTCTCAGCTGTGGCAAAGAAGAGGAGACAGAAATGCCAACATGCTGTGAAACTCCTCGGATTATTTTGTGCTTTGTTTTGTTCATGTAAGCTAGCTGTGGACAAGAGAAAGTTCTGGTCACATTCTGTGGATTCTGCACAACAGAGAGCCGTTCCAGGTCGCTCAGGGCCTCTTGTGGCTGTTTTGATGACCTCTGTGGGAAACAGAGATGCGAGGCCCACAGGACCACAGACGCCTGGCTCTTCTTGAATGAAACACTGTTGTAGCTGTTCTGCCAGCCTACCGCTTTAACCAAGGCTCCAGATTTCAGATGTTTTCAACTACAATGGCTGCTGGATTTGCATCAGACGGCCACAGAGTCAAGATTGCTGAAGGAATGTATTGATTTTACTCCTGATTCAGACTGAAGCAGAAAAGATTAAGTGGGTTTTGTTGGGTCTGTTTAGGATAGAGGGTTTTTAGTTCAATTCCTGATGAACCTGAGTCTATACAGAGCCAGACAGCTGGACTGTTGGCTGGGAGAAAGCACAGGAGAAACTCTGGGTCAAAGTGTCTCCTCCCCTTGAAACTCTGATGTCACCTGGTTCCTGCAGCTCTCTGGATTTTCTCCCGTTGGCTGAACAAACTTTTAGGAGGGTCAAAGACTTTTTGTCTATAGAGATATAATCCAGTGCCTCAAATCCCATCAAAATGTGGGAATATTTTTCTTAAATGAGATATTTTGTCGAAGGCAAAAGGAGAGATAGTTTTACATCCAGAAGACACAAGGAAATTGCAACCCATACAGATTCTTCTTCACGTTTTTACCCGACTGAAGACATATTTTACTACACTGAGGCCCTTGTACTGTTTTATAATACAAATGTTAATATATTTTTCTCCTGCATAAATAATGTGTGCGTGTGAGCATGAATGTCTGATTCCATGTGTGTGTGGGTGTGTGTGTTGGTTGGACTGTATGGGCCTTGTTCAAATCGCCCTGCATCATTTCACCCCAGTTCCTGTTTTATGATCTCGCCTTCCACCCCCCCCCCCCCTGAAAAAACAACGCTACCGGAGAGAACACAGGACAACAGCGAGCTCACAGGGTTCGACAATGAATGTACTGATCATTGGCTGTCTTCACTGGTGGTGCTCCGTTAACTTGATTTCTAAATGGCTGTGCTGTTAAAGGGTATGGAATATTTCTGAAAATGTGCCACCATCCGAGTCAGCCGCACCTGTGCGCTCGCTCCAAGGCTAGCTGTGTCTCTGACCTGCACACATGTACTGTTTTCAATCTGCACTGTTGTTAGCTTTATCCCACGCTGGGTCTGATCCAATGATTTCTCCGCTGTCAAACCTGGGCACAGTCTCAGCAGCATCCAGAGATTATACCAAATGTAAGGAGTAGCTGTTTTCCTCTCCACATGAGAGCTGTAACGTCCACTCTCTCCACTCCAAAGTGTTTCTGTAAACACTCCTAAACCCAAACTGCTGTTTCGGTGGAACGATGACAGCTCTGGATTACAGATGAGGCTGTTTGCAACCAGCTGCATGGGAATAATGATATTATTGCACACTATGCCAAATTTAGTAACTTCTATTGTGTGTGGATGAGTCAAGTTGTCCTAAACAAAGCAGCGGCTGAATTCATGCTAAAGAATCTGGGACAAATCTGTGCATTCTTCTGGGATGTTAGCTTACCAGACTGTGCCCATATGTAGTGTGTAGTCAAAGGCATTAATCAGCCATTAGCTTATAAAATGTGATATGTTAGCATTAAATTATGAAATACTGAGGCTCCTGTTCTAACATTCAAAATTTCTTAAAAGTTGCATTCAAATGAATCCAAATCAGAAGCTGAGTTCAAAGGAGAATTCACCTTGTTTCAGGCCTACTTGACTTCTGGAGCATTTTTCTCTTTCTGTTCTTTCCTAAGACAAACATACCGAGCATTCTTACAGGCATCAGCAGCATTATGCTTCCCTCTCAACACAGAACATTTCTGATTGGCCTGTTTTCTTCAGATTTTATATAACTGTCAAGCAGGGTTGAGTACTAAGCCACATAATGTACAGTAGCATTCCTCTCCAACACTCTGAGCACTCTGACACTGTGCCCGTTTGCTTGAGACCGTGTTCTGTAACAGCTGCCGAGTAGCTGCCTCAAACATTCCTCCTTGGTAAACATGGGTGGGGCCCTCAGTTCACTCAAGGGCTTGTTCTATGATTTTGTCTCCTACAGGATCTCTGTACACAAGCCATAGAACACACTGATGCTCCCAATGCCTCCTTTGCAAAAATAAAACATTTTTAAAAAACGGAGTTGGTTGCCTCCCTGATTTTCTGCCTTTTAAAAATACGACAGCCATGTAAAGTTTCACAATTTGTTCTTTTTTTGCAGGGACTCTCTCTTTTGAACTCAAGATGTATCAGCTGTGTACACACAACACAGCAGTTATGTTAAGTTACATGTGTGTTTCATCATTCCTCGGTCTCCTCGCTCCACAAACTTGCTCTTTGTTTTGAAAGCTCTATCAAACACACTATTTCATAAGATAAGAGGCACAGTTTTCTTGAAGTGGTATTTTATATGCATTTCATGTTATGTCTTATCAGCCACATCTTAATATTTACCATAGAGAATGACTGCAGGAGCCACACTCCCTGCTATGTGACGCTGGATGTAGTTTCCTTTTTTGGCCACAAAAGGGCACTGTTTCCTCAACAATAGCAGTGTTGGCAGAAAGCCCACTCTACTTACCCTGCAGCATCCAGTAGCCAAAAACACAGCAAAGAAATGGAAGTTTGATGTTTATTATGAAAAAGACGAAGTATAAATACATCACACAAGCATTTCAATCAAGAGAAATTAAATTAAGTAAATCAGCATGGCTGAAAATCCTCTATACGTGCAAATACGCCACCAGAGGAAATGTATGTCTGCAATATTTTTAAGGTTACTGATTAATTTTTATCGTCCATATGTGTTTACATTCATATTTCTACAAGTTAATTATTCATTTTTAGATTTATTTCAGATTCAAATTCTGGCATCAAACATGGCTGGCAAATAAGAACAGTTACGAGCAGTTTTTAGCTTTTATTTTCATGTCTTTACAAAAATATTGCACGATACTGATGATGGTGACATTTTCCATCACTCGCATGTGACTTCCTCTTTTCTATAATAAGGGCACATGAAAGGGATTTAAATACATAACATGTCAGTTAGACGTTGGGAGAGGGAACGGAGCCGTGGGATGCCTCGCTTCCTAATTAACATTTCTGCAGTAGATGTGCGATGGGTTCATATGTCTGCACACTTGCCTGTTTTTCTGAATGACAGAAGAGACACTGAAGGTGACAGCATGCTAATTTTGAGATCACTCGGTGGCTCCCCTGCCTTAAGCAGGCCAGGGTTATGCAAATAGAAGTGGAATGATACAATATTTTTTTTACTTGAACCAGCTTCCTGGATGAGAAAGTGAGGTTCATGTGTTATATTGATGCAGGACTCAGTAGAAGATTGACACAAACCTTGGTACTTCTAGCATAACCTTTGGGGAACCTAATTAACTTCTCCCCTCCTCACAGCCACATGACTCAATTTCACAGTATCCTAATTTTCAGTTCCATTACAGTGATACTAAAAACTTTCATGGATAGTTAATACACCTTTTGTTGCCACAAAGAGCGGCTGACCATCTAAAGACCGATGCTGCAGCGGCAAAGCAGTGAAAGGGGAACCTTTTATGAACATTTTCTTTAAAACTACTCAAGTTTTTGGTTTAATTTGAGCATATCAGGGAGATGGTGCCCTGCAGGAGACTCATATCAAGCCTAAGAAATGCATAAAAATGTTGAGAGGAATAGTTTGACAATGAGTGTGGTGAATGAACCTTAAATCCCATATGGGCTCTCCTTTCATTAATATATTCATCAAAATGCACTATAAGGTTGGGAATACACACAAGTGACAGAACAGTAGGCATCTATCTTGACTGTTTATCTTTACAAAGTAAGTACAAGTAAATACAAAAGCACTGACTACTGCATACCCATCCAGTATAGACCCGACTCCCATGTTGGCATTGTTTTTAATGAGACCAGAGGAGTAAATATGTGTTACATTAGATTGACAGAAGCGCAAAGACAACAACAACAAAAACAGTCAAAACTGAGAAATTTGACTGATGAAAAATATAAATATTCATGTATTTATATATATTGCTCATTTCTAAATTTAAGTAACTCCTTTCAAAAGTAGGTGGGTCAGGAACATGCTTATTATTGTTTGCATCAGCTCTTCTTTCATCAGCACTGTAAAGATTTGGGAACCATGAAGACCAGTTTCTGGAATATTGAAAGTTAAATGTCCTATTCTTGCCCAGTCTAAGATTCCAGCCTCTCAACAATTCAAAGTCTGCTTTGTAGTATTTCTTGTACCATGATGCACCGAATGTTTGCAATAGATAACAAGTCGGTACCAAACTCTTTGTATCGAACAATGTGATGGGCACTTATTCATCTCCGGACCACCAGAGATAGTTGCTTTTGAACTTTGAGCATGGTGATATCTCTCCTCTTTGAAGCAGGTGATGCTGTGTCCATGATTTCCAAAAAGAATGTACAATTTTTTCTCCATTCACAGGAAATTTTACACACACATTTTAGTCCATCTAAAATGGTAAAATGACGTGCTCAGAGAAGTCACTTGCTTTTCAGTGATTTCAGTGATTTCCGCTGCTGAGTCATGTCTATCTAATTTTAATGCAGTGCTGCCTGAGGGCCCAAAGATCATGGTTACCCAGTTATTGGCCTTGTCTGTTTTGTGCAGTGATTTCTTTAGATTCTCTCAATCTTTAAATGATATGTTCTGTTTTAGTCCTGAAATTATTTGTAATTTGATTGTAACTATTTCCCTATCCAGTCTCTCACAGAGTGGTTACCAATCATATCTGTGCTGATATACTGGATTATATATATTTTTAACTAGGGAGCAGCATTTAAATCTGATTCTCAAAATACACAAATAAAGGTGTATGTCAGAGTCAAAATTCAAAACATAGACAAAATGTATAACATTAAAATAAAATTAAATCACAGATCGCTAGAATTTTGGTGTGGCACTTGGGCATGTCAGTCATATTTTCAAGAGGGCCCATGCCACCCACGGCCCCCTCTCTAGATCTGCTCCTGTTGCCCAGAGATGTCAGATATGAAATGCCACAGGTGTATGCAAGCTCTGCTCCAAGCTACCATCAAGACTCCTTTGCTGTAAAGTTGAAGGCTGCAATATTTACTTCAATTACCCAGCATGCAACTGAGGCAAATTATACTGTATGCTGATCATTATCTGTAAATAAGAGTTGGTACTCTGCCCCTGAAGTAAATTAAGAACCCTGGGGCGTGAATACAGGACACAGCTGTTTCCTTGATACGGTTAAGTCAAACACCTCACTCACAACGCTTTTGTTTAATTCATATAATTTCATCTCTTTAAACAAAATTGTCTCTGTTTTGCTTTTTTGAGATTTAGCTTTCAGTTAGCTTAACAAGGGTAGCATTACACAACCCTAGCTGTATGGTGTGCAGTTTGATGAGGATTATGATTCATCAGGCCTATTTACTATTTCATGTGGCTCTTGATGACACTTTGCACTCAGCCAACTCTGCTTATTACTTTCCCTATGAATAACAAATGAGTTAGAGAGTAAAAGGCAAATAAAAACATGCTGACGAAAAACTGATAAAAATATTTCAGTCGGATAGATGAAGGGAATGCAGGTTCGGAAAATCAAGCAATAAATTCCAACATTAGGAGTGCACCTCTTTTAGCCCCTGATACCCTCTTTTCCTCATATGGAGGCACATGTGGCGTCTTGCCTACTCATCCAAACAAGGGGACAAATGACTTTAATTATGGAGTAATTGCAGAGTCTTGTGTTAATTAAATCTTTATCAGTTCAAGTAAGTGGATTTCTCCCACATGGAAACCATGCAGAGACGTGCTGTCTTGCCCCCCCCCACCAGCCCCACACCCCTCTTTCCCCGGCTGCTCTGTCTAAATTTTCCTACAACACCACAGTCTGAGACCATTTTCATCCCTCCCTTCTCCCCCTCTCTCACCCCTGGGTGTCACCCTGAAATGATTGGGATTAGAGTCACTCATGGAAGGGGCCTGCTTTACCAACTCTGTCAGTAACCAGCTGTTTCCTTAAAAAAATACCATAACAAACATGATAGCACCGACAAGAGGGGAGTGTCCTCCGCTGGAAAATGAGATACCAGATTTATCTCAGGTTCCTGGTGTTTGACAAAATTGAATCCTCTCATTTTAATTGCTCTCGACGAGGTGTGCTGCTCCGGGCGATGCAAACACCAGCTCTGTATGTTGTCCCCTTGTTCTCCTCAGACTATTATGTTCCATTGTGCAAAATGCCGATTATGATTTTCTTTATCCTTGTCATCTATCTTATTTAGGATCATTTAGGTAGCCACATGTTACAAAGGAACAGCGGTCGGCCCTGTTATTATGTGTGTTTGAGTCCCCTGCTTCCTGTAATGAGAACAGGATCACAGAGGAGAATTAATCTCTCTGAAGACTTGTTCACTTGTTCAAGGCCACAGAATACTTTGTGGAAAATGAAGGGAAAATGACTGGTTTTGTTTTATTTTTAATCTGAGTTTTAGAATAATGAAACAAACACTTGTAATTTTTACTTTGTTTGAGTCTATGGTCGGAGTATTGCTTCATAGTTCTCAAAGAAGATGAGATCTTAGCAAGATAGGAAGCCAAAGATCTTGAGATCCGGTTTTACTTTGAATGAGCTGATCAAAAATGACAAAAGTTGTGACATTACAGTTGCTGTTGACTGAGAAACACTGATCAGCTTTTATACCACATTATATTATGCCTAACTTTGTACTTAGAGTTGTCGAATGCTGAAGTTAAGTGAGAAATACCTCTAGTACTGCGTCAAGTGTGGATTATGGTACAAGTTAGTACACCAGAGGAAACACTGTGCATCTACTGAATGTAAAAGATTTTTTTAAACTGTTTTGGAGCTGCAAACCTTTAAAAACTCTTTGTCCAATTACACCTTTTAATGTTGTATTTTTTCCATAAATTTCAGTAAAGATAATCTAAACTGGAAAATAAGATAAAAAGTACGGGATAAAAAATGGTGTTTCTCAGATGTTTATTATAGATGCAAAACCTCAAGAGGGGTGTTTACCAGAGCTATGGCTGACCTAAGCTTGATTTGTTACTTAATGCAGAGCTTGTTCATAGTATAAGCCGGCATTGATGTACAGAGCTCAACCAAACTGACAATGACAGTGTTACAGGTAATAATAAAATAAACACATATTGCCTAATCATTTGTGTGTGTTTTATTTCTGATTTCTCTATGACAAGCTAATGCCTCAGCTAGTTTGAATTTATGCCCCAGAATCAGTGTTAAGAGGGGAAAACAGTGTTAGATCACCTCTAGTATTGCTTATTGTTACTTAACAGTTACGCCTGAATAAAATCCTATAGCACAGTTCATGATCTTTTTTAACAGCATGTGAATTTTGACTTGTGGACCCTCACAGTGAGCATGTTAACAGTGAGGATGTTTATGGGACCATGGATGGGTGTAATATGACTGTGAAGCACATTCAAAAGGGGCTTAACTGGATTACACCTCATTTCAAGGATGCTTAAGGTAAGATTAAAACAGATATGTGGTAAGTGAGGAAAATACAAAATCAAATAGATTGAATTTCACTCAGTGGTCTCATAAGCCACTTGTTCATGCATGTCTATGCTGTGCGTTTGCGGAGGTAGAATTAAAAAAAAAGAACATTAACAATCAGAGATGCATTTCTCTTTGTGAGACAATATGTAGATAGTATGTGTAAAAGAGGGTTCAGAGATGCACATTTCAAACAACAGTTTTGCTCTGTTGGACCGTCACAATTCATTAATGTCCTTTCTTATCTCAAGCTACAAATCCCCAGAGCTGGAACATTAGAAGTCTCTAATCACACACACTGGCACACATTGAGTGCATGTATGCAATCTAGCACCCAATACACGCACATACAGAAAATCACTAATACACACATTGAATCTGTAAAGATAATAAATTTAATACCACTGCTATTGCAGTCAACTAATGTTTGTTAATATCCTGGTGCCATATGGAGCATATGGGTAATTCCTCTGTTTGGACAAGCAGTCAATAATGTGGCCTTACATTTTCTGGCTGTATTGGGGCAGAGGGTGGGCGTTAATCCAGCAGACTCTCTAGTGATTCTTGTGCTCCTTAACAGAAGCTATGGGCCTCTACAGCTGTTTTATCTTTCCAATTCTGAGCTAGGAGAAAAGTCTATATTAGCAGAGCATAGCTGTTCAGTTTGGCATTGCTTTGACTTTTTATAGCATGGGGGGGTCTATACGAAACCTTGTTTTTGAGTGAGGAAACTATATGACGTGCCTGATTACCCCCCTCTACTTCTCCAAATTCACTCAATCTCTCCCCTCAACCTCCCCCTCTGGCAGCACTGCAGCCCAGCGGATAACCAAGCATGGATTAGTGGTGACATCACACCGAAGAGATGGCTGAGCCTGAGTGTGAGGAAGGGTGAGTACTTGGGTGAGTGTGTGTGTATGTTGGATGGGTGTGAGAGTTATGTGTGTGTTCAGGACTGATTAGACGATGAGGGTGGTGGTGAGAGGGAAGCAAGGATTAGAGAGCCATCCGAGAGTTGCCTAGGTGCTGACACCACTCCACCTCACCCAGGGCTCAATTTACTGAAGGATCAGACTCATTTATGGTGGGCTGGGATTATTATCAGTTCAATGGGGCAATTTCTTTATTACAGTCACCTCTCAACCTGTGAAATGTGGAGCCTTGTGGGACATTTATCTTGCTTCACTTATAATCTAGCACTCTTCTTGTACAACTAATTGTGTATTATCAGCTTTAAGTAGTGTTGTAAAAATTAAGATCCACATATGCCTTTTCTCTTATTTGGGAAAGGCTGGATGTTTCATTGTCTATTGTGCAACGGATGAAGACTGGAAACCTCTTTACTCAATCACAAGAATGATTAAATACATATCCAAGAAAAAATACATCTGTTTACAAAACATATATTAGCTGTCTAAGAGTTGTTCCATATGATATTAGATACTTTTGAAGATGAACTTTCTCATTTTTGACAGAATGAATGCTCAAGTGTCTAACCTCCTTCAATAAATGACAAACCTACCTACCAAAGTATTCTCTTTATGTGGCTTAAAATACAGCTGGAAAAATGTTTAAGCACTTTTTTCATTTCACTTTAAGAAAACGTTTATGGTCATACTATAGGCTATTGATAAACAGAGTTTGAGGAACTCAGAGAGGACACATTTGAGTGATATAAGAACTTATCACTCAGGCCTAGAGCTTTAAACAGAATCAGGACATACAGACAACCTTCCTTTGTAACGCCTAGAAAAAAGAAATGGAGACAGAAGTACTGTCCTTCTATTGTTCAGTCTGACTTACAAACATCCAGGAAGTACCATACCAAATATTTACTACCGGTGGTACTAGTTGGACAGCTCTACTTTAAGAATGAGGGGTCTGGAGGTCTCGCGAGATTTGACACTTGACGAGACGTGGTTGCTTCTTCCCCGGGAAGAGAAGCGTTTCAACTAAGCTCACCGCCAAAGCTGCACGGATTGTTGCGCAGAGATATTTGTCTACTCTGTTTCATTTCAATGTTCAGTAGCTCTGGACTGACTCTGGGTATCAGGAAATTCTTAACTATCTGTTAAATCTGGACTCGCGGTCCTCAATGTTTGAACTGAACGGACGCTAACGGGAGCTAGCTCATTGGTCCGTCGATACAGTTGTGTGAAGTCTGTTAGTTTTCATTTTGCAGGAAGAAAAATGCCTCAGCAGCAGAGGACAAGCTGGATCCTGACATGCGCCACAGTCGCTTGTATCACCGCTCTGTATGTGCCCTGCGTTCAGAAGACTGTTCCCGGTGGAGACTCAGGTTGGTGTTAGCTCGTGAGCTAAAGCTCGTCTTCTGGTCACGTGGCTTTGTTGTGTTTCAGGTCAGCCAATCGTGCAGCGCCTTTTTCCTCACGCTGCAGCAGCTCGAGGGTTACTTCTCCAAGTGTTGAAGGCACAGGTGCATAAAATTAAAACTAGAATTAAAACAACGTTGAAGAACTTTCAGCATTGAGACATTTTTATACATACAGGGTTCATTTTTATGGCTTTAAAGTCTGTAAATACACCGAATCCATTTAAGCAAATGCCTCCTGAATAGTTATCTTGGATTAGCAGAAGATTTATATATTTTTCCATATCTATCTATCAGTATAATGATAAAACGGACCACCGTGGTGCTATGACAGTACAGCTTGTTAAATCCCCTGTTTTTTATCGTCTGCTTTTTTTGGGAAAAAAATGTTGTAGCCTCTTTTTAAATTATGAATTATTGTCCTCTTTGGTCAGATTTTCCTGTACCAGTGGAGTATTTCACGCTCTTTTTTTCTATCCTAACAAGTTTTAAAATGTTTGCCAAGCCCATTTACGCTGACTGCAGTGCATTTTATAAGATTGTTATGAAAACAATGCTTCGAAGAGAGAGTATGAAAGAGTCACCCCCTGGCTCCAGGATTAAAGTAGACGTTACCAAATGAACATGAAGTGTTATTGTAATTATCTCCTGTCTGGTCTGACCCTTATTTCAGCCACATGCACAGAGATTAAATTGTTGTCACGTAGGTTATAATGAGTATTTGGCCTATTTAAATATATATGAACCTTAAAATTGTTTGCAGTATTGTACTCTCCTGATTTGTTATGAAAAAATTGCCGTTTTAAGTTGTTGACTTCTACAATAATATGGGCTGCCTAATTTGCACAGTATATGTACAGACATAATTTAATTTGTTCAGTCAGCTATGTTGTAGGGCAACATGTTTTCCAACATACTTGATATGCAGTTTATGAAGGACTGCCTTGCACAATTACAAACAGTGTTTCAAAGTGATAGCTAGGTTACAAACTTGTAAATGTGGACTTTAGGGCATGAAGGCTCTGCTTGTTAGCTTTGCACTGCTCTGGCATACAAGCTGCTGTGCAGGGGAAATGCACATTTAACAAAATGCGAGCGTATGAAAAGCTTGTCCAGATATGAGCGAGAAGAGACGAGGTGAGAGCAGGCAATTGGAGTAGCTGAGTAGCCCTGCTGGTTGTGCTGCTGCCGAGCGAACGCAGGCCTTTGAAAAAATGGCCAGCCCCTTCTCCACAGTGTTTAGGGACGGTGCAGGATGCCCGCTCTGATAGTGCCAGCTGAACACCCCTCTGAATTCTCCAGGTCTCCGTCTCTGTGTCCTAATCTCTTTAGGTGTGATGTGCCCTGGAGAGGCTTGAGCACAGCCCCGCGGGTACGCTGTTGTCTAGGAATGTGGAGTGTGGAAATGATGGGGATTATGGGAAGACTGGTGTGGGTGCCCATGCTCCACTATCACAAAGAGTCTTGGCACCCGTACCGCTACCCCGTTGAGTCAATATTTTCCTTTTTTAGCATTGGGGCTGTAGAACTGCATCTCTGTAGCACTCAGATGTATGTTTTGGCTCAATATTAGTTTGAGTTTTCCTCTGTTGAATGGTGTAAAAGTGTGCTGCTACTGAGGGGAAATGAGTGAAATTGAGAAAGCGATGAGGGCTGAGAAAGTGTGATGTAAAATGATGGCAGGTAGCTGGCGGCTCATGCCAGGTGAAATGGAGCTGTGAAAACATTTAAGCTGTGCAGGTGGAGGAGTTCTGACTTCATGGTCCATTAGACTGATAAGAGTTAGGGCTCCTCATGTGGCAGAAATTTAGGCATAATAATTCACTGTATCGGCAAGGTTGCAGAATATGTGATGCAGCCAATGCCATCTGAAATTCAGCCGTTCTGTTCTATAATTGTTGGGGCTCAATCTGGGCCCATGTTGTTACTCTGAAAACGTTTATTTTGAGTTCTAAATCTGTTTTGAGCACTCAAAGATGCTCCGATTGAAAATAACTGACTATATTCTGCTTCTGCAAAGTGTTAGGTTGAAAAATGTTGAGCCTTTCATTTGTTGTTCCCTCAGTCCTGTGTCCAAATTGACCATGAAATCAAATATATTCAGTGAATGAGGGTCAGTAGACTGCTTTCTTTCTCATCTGTGATAGAGAAAACAAGGACACTGTTTTAATTATATTGACTACCCATCTAGTACCAGTAGAGGGAGCTGTCCTGGCCCCAAACATTTATCAATGTCATTTAATCTGAACCAAATTTCAATTTTCATGAGTGGGAGATGCAAACATTGGGTGAGAAATCAGTCTAATTTGAAACGCTCTAGGTGTATTCTGGCACAAATGGGTTTGTGCCCAGATACATTAAAGCTTCCTCAAATAGCTTTTAGGGGTTTTCTTTTCACTTTGTGCTGCGCCTCACACAGAGCTTGTCAAAAAATTGTGCAACCGACTCTTATTTTTTAAAGCTTACCTCATTCTGTGACTGTCACCAACGTTGCCTTTCTGTTTGTGCCCAACGGACTAAAGGAGACATTGAGACACTGGGAGTGTGGGAGCAACAGAGAGGCACGTAGAGCGGTAGAAGAAAGGGGAAAGGAAAGGACCCTGATGCATTAGGGAGGATGGGACTGAAAGCATTATTCTCAGATCAGCATATGTGTGTCTTTGTGTGACAGAGAGGGAGTCTAATGGTTTGTGTGTGTGTGTTTATATCTGTGTGCTGGAGAGAGAGAGAGAGAGGGAGGGAGGGAGGCATCAGGGGAGAAGCGAGAGATGAAGAGAATGAGCGTGCCGCTTAGGAAATGTCACACTGGGAAGATTTGTAGGTTTTGATCCTGGCAAATTAATGCAAAACCCCAGTGCAAGTATTTGATTTGGGAAAACTTTGGGAGCAGACTTGTCTCTTAATAATAATTATTGGGTTTACATTAATTTCCTCCCCTATTCTCTTCCACAGGAGAGCTGATCACCACTGCTTGTGAGCTGGGGGTAAGTATTAGCTGTATTGTTTAATCAATTCACTCATTAACTCTTATAAGCATTAAGGAAGTTTAATTAAGCATGGGCAGAAAGCAGATTAATTTACTTTCAGTCCACAGGTTTTTCCCCTTCTTTTCTATACACTTATTTTACTAAGTTGCAAGTAGAGAATGCTATAATTTGCAACCCGTTTTTCAAATCCAATTAAAGTCAATGGTAAGGCGATGGCTTTTGTAGGCTTTGCCTTATGTACGGTATAAGGCTTATTATATCCACCCCTCTTTTTTGTGTGTGTGTAAGCCGCGAAGAATGAACTAAATCGGGTTAACAGTTATAATAAGTTTTATTATTTAATAAAGTTTATTACGCCGCTGTGATCCTTTTAGGGAGGCTGTGTCGGTGTCACTATGCCAGTAATCCTGCCGTTAGTGCTGCAGTCCGTGTGGCCTGCCTGTCTGCTTTTCAGGCCTCCCCAGGGCCTCACAGGCCGTCCCCGGGCCCCAAGCCGCTGGCCCCCCTTTCTGATCCCCAGAGCTCCAGAATTCTGCCTCCCCATGCTCCCTGTTGCCTCTGTCCCTCAGCTGCCCTTTGCTGTGTGACTGTCGACTCCTGTTGGCCACACACTCTCTTAACTGATGCTCCTTAAGACGTCAACACTTTTCAAGCTGTCTGCAGAGTTGGAATCTTTTTTTAGCAGAACTTGTTCCCTACTACTCCATGACTTCTCCTGACCCACATCCTCTTTCTGTGATTCATTCCTCTGTTCTGGGTCAAGCTTTTTTGTATGAATTCAAAACCTTTGCTGTGTCTGAGGTGACCGGTGATGCAGCCGCCTCTGTCACCTCTCACAGCTCTGTGTTCATCAGAGGAGCTGCCCTCTTCTCTTCGCCTGCATGGCTCATGTTATCAGGGCCAGCGAATGAGTCTGTGTTTAATGACTGAGCCCTTATCTGGGTGGAGGAGACTTAGTAGCTAATTGCTGTGATTGCTTAGATCCCCCAGGCGAGAATGACTGCGGCTCGGAGGTGGTTTGGGGGCTGCGGCTGGCGAGCACCACGTGCTCCAGCAAGGGGCTCTAGGGAGCGGTACTGTCCTTGGGAAGAGGCCAGAAGAAAAGAAGTAAGAAGAGGGAGGAAGAGGGGGGTGAGGGAGAAGAGAGGGAGTCAGTTTGCGGTCATGGCAGGCAGTATACATTTTCCTCTTCTCTATAGTTGAAAATATACGGCATACCTTTACTTGAATCTATATGGTGAGGGGCTAATTTCCCCACAATATGCCTTGCCCAAGAAAAACAACCCTTGTATTTTTCTCTTTTGAACCGTCTGTACATTCTTGATAGATGTCATCTATATTTGTCCTCCCATTTTTATTCATTCTTTCATTCTTCTTTTACATTCTCAAAACAAAGTTCAGCATCTGTTTTTTTTTTTCAACAAATTGTGCTGATGTGAATGAAAACTTGAATTATCAATCCAAGTTATTTCTTATTGCATCTCTGGATGTGTATTCTACTCTCTCTTCTGTCCCTTCGAGTTCAGGTGGCCCATCCTCCAGGTTACCCTGTCTTCACTTTACTGGCTCGTCTGGCGATCTATCTCCTACCCTCCCTGTCTCCAGCCCACAGTGTTAACCTTATGAGCAGTCTGCTGGGGGCTGCTGCCAGTGGAGCCCTCTGTATTTCTGTCTGCAGGTAAGCATGTAAAGAACAAGCTCTTGCATCATATCCCTCCTCATTTTGTTGATGTATTTTAATCATTTAGATTTAACCATAGAGGACTCGTTAATATTTCTAAAATGTAAAAAGAAATTTTTTCTCCAAAGCAAATAATCTGGCAATGTATATAGTAAAAGTTCTTAGAGGGGAAAAAAACTTTTTTTTTCTTTCATGTAGGAGGACTTTCAACATTCCCTCACTGACTTTTTGCATCTCAATGCTGTCTGGAGCACAGAGTGGTATTTTTGGGTCCTGTCAGACTGGCAGTGTCGCCCCTGATCCTCTGTTCAGTATTCAGGAGCAGAGCCCAGCCGCCCTCCTCCCTCCCTCCACCCTGCCCTGCCTGTTTACCCATCAGCCACCCGTTGTGAGTGTGCGTGTGTATGTATATCACAATTATCGCGCCCTCCAGCCCCCACTCGCCGTCCGTGTCCCCCTCCCCGCCACCAACACTGCTGCCCAGCATGTTCCCAATCCTGACATGGCACGATTTCTTATCTATCCTTTCTTGCCTCCTGTGCCTGAGAGGGACACAATCACTACCTCTGCTCCTCCTGCTTCTCTTTCTTCAACCATCGCTCCTCTCATTCAATCAGGAGTTTAGTTTACGTTCTCTTTTTTTCATCTGCTGCTGACCCCGTCAGAGAGGAAGTATCCCCTCACCCCACCCCCCTCTTTGTGTGTGATATCATCCTGGAATACATATATCACCTTTCTGCTGATTTAAGGTATTTCCCACATTGCATTGTTGGTGGCAGCTTAGTGTCGACATTTTTCCTTTTTGTCGGTGTTTATGCATACTGGAGCATTTCCAGGTATGCCATATATTCCACAGATTAGAAATTGTTGAATGTGATGTAATTCCTTCCCCCTGTACAGCCCAGTTACAGGGGTTGGGGTGCAGTGACAGTGGGGTGAGAGCAGGAACGACTCGAGTTGTATGTATTCCCAGGTGCCCAGTACCAGGTCTACTTCCTATAGACCTGGCCACTGTTTGCCAGGTGGCAGGTGGTCTGGAGCAGGTCAGGGTACAGGGTCAGCTCTGATGCACAAGGGCAGGCAGGAGGAAGTGCTCCTCAGGGGACTGGATCTCAGCCCAGACTGCATCAGCCTTAGACCAGAAGCCGTACTGCTTCTGAGAGGTGAATGAAAACCCTGCCTAGGACTAGACGTGACATAAAAAGGAGGACAGAAAGAACAGGTTGGAACCCCATGCCTCTTAAGTCTTAATACATTTGACGAGTTCATCATTCAGTTGGCCAGACAGTTGCAGACGGTTACTCAGAGGCCAGAAAATATCCATGCAGTCTGGGCAATATTTGGCTCTAAGTGTGCATGTTAACTGCAGCCCTGTTTGTAATCTCTGCGGATTTAGATCCAATTTTGGATTATGGTCAAGTAAAAAGTCATTATGAGGACCTCCAAACCCCCAACAAGGGATGATGGGTAGTGAGGACTCCAGCCAGAGCACACAGTCACACCATATAAGCTCTTAAGTATGAACATATAATCTACGCTTTCAATTTGAAAAATAAGCATAAAAGGTTTTAGTCATTATCTGCTCGGGGTTTTAGCTTTTGGTTGTGGGTCAGCTGGCACACGCTTCCCGGTGAGGGGTTAGCGTAGAGGGCAAAAGATGAGGAGGGTGGAGAGTGTCCTTTGGTTTTCTGGATGATCGGGACCCCCCCTATCAGGCCTAGCATGGGTGCCTTGAACATACCAAAAGAACAGGCATAGATGTCCCGCCATATCACTGCAGGGGGCTAGACCTCTCCCTCAGATGAGATGCCAGGACTGACCAGAACACCTGCTCTCTCACGCAGCAACACCAGATTGATATGTCTGATATCAAAACCATTCAAGACAAAATGTTTTAGTCCACTCGTTGAGGGACGAAACCCATTTCCTCTTTTTATTTTTAGCTTTGCGTCGGCTGTGCGAAGAAGACTTTTCCCCTTGCTGCTTTGTGTGATCATTTTCAGATGGTAAATATATTGCAGTTAATGCAGATACTTGAAGGCACTTTCTCTCAAATATTAAATTGTAAGACCTTGAAATTCATCTGGAGTATACCCAACATGGCAAGCCTTTGATGTATCAATTTAAATTAGTCGGCCAGATTGCCGTGTTTAATGTGGGGGAATGTAAGTTGATAGGCTTGGAAGCCACTTCTCTCCCTTGCATAAGTTAAAATGCAGCACTTAGCCTCCCTTTGATTTGTCAATTACAGTTCTCTTGGCTTGATCATTCAGTTTGATGGCCAAATTGCACGTCTTGTTATGTTTTCACACCATGGCCTGACAAGTCTTTGAGGATGGTGGACGTAATGATAATTACCATCAATTGCACTCTGAGGTTCACAGACGGGGAGACATTTGGCCTGTTGAATGCTAAAGGCCTGTGCTGCGAGTCTCCAGAGGAATGCACCCTTCATAGCGGGATTATCCAGACAGCTCGGTATTCTGTGCTCTCTCGTTTCACAGTTTATCTGCTAAAGCTGCTCTGAATCTCTGCTACCTGCGAGGAATCTCTCCCTCCATTCCCGAGCTTATCCCGAGAAACCAGAAGCAGACACGGCAGCCTGCTGACAGCCATCAGAGCAGAAAAACAACCCTGAATGCTCAGTCATCAGCACTTTTTTGTTTGATCGCATGATTACATAACAAGACTGTTGAAGCACACCGAACGTGTCTGGGCCCCCTTGTCACTGGAAGTGGTTGTATTAAAGCGCACACCTTCAAGATGCTCCCCACTAAGATCTGGCCCTTGTTGCACAGCTGATACCTCAGAGGACCTGAGGGTGGGCGCTGTGCCATCCCCAGCTCCTTATAAGGACTTTCACCATATGGTCCTGATGGTGCTTTTCCCTCCTCGCTCAGGTGGGTTGTTTTTCCACTCAGGGGGGGTTGCGTGTATCTTGTTGGGGGTCATGTCAGGTGTGTGGGTTTTGTTGTTTTGCAGCCATTTGTGCAGTTTTATTCTTTTCGAGACATCCTGAGCGTGAGGAGGTGTTGTGGAAACAGCTGAATTGAGTTGTTTTGTTGGATGATGTCCTCACCACTCCCTGCAGGTGGCAGGTCTGCCCCTCCCTCTCACATCTGCTGTGGTTGGATAAAATTTTCAAGAGGCTTCAGAGAAGACAGCCATTTCTGTTCCTCTCTACAAGGGAGAACAATTTCAGGTTTGATTATTCAAAAGGCCTCAATCTGTAGACCTTTTGTTCATTTTTTGCAGTATCTCATCCGTCATATTGTAGTCCAACAGACCTCCTTTACTCCCACCCATCCTCAGCATGACCAATAGTTCCCCCAGGACTCATCCTCTAATACAGTTAAACAGATGTCTAATGAAGATGTTATTTCCTCATTACTGGCTATGGGATGGGGATAGAGCGGGGGAGGGAGGAGGGCGAGATAGACAGCAGAATACAGTAGCAGTTTAATATTCCTCTCGCCCGTGGGCCTGAGATTGTGTCTGCCTCGGACGTCAATATTACATTCCTCACCCACCACAGGCGGTCTTAATAAGGCACCAGGCACGGAGACGGATCAGACTCGGCAATTACAATTCACCCAGAATTAGTTAATGGAATCTATACAGCAACATTTATGTATCACTGGTGTGTGCCTAATGACTTTGTTGGAAAAGGCAGCAATAAAAAATGGCATTCAGAGAATTGCATAAACACAGGATTTTTCTAAATTGTTTTTTTTACTCCTCTTCCTGTAATTTTTGTGTGTTGGGTGGAGATTAAGATGGCATTCTGGGAGAAATTGTCATGTCAGTGGCTGCATTGTTTGAGCGGAATTGTGGTGATTAATTTTACACGCACTTGGAGCACTGCAGCACTCTCCTGGAGGAGGGGTTTCTGAGCGGCAGAGCCGGGACCCTTATTTACCCTCCTCTCTGTTTGAGCAGACAGACTTCTGTTCGCGCACCGGAGGAGGCAGGGAGGACCGAGAAATAAATGGTTTGGTGACTGGCTGAAAATTGGGTTGTGACATCCAGGATTTATATCTGGTACTGTCAGTAACAGAAAAAGGAAGAGGGCTGAACTTAAAGAATCAAGTGATAAAAAAAGGTGACAAATGTTCCCAATATAAAAATGTCTCAACCACATTGTGCAGTTTAGCCCATTAAACTTGATTGGCAGCTTATCACACACAAGCTCTTTCCAAATGAGTTCACACAATGCTGACTAAGACTGTAAATACCAGGTTAATTTGTCTTTGTCAGGCTGTAAACACAGCCTTTGTATATGATGCCACAAAGACACACCTGTAATGACATGTTTTACTCCACCTAACAGTGACTTCTTTGCTTAAGCTGGGAGTGAGGAGGGGAACTGAACAACAATATCAGTGGGGAGGAAATCCAGAGTGTGACACTCACTGAAACCTTATCAAAGTTCTTTTAAGACAGTGCTTCACATTCACAAAAAATGTTTTCATAAGCTGACAAATACATTTACAATGATGTATCACCACAATCTGGTCAACTAGCAGCACAAGGCAATATTAAATTACTGTTTTAATTTTCAATATAGTTTTTCACCCTCTCATACATATTCATAATATCATTTTCAAGGCTTAGGTATGTGCATCAGTCACTGCTTGGTCTTGAAATGTCAAAGCATTGGATCTGACACTTAACACTGTCATATAATAGCTACTTAGTACCCTGCCTGCTACCCTGGCCAGGGGAGAGCCCTGGGGTGTCATTGAGGGCCAGCTGGAAACCTCCACCTCAGCCCAAGCAGGCCACCTCCTCTCTTGGGCTCTTTACCCTCTTCAGGAATGTGTGATTCTTTTCCAGCGACCCCTTCCCAAACCGCCACTCGGTGGTGAGAACAGTGCTCCGCTGATCCGGGATGGCACAGCTGTGTTATTGTCTGTTCCCCCGGGTGGTGTGTGACAGTGGTTCCCTCGGCCAGCTCCCATTGTGAAGCCTCAATCAGTGTGCAGAGTGCTGGTGTTGGCTTTTTGTGTGCTGTTATTTAGCACAGGCGACTGGTGCTGGCACGTCTCTGGCACATACTGTAGAACTGAGGCAGGTCCCATTTTGACACTTCAAAGTGATTTTTTTTTTTTCCTGAGCTTTTGTTGTGTCCTTGAAGGGGACATTGCTTACCAGAGCCATTGTCATTTATTCCGTTTTATTTACCTTTGATCTTCCCTTTGAACCTGAGTTGTTTGCATTTGCCTGATTTGTACTACACTCACAAATTTGTTATTTTCTCATTTGACTTTCTATTTCCAACTTCTTTTTCTTATTTAAGACTTTACATGTAATATTCGCAGTTTAGTTAATTACCCATATGCTGACACAGACATTATGGCGGGGTGGTTCAGTTCAGGGTAGAGCAGCCTCGTTGTCAGCCGAGTTATTCTCCTGCCACGTCTCAACCAGGCCGTTGTCACTGAGCCACGACACAGAGGCATCCCGCACTGCATTGAGCGGCGATAACAGGGAACACGGCCACTCCAGTGTCAGAATGTGTCCTGCTTTATCTGCGTGCTCTGGGAGCAGCCGGCCCAGAGAATGAGCTCTGGAGTGACTGAGAGGCTGACTGGGACCCAGGTGGTCCCGCGCAGACAGACAGGTCATTTACAGCCCGCACTGTACACACATCACTGAGCTCTCGCGGACTGACAAGCTCTAACAGAGAGATTTGTCAGGCACTCAGGGAGAATAAAGGAGAGGGGGAACAGGAGTGAGTGGGTATGTGTGAGTGTTTGAATGTGTGACGGGTGCTGCCTGGCTATCAAACGCAGGAACAAACTTGGTGTAATAGCCCCAGTCTGTGGACCCCCACGACTGTTGTGCACCCTGTGTAACCCCAAAATCAGACCCCCTGCTTGGTGTAAGAGCTGAGGGTTAATTGTCATGCAGGGAGGTAAAATTATGGGTGCGGGGGGTCTCAGCACCTCAACAAAAGTCCCCATCTGCCCCCCCCTCCCCACCACCACCACCCTCCTTCTCCATCCTCCAACACCCATCCCATCCGACTTCATCCTTTCCTTCAAGTTACAACTAATTCCTGGAGCGGTGCAGTGAGAAAGAGGCTGCTATCTCTTATTAAGACCCACTCCTAGACGCCCCATCAACACAGTTCACCCCTCCTTCTCTAAAAGTGCGCACACACACACACACGCACACATGCATATTCATTCACCAAGCTCGCCTTACAGAGAACAGAGAGGAAAAATAGTGAGGAGAAGCAGAGAGAAAACCCAAGAAAAAAAAGGGGAAGTAGTCAGCAAGCAAGAGTTTTTTTTTCTTTTCTACCATCCTCTCGCTCTCCCTCTCCTTTTTTTTCCTGATTTACCGCGCTTTCCTCAGAAAGCTCCATTGTTCCCCTAGCCTAAGTCTCATCAGGCCTTTTGTGGCTGACTATCACAGCGGCAGGCAGAGAGCTGGAAATGTATAAATGGTATCATGCCTTGTGATTAATGGCGGTGCTTATGAGTCAGGTCTGATAACGGGCCTGCTCTCTACTCAATTTCAGATACCGTTAATGGAATCTGTCTTCTGCGATTGTAATGTGAGAGCGCCTAATTTGCTATGGAGCTTGAAGCTGTCACCGGCAAGGGATTGTGGGGTCATAAGGGACCTGGCAGCCGTTTGGCCTGCAGCTTGTATCTGCGGTGCTGAATAGAGCAGCTCTCTGCCTGTCAGTTAGCTGATAGGCTGATGAGGACTCTAAGCCACTCCACACAATGGCGGAAAGGGCCATACTGCCTGACTTCCCTAATTGTCGAGCCTGCTCATATTTCAGAGCCAGCATGCCGGGGACTGGGCTGTGTGTGTGTGTTTTTTTTTTTCTTTTCTCTTTTTTCCCCTCTCTCTTCTTGAACTTTTTTCTTCCTTTTCTCTTTATTTCATCCTTTATCCCGCACACTGTCTCACCCCTTTAACGCACATTTCTCTGCACTATTTTTCTACTCCCCCCCCCCCCCTTCATCATTTGTCGCCTCTCTCTCCCTCTCTCTCCCCCTCTGTCTCTCATTTTAGTAAGTGGTGGGTCTTAGCGTATGACAGATTATCCCAAGTTTGCTTCAATTACCGCAAAGGAGATGGAGACAGTACAGGAGAGGAGGAAGGGGAAACTTTTGTGCACACATTATATTTAAGAAGCTGAGGATAATAAAGTGCTATCTCCACCACGGTGGTTTCAGTGCCGGTCTGCTCCAGATCAACCGGCTGCTGTGGAAGGACTTCTCCTGATGATATTTGAGTGGCCCATTTCACTGAGTGTTTTTCTAAGGTCTTGTCCAAGAACCAAACTTTGGTTTGAGGGAAATTGCTTGGTGTATTTAAGTGCTAAATTTTTTATTTTATGTGTGCTGCTAACTTTGTTATTTCGTCACTGAAGTGAAACCTGGGTAAAAAAAAGCACACTTGTAGTTTTGTATCCTCAAAAATGGATTAGAAACAAAAACTTAAACTCGGAGTGGAACATTTAAATTCCTTCAGTTTTGTTTTTCGATAAATCTTCATCCCAAAAAGTTTGATTAAACCTAATTGTGGGAAATCAAACTTCTCCCTTTTTCTGCGTATGATTTGAACTACACATGAAGTGTTTTTGAGCATCCATCTAACACAGTGCACAGTAAGTGAGACCTCCTCTGCCATTCTTCAGGTTGGCAGGTCCTGGTCCTGGAGCTGTGCTGGCTGGAGGACTGTTCGCAGTCTCCAGGCTGAGCTGGCAGTGGTCCATGGTGGCAGAGGTCTTCACCCTCAACAACTTTTTCGTTGGTCTGCTCTTCTTCTTGACCGCCAGCTTCCACTCAGCAGAATACGCCACAAAAAGGAGGGAGGTAAACCGACCTTCATGAGGTAGATAAACAACTCATGGAGATCCCTTCAACATAAGCTCACGCTGCTGTCATGACATTCTTGACCTTGTCAGATGGCACACTGGGGAGCGCTGTTCTGTGGCTTGGGCCTCTGCAACCAGCACACCCTTGTGCTGTATGTACTGGTCATCATTCCCTGGGTCCTTCACAGACTGTATTCCTTTAGGGTAAGTTCTGGGATCTTATGAATAATAGCTTTAAAATCTGTGTGTAGCGACAGATAAAGATTACTTAGATTTTTGACTTGAACATTTTCAAAGTAATATGTGTTGCTGTTTTTTTTTTCCAAACATATTGGAAAATCATTAGCTTGACTTTTTAGCAGGTTCCTGACAAACTCCATAAGTGTGTAATATTTGCTCAGATTTGAATAAAGTCCTTAGTGCTCCAGTGGAACTTGTTGCTGTCCTTTATACAACGAAGGCATGTGTCATAGCGTATATTTTATGGGAGAAATTGCATAATAAAGAACGCCAAATTGAAGTTTCTCTGAATAATTTTTCTGAATCTTAATCAGTTTAACATAAATTTTAGAGAACATTCAAAAGTTGAGAACTTCTCTCTCTCTCTGTATAATCTCGACAGGAGCTGTCTTTTCGTGTCCTCTTGTCTCTGGGAGCGTGCTTCCTTGCGGGGTTTCTGCCTTACATCTACCTGCCCGTCTCCTCCTACTTGAACACAGCGCGCTGGAGCTGGGGGGATCAAACCACCCTGTCAGGCCTGCTGACCCACCTGCTGAGGGCTGAGTATGGCACCTTCAGTCTGGTAAGTGCTGGGATACTCTTCTAGATTATTTGTCGACGGTGTTATGAGTTTGTAAAGTTGCTCTGTTGACATTTGAACATGTTTTCTGTGTTCTTCTGTGTTTGCAGGCAAAAACAGAGAGCTCTGTTAACCTGACCACAATGCTGAAGTGAGTGTGTTCGGCCTGTGTCCAAGCTTCTTGCCTGTCTTTTCTGAAACGACTGTGCTCCCATCACTCACAGTTAACTGTACAGAGTTCCTACGCAAGTATGGAAAATATGGAAAAGTATGGAAATAAATTTGATCAATTTTCAGGTCTTAAAAAGTACGGAAAATGAAAAATAAAGTTGGAAAAATATTTTTGTTTCCAGACTATTACCACAGTTCTAAGATACTGTTTTCTAAAATAGAAAAGTAGTTATTTCCAAAAATAATGCTAAAAAGTAGGGTATGGAAATTCCAACTGTGTAGGAACCCTGACTGTAGTTACTGTGTTAATGGCTTGATCACAGGTCTCTAAACTCTCATGACATCTTTACATCTTATGGAAATGCCATTACCTTTTTCTTGAAGACTATAACCAATAACTGCTGTGCTGGTTTTATATAGGATTGAGTTTCTTAACCATTTTCAGCACTTTTCAGGTTTTTTTAAGGGTATGTCTCTATTTAGAGGTACAGTGGTGGACAGAGAAGAGTGTGAGGATCAGTGTAACAGCAGCAGCATCACTGAGTGTGTTGAGCGCTACGGCTGCAGGACAGTGAAGTCAATGCTCTCTTGTTATTGTCTGTGCAACTTTGGTGTCAAGTTTCTTCTTGGACAACATATTGTGTAAAATAGAGCTGTGAAAAACAAGAAAATAGCTTCAGGGATATGAATAGTCGCTGTCAGGCATGGTTAGGGACATGCAGGTCAAGGGATGGAGTACCCAGGTACTTTTTTTTTTTTTTTTTGCGCTGGTTCTGGTGTTTTACACAGGTTTAACCACAGACACTCAGATCTGTTCTGAGAGCCCACAGTCATTTGTGCAGCCCGTCCCTCTTTCCCTCTCTTCTTCTCCCAGCAGCTTTTGTTCTTCCCATTCCACTCTCTCCCATCAAAGCAGAACTGAACCTGCTTAGAGGGCCAAATCGCTGTGTTCTGTTTCTCCAGCAGTTTGAAATGATCACTCAGCTCTGGTGTTTAAGCGTGACAAGCTGTGATGACAGACACTGCAATAGAGCTGGAGAAATTGTATTTTTCCACTCCAGCACCACCCCCCACACCCCCACCCCCCACCACCTCCTCTGCCCGATTCCCTCCCATACTCCCTTCTGCCACCACCACCACCACCACCACAGCAGTCATCCCATTTCTGGTATCTCTCTCCAGCTGACGGGTTGGGGGTGCATGTGCGTCTTAAGACCCCCCACTACTGGCCCCCCCTCTGCTAGGCACCCACCCCTTTCCACAACCCCGCTGCTTGATGGACAAGCACACCTTCAAGATGGGGAAGAGAGGCGAACATGACAGGCATGTCGCACTGGAGACGTAAAACCCGCTGGAGAGGCTGACACACACACCCACAAACTCACGCTTGTGAGCACATTCACACATAGTGTACATTGGGAGATATAGAGACTCAATAAGCTGTCAAATAGAGATGGGTATTAAGGAAGAGGCAGGAAACTATCTCTCTGCTCTGAGCAAGCGCTCACTGACTGACAGGCGCTGCGAAGAGAGGATGGGGCAGCAGGGGGGGTGGATGACACAGTCATTCGTATCTGTCAATCCGATTGAAAGGAGGAGCACACAGTCCAAGGAGTTTGTTTTGATAGGGGATGGAGGGCATTTAATAATTGATGTCCTTGAGTTCAGTAGCAGGGAGGGTAATTGAGCCTGTCTTTGGTGTCCGTCATATACTCTCTGTAAACTATATGTGTGTGTGTGTGTTTAGAGCTCAGTTGGACCACTGCCTGGCAGACCTCTCACTTCCTGTTCTGGCCCTGGCAGTAACAGGCCTTCTCCTCTCTTCCCGGGACAGGTAGGATGAGTGAGGAGCGGGCATACGAAATACCAAACTCCGTCACACACTCACACACACGCACATCTCGGCAAGCGCTTCAACCAAAAACCTAATCCCCTGCAGTAAGAGACGGGGAACAAAACCACTGACAAAACGCTGATCTCAGGAAAAAAGAACACAAAAAAACACTGAGCCACCTAACTGTCAAGCTGTCGCGGCGCTCCACATTCAAATCAAGACAGGTTGATGTGTGTTTTTAAAATTTCACAAACATGTTTGTGTGTACGAGTAAATCACTGCTTGTATGTATCTGTTTGAGGCAGTGTGGAGGTTTGATCCCGTTAGTCCTTACAGCGGAGCCTTTCCTGGGGTCTTCTGGGTGGAGCTGACAAAGCCCAGTGATGCCTGGGGGCTCTGTAGGGCACCAGCTAACCCTTGCTTCTGCTGCTCTCCTAGGGTGAAACATGACTGTATACAAACTCTGATGAAATATAGAAAGATCAATCCATCTGTGCCAAAAAACAAGCCGAACAAATGTGAAAAATATAACTGTATAAAATGTGTAAATCTTTCATACATTGTGTATAATTCAAAGTAATAAAAACAAGAGCAGAATCTTGACAGTGTGGGTTTGTGGCCAGGCACTGGAGCACATCAGATCAATTTGTTGGCAGGAGAAGCAGAAGTCATTTTCTCCAGCTTGAAAGTGTCTCTTCAGGTTCAGATGATGATTTGTTATTGCCATAAGGCTAGCGTGTTTTCTTTTTTAGTGTATAAGTACATTTTACAGCTGTACTGTAATGAGTTTGTGATTCAGCGCTTGGCAGCAGCTCATTATGACTCAGTCTGCATTAGAAAATCAATCATGCACCTCTTAGCTGGCTGGCGTATACATTTGCCCTCGGGCTTGTGATCTCCATCCCTACATTAATATTTTTACGGGCTTATTCAAAACAAGTATATATTTACAGAGAAAACAGACGACACAACACATCTGACTTGATATGTGGAAATTGCTGTCCAGAGGTATACAGAGCAATATTTAAGAAGTGATAATGAAATGAAAGAGTGGCTGTGTCCTATAACTAAAACCTCCTCCTACCTTAGGACGTGTCGCTCCGTGGTCTGGCTGCTGACTGCCATGCTGGTGGTGTACTCACTGTTTTTTGCTTGGAGAGCCAACCTAGACATCAGCAGACCATTACTGCTTGGAGTGGTGAGATATATGAGGCTTGAACTCATTTTAACACCTTCGCTGTCTGTTTTTGTTGTTTTCAATGAAATGCATTTGTCTAAAGTCAGCATAAGGGAGAGCTATGAACATAAATTCGTGAATATTTGTGTTAAAATTGTGTTAAAATTGGTTCACACAGAGAACAGAGAAGAAAAGTGTGCCTTGTGTGCTTGTTTGTGTACACCTCTCCACTGTCTTTTTCCAGGTTGAGCGTTTCTGGCTCCAGAGTGATGCTGCAGTGTGCGTGTTGGCAGGCCTTGGATTGAGCCGGACACATATGGAGCTGGAGAGAAGGCTGGGCTGTGGGGGGCTGTGGAAAACCTCAGGCTGGGTTCTGACTGTAGGTCTATTGGCACATATGGTGCAGACAAATCACAGGTGAGAACAACAGTCTGTTACAGTAACAAGATGATTATGCGTGCATTGAGAGCACAGTGCAAAGTCCTTGATTTTAAATATTTATTATCGGTAAAATTCAGAACATGTGGAGAATATTACCAGCAACTATAGTGGATCAACAAAGTGCAGAGCTGAGGAAAGACGAGCAGTGAAATGGGCTTTCTATCTTAAAGTGGGTCAGGCCCTGCCCTTACAATTATCCTAATAGGAAGTCACAGCTTTATTATTACAGGCAAGTTTATTTGTATAGCACCATTCATACACAAGGCAATTCAAAGTGCTTCACAGATGCAAGGAAATACATAAAAAATTAAAAAGGAGAGATTAAAACAATTTAAACTCAAAATAACATAAAATGTAATCTAAGATCATTAAAACAGTTGAAATTAACGGAACAGCAAAGTAGAAGTTTATAGGTATATACATCCAAAATACAACCAAAAGGATGGATGATCAATATGATTGGTCTTCTTTTAACTTTTAAGATTTGTGTTGACAGTCTCTCAGTGGTAGAGCGGGTTGTCCGTCACTTAAAAGTTTAGGGGTTCAACCCCAGGTCATTCTTTCCAAAGTGCTGTTAAGCAAGTTACTAATCCCCAAACTGCCCCCAGTGGCTGTGTTAGTGCTGTGAGAATGAGCCTAGCTCATACTGAGGGGTTCTTCTTCACATAGCAACCTCTCCCTTTAGTGTATGAATGTGACATTGCGTAGGAGGTTTTTGACCTTATACAATTTAAAAAATCTCTGCAGAGCGTTGTAAGTCCTCCATCTTTTCTCTTATGCCCTCTGGGTGGCGCTACTATGCTCCCCCAAGAAAAACACAAAGGTACTCTAACTCATTTTTCCCCTCTGCGATGAGGCTACTAAATGCTGGGAAGTAGCGGATTGGTGGCCTGTGTTGGAATTTGGGGTGTTGAAATTGGGGTCTCAGGATTGTTTTAGGTCTTATTGTACTTCTTTTATCACATTATTTCTTATTGCATTTTAGTCATCCCACTGTTGAATGAACTGCACATGTATTTATTATCTAGTTGTTTATTTATTGCTGATTTGTGGTGCTGACAGGGGAATGTTTGGGCCATATGCTGCTGTGAATGTCTGGCATTTGTTTGTCCCTTGATCGTTTAATAACAAGGCGGGTTACTGTGAAGTGAATTACCCTTCGGGGATTAATAAAGTTATCTGAATCCATCCTATTCAATTTTCAACATTTCAAGTCTAATTCCTTCAGTATGGAGTTAAAAAACATCTGTCCAGTTTACCTCTGTTCCACTTTGACTGCTCCAAAGTTTCTGTGAAAAGACATCATGTGTCTCCAGGGCTCAGACGCAAAGTTAGTTCGGAAACATACATTTTGCAAAGTTAATTCTACAAGAACTATATTTTGTGCTTGATACCATCAGTGAATCTTTACCTCCATAATTATAATGGCTCCTTTTGCTCTACAGGCAATTAGTGATTGCAGCCTCTGATAAAGGTTGTCTTGATGTCTCAGCAGTGAACCTCACTGCGTTTATCGGTAGAATAATTTTACTGTACAGTATGTTATGAAGGAGTTACACCTGACCAAAATGTCACCTAAGTTTCTTTGTAATACTTTTGTTGAGTAAAGCTGAAGTGAAGTAAAAACTCCCCTCTCATTCTGTTTCCTTCTAAAATCCTCATGCAGAAGTTTTCCCTGAGTCAACCTGATTTGTTTCTCCTCTGCGCTTCGTACTGCAGGTCTGAACTCCACATGTCAGGTTTTTCTCTGCTCACCCCATGGTAGGGGCTGAAGAGAGGCACGGTTAGCACATAGATTCCACTCACAGAGCTCAGTCTGAGATGTTAGCTGTCCGAGGAGGCAGATTACACCGGCGTAGTTGCTGGGGAGTGCCAGACAGCCATCACTGAGCAGCTTTGATCAAGGGGAGAGCATGGCCTGTGCTGTCAGACCCATCACACCTGTCTCCCCACGATTAGATAGGCAGCCACAGCGCTCTGTAGAGGGGAAGGGGCGGGGGCACTGACAACTTACCCTCAGAGCACCTTGAAAGCATACCTACAAGCAGCGACTCACTCTCATACACACACTTTTACAGATCTCACACATTTCTAAGCAGGGGTAAAGATGCACTCAAGCCTTTTACAAACTCACACAAACGCAACTTGTGTTTTTCTGATGTTAAACAGAATGATGGTGTTTGTGTTGACAATTACAGGGAGTGTGACCAAAGCCGAAACAGTGTGGTGGAGAGGTTCGGCAGGGAGCTTCTGGCCTCCGTTCCAAACAACTCGATCATCTTGACAAGAGGAGATCTGCCTGGGAACTCTCTGCGCTACCTTTACTACTGTGAGGGGGTTCGACCTGATGTGCGTCTGGTGGACCAGGAGGTCAGAGCTTTGAAATCCCCTCTATCTTACCTTTGTGGATTCTCAAAATGTTCTCATGAGGTTTTGATATTCCACACGCACCCTGAAGAACTAAAAAACAAAAACAACTCAGTAAAATGTTTCCTGTGATTCTGGTTCACTTCAGATAGCATTACACACCCAGCTCTGTAAATGAGAATACAGAGTTTTGCATCATTGCAGTGTCATGATGCTGCGCTAGGCCATATGTTAGACCTACACAGTATGAGAAAAATATGCAATAAATGAAAACAAGTTTGACCAATATTGAACTAACTATATTAATAGTAGCATATGGATTTTCTATGAAGTGTGTATCCTCAGTGCACACTGAATTAAAGCAGTCTGTTTAAGTTCCTTAATAAACAAAAAATGCTGCTGCAAATTCCATAAATAACAAACGTACTTTTAGGGTTTTCAAGTAAGGTGGATTCAGTTGAAAGGGGAGGATTTCTTTATTTTTGTAAAGAAAAAAAGGAGATTTTGCAAATTGCAATATGGAAATTAACTCAACACCTCGGCTAAGTTATGACTTAATAAAGTCGTACAAAATACTGGCTCTGGCTTTATGAGTTCGGTGCGTATCATTAGTTTGTACATCTCCATGTGTAAACTTTTCTGATTTAAATTAAGAAATAAAAACCAGAACTTTCCATTCTAGGAAAAAAATAGAAATCAAAGCATAAACAAACCATTTAAAACCCAATTACGGAGCAAAAAGCCACTGACATAGTCAATAAATCCTTTTGTTGAAGTGATTTGTTCACTGGCTGCTAATTTGACCACTAATCACATTGGACACAAAGAATTGAACCGAGTCTGTGTGGTACTCTTCCTCCTTCCTAGATGATGACATACAGTTGGTATGTAGCCAAGCTGGCACAGCACCACCCAGGGGTCCACTTCCCCGGCCGCTGGTGGGACCCAGTCCACCCTGAGGAGAAAGACACCTTCGATCTGGAGCAGTTTCTGTTGCACAACACACAGTGAGTCTCCGAGATGCAGGCTGAGAGCAGAGAGGATCAAAGGGCGGTCTGAAAGGAAAAATAGAGGGCTGTGAAAAGGAGAGAGAGTGAATTGGGAGGGCAACAATGGTCCAAATGAACAAGTGGGGGATCTAATGAGGTAGAGATCGGGGGAATGGTCCACACAGCGGTAAGTGCAGGGAGAAGATAAGCTGGTAGAACTGTTGAGGGCACAAAAGGAGTTTGATGAAGTACAGAAGCCGTCTAATCTACTTGATTTGGTTAAACAGTCTCTGGCCGACTCACTGCTGCTCCCTGCTCTCATCTCTGACTCCTCCAAGAAGAAATGAGATCTGGAAAGCGGCTGGGGACCTGTTAATACCAAGCCCACCAGGGGGCAGTGTTTGCCAGGCCAACATGCCTGTCTCTCTGTGGGGCAACACTGACCTGTGGGATAAACCTCCAGGGCCTGAGGCTGGAGGGGAGCAAGGAGACGTTCAGATGTGAAGAAATATTTGTCTACATGGTGTTTGTGTTTGTCTCATCATCAGCTGTCGACTGTGAGGAAAAAGAGGGTTCATATTTTCAAAGTATTTATTGTTTCTACAGGAGGGATGTGGTGGCCTGCATTGGGCTGCCTGAAGGAGACCCTAGCTGGCAGCAGAGTTTCTCTCGTTGGCCCTGGGGAGTGTGCGACTTCCTGGTGCCAGCTCAGAGGCAATTTCACCCCGAAAGGTGGGCCCAGCGGACCCGCAACATGTACAATTGGGTGGAGCTGTATGGCAGGTGCATTCACACACACTGACAATCATAGTTATCTCTTTTGTAACCCTTAAACATTCATTTGGGGAGTGTTTCTCTCTTTATAATAATAAGTCACAGTTTTTAAGTTAAACTCCAATTATACACTCTCACCACATACTTGGACATCTCCTCGCCCCTCACCCTTCATCTCTCTGTGGTTACGAGTCGTCCTCCATCAGACTGCACAGAGCTCCCCTCAGTGAGGTTGTCCTCTGTTCCTCATGCTGTGATCAAGCTCCATGTGAATTTAACCAGAGCAAACATCAGGCCCACAGCCATTTGAAATGAGACTGAAGATGAAAAATAATGAGTTTCTTATTGCATTTTGTCAATAACTGTGTCAAAAGTGGAATTAGTCAAAGCTCCATATTCTGTTGCTGTTGCCAGCAGCCCTTCATTCACTCAGATATCCACGGCTGAATACTGTGACATTATTTCCCGCACTCTCACGACAAGCGTGTCCGTCGATGCCCACAAGCCAAATATTAGCTCGGGAGCCCTGCTAAAATATTCTTTTGAAGAAGAGGTCAAGTGTTTACAGTCAACAAAGTGAAAAAAGGAGAGATGTGGTTTTACTGCATGTCTAATGTGTTTGCTGGTATTGTTGCGCAGTCATTTAATGTTTATGCAGCAAACAGCCATGTTTAGTGTATCAGAATCTGCACAGTCAAGTGGGACAATATATTCACATAAAAAAGCGTTTATACTAAATGGAACTATGTTGGAAAGCCTGAAGCTCTTTTTGATAAATGATGTTTTTTTTTCCTCATGTGTGACCAGTTTCCATCCTGCATCCTGGGAGCATGTCGCTAATGAGGAGATGTGGCAGGCCAGGTACAGTACAGCTTTTATCAAAGAACAAAAAACAGTGGTTATCTCTTTGGAGAGGTTGTATACTTTGCAGATAAAAAGCTGCGTCACGATGCATACCAGCTCGCTAGGACATCTCCATAAACCAGTCTTGTGTGGTAGAGCATCTACATGTACATTCTATTTGGTATCGGCATCTACATAAATCACTCCATTGGAGTGATGCGTCTGTGAGCGTGGATCTGCATGGCTCATCCATCCAGCACTTAGCCCTGAGCCTGCGTGCTTTGTTTCAGGATGAAGACGGCTTTCTTTCTGTTTGACCTGGCAGAAAGGATGCAGGGAGAGGGGAGCGATCGCCTCTTTGAGCTGTCTTACACCGTGAGTCTGACCCTAACAAACATGAAAAAACACTATCGGTTACCTCAGTGGAACCGATATAAGAGCTAAACAAGACCTAGTATGACATATTCAGAGGCGTTTGCTTTTATTTGCGGTCACATCTGCTTTTATTTGTGTGTTTTTGTGTGTGTGTGTGTGTGTGTGTGTGTGTGTTTGCCGGACAGCTGTATAAGGAGATTGTGGAGGCCCACTCAGACTACCCTCCAAACTGGGACAAGAACTTGGCACTGGCTTGTGAGAGGCTGCTCCGCTCTGGTCAACAGGGCCACAGTCCAGACAGCCTGCTGACCTGCAGCACTCAGCACTTTAGTCTCTACTTAGAGAAGGACCCCACAGATCCCCAGGCGCCCGCCATACGCTCGGCCATTTCTCACCTGCTGAAAGAGAGAGAGAGACTTCGCCGGAGCCGGAGGCCAACCCCTTAACTGGATCCAAAGAGACCTTCACAGAGCTGAAACACTGAAAGTGTGAGCCCAGTTGAAGTGCTGCACACTGAGAATGAGTCTGAATGTGCACTTTCTCGAAGTGTAGTGCGGCAGTCAAGGTTTTAGGTGCTGTTTTGGATAAGAAGATGAGGTCAAACGTGCCTTATGAGCTGTCATGTAAGAGGAATGCTGATACAGACCCACTCGTCTCCAGAAATCATCTCAGAGCTCTTGGAGGACAACGAACTTCCCCTCGGCCATACATTATTCTGTGAAGTTGACCGGTAACAGAGTCTGACTTCAGGAGGCCTTAACTGACCCCAATCAAGCTGTGCGTGCTCCCCTCAAACTCACCCGTTCGATTGCTTTATCGTTACATCGCTGGCCTTTTTCTTCTCTTCCTCTGCTCTCACAGCTTTTAACGTGCTGATTATTTTGCCTCAGCCACTGCTCTAGTTCTCTCTTTTTCTCACATTAGGATGGCAAGGCCGAGATTGAGGGAAAACCAATTTGGGGGCAGAAATGGGGGATTAGAGCGGCTGTTTAATCTAGGACAGACTTGTGCTGTGGCACACAGTCCCCACTCTGCATAACCAGCCGTACCCACCCACCCACTCACTCACTCACTCACCCACCCCTCTATCCTTCCATCAGTCCATCTTAGATGGTCCTTTATATGTTTAAAACTAATGGATTCGATGAGTGTTTTTGCCTCTCTTCCTTCCTAACGGGAGGGCTGTAATCTCTCATGGATTTAAATGAAATGTGAAATGTCACAATGCCAGGGACCCTTTTAAAGGTGCGTTTTTGTGTGTCGATTTGTGATTGCATGTGGATGTGGATGTGTGTGTGTGTGTGTGTGTATGTGTATGTGTGTGTGTGTGTGTGTGTGTGTGTGTGTGTGTGTGTGTGTGAGTGTGAGTGTGTGAACATGCTTAAATCTCCACCAGAGAATTCTCGCTGCTCAACTGCATATAAACATAGTCGATAAACAGATCGGCGCACTGGAAAGCAAAGAGCTTTGATCAGCATAGAAGGACAAAGTCATGCAAACTCTAGAGACAAATGGAGACACGCAAGACCATCCTCCACCCAGCTCGCAGGAAAATGGACTTTTATCCCTGTGAGGGTTACTAAAGAGACAACATGGCATGCAAACACTGTGAGCAAATCAGAGTCACGCGTCTTTGACGCGTTCTCAGGGTCCAAAACCTCAATTACAGACTGTTTCTGTAAATACTCATGATGATGTTAATGAACGTCCTGCCATGGAAGCTGTTATTCTGAGGTCAAAGCAGAGTATGGCCATAAGCTTTAAAAAACTCTGCTGAAGGAGCCTGCTGTTTGAGATACTACTGGAAAGCGACGGACAGTTTGTGCACGTGTAGTTTTCTCCGAACGTAATCTGCCCTCTGTTCGCAGGAATGGTTAGCGGCTGTCAGCTGGCTGGATGATGAGATTCGACCTGCTGTAGCACAGATGGTTTGGTTTCTCATAAAAAAAGGAAAACTGTCACTCTGCTTTCTACTTTTAAAACATTTTCAATAAAGAGTGTTTATTTTGATGTATTTTGGATCTTTTCCTTTAACTTTGTCTCAAATATTCATCATATTTATTCCGCCATTTGTGTTCTGTTTAATTCACGACCATTTTTTTTCTTTTTTTAAGGCCCTCTTTGTTATTTTTACTTTGCTTTCTTCCTATCCTCCCTTTTGTCATCCTCCTCTTGTCCCCCATCCTGTCATCCCCTCTCACCTTGTCTTTCCCTAACCCCCCTGTTCTTCTCCTTTCCCCTGTCTCTGAGAGTCAGTTGCCCACCCTAAATCAGCAAGCTGCCGAGGATTGTGGGAACCCATGGAATCGCCGTGACCAGGGATGCAGGCAGGGAGCCACAGCAACGCTGGAATGTGGGGCGTCTGAGGAGATAAGAGCTGTGAGCCCAGCCAGGGAGAGGGGAGGGATGCAGCAGGAGAGGAGCGAGGAGGAGGAGGGGGGGACGAGGCAGAGTGAGGAGGGTGAGATGGAAACAGGGAGAGCAGCAAGTCTGTGAATGGGGAGACAGAAACACAACACCATAAACAGCCCAGAGAGCAAGACAGAGAAAGAGGGGCGGAGGACTTAGGGGGGCACACACTGGAGATGGGAAGCCAGCCTTATTCCTCTTTGCATTTCATTTACATCCCTGGCCGTATCGACCAATCGGATTGGGAGCAAAGCCCAGGGCTTAGGAGGGGAATAAAAAGACAAAATGCCTTTGCTGCTCTCATCCCTCCCTGATAATACCCCTTCTGTTTTTCTTTTCTCTTTTTCTCCCGTCTATAAGTAGATACTGTCCGAAATGCCAGCGGAAAAGCGACACCTCCGCTTGCTGTGTATCTCAGATAGACCGAGCGGGAGCAGGGGCTGAAAAGACAGCTTTAGCAACTGGGCCCCTATCTCCTCTCCTCTCCTCTCCTCTCTCTGGCTGGATGGAAGCTTGTGGAGTGGAGGGAGGCGGAGGGCTGGGGTGTGTTGGTTAGTGTTTGGGAAGAGAATAGAGGGTGTGAGAGGCATGATATACTGAGCTGGCCACAGATTTTGCAGAATCTCACTCTCTGAAAAACTTTGCCCACAGATCCCATTCCTAAGCATGAGAAACCTGTTTCAAGGATGTTTACGAGGTGCCACCCATCTTTGTGGTGGGTGCCAATGCCTGCTAACAAACTCCACACGTATTTTTAGCTTTGGGTTGTAGTTATTCTAGTGTACTAAGTTGCAGGTTTATGCAAACTGGCAACTGTTGTCGTATAAGGACTTTGATCTCTTTAATGAGTGTTTCGAGAACTTAAAAAAGTCTCTTCTTCACATATTTAAAGCTGCAGTGGCTTTGCCTTAATTAAATGTTTCCCTCTTAGCTAGTGGGTGTGTATTGGGTGGAATTAGTCCCATTAACACCAGTCTCTGTTGATGTGTGGACTTGATTGACTCGTCTCAGGTTTCTGTTTGCCGTCACTCTCGATGTGTGCGTGTTTCTCTCTGTGTTGGAGCTCCTGTTTGTACATCAGGTGCAGACTGTTTGCAGGTTTACTGAGTTTATTTGTCCAGGTGTTTGTAGTGTTCTCCATTGTGTTCCTGTTTGTGTTTGGGTTGCTTTTACAACTATTGTGTCAAAATGGTCAAAGTGTTTTTAAGTGTCTTTCCTGAATGTAAAGGACCTTGCCATTGTCTTGGAGCTCATGTCTTTGTGTAGGCGCTGCCAGACTATTGTGCAAACACAGAACCCAGTGCTGGCATGGCTGCTGATATAGAGCTTATTGAAAGTGATTTCTGGTGCACAGATGAGAGTTTGTCTCTGTGGATGTCTGCAGCAAAGGATTCAGACATAGAAAAGATCCTTTATGTGCCACAGACAGATGCATGTGACAGATAAAGTCACCTTTGGACCCTATGTGGACCCGTTCACCTTCACAGCATCCTCAGCCTGACCAACCTCACCCGGCTAGTAAAACAAACCAAACAATAGAGGCAGATATGTGAGGGATTAGAGGTCAGAGGGTTTGGAAATGCGACATCTCCATTTCCAGGATCAATCTTCAACTGCTCTGTAATCTCTGGCTCTGGGCTCTGCATACCTCCAGTGGTCTCTCTGGCTGAGGACTGGCATTGCCAGGCTGTGTGAGCTGGTGCTCCTGCTGGGTGTTGGGTGCTGATATGATGGTGGGGGTTGGGGTTGCAACCTGATTGTGTGGATAAATTGAGGAGCGGAGAGTTTACAGACAAATGTCCTTTCTTTACTCCAAACCTCTTGAATCTTCACGGACAGACACCTGAATCCATGTACTGCCCATATATGACTCACTTGACATGAGTGTGTTTTTCTGTACTGTGCGTGTGGAAATTTGTAAAGTTAGTTTTCATCCGTAAATGTGTAAATACGCAATAACTTTGAGTCCTTCTGAGCAAGCGGAATATTATCCCCAAGTTCCCGTTGTTATCTTGTGTACACACATTTGTTTATTTGATACAGCCTCTCTCCACCACGGCTCTTCTGTATATCAAAGACAGCAGTGCAGCCTGCAATTGAAAATGGCTACCGTGGAAAAAGGTCTCTCTCTGCTTTTACTGCGAAGAGGCAGAAAAAGCCCCATTCCCCGCTCTCTTCTCAGATCTATTTAAATAATTGAGGAGTAAACTGACAAATTAGGCACCTTTATGGACGCCCCTGGGCTCTCTCTGGGGTCCTTCAGTTTTCCCCAATATGAGCAGAGTGCCACCAGCCACAGGATAATATCTCTGTGTGCTTTGAGAGGGAGGGGAAGGGGGGTAGTGGACCAGGAGGGGTTTCGCCAATCAAGCGGGCCACACTTCCTCCCCCAGGTTCTAATTTTGTGCCACATTAAAGAGCTCGGCCTCCATTTAGGACACAGAGAAGCATTTTCATAATTTGCCGGGTCTCTCGACTAGCTCCGGGTGCCTTTTTTCCTCTCTCTCCTCCCTCTCTTGCTCTCGCTCCGTGTCTGAATGGAAGGCCTGGGGAGGAAGACGGGTAATTCATTCGCCTCTTTTCAACCAACCAGCTTCAGTTCTGCATAATGTTGCTGCTAGGTGTGTATAGCAGCTAATATTTATCTCCCTAATAATTCTCTATTAGACCTGAATATTATTTGCTGTATAAAAGCTAACACAGCTCATTGTCAGCTCCACAAAAATGGTGTCATTCACGTTTTGTTGTCACATAAAGGCTCATTCTTTTTGAGTGTGTTTGGCTTGATATAGGGGGATGTCATCTGTGACCATTCAGCCATACATCTGTGGTGGGTATATTGATCAAATCTGTAATTTAGAATACACACTACAAAATCTAGGTTAAAGTTGTTTCATTTCCTGTTGCTGACACCATCCATTCATGCACTGCAGCATGCGTAAGCATTGATTCATATGTGATTGGTCACATAATTCACAGTCTCAGGGGGCATTTCATCGCTGACAGACAAGCTAATCTAAAATCCCCCAATTTACAAATGAAAATCCCACCATCCAATTGAGCTAATAGAGGGACTTGAATGGGATAATAAGATGTGGTGTAATACTGTGTAAAAAGCCTGTAATGTTGTGTTGGTGTAAGAGCCTGTGTGACTGGATGTTTGACTGTTTGCAGTGATTACAGGGGCCTGCGGGCCTGGCGGCGGCTCTGTGGCAGGGACAGGGAGCTTCTCCCTGGGCAAGGAGATACGCCTGTCTGCCCCTTCTGCTGGAGCTACAGGGACCAGGGAGTCAGGAGGGAGAGTGCTCCCTGTGAGCTCTCTCTCTCTCTCTCTCTCTCTCTTTCTCTTTCACTCTCTGTCTCTTTCTGTCTGTCTCTCGTTCCCGGTCTCGCTGTCTCTGTACTATTGCAGCGCTTGCAGATGTGCACAAACAAGGGAGGATTAAAGCAAAACGAATCTAAACAGACAAATGGAATTAGAGTGATGGGTGTCGGTGGGCTGGTTCACAGTGATAAACATAATGACGCTCTGTATGTGTGTGTGAGTGTGTTTCTGTGTCTAGGGGATTATCAGTGGTTAGGTGTGTGGTGTGTATGGCTGGGTGACTGCTTCTGGGTGTCTTTGTGTGTTTGACTATCTGTCTATGTTTTTGTAATTATGTATGTGTATATTTACTCGCTCTCTACTCCTGTGTGTGATTAATGTGTTATTCTGCGTCGCCTCACAAAAATGAGTCTCTGTGCCCTCTGCATGTGTGTGAAAATGTTACTGTTTTTTTTTTCTGTTGGTTGTGGGGTCACATTTTCTTCCTGTCATTCATGGTGTTTGTTTGTATTTATGTACTAGAGCTGCTTCATAAGCCTGTATGTCTCTACTGGACAAAAAATATCTTCCCCCAATATTGACATTCACCCAGAAAAATGAGAGGTTTGTAGAATATGGATGTAATCTTGCACAGGACTATGCGGTTTATAAGCTGCTGCTGTGTGTAGACATGTTTTCTTGTGGCAGGGGTCTGTGTGTTTGTGTGCAGAGGAGGTCAGGAGTGTGGAGGAGCCAGCAGGGGGGCGAGTGATCAACAGTCTGGGGCTCCCCTGCCGAGGGGCTCTGAGATTAGGGCTAAACCCTGCCCTGCCAGATGGGCAGCACACATCCCCAACATCCCAAACCAGCACCTTTAGGGCTGCTCTCGCCCTGCCCCCTTCTTCTGTGAGGCCATGGACTCACTGGTACGCTTCTCAACTGGCTCACAGGTCAATACAAACGCACTCACATAATCAAATTGAATTCATTTGAGACAGTTTTATCTATAAATTTCTAAGTAAAACATTCTGGTGTGCTTAATGTTTGGGCATTTTTCTTCTTTAACGTCCATATAGTAAATGCGTCGTCCTTCATCTCTTCTCAGGACCACACAGGATGGCAGCAGGAGACAGGACTGAGATGAGGTACTCTTCAAAGTGTCAGCTTCTGCACAGAATGGCCAGTCAGCAGGTTCAGGGGTATCAGTAATGAAACTTACAGGTTGTTTTGATGTGCTGTATTTCAGAGCCACAGGCAACACTGAAATGATAGTGTGTATGAGAGAGTGTGTATTTGTGTGAGTGTGCAGGAACGTGTGTGTGTATGCTGGGTGGCTCAGGAATCAGCAGTGTGTTGATTGCTTCATGCTTGACTGTAATCACTCACGTTTGGCCCCTAAATCTCCAATACAGATCCTCAATCACAGGATTAGTGTAGACATTTCTTGAGTTATCTATGCACCCATTCATGTTTCCTGCACAATTCATTCAGTTCAATCACAGAAAGGTACACTTGGATTATCAGCTTGCAGAAAGGTCTGACACGGTCACTCAGGAAGTTTACTTGCCGATTTAAATCTTGTGACAAAAAAAAAGAATCAAAAATCTCTATCGAGCTAAAACAAATAGTTCTAAATGATCAGTCTTTATCTCCACATCGGGATTTCTATTCATTGGTTAAGAGAGAAAATGTACAGGTCAAAGTTCAGTCGTGTGCAGCATCTCCATGTTCTACCTGGATCTCCTGTTTCCCTGGCATGACTTGGGGAATCGTCTCTGCATTAGTAGAAAGCAGATTACAAGAGTAAAGTGTACAAACAAATGACAGATTACAGGCTGTGAACATGTTTCAGTCTAATGCCCTTTCAACAAGCACTGCTCAGCACAATGCTTCCCTCTCCCCGAGCTAAACTTGGATTTCCTCTCTGATGTGAAGGCCTGCTGGCCAGCTGCGTCTTCCACCAAGAGCACAACCTCTGTAATGACACTGTTCCACACGACTGGCCTGTCTCCTCCTCTGGTATTAGTTAGGCTTTGGAGTTCAAGTGACTACGGGGTTTAAACACGGATTTTTTAAAAAGAAAACGGGGGGAAGAAAGACTCGCTGTTGTTCTTGAAAAGCTGTGTTTATCCAGGATTAGAGACACCAACATGTTAATAATTGTTTCTCACAGAACTGCAAAGAAGCACTTTCCTGTAATCCCCTAATCAGGCATTACACCTCTGAGCGAAGCCACAACGCAGGCGCGTGGTGTGTGTGACGCAGCACGCCCACACTGTGTAGTACACCCACGTCTTCCCTAACACCACACCCACTCTGTACAAAAGCACCTGCACAATTCTGTTCATTTTAAATCCACCTTCCTGTACACACTATACCCACTCAGCCAAAAGAGTAACAGGAGAGACAATGGGGCTTTTTTTGACTGCCCTTTTTGTGGATGTGCAGACTTTCAGCACTTGGCAGCAAATAGATTTGTCTTTATTTTCCAGCCTACTAGGAGCACATAGTTGATCTGTGCAAAGGTAGATAGTATTAGCCAGCTTAGTAAGTTTTCTTGACTTTTGGCACAAATGAAGCCCTACGAACCTCCTCAGGGTCTCTTAGTTATCATACTTTGTGTGGTGATTCAGTGTCTCTTTCACAATTAAAGCTTTTGAAGAAAATTAAAATCCTATTCTCAGAACAGTTTCTCAGAGATACAGAGAGCAGGTGTACTATATTGCCTCTTCTGTTGTTGTTACAGTAACATAGTTTGGTCGTTGTTGGGCAGCATGTCCACTGTCCTCTGAAGTACAGTGGCACAGGGTCAGACATAAGGCCAATCTACATGCTGAGATGATGACAGGTCTGAGGTTGCTGCAAGGAGTGTAAGGCCACAGTTTAACAAGTTGTCAGCATGGGAGTTAGCAGTCCGCTTTAATAAGTTTATATGGCAGGAAAAAGTGAGTTAAATCAGAATATGCTTTATAAATCATGACTTGGGATGAATTTAATGGAAGAGTGTTGTGTTTTTTTGAGGGAGGAGTCAGATGTGCATCATTACGATTCTTGTTTGTCCAGATGTTTACACATTTAACCCACCCCCCAGTCCTGCACGGTTGATCAGTCTTTTCATTTTAACGTATTTTAATTTTTCAAGCCCATTGTTGATGCTGAGTGTTTGTTTGTTTGTTTGTTGTCCCCCCTCCCGGTCTCTGCCCCCTGTCTCCTTGCAGGGCCTGGTGGGAGAGTGCGATGAGGGGATCAACGGGGATTAACCTGGGGAATTTAATTAGTGGAGCTGTCGTCCCGGCCCTTAACATTTCAATCTCCCCAGGCTGACTGGCTGGCTGGCTGGTGGAGTTAGAGCTGGAGCTGGACCTGTGAAGGCCAGCAGCTGGGGAGGGAGGGAGGGAGGGAGGGAGGAAGGGAGGGAGGGAGGGATGCTGGGTGCAGAGGCAAGACACGTTTTGACAAACAGATTAGTCTAGCACCCTGATGGAGTGTTCCTGATTGGGGGAGGAGATGGAGATTGGAGATGGGAGAAGGGGGGAGCACAGAGGGGACAAATAATAGACCTCAATTGTAACTGGACCTGAACACAACATATCTTGTCTTTAAAACTCTACATTTACCAGCTGTAGCTGTAAGAGAAGGCTCATTTTGTTTTTAGTCCTATACAAAGACCAGAGAGTGAAAATACAAGTACATCTCATTTAGTTAGAATATCCTGAAAGGTTTTACGTTTTCTATCACTTAAGATATTAAGATACAAACCAAGTCTTCAACATTTAACTGGATGTACTTCTCTATATTTTGGTAAAACCTTTCTTTGATTGATCTTTGGAAATATTAAAATAATTTGCGAGACTGGATTGTTGATTTTCATGAACGGTAATCCTCAAAAGTGAAACAAAAAATGGCTTATATTTTTTACTTTTCGTGTCATGAATAAAAAATATACACAAATTTTCCTTTCTGAACTTTATCACGAAACAAATACATTTTTCACAATGTTCAGATGCTCCTGTAAATGTAGATCAAATGTCTTCATCTGCTCCTATTAAAAAATAGAATATAGCCAAAATACCAGGATGGGTGCTGACATGTTGCACGGCTAATATTGGAGCCAAAACATGCACTGTTGGGAAATTGAGTTCACACCTCTTCCACTTAGCAAAACAAGCAAGTACCCATCAAGCATAAATAAAGCATTATGATCATTTATGACTGTTTATAACTATAGTTATACAGTGCTATAACGTGATTATAATGCATTATATATATATATTTATAATAGGTTATAGAGATAGGCGTCAAATAATGTGTTACCATAATTTTCTTAATAGTACGATAGATTTTTTCAGTCTGTATCAAGCAGATTCTTCTAGTTATGGAGAGTTCCTTGTCTTCATAGTTAAAAACAGCTGCAGGAGGCACATTTGTCAAAAGAGCCATCGGTTTATCTTTTTTTTTTCAAACTAGACTTAAACTCCTCTGAAAAATGAAAGTGAGCACATGATCAGCATAATAAGACCTACATCTAATACTTGAAGCACGTTTAAGAAAATAACTTTGAGGTGTGTTTCATAGTATAGTTTGATCCATGTTCAATCTATTAACATGGAGTATGCAGATTCCTGGGCAGTACTATAGCCAGTCACAGGGAGAAGCTCTTAATTTTTTGGCTTCACTTTTGGTGCTGTTAGTTTTATGCGGTCTATGACAAAGTCCAAAGACTAAAATAACAAATTAAAAAAATGGACACTGTCTCACTGACTAACTTAAGGCTCACTCAGTAACCTCATAGAAGTTGAGGTTTTAGTGTTGCTGCCTTTCAAATAGCAACGAGCCCAGCTGTCAGTCATATCTAATTATGTTTAATTGAGCACAATAATTAAATTGAAGGAGGTATAACAGTAAAATTACAGTTGACAGGATGACCTGCACTTATTCATTTATTTATTTAGCATTTTTCTAATTTTTGAGTAAAATGTGAATATCTGTTAAAATTTTGGGACTGTAGTGGTCAATGGAAAGTGAGTATCATAATGTCTTGACTATTTTACTATGACCTGTCTTAGAGCGGTGAAATGTGAGCAGTTGAAACAGGAAGCCGGTGTAAGCTTGGGTAGAAACTACTCAATCTGAAGCTGCACAGTTGCATTGTAATCCTGATGCTAAACTCCCCATTAACCCATCTGGGATCCTACAACAGCCCACCCCCCTGCCCCCACCTGCTCAGCAAACACACACACACTCACACACTCTTGGGACCGTGTCTGTATGTTTGAAGTGCTGTCTGTCCTGTTAGCGCCTGCTAGCCGGGAGGTCATGTCCAGCAAATTAAAAAAGCTGCTGTAGGAATGTCGCCAAGTCCCACAGGAGCACCCAGCGCCCCGTCCCTCTCCCAGCAGCTGACCCGCTGGTCACTGGTGAATCCCCTGTTTGTATTCCACACACAACTCTGGCTCTAGGGAGCGGGTCCCAGAAGCCCCCTGTGGGACCACTGATAATTTAAGTCAAACATTATGTCCCAGCTTGTTTGACACCCATTTAGAGCTTTTCAATCACACGTGTTTGTTACAGTCCAGTGCCTCACGCTGGAGCCCTATCCATGTTGCACCCTATCTGAGACCTAATCAATTCTGTTTGATCAAGTTCTTCATGTCAAAACTATTGATTCGCTGTTGGGATTCAGTTGATAGCCTTGAGCCAGAACAGGCTGGATGCTCTTTATTATTTTTATTATTATTTTAACAACTCAGAATTAAAAAGCATTGAAGCAAACTGAGCAATGTCAGCTCCCCTCCCCCCCTGAATGCCCCTCTGCTTGTATGGTGGGCCAGTGTCAGTGTGCCACTAATTAAGGACTCTTTAAGAGCTATGGAGCATACTCATTAATGAACTGTAGCATCCTTACTGTCCATGGAGTGAGAGAAAAGGGGAGGGGGGGAGGGCTCATTCACTGGGATAGTCTGATGAACCCGTGGCTCGTGGTTCAGTTGGTGCCTGGAAGGTCAGGGGAGTCCCACAGAGATGGTAAACGGTTAGTACACTAATGTTGGTAGTTAAAAATTAGTTTTTTTCAGTTTATCATTTGGGACATAGTTTTATTCTTTTTACATTTCCTTTTTTTCTAGTTAAAGAATTTTCTCAATAAAAAAATATTTCATGCAGTACTTGATTTGACACTTTCCCTTGAATTACAATAATTAAAAAAAATTCAAAAGTAGCTTTTCTTCTATCTGTTTCACCCCAGCAAACCTACCAACCCAACTGCACGCACCACAAACCTGCTCCAACTGTCTCCCCACCCTGCCATTTGTTTATTCCATTTTCATGGAAATTCAAAACAACACAAATGGCTGTGTTTGTCTTTATGAAAGTAGGCCAAACAACCGCTGACAAACAAGAGGGGGAGTTGTAGGTCAGGGCGCCACAAGCCATGTGTAACCGTGCCTGACGAGAGAGCATGACACGATGGAGTAAGCATCAGTAGACACAATAACATACAAACACCCCTGCCAGGATGATGTAACATAGTCTAGACTAAACAAAAACACAAACATGAATAAATGAGTTTAACAAACAGGACTAAATAGCAGGAACACCACAAAGTAATAGATATAGACAGTTCTAAAAGTTACAAAGGCAGCCATCAGTGCAGTTTATATGAAAAGCTGGGATTTAATAGAAAGACTACTGAGTTTTTATTATTTTTTTTTTAGCTCTATCAGCTGAAATAAAAGGTGATATGACATCCTCACCACTGTTAATAAATCATAGGGAATAATTAAAGTAAATCGCACATGGGAGATAAACAGATGGTAGAAAAAAAAATCATTGCTTGTCTTAAGTGTTCAATCCTATTGATCTGTGGGGGGTTAAGAATGAGCAGAGTTCCTTGTGCTAACAGTGACAAATGCTTGCCAAAATTGGTGAACTGTTTTTATTTTGCGTTTTATGTACAATGTCACATTTCTCACCAAAACGGCTCAGAGTGTGAGTTTTTAGGTAATTAGTCACAGTTTGTTGCATTATAAACTCAGTTAAAAGTTCTCGTTATGAAGCACATGTTTGTAAGCGCTCTGTTCTGAATTTCATTAGCAGCAGAATCTGACCTGTTATTAGTCAGGATGCAACATGTTCAAGTACAGACCTCATTTCATTATAATGATGCAATTGTTTTACAGCACCCCCCTTGGCCTCTCTCTCACCCCTACTCACAAAAGTGCACACACGTCATATTCTTTGTCCCCTGCCCCCTCGTCTGGCATAATACCTCAGGTTAGACACACGCATACACAATCACACACACACTCACACACCAGATGCCCCCTGACGCTCATTCACATAAAGCGGGCACATGATCGACGACCTCAGTCCTCAGGCCTGCCAGCCTCATGGCATTGTGTCCCCCTTAGGCGGGCAGCCGGCCTCCCTAAATACCCTTTTGTCTTGGGTGGATAATAACGCAGTGGCCAAGCCACTGGTGTGGCACGCGCACCAGCCACTTGTCCCCCTGGTCTGTGACCCAAACAGGTGGATAGGAGGGAAGGGGCCCGTGCAAGGCGGGTGGACCAAGAGGGGGGATATGGAGGAAGGGGAGAGGGAGGGAGGCTGCATCTGTCCCCACTCTCAACGACTCCCTGGGTCAGCCTCTGCTCCATATGCTCTCAGGAGAGAGGGAGCCACGCAGGCACACCCAGACTAACAGGTGGAGGGGGGATAGGGGGATTAAGGGAGGTAAATTTGATCAAAAAAGGATCGAGGGATTTTGAAACTGTCAAATTGGCTGTATAAAACCAAAGAGAGAGATTTTGAATATCCCTGGGACATTTCACTTAGAGGAGACTCCTAGCCCTTAAGCCATATTTAATGTTTGGCCTGCATTACTAGAAACACTCTGCCTGATGGCCACATTAACTCTCTGGCCCTGGAGTGTCATCTCTTTGACAAGCAACTGTTGCTGTCTTTGTGTTCATACAGTTGAATTACTCTAAAACTCTACCTTTAGTCCTTTATGAAGTCAAGGCTACTTTTATACCTACTGTCTTATTTCTGAAGAAAAAGAATTACCTCTTGATCTTCCTGAGAGACAAAATTCACATGTGAATCATCTTCTAGTTGTAAGGTGTTCTGGTAAACCAACAGTTATGATGCTGCTGAGTGGACTCCATGCTTTTCACTCAGCACCATTTTCTTTTAACACCCTTTTCAACAACCGTAACCAAAAACTGAACTTTGCTTGATTGCCAGCTCCTGAAAGACAGTTGTACGAAACCATTAAGAACCAGTAGGACTCATACACGTCAGGAACCATTGTTAGCTGCATGATTATTTTGATGTGATCAAGTATTTTCTCTGCTGTTTTTGTCTTTATTTCAAATGGTTATGGGCAGAATTAAGACAGGAAACATAAAGGAGACAAAACCTGAGGTTGAGTCCTTACAGCCGCCAAATGACCAAGCCAAGAAGGTGCTCAACCAGGTGAACTACTCGTGCACCTTTGCTGAATTTTTCGTAGGCATTTAATCCAGATACACACTTATCATGATTTGGTTTTAAGTACAACAAACTGAGAAGTGCCAGAATGGACTGAATTCAGAAATATCCTTGTAATGCATCATTGGCTTCATTTTCGAGATTATATACATATTTTTAAACATTAGTACAAATACTGATTGTGACCAGAGATGGAAGACCAACTCAAAAGTAGGGACAATACTGACGTACTTCTTCATTTTTTAAAGTTAATTTTGGACCTTTAAAAAAATTATACAGTATATAAAAATCACGTGTGTCTCTATTGATTGGACAGGGAGGAAGGATAGAAAATGTGAGAGGGTCGTGGCCAGAAGTCAGCCAGCAACCTCTGCAACAAGATCTTTATCCTCTGAATATGAGGTGCACTCTGTAAATACTAAGCTGAAGTCTTCATTGACAGAACAGGACAGAAGATGGTAATTGTTGATAGATTTTCTATGACCAATACTGATACCAATAATGAAAAGGCATGTTAGCTAGTGGCTGATATTTTTTATACCAATATCCCTTGGCTGCTGCTGCTGTTGTTGTTGTTGTGTTTGAAATAATCTAACTAGATTAATCATTCATACAAATGAGAAATGAAATTACTGAACTTGAGTAGATGTTTTATTCGATGAATTTAGAGGGGAGAATATGTTGCTCAAGAGACTTAAGTATTTCTGCATCAGTTTGAAATTATAAAGAAAAAAATACTGCATACTGGAGTTAAAGAAAATAATGTAGAAATCTAATATCCATGTACACTGAAATCTAATAAATGTAGTTATCTTAGTCAGTAATGTTGTTTAAGTTGATTTTTAATGAATTGATGAAAAAAGACAAATTCACATGGTTATAATATGGGGTCCAATCATGTCTGGTAAACATGTCAGAGGCAGTACTTAACTGTTTTATTCTGTAGATCATAAAATATTTTATATGAAACACCAGCCTGTGACTGTTTATAATATGAAATGTTGTGATTAAGGATGATGAAATTGTGTTTTTATTCAGGAAAGATCACATGAGGGCCGATGCTGCTTTCTTGCCGATTACAGGAAAAGGTCATAAATTGCCCCGATTGATTAGCCAACCAATTAATTAATAATCTGTCTCTGGTACAGAGTGGGGAGCTGGAAAGAAAGAGTCTGAAATATTGTGTGTCGAACAGCAGGCCACCAGCTTTAGGGACCGTAGAGTCTATTAAGAGCATGTGAGCTAAACCAGACCTACTTTTTAGCCTTTTAGCTACGATTATACCTTTACTTTATAAAAAAAAAAAAAAACAAGGGTGAGAAAGATGAAATGGGTTCATTGGGTGGAGTGAAGTCAGGGTCTTTTTGTTTGGGTGTAAACATCAGAGTATCAGACTTGTACACCATCCTCCTACATATGAAAATGATTGTGAATTGTATGCTCCACAGCAGTTGCTGTATTTCCTGCCTTGAATTATCAGTAGCTCCCAGTCAGTATCTTATTCGTGACTTAAACAATAATTTATCTACCTATTTTCAAACCTTGTATTTAGTCTCAGTTTAAGGTGTTGAACCTGATCATAAAAAGAAGTTTCTCAGTGGTGTGTATGTGCTGTCTGAAGAAGTTAAACTGTGTTTTGAACTTGTGTGATAGAGAGGCCTGTGCTCTAGTATTCAGGGCACGTTGAATGAAGGCATACACTTGCGGGCCGTGAATTCTGAGGCTTATCTTCTGCACGGAGACACCCTGAAACAGTTCATTGATGTATAACACTCAATGAAATATTGAAATAAGCAAAGAAAAGGGGATTGTGTTCTGGGACTGATTTGCCTGTCCTCTCTGAACTGTAGTCTAACTGCTGTCCATTTACAGAGGGGGGGTCTCCAGGCTTTAATCTGTTGGATGCAGCTAATTAATTTTGGGTTCCTCCTCCCTGTCTCTGAAGAGAGGAGTGTTTGCAGGAGATTAAGAGATAGAGTGTTTGTTAGAAAGGTGTAAATGATCAGTGAGGCCTCATCACTGGCACCTGTGTTAATTGTTATAATGAGGAGTCTCAGCGGCCTGATGAGAAGAGGGTCTTTCACAGGTAACTCCAGTCTTCTAACAGGGGAATCACGTGCACTTCTACGGTCTGAATACACGTCAAAAGAAAATCTACATAATTGTAAAATATTGCCACTAATGATGGTTTATGCACAGAGAAAGCTTAACTTTTATGTATGACTTTATTGATGTTGCAGAATCCACGCAGCCAGGGATTAATGTGAAATTAGAAAATGATATTGTTGCACTACTTTTCTTCTTGTGTAGCTGTTTTTGATTCACCGTGTAGCCTGTGGTGAGAACACAGGCAGAATGGAGGAAAAATTGGCTCTGTTCACCATGAAGTCATTAAATTTGTAAGCTGTTTGTGATCAAAAGGTGTGTTTGAGGCCATTAACTATGGAGTTTGATCATGGCTTATACGCAGTGTCAAATGTCACTCGCTCCTGCTATTTCCCCCCAATTTCAGTTAAAAGTAAGAATTAAGCCGCGAGAGAATATGAAAAGCTGACTGTGTAAATATGAAACAGCTTTAGCTTTAAATAGTTTGTTATGTGCTGCATTGTTTTCTGACGAACATTTGATGCACAAAATCCTCACTCTGACTCGGTTTTTACAGCTCGGACCACACTCCCTGTTGGACTGAAACATGCAGAAACAGAAAGAAAAGCTCCAAGGTTCATTCTTGACCTTGGAAACTGCAGCTTGTAAAATAATCTTGAAGGGAGTTTCGGCTCATTTTTCTCTTTCCTTTGCCTTCAGCTGGTCTCGTGACATGAACAAGATAGAAACTGAATGACTGCCTCAACAGAGAGCTGAAGATGAGGGAGGAAATGTCAGAAACCAGAGGTAAGTTGGACCATTAGTTAAGAACCCCCCCACCTTAAAAAAAAAAAGTTTGTACATTCATTTTGCTGTGAAAACAACTTTTTATAAGATTATTTTTTTTCTCTTTCACACATTTTCATTGTAGACAAAACATATTTATTGGAAGTCTGAATCGGCTTGAAATAGAGTTTGTATTTGATACTATCCAAGGTAACATTAATGCTTAATATTTCTCTGTTTAATATCGAGTGTCCAACTTATATCTGACCTCAACGACTTTGGTGTCATTAATGGCCTTTAGTCATGAGGTTAAGGCTGTAAATTTGTTTCATAAGGAGATTTTTTATTAATGATCAGGGATTATCTGATCCAAGCAGTTAGAAATAACTGCATGCGAAATCATGAGGTAGAAATTCAACATTATATCTGTTATTTCTCTCTATAAAAACTTGATTTATTCTCAGTAAAATTGTCAAGAACTATGGAATAAAATTTACATGAACAAAGTGTATTTCAAATGGATGTTCTCTTCAGTACTAACTAGGTGAGCTTTAACTAACTAGGTATTAAGCAGACCCATAAGCATAGTAATAATGTGTTTTTTTAACATATGCTGAGATCTGGTAATCTTCTTATGGGTTTGAGTTTTTTTTTTCTGTGCCCCTGAATAGCTTAACAAAATATGCCTCCGTAATGGATGGTGGTATCCTCATCCATCGCCCTCCTCCCTCCCTCTATAACTTGAAATAGGCCATCAAGTGGCTAATGAACTGATAAGCCCTCTGTGTCCTGTGGGGCTTATGAACATTATAAGCCAAATGTTTGGGCATATTTGTCGAGACAGGTTTTTTTTTTTTTAAAGAGCACTTATGAGGGCAGAGGATCTCAGTTAAAAAAAACAGAGAAATATTGTCAGCAGCTCTGAGGTTATCTCACAGGTTGTGTGACTCGTACTGGTGCAGAAGAAAGGAAGGACGTGTGGCCCTCATTCGCTTCATCAGACCTCCAGCTAGTGAGGCTGCTAGTATCATTATCAGTTGTGGATCTGTGTAAATCCACGGATTTGTGTGAGCAGTCTGAGAAATTAAAATAACATGCTTTTTACTGCGCTTACTTCAAATCTCTTTAGAGTTCATTTTTTAAAAACATCTAAATCTGTTATTATGTAGGCTATACAAAACCCTTTTAATTTAATCTTTGACAAGATTATCAAATTCATTGATGATGTCACAAACTTAAATAATTTCAGAAAAATGTCGACTAAGCCCGGATAAGCACTTTCAAGGGGATACTGTTGGATTAGCTTAAAAAATACTATTTATTTGTGTTTTTTTTATGAGTTGGTGGCACATTTTTCCACATCAATATTGCTTTTATTTTTAATTTCATTACAATGTCTTGCAATAAAAACACACGCAGATACTGTATATAACAAGAAGCAACCCATGCAGGCTACCAAACAAACACTTTGTGGCTCATTTTTATGATTGCCATAAATTAATTTCTATCATTTTGACAAACTGTCCCACATTCCTGGGAACTTTTTATGATCTTTCTCAGTCTTTTTTGAATAACAATGAGTTTTTTTGTTGTTGATAATTAGGCTTTTTATTTACTGAAAGTTTACCAGCAGGAGTGGATCGAAGCTTGACTTAAATTACTTACTTTAGATAAAAACAGCTGTCGTCCTTTTACAAAAAAAAAAAAACCTTGAGAACGCTTAAAGTCACTCGAGCCATGACTTCCTCTTGCTGCCTGTGTGACCAGCAGCTCTGACTAGACTTGTGATGGTTTTGAAGGATGTTTGTGATGGACTAGACCAGGGGGATCGGGGGGACAAGGGGCGCTGTTCGACACAAACCAAGAGGAATTAATGCTGCGTCTGTTGGTTCCATATGCTCCCTAGTACTGCCTTGCTCTTGATTCAAACTCATTATATGGATGTGTATGAAGTACTGTAGAAGCCGGATGTCTAATCCTCATCATGACTTGTGCACTTTTGAGGGCTCAAAGCTTGAGGGTTACAATAACATGCAGGATGGAGTCATTGTGTGTCAGCTGATAGAAGTATTGATGATCATTGATGAGGGTCAAGGGTGTGTGTTGTATAAGACAGGGAAATTAACACTTAACACTTCAGTTACCTATTACAGCAACTATGTTATATGTGGAGGTAAATGTAGGCCCCCTTTATTATACACTGTAGGTTTTTCTTGGATAAGTAGGCCTATTCATTTGTCTTTCAGGCCTAGGCTTTCCCTCCTCTTGTCAACTTTGCTGCATCTTTCTCAGTCCTTTTTAAGTTGTGACATTTTCAACAGCTGACATTTGAAAGTGACCCTGCAGCCTCAATCCCCCTTTTTTCCCTCTTTTTTTCTCTCCGTCTTTTTCTGCAGCAGTCTGTCTGAAGGAGCTGTTGACACTGCTCTCAGACGCAGCTCATGAATATTCAGGCTTCTGTCAGCCTCAGCTATTGTTTCCAACTCTCAATTGTTGCATTGTTTATCGCCATAACGATGTATATGCATGCTGCTACACTTGGCGTTGCACTGCGGAGATATTATAATTGATTCTTGAATATTATAATGCTCAAAATCAGCTTGTGTGATGAGTGGAAAAAGAACATGTAGTACTTCTGCTTCACCCTTGAATAAGTTATGGAGACGGGTTATTGTGTTGTTGAGTCTTTCTAAAGTACAATCCAACCACTTTAAACACACACACACACACACACACACACACACACACACACACACACACACACACACACACACACACACACACACACACACACACACACACACACCTATTTTTGAGTCCACGCAGGAGTGGAATCAAAGTCGCTCTTCTCTTTTAACGCTTCGATTATTTCAAGCAACGCTTTTAATTAGAGCTCTCCTTTAGCGCAGCCTCCAATGAAAGAGAGATTATTGGCAATGTCAAGGATGCTAATTGAATGTTGGACTTCTAACAATTAGCCCTCTGCAGAGCCATGTCGACTCATTACACATCCCCACAGCCGCTCTCACCGCATTGTCTCATGTCACAGGCTGACGGTGCAACGTTCAATCCAGAGCAGGAGTGAACGCAAACAAACTCATTAGAGCAGGTGTAACCTTCTGTCCGTGCCAAGAAGGAGCTTTATCTTTTAGAGAGCGCACTTGATGTTGAGAAGATTAAAAACAAACTTCATAACCAAAAAAACTTTCAATCAACTCATTCTTATCATGCAGTCTGATCCTATATCTTTAAAAAAGTCTAGATAAAGGTGTTTTAAAAATTCAGCTTTTGCGCCATTTTCGACTACCTTCCCATCGAAGTTAAATAAAGACAGACAGTAGACTATTAATGTGCGAGTTTGTTCAATTCTATCACCACAAAACATTATATCTGCACAATTTTTCAATCAATAAAAGATGCTCAGTAGTGTTTCCTTCCGTTTGCCTCATATTGGGGCCAACCGCCGTGGCGCATTTGCGGCCCTCAAAACTCATAATTAAAAGAACCGAGTGCAGCTTCTCGATCGATCGTCAAGCTGAACTATCGCGCAGAAACAACGTTGTGTTTCTCTGTCCTTTTAGATGAAATATTACGCATGGCATTATCGCGCACATTTTGGGGGATCAGGCCCAACCCACACGGTGTGCGGTTTGAAAGGGGACCACTGCAGCCCCACAGAAACCCCCGGCGCTAAAAAAAAAATTGGGATTAACATCTCTTGGAGGCCGGGATTAAAACGTGCCCTCACAAAGCGAGCACTCTCTTTGTGGAGAAAATCTGAAGTGAGCCACCGGAAACTAAGAAAGGGATCAAATGAATGTTAATAACGCCACCCATGACCCAATATTTATTCCTTTAGCCCACTTTAGAATTTGTTTGATTTCGTTAACGGACCTTGAACTAGTTTTTGTCTGTTTTCTGTAATTTTACTGCAACAGCAGTCGACTCCAAAACCAGAAATTTCAACGAGAAATACTGAACATAACATAGACTTTTAGCGCATGTCTGTGCGTAATTATGGCGCTAATTATTGGCTAATTAACACAATACAACACTACTGACCACCAGGATTTTAAGCATCGAGTTTACATTCTGAGACTAAAAAAAATGTTTATGAATTTTATGAAAAAGGTTGTTGTTATAATGTTATCACCATTTTTGTATTTTGTGCCATGTTTGATTTTGGATATTTCTGTAAATTCAGCCTAAAAAAAATCCCAAATTTTTTAACCACACATTTCCTTTAGATGTTTTAACTCCATTTTCCTCCTCTCCACACACGCCCACATACTCACACTCACACACAGATTGTTTCTCGATGACAGAGATAAGCTCACAGGACCTTTATTCATGTCTTTTTCAGCGGTGAGGTCACACCATCTTTGGAGCCAGAGAAGGACCCACAATCACCGTGTGCTCAAATCAATGGAGGGGGGGAGGGAGCAAAAGAGTGGAGCTCTCAGCGGCCCGAGAGTCACTTCCAGTGGGTCTCTAACCCTTAACTTATCACTACCATGTGCTCGGAAAGTCTTGTCTCTCTTTGCGATGCCGGGGAATCGAACCATCAGCATCCTCCCGTTGTTTAAAAGAAAAGTTAGAAATCTATTAAAATCACAGCAGAGAGTCTGATGCGAGGGGGGGCTCACAAATTGCATACAATACAACAGATCACAGTTTCGAAGGCTAGCACAGATAAAAAAAAACACATATGTACCATTTATATAAGACACACACTGATTGTCTCTTAGAAACTACATATTGATTCCTTATAAACACTTTTTCTTAAATAAAGTAGTGCATCCATGTCCACACACCGTCCTCATGTGTCTCTGCCTGTAGTCTGGGCAAAGTAGTGTGAAAAGTTTCAAGGTTTGTCCATCCCCAGCAGGACAATGAAGTGAGTTTTGTTCTTGGATCAACATTAGTTCCGTGGCTGTGGTTTAACTTTGTCCTCAACAGGTGTTTTTACGCACAGAGGCACACTGACAGACATAGATGAGGGGCTACAACCTGTGACAGAGGGGGAAATCTCTTTGCCAGTACTAAAATAAATTAAACTTCTCCTCTCTCTAGGAGGACCAAAGATCATCTCGAGGCCACTGAGAGCCCTGCCTCGTGCTAACAAGTCCTGTGGGTTTTTTTTGAGGGGTGATCGTCATTGTTTGTGCACTTCATTTTTTTTTTAATGACACCTGATTGCTCTGTTCACAGGACCTGGAATTTCCACGAGGATGTCTGATCCTTATAATCCAAGCAATCGGCATTGAAGTTCAGCTTCCAGGACGCCGCCTGGTCCTTATAATCCAAGCAGTCCGCTGTGGAGTTGAAGCCCAGACCGGACGTCCCATAGCCCTGGCTGGAGAGGGACGCCGGGGACTGGTTCAGGTGGCTCGTGACCGCGTTCGTGCTCATCGGACTGAGGGTCGAGCCGGGCCCCGACAGCTGGTGGTGCATGGGAGTGAGGTAAGAGCCGCAGTCCATGCCGCCGAAGTAGGACGTCGAGCCTGCGTAGCCTTGGCTGTAGCTCGAGGCCTGCGTGTAGGTCATAGGATAAGACCTCTGCATGCACGAGGAGGAGGTAGACAGGGGGTCTGCGAGCGGGGAGATGGACGCCGGGCTCCAGATAGACACCGGGGCGGTGGTGGTGGAGATGGCGGGGACGGTAGTGGTGCTGGTAGGGGGCGTGAACTGACCGCTGGCACCGCTCTCCGAGCTAACCTCTCTGGTCGGAGAACTTTTCTTTTTGGCAGGTCGGACTTTATTCTGGCCGCCGTTTTGCTGCTGCTGCTGCTGTTGACGACACTTTGCCCTTCGATTCTTAAACCAGACCTGAAAGAGGCACCAAGGGGGTTTAAATTAACCACGATATCCATTACTTATGTGGCCATTAATCCTAAATTCAACGCAGGGACACAAACATTAAAACAACATCAATTTCTCACTGAACCTGTGACTAAAACGTATTTTTTACACCCAAATCCAGATGTTTTTAGACTTTTCTTAAACTAGTCAACATACTGATCGGTGGTATTTTAATGCTTAAATTCTCTAAACACGTACCCTTCGTTAAGTGAAATTATCTCAGCCCACTGGCAAAAGTTTTCCACTTGATTCAAGGCATTCAAAATCCTGTGCTTCAGATATGCTGTCAGACACGGCTGAAAATGAGTGTTTCATGCATTTCAGATACAATATAATTTTTTTACCAGCTTCATTCTGTCGCTTTTATTTCATTTTCTTTTCTAATATTTTTTGGTTTCCCTGTATGAACTATAATAACGCATTGTTTCCTCTTCTTCTAATTTTTTATAATAATGACCACACTTAATCTGGTGCCTCACAAAATTTACTCTCCCAACATGCCACAACTGTCGGTTAACTCACCTGTACTCTGGACTCAGGTAGATTAATTTTCAGGGCCACTTCTTCGCGCATGAATATGTCTGGATATCGAGTTTTTGCGAACAACGCCTCCAAAACGTCGAGCTGTGCGCGTGTGAAAGTAGTCCTCTCTCGCCTCTGCTTCCGTGGCGTTGCTGCAAATGTAAGAGAAGAAAATAAAGATAAAAAAAAAAAACGTCAGTTACGTATCCATTTAAAAAAAGCAATAAAGAAGATCAAAAGCCATCAAAGACAGATCTGCAACCGAATCACAGACTGTGCGTTTTTTGTTGTTTGCGTAATTACGCACGAGTCCTGTGAGACTCAGACGCCGGGGGCAAATTGTAGCACTTGACGTACTTAACACTAATGTGCCATAAATTGATGCAGTTTGCAAAAATCAAAGCATTTTTCAGTACTTCACTCAAAAGGCACATCTTAAAATAAAATCACACGAGATTAATCTTCCATTTCCTCAAAATTTTGCACAAGAACTTTTCTAAAATAAGTACTTTATTCAGTTTCAAGTACAAATACTAATAATGAGTGTAAGTCCGTTTGTGCACTGACAAATTTAGACCCAATAATTAGAATTTGGAGATGCAGAATAAAATCTGTAACACCCCCTGCTCCCCAGGCTGTTAATTTTCGTTAACTTGTTTAGATAAAAACCTCCAAACTTACCCGGATAGCCCACCGATGGATGCAACAGATCCATCCCGGAAGTTGTTAAGCTGAGCCCATTGACCGTGTAAGGTGGTTGCTTTAGATACGACATCATGCTAATGTTTGTCTGAGGGCTGAAGTTGGAGAAAATTTTGAAAATTGATGGAGCTCCCGAGGTGTACTTGGTTTCCTCTGCGCGCCCTGTGGTCCGTGTTACAGCAGGCACCTGTTCAGGAACGACGAGAGAGGAAGACATCGATGAAGAGGAACTTTTTGAAGGGGAGCTGGATCATTTTGACATGTCGTTGAGGTGAAATAGACCCGCTCCAAGACGCACGGCGCTCCTTTTATAAACACCAGCCACATCTCCAGCTGTCCTTGTTTCTACCCCCCTTTTCCACCCTCGAAGACAAAAAACAATAACCGCACTACAACTGCTGCATGAGAGTTAAATTAAAACACAGCTACCTGGATAAAAGAGTCAAATATGGAAACTCAGTGATACGGCTGCTGGGAGTACAAAAGAAAACCTAAAATTATACTAAAATAAACAGATAAAAAAATACTTCATGTGTTTGAATTTTTCATACACACATATTTGCTCCATCTTAGTGAAAACCCTGAGATGTGGAAAAATAAATTGGAAAAATATAATCCTTAAAGAAATACAAAGTTCACTCCTGATTCCGAATCAAATCACATTTTTCCTCTCGTCAAAAACAGTCTCAAATATCTTTCTTAAACGAGATTAGGCCCAGAATTCAACGCAGTTTGGGGCAAATTATTTTCTTTTTTATCATAAAAAAATAATCCGGAAATTATTTGCTTTGGTGACATAATTAATTAATGTGAAAAAAATACACACGCTTCCACGCTGAACCTGCAGTTGTTTCAGATATTCCAAGAGTAATAAAGGCTCTCTCTCTGACGTTGATCGGTGGATGTGTGAGTGCTGACACTTCATCTTCAGTGACCCTCAGCCCTCATCCCCACTGAGCGTCTTGATTAGTTGCTTTTTTTCAATATCCAACGGTTTTAACCCCCTCATCCCAATCTGTCACACTTAAAACACACCCGTCAACCAGTTGCACACACCAGCTCAATAACAACCTCCCTGTCCGAGAATTAATTATGATAAATGTTTTTTTTTTCCTCCTTTTCTGGTGATGAATTAACGCGATAATCTGAGTGGCATGTACGGAGAGTTGGACTTTGGAAACATGGTGGTCCGAGCTGCTCCAGGCTCCTGAAAACCACACTACAAATGATGATAGGATCAAATTTAAACACAGGCCTTTTTGTATAATCGAAGATGATCATCAGCTTTGTGCAAAAAATCATTGAGGAAATGTAAATCTTAAAATAATTATTCAACTGAGCTCAACTTTAGATTTTTACGCATGAATACAATCTGCCACTTGATGTCATATTAAAAATGACCTGCTGGTTGATTGTCTTTGCATAAGGAGAAGAAAGCAAGAGAGAGCAAAAGGCCCGAAGTATATGTCGATACACGAGGCCTGTATATTCTCTCTTCTTGGTGCAGATTTAAGCACCAGTTCTCCAAATTTGACTTATTTATTAATATATTCTTTTATTTTCAAGTTTGAGGCCAAAGCTCTGCGTGTGAGGTGAAATAAGCAGCTTTTAGGTTGAAACTTCATTCCTTAAATATGGAGCCAGACCTCATCTACAGCAGCACCTGCTTCAGTCAGTAAGAGAGCAAAATTTGTAAAATTGTCAGTCCCACGGTTTAAAAAAGCAGGACTGCAGTATGAAAAAAGGCTTTAAATTAGTTTTTAGTGTTGGTTTGTTCCTGCTATCAGACATTATAATTTAACTTCAGCCATTTACTCCTTCGTGCATTATACCCTTAAGATTTCTGTAAAAGGGACACAAACTTGGACTCTCTGCCCCCACAAAAATCGGTTCAAATGCAGCCTTCATCAAAGCATACATGGCGTTTTCTTAAAACAATCAAATCTCTGTAATTACATTTCAATAACAGGTGTGATTTCCTCTTGGTTTAATTGTACTTGTTTGGCAGGGTGATCCTTATTTCGATCTAGGTCGATAATAAACTGCTATTATTGTAATTATCGGCTTAATAAATGTTGATATTAGAAGTAAAACTTACCTCAATATTGGTGGCTGTAAAGTTCTTTGTCTGCTCGGTTTTCTCCAGGAGATATGGTAAAAGTCAGCGCAGACAAACGACGCCCTGCCGCATGAAAAAGCGCAAAAGCAGCCAAAAGCAGGAGCAGGAGCAGAAAAAGGAGCAGCCGTCTCCGGAGGCAGAAAAACAGTTCGGCTAAAAGTTAAACGCTGAACGGTTACATCGGGTGTTGAAGCGGTGCTACAGCGGCGCAGTGATGGAGGAAGAGGAGGAGGCTGCATGAACGCCTTTAGGATTTGTTGGTGTGTTGTGAGTGAAGTGCTTGACTTGGATTTTGTACAAAGTGCCAGCCAATGGGAGCCGCAGGACTGAGCTGAGGTCTGTCTCTGTCTCCGTCTCTCACACCGGTGGGGAGGATGAGTTTTTTTTTTTCTCTCTGGGAAACAAATGTCTCCAGCTACTTTTTTTTGACGCACAGTTTTCAGCCAATGGCAGCGCGAGGGCGACTGACAACATCCCCATCCCGGCGCACAGAGGGAACACTCATAATAAATAACCGGTGGATGATGACAAGTGCAGTTTACGACAGGAAAAGTCAGTTCAGTCACATAGTTTTTTTGCTCAATTTTATAAGATGGATGCAATATTTTTTAGGGGAAAGATGGGACAAATGTGCGTAAAATGTGTGCGTAAATAAAGACTTACCCGTGAATTTTAACGTATGTGAAGAAAGCTATAAGAGTCGTGTGATACATATTCATATATCTAAACCACCCGTGTTCATTGGGAGCATATCATAGTTAGTTAGAATTTTATTTTTCAATTTTAAGATCCGGTTTACAACTATTTAAAAGTGAAAGTTAAAGCACTTCAATATAAGATAGAAAACGACAATATGTGGATAAAATGTACATTTATTTGTTGTGTGAAGAAGTCTAAATCTCTTTATGTGAAAAAATGTGACAAAAAGACAAGAGGAGGAAGAAAAAAACCCCTCTCCTGCTCTTAAATCTCGGTCTCTCCACTGTGAAGGCTGCACCGTCCTCTCACATTCCTGCGCGTCGCTAAAAAGGGGATTTAGAGCGACTTATTTTCTTAAAACTGTCCTCCCGTCCGCAGAGCCAGCCAGTCTGCTCCCCCATCATGCTGCCTCACACGGGCCGGCACAGGACCAAATCCACGACAATATTTGACGGGGAAATTTCCACCGGGCACGGAGGATTTAAGGAGGCACCAGAAGCTGCTGTTTACACCCAAAGAAGACGAAAAAATAAATGTGACAGAATTTAAAAAATGGCGACTTAAGATTATTTTACATGAAACAGTTTCTGCAAGAAGAAGAGGACAGAGGACAAATTTAAAGGTAGGTGAATTTTCTTGAAGAAGTGGTCAACATAAAAGTGCAAGTTCTGAATATTTTTTTAATAAATAATAATAATAATAATAATAATAATAATAATAATAATTTTGTAGGGATTTTGTTTTTATTTAGTCTGAGTCCTGAAATCATCCTCCTTTGTCACGTCAATGTTAAACCCGCGTGCCCATCTCAAAATAATGTGCCGAGGGTTTTTGTCACGGCTTGGTAAATGTATCATCTTAAGAGGCTTTGTGGAACACCTACACACACTCTCTCTCACACACACACACACGCACACACACACACACACTCATCGCCTGCACGGACACACCCGCTCACTTGAAACAGATTTGAATATTGATTTAGATTTATAAACACAGGCACGCGGTGGCTTTTTATGAATCGTCATGTTGCCTGCTCTCTCTGTGGCTCGTGCTAAAGGCCATGGCTGAGTCAAAAGGTGCTCTTGACAGCTGCTGGGAGGACTGGTTTTTTCCATCTCAGCTCGCCCAAACTTCTTACAAACTTGGTGACATCTCTTTTTGCAGGTGTGGATCACAGGAAGCGCCTGAATGGATCCTAACTGGATTTCTTTTATCAAGCTAACATGAAATCTGATCTGAGCAGAGGAGAAGTTTACCTGGAGGAGGAAAAGGAGTGTTACACTGCAGGTATTCCGTCTGTTTCTTTTTTTGTGTGTTTGAATTTATATTTTTCATATTTGTGCTGATAATGTGGGAAAAAGGGAGATTGAAAACGCAAACTCTCCTGTCCTTATAGATGTAAATAAAAAAAAAAGATCAAAATGTCATTTTTCATAGAAACCAACCAAGGATATATCATTAAGTCATATGTAACTAGCTTTAAGTTATTTTGTATTATACGTTTTTTTAAGATAATTGAGAAGCATTTTAATTTTTAAGACCTCTGCCAAAAGTCCTCATGTTTTACGCATGTTCAGTCTGGCTTGAATGGCACCTAAAGCTCTTTTAAAATATTGCATACTACTTCTTGAAGAAATTTCAAATTGTCCTAACTGCAAAATAAGAATAACTAGCGTCCTCTTTAAAAGTGTAAATCAACACAACCTGATGTATATTTGCTGCTTTTGTTGCAGCTGCGTGGTTATGTCTCCCAGTGTGAGCCTTTCAACAGCAACAGCAGCGTGTAAAATCGTGACGTGTGATGTTAATAACAGCCTGATCTGAGCGTTTTAGATAGCTAAATAATTTATGAAAGTGTAGAGGCAGGCCCTCCGCGGGGACTGTGTATCTTAAAAGGACGTTTAAAGGCAGAGGCAGTTCAGCGCCTCTGGCTCCCTCTGACTCCCGGCTAATTGACGCCGCCGCCGCTTTTATCTCCGCCTCTGCTGCTGCTGCTGCTCTCAACCTGAGGGAGAGCACCCACAGACAGGCCTGCTCTAACCTGGGATTCCTACCGCCTCATGCGGAGCCTATACGTGTTATTAATACATTGGACAGGCCTGATGTTTGACCCTTGTTTGATAGCACTGAAAAGAAAATAATTATTCCAAGATTGGATTATTCTGAGCAGGCAGTCACTCTTTGAGCCTTATCAGGGCGTAAAAGAAATAATAAAAATGCTGATATTTTTTATTGATTAAATAGAGCAAATAAAAACACAGCAGATTACTAAAGATCAATTTAAAATTTTTATTTTGCATACTGGCAGAGGATGGTCTGAAAATGTAAAGCTGCACATTTACAGCTCACATCTAGGTTTTCCTCTTCTCCCCTCTTTCCCTCTCTGTTTGATATCTGCATGGCTGAAGACGAGGAATGTGTTGGTGGAATTCATTTTGAGCTTTTAAAATGAAAGCCAGAAAAAAAGGGATAAAATCCACTAAAGCCAATTCATATAGAAATGCTGATAATCTGCTGTCATGTCAAGGAAGAAAATCTTGCATCATATAGGATTCAAATTTACCAGAATTACCTTTGACTAAAAAACATATATACACTTCAGAGCTACTTTATAAACCCTCTATTTTCTTTTCTTTTTCTTAATAAAGAGATAAAAGTATTTTATTTATAGCCACATATACCTGGAAAATCTATACACAGTTTTTTTTTTAATAACAATGATGAACAGAATCACCTACTTTTAAACTTCAAGCTCTCATACAGAGAAAGTTTTATTTTTAATTCATCTGTTATCTAATTTAGATACATTTTTTTTCAAGTAGAGGCGTTTATTTTTATTCCTATATAAGGTAATTACTGTGGGTAGAAATGCCTCAAATGCGTGTGTGTGTGTATGTTTGGTTGTGAGTGTGTGGGTGACAGTAAGAGAGAGAGAGAGAGAGAGAGATGAGCTGAAGTAGGATAATCACAGGCTGTATTTTAATTAGCCTGGCAGGTTTGATGGATACGTTGCCACCACGGCTTCTTTACTGCACAGTGAGCAAGGTGCCTAAACAGAGGGCTTTCCCCCACGCAGCCCTCCTTATCACAAAGGAACTAAACCTTTGTGTAATGTTACTTGTCACTGACCCCAGAGGTCATCAAAACACGTTCAGTCCCCTCCCTGGGGATCAAATGGAGAGAAGAGACCTCATTCAGAGTCAGTTTGAGAAGAGTTTGGTGAAACAGAGGCACACAGACCGAATCCTCAGGCTGCACTCTGCATCCTGGATTTTATCTCTACAATTATACACAATGTTACTAATTCAGTTTTGGTTAAAGTTCTGCTTAAAATGATTAAGAGAAAACACTCCTGCTGCAGAATGAGTCGTAGTTTTTGCTGTAATAAAAAGGTGTCCTGATCATAAGTTCTGGGTTTATTTTCTGCTCACATTTTCTCCCTAAATTCAAGTGTGGCGCCTCGATAAGTCAGCGGCTGTTTGTGTTTGCCAAGTTTGCTCTTTCCATTAATATGACATGCCTTTTAATTAGTGCCATAATTGTTTGTGTTGTGTTTGTGCAGGAGTTCGCCCAACAAACAAACGGATGCAATTAAACACACTCGCCTTCAGATCATCAATGAGGAGGCAAAGTCAAGACTGCTGGAAAAACACACAAGGACAAATAGAAGACGAGAGGAAAGTCTGCCGCCTCAAGGTTACACTTGAACCGTGTGAAGAGAGTCTATGCACAATCTGGTCTGTCATGTTTTGAAAAGAATAATAGCTTTATTTCAAAATTAATAGTGTGCAACTTTTTGTATTTCTCATTTTTAACAATTTAGCCGAAGAATAAAACCAGGTTTTCTTTTTCTGGACTGTCTCTCAAGTTATAAAAAACAATTTTCAAATAAAGTCTGTTTTGTCAAACCTCCACCCTGCTCTCTGACTCTCCCTCACTTTCCCCTCAGTAGCCCTCTCCTCCTGTGTGTGCTGAGGTGTCTTGCACGGCGTGGTAAAACCTGCCCTGCAGACCGGACCTCTCAAGTCTTCAAAGGAGGAAGAACTCAATGTGGGGGGATTTGTTCAGGCTTATTTGGTAACCTAGGATTTGAATTGGATTCTGGGAGGCATTCATAACACATTTGAAAATGTTACATTGTGTGATTTTGTGTGTAATCCCCATAATAAATTTTTAGAAATGGTCACAGCACTCGCACAACTGTGACTATTCATGATTTATCAAATGGTTTTCTTGTCTTGCCTCTCGGGGGTTGAGGTGTGTGTGTCGATGGTGGGGTATGGAGGGATGATTTTAGGAAAAGGAAGAAGAAGATTCCTCCTCTTTTTAAAACATTTTTCTCAGTACAGTTTCATGAATTTGACCTGAATATGTGATAGGTCAGGCACTGTGCCTCCACAGGGACCCCCCAACAGCACAGGAGCATTACAACCTCTGCTGGATTACACCACCCTCAGAGGAGGGTTAGCAGTGAACACACACAGACACACACTGCTGGTACAGTTTATTAAACTCAGAGTATATATTTTATCAAAGCCACTCTTATAAATCACTACATTGTATTCTTAGTTTTTTCCTTGTGAAGTGCCTTATGCCTGACCCTTTGGGGAAACTGTACCTCAAATATTATACTTGTTGGAAAGTATTTAATAATA